ACGGGACAGCCCACCGACGTCCGTCGACAAGCACCGGAGTAGCAGCTGTTGCCAAGGACACCCACAAGCCTCACCCTGCTCCCGAGGATGCTGCGGATGAAATGGATATTGACACGGAGGAACAAGCACCTGCACCGAAGCCCGTGACCGGTGTATCGACCAACCGAAAATGTGTACGATGCGCCACCGATTACAGTCCTAGATGGTGGCCCAGCCAACGACGCAGCGATCCTCGAGCCTCCTTCACGCCCAATGGGGTCGGAATGAACTCCAACAGCCCATCCTTCCCCCCTCGACAGCCATCCTTTGCGCATTCCACCGGGGATGTTGGGGAAAAGACTTACGAATGCCACAAGTGCCACTTGAAGCATCCACCCGTGCCCGAGCCTGCGCCCGAGCCCCGTCCCTCCCCGTATTCGGCTCCGCGCCCTGCGATGTTCCCAGCTCCCCGTATGGCTCCTGGTCACAACGGTCACGGTCAGAGTAATACTCATGGCCCCGCTCTCGGGCACACATTCGTGCCACATTCGCATCCACACCCTCCTCCAACGGGCGTGCTTGGACGGCCACTACCTCCGGCCCATTCGCATAGTGCTCTTCCGGGCTACCCAGGGTACGACCAGCGAGCTGGTCGCAGCCCAGATGTGCGCAACGGCATGTCGCCGTCTGCCTACCCTCCGAATCCTCCGGGTCCCCCACCGCCTCCCCCCCATCACCTTGGTGGCTACCCGCCCGCTCATCCCCCAGGCCATTCTCCATCTCCATTTGGCACTGGACCTCCTCCACCTCCCCCAACACAGGCGTACCCAGCTCATCAGAGTCCCTATGCTCCCATGTCAGCTCGATCGCCGCATCTCTCTCAGCCTCCGCGTGCATACCCAGCATCGGCATCTCCGCCGATCGTGCAGGCGACAGTCCATCGGTCCCCGCAGACTGCACTCAGTGCGCTGAACGGAGGCCCGCCTCCGCGCATGTACTCGAGAGAGCGTGACATGGGTCCTCCTTCTCACTCACCCCCATCCGCCCAAGCACGTCTCGACCCGCGTGGACCTACTCCCCCGACCCGAGTAGATTCGTCGCAATCCCTGGCGACCATCCTTGGCGGAACCCCGAATGCTCCGCGGCACTCGGGCATGAATGGCACGAGTACCGGGTCCGGGGCGAGTGCGAGCCCATCTCTCAAGAACCTCCTGTCGTGATCCGTGTCCTCCCCATTTGGTTTTTCTCTGAGCGTAGCATCGACTTGTATGATAGCTAACTCTCGTGTCTTCATTCACCCCCTTTCTGTTTTGCATCTTCGCGTCTGGTGTATTGATTCTAAAAGTGCCCAGTGTTTCGTCTTTTTGATCCCCCTTCTACTACTTCGATTTCTTTCAGTTTTCTCTTACTTTCACACCATCTTTCCCTTTTGTCTGACATCTTTCTCGGCGTCTTTCGGGTACGGCTGGGAAAAAACAACGGTGGTGCCCTTTTGAATGTAAACGGGCCGGAATACACTGGATGGAACGGGCTGGGATGGGATCGCGGGTTGCATGGAGTAAAGAGACTGGTGACATTTTCCTTATCGTTGACAACCATGATCATTTATTACCATTGGCCCGTCTTTACGGCTTGAAGAATTGAAATGCATTTGTTCCTACAGTATCCATCTCTCGATTGGCTTTGAGTTTCCACGGTCTACCGTCCACCGTTTCGCTTCATAATCAACTCCTCTTTTCTCGTACTTGGACCGATCAACCCTCTAGAAATCGGCACCTTGGTAGACCTGCAATCTGTGCCGATTAACCGTGCCGTGCAACTTTGGCAGGACTGGACTTGCGAGTGTGGATATCCACCCTCCGACGGACTTTAAAAGTGCTGACAAATTCCAGAACGCTGGCAGCTTTCCAACCAGCTTGTCAAGCTTCCCTAAATACCCAAGACTTGCCCTACTGAAGACTTGCAAGCTATCAAGCAGAGATAAGAGCCTGCAGCCCATCCTACTCATATCCAAAATCGACCCGCCCAAAGCTACACGGCAAAAATGAGCACCACGATGCGCGCGATCGGTACGTCATCTCCAATTCTCGTTCTTCCCGTCGCGTAACCCCTCCAAGCTAGCCCCGCAAGCCTGTATCTTCGGATAGTCAATCGAGCAGCAGCGCCAATGGCTTCCCTGACTTGCACTTTGAAACTCTTATCCTCCTTTCTCCCTTTCACACATTGACGCAGACATGGAGATATGCTAACAACTACTACTAGCCGTCCAAGGCGGCAAAGGCCCCGCCACTGCTATGTACGTTACCGACATCCCCAAGCCCGTCCCCGCACCAGGCCAAGCGCTTGTTAAGATCTGCGCCTTCGGGTTGAACCGTATGGATCTGCTGCAGCGCGAAGGTCTATACCCGCTGCCGCCTCAGGCACCGGAAACCATGGGTGTGGAGTTTAGCGGTGTGATTGAGGGATTCGGTGATGAGGCTGCTGCGGCTAAGTGTGGGTTTAAGGATGGGGACGAGGTGTTTGGGCTGGCGTATGGTGGTATGTCAACTTATACCGGCTGATTATGGCTATGTTTGGAGAGCTCACGTTGGGCGGGATAGGTGCCTATGCCGAGTACGTCGTCGTCTCGACCAAGATGCTCGTTCACAAGCCGAAGCAGCTTTCGTGGGAGGAAGCTGCCGGAGTACCGGAGGTAAGCCCCGTTGTTTTACAGCTCTACAGTTCTACAATCTACACACCTCGAGATACCCAATACTAAGATCTTCCCTTCTTTTAGACCTGGATCACAGCTTCCCAAGCCCTCCTCCTCATCGGCGAATTCAAATCCGGCCAATCCGTCCTCTGGCACGCCGGCGCCTCCTCGGTCTCCATCTCGGGTATCCAACTCGCCAAAGCCGAAGGTGCATCCGCCATCTACGCCACGGCCGGTTCGCAAGAGAAAATCGACTTCCTCGAGAAAGAGCTCGGCGTCACCAAAGCCTTCAACTATAAGACCGACGACTGGGCCGCTGAGATCCAGAAGATCACCAACGGCGCCGGCGTCAATCTCACCGTCGACTTTATCGGCGCCCCCTATTTCCAGGGTGACTTGGACGTTGCGGCGCGGGATGGACGCGTTGTGCTGCTGGGTCTTATGGGAGGTGGTAAGTTGCCGGACGGAGTGAACATTGCGCCGTTGTTGTTTAAGAGGGTCCGGGTCGAGGGGAGTACCTTGCGGAGTCGGGATGTGGAGTATCAGGGGAAGTTGAGGGATACGTTGGTTGAGCACGCGTTGCCCAAATTTTGTGATGGGACATTTAAGGTGTTTGTTGAGAAGGTGTTTCCCTTTGAGGAGATTGTTGCGGCGCATCAGTTGTTGGAGAGTAACAAGACCAAGGGGAAGATTATTTGTGTCGTGGGTGGTCAGTAGGTTGATACCCGGGCCTAGCCGGGGGAGAGACGAGATATGGTCGGCATGAATGGTTCGTTTGTTGTTTATGAATGGACGATTAGATCTCGACTGATTCTTGATTAATATGATTCGTCGAGGGTTCCTGGTTTGTGGTGGCCACCACAAGTGCAGGGACCTTCAGCATGTGGATTTACAGGATCAGCTCGTCCCTAAATAGCACTGTACTTTACCTGGTCCGGATGTGTACCATTCTCATTATGGTCATCGGAGGATGGATGGATCGGACAATAATCGGCAATACTAAATTGCGATTAACTTTTTGGACGGGCGCCTCATCGTTCCCGCGTACATGCATAATCGAGTATGGGAAGTACAATTTAGGCTGTACGTGGGGGCGTCGCCTGACCTTGGTGGCGAACGACATCATAGTCACCAAGTAATTTTTGATTCGAATCGGGGCGATGAATCCCCCTGCTGATCGGACTATTCACTCATGAAAATACGGGGTAGTACTTTTAAGATTGACTTCCCCCGTACAGGATAGGATACTCAAATTAGGAACCCTGGCTGGTAAACCCTGCTCGATAGTAAGCAGACTAAGGAGTCCCCAATGGAAACCGACACCAATCAGCAGGCGCAGGCCACAGGGGAGGTTTGGGGTGCTTTGACGGGATTGTAGTTTCGGAGGTCGGATTAGTGCTGGTAGAACTGGGGAAAGTCATTGGCTGGTCACCCACCCGTAACGATGGGATCGCCCCTTCAACCACGGACGATCACGTCGCAACAGTGGGTGGATGAGTATTATTCAGCGAAATGAGGTCCTGAGAGGCTGAGACAGTTGCTTAGTAGGGTTTGGGGTTGGGGCAGTTTTTTTGCCAGAGGAAGTTTAATTTTCTTGAACAAGCGATGAGCGATGGGCAACTGGCCAGGCACGGTGGCGTTTCCGCTTCCTCCCAGGGAGGGTTCAGCGTTGCGAAAAAAGTGACGCATCTAGTTGATGAGATCATCGTCGAAATGTCGTTAAAGCGGGGACCCGATGGATAAGAAATTCTGGAAGCGAGGATCCAACCGAAGAAGGCAGGGACTAGTGTGTGTGTGTGTGTGTGTGTGTGTGTGTGTGTGTGTGTGTGTGTACAACTCCGTAGTCCATAGTACCCAGGGCGAGACTGAGGAATAGGGAGGAGCAGTAGGCAAAATTAAATCCGCCCCCAAAGAATCATCTCCGGTGTCCGTCCAACCGCATCGCATGCTCTGCTCGACTAGTGCCGGCCTGTGCATCTGCATTTTCTTTAGGTGCTTTTGCCCGGCGGACTCCCCGGAGCCTCGGCGGGATCCTGTAGATGGAGCCAATCAGAGCCACGGAACCCTCTCGCGAATCCACAGGGGGTGCGCCATGGGACCTTCAACTGTGCTTACCTAAGACCATGGGCCTTCTAGAAAAAAAATCAAGCACAAATGAGAGCGAGGCGTCATGGTCCACTGGTGAGATCGAGGCTCTGTAGGTAAAATTGGGGAGGGGAAAGGTAAAGGTTCTGGTTCTGGAGGGAAATTTTGTATATCATCCAAAGGTCCAAAGGAAAGGGGGCAAAAATAAAGAAAGATCGAAGAGTTGAAGTTCCAGAGACGAGTCACGAGATCGGAGAATAGAAAGCGTACCACGCAGACCAGCGTAGGGAAGACTGAGAGAAGACGGAGAGAAGTACTGTAATCGTGCAGAGAACGATCATCCCGTCCCGCCCCCCCTCTTCTTCTTCGTCTTCTCCTCTTAGGCCTTCTGGAAGGAGGAAAGAAGCCCCTTCCCCGTGTACTCTACTCGTCCGTCCCGACTTCTCTCCCTCTTTCTCTACTACTCTATTTCCCCCCCTCCCTTCCTCCACTTCTGACTTTCTTCCCTTTGCCCTTTCTCTCTCTCTCTCTCTCTCTCTCTCCAACTCCCTCAATTTCCTATTTTCCATTTTTCTAGATCCCTCTTCCATTTTTCCTATCCCCCAGCTGCCGTCCTCTACGCCTACTCTGACTCGCCCCTCGAACCATGTCGCCTTGACGACTTCCTTCTGAAAATCAATCGGCCTACCGAAAGCGACGACTTCCTTTCTCGTCCCCCCTTCCTTACTCGTCATATCTCCGACCGTTGAAATTGGCCCCCTCTCACGTGCCGGACATTGATCTTGAAATCATATTCGCCTTCTGATTTGAATCACCGGTCGGGTTGCGCGCAAACGACGCCGATCCTTAGTGCGCCCGCTGCATTTGTCTCGGATCCCCCCCCCCCCCCCCCCCCCCCCCCCCCCCCCCCCCCCCCCAGTCCACAACGCGACTCGGGCTGCCTGCAGGGAAACAAGTGCATTGTTTGATTCTGTCCGTTAGGGGGTTGTGGCCGACTCTAGTCGTTCCTTCGCTCGGTGTTTCTCGTGGATTTCCCTTTGGCGCCGTTGATCTCGGGTGCGCTTCATCTCCGACTCGACGCTCGTTATCTTCTTTTTTTTCCCTTGCCTTGTCTTCTTTGATCCCGATCCGGCTCCCGAAACGATCATCTACCACGACTCACTTCTCCTCTTTGGACATTGACATTTCCGCCCTTTCATCTTACTTGTCTCAATCCCATTCCTCATTCGCCTCGTCTTCAGATCGCTCCGACCGTCGCTTCTTGATTCTCCTCTCCGCTCCAACGCCACATCCCGGTCATTTGGAACCCATATGCGAAGCAGGGCAGATCCGATCGCCTCGTTTTCCTTTTCTCTTCTATACTCTTGGGTTCAGCCCGGTGATTCTGGCGGCAGAGCCTAAATCAGAGCGACCGCAGAACGCCCCTCCCCCCTTGTGAGTGTGACATGATGGGAGACCGCGTGGAATGTATAGGCGTCTACGTCGACGACCGCGTCCGATCGGAACGATGGGTGCGCCGGAATTCGATCGATACATCAACACTCTCGTCTGCCGGTTCTTTGGGATTATCTGATGAGCCAGACGCTCTACATGCCGATATAGAGCAGCTGTTGCAAGTGTGTAAAAAGAGTAGGTTTTTGCACCAGAGTCGCGCGATTGCCTCGCCCCAAAAGATCTTACCTTGCTAACTATTGTCCATTAGTTTATCTCTGTCACACCGGAGCATCCTTTGCGACTAAGCTAGCCGAGCTGAGCGACCATTCCGGTAGCGATTGTACCCCAATATTTGCATTTTGTGGCATTGATTTCAGTAGCGACGAATCAAACCTGGCCCGACGGAAAGTCGGTCGCGTTTCATGGGGTGACACTGCTCCCCCATCCCCGGGGTCGGTTCAGCGTACTTTTACATTTTCCTCACATTCGGATGAAGCGCCAGGGTTGTCACTCCTCTCGGGCGTCTCCACCGATATTCAAGTGCAAGATGGTCCTAGTCTCGTCGTTCCCATCGCCCTTTTGCGCGCCGCTGGTTCGGATGCGCCCAGCGACCCTGCGACAGACCCGACCAGTGAACCTCAAAGTCAAAGTCCGGTCACGTTGGAGCATAAGCAGATTGCTCGATGCCTCGATGCGGGCGCGATGGATGTCTTGTTGACTCCACTCGATCGAGCCCGCATCCAGGGGCTGGTGGTCCATGCGTACCGCACGCGCCGAAATGCTCAGAAGGAGATGTCTCGCTTCCTCGCACGGAAGAAGCTGCGCAAGCTGTCGTGGGTGGGAGTGCACGAAGAAGAGCCGTATTCATATTTGAGAGAGGCCATGGTGTCAAAATTGATGAAGGGGATTTGCAACCCCGAGGAAATCATCGACGAGTTCCAAGAACGCGATATTCACGTGGACCCCGAACGTAAAGCTCTGATTAGGGAGCAGGTTGGCAGATGGGATTTCTCAGCGCACGATTTCTCGGAAGACGAGCTGGTCTTTGGTGCCTGCCAGATGATCACTCATGCGTTCAGTCTACCCGGACTGGAACATTGGCGGCTAACCCCCGGTGACCTGCAAACATTCCTTCTCGCTTGTAGGGCTGCCTACAACTCTTTCGTCCTCTATCACAACTTCCGCCATGCCATCGACGTTTTGCAATCAGTGTTTTGCTTCTTGCTCCGTATCGGCGCTCTACCTCCATACGACCCGATTGGACAGACCCCCGTTACGAAATCCCCCATTGCCTCCCTCCTCTCTCCCTTTGACGCTCTCACTCTTCTGATCTCGGCGATTGGTCACGACGTCGGTCATCCTGGTGTCAACAATTTCTTCCTCGTGAAACTCAACGCTCCCTTGGCACAGCTGTACAATGACAACTCTGTCCTCGAAGCCTTCCATTGTGCCGCCTTCTCTCAGATCCTTCGCCGCCACTGGCCTGCTGCCTTCAAGGACAAGCAACTCCGGAAGCTACTCATCAGCTCTATTCTGGCGACCGACATGGGTGTGCACCAGAAGTTTATGGAACGGATGGGGTCGCTGCAGGAGAAGTTTTACGCAAACGACAAATCAGTGGATGGTTGGAAACCTCAGGATATAGAGATGTACAAGACTCTCGCTTGTGGTCTGCTGATCAAATGCGCCGATATCAGTAACGTGGCTCGGCCGTGGACGGTCGCCGAGAAATGGACTGAGATCCTACAAGAAGAATTCGCCAACCAGGGTGAGATGGAAAAAGAAGTCGGTATGGAGACTGCACTTTTTGGTGGTCCTCCCGAACTAGGCAATATCTACAAGCTGGCCACGAGTCAGATTGGGTTCATGTCCATCTTTGCCCTTCCCCTTTTCGAAGGTATTTCCGATCTTCTCCCGCAGTTGCAGTTCACGTGCGAACACATTCGGCGCAACCAGGCACAGTGGCATGAATATGCCAATCACGAACTGCGCAAACAAGGCTTGTTCGTTCAGGAACAGACAGAGATTGCGATTTCGCCTCGCTCTCTTAGCCCACCCGTTCCGGTTGGAGAGTCTAGCGAGAGTACGCCCAGGGCTGTCCCCGTAGATGATGAGGCTCCTCCAGATGACTCTGATTCCCCTGCATCCTCGGATCGCACGGAATCGCAGTCTCGCGGCTATAACGAGAATAACATCGAGCCAGTCGTTTCACCGGACACTCCGGGTCCGCAAATCGAGATTACCGGAACCCCCATGGCGCCCGATCTGACCTCATCTCGAAAGTCGTCCAGTGCCATGCCTGATCTCTCCTATTTCTCTATCCCGGCGGCACCGCAATCAGCGCGGGGATCATGTGCAACGCAGTACCAAAATCCCATTACTGATAACACCAACCGCCCTTCTGGAGATCCAGCAGTCTTGGCCGCTGCGTTGTATGCGACCTCGGCTACAAATGGCACTCACGCATCGACAAACACCGAAGAACGCGATTATGCGAACGAGCTTTCATCCAACGACCGACCGAGTAGCTCTCGTCAAGGGCAGCAACCGGGATCAACGCGTCATCATGCGCACCACAGCTCGTCCGTTCGTACATCTGGACCGTCGAGCTCCAACCGCAATAGCTGCACTCGGACCCAGAGTGTTAGCACTTATAGCAACAACATGACTCCGATCTCGCCCGCGACCAATGCGACCAGTTTCTTGCATGTGGATAGTGGAGATGAGAAGCGTGTTTCAGATGAAAGCGCCCCTCAGAGCGATCTTGGAGCTTTTGATGACAGCAGCACTCGTCCTAGCACGTCGTATGCCTCCCACGCTGGAGACCAGGAGAGCAACTACAGTCGGAGTCCCAGCTTTACCAAGGATATAGGACAACCGCGTTCTGAGGATGGGAACCACCATGATTTCTCTCATCCGGCACTTAATGGTACACGCAGCCCAACTCAGCAGTCCACTACTACTGGCGAGAGTATTAAGAATGAAAGCCCACAGGGATCTCCCGAGGAGTCTCACAACGGTGTCTTACGTCGTCTTCCTAAACGGCGTAGTCGGCTGCGGCTTGCGTTTTGGAAGCGGCGGAATCACCATCAGCAGGAGGTCCATGGTGAATCTTGATACACACCTGTTCCTTGTTAATTGATGGTTTCTCCCGCTGATTGGGTGGCTTTATTATGCGATCATGGTGTCACGAATGTTGTATTCTCTTTTTGTCGTCGTTGTGATGAATGTCGAGGTTTCGACTGCTGGATGATTCTCACGATCTAATCTCCTTCTCTCTTGCCAATACCTTTTCTGCGGCTTTGGACTCGTCTACGATGTTCTCGATGGATATTCTGTTGAAGCATAAAATTGGCAAAAGCAATTACAATGAGTTGGTCGTGCTTGTTCAAAACCAAAGTCAGTCTTTTGCGCTTATCATATGATCCCACGTGCCATCGTCTCTAAAACGCCAGGGCTGAATGGGGTTTGCTACACATAAGTAGGTATAGCATGTATGTGCAAACCCATGCTCTGACGCTGGTGACTTTGTCTCCCACTTTTCTTGCCGAGTCCGGTTTTACTTGACTCTCCTTTTGCATCGGGTTACGCACCCACTTCTGCTTGGTTCTTGTGATGATCATGGATATATGCTCGACGTTTTTCCATCATTTTATTTTTATTTGTGTGTTTTATCCGTTCTATTTGCACGTGCGCTGTGCTCTTGGATTCTGCATTTTGATATGGTTTTGGGCCGGTCATCTTAGAACTTGGATCAGGGGGCTGGTGGCGTTGGTTCTTACCCTCTTTCTCTGTTATCATTTGTCTTGTTTATTCTTATCCTGGACTCATCTGGGTCGGATCTTGTATCTATTCATCGTCGTAGACGGGAGGGCTAAGCCCAGTTTACGATCTATATTTGTCGACATATATATGGAACTTTTGATGTCCGAGTTGAAGTCTGTATACCAAGACGTAGGCAGGGTCCCTGGTGTCATTTTTGAGCATTTCAATTTTGAATCATGGTCGGCGCTTGGTTTGCGTGGTGAACTAGGATAGGTATAGGTGATGTATGTGCAGGAAACAAGAATTGTATATACATGATAGGTATTTCCAATTCATACACGAGCTGTCAAAACTTTCACATCTTCATCCAAACTCCTTGTCAACACCTCCAAGATCTCAAAAATCTTCCCAGCCTCCTCCAAGATATCCTGCTGTTCCAGAACACTCAACAACCTGTCCACGTCACTCATGCCAGCACGAAACTTGGCTTTCACATCCCCATCATCCTCAACATGCCAAAAAGATAAGGGACAAGGTATCCTCCTCTGAGAACGGATCTCCGCAAGCGAAAGTCCCCAAAACTCAGGGCCGGCTTTGAGGAGAAGCGCGCGAATATCCCGTCCCCCGTACAGGAGGGCTGAGTACATGATCCACATGTATGCAACCAGGATATGTGGTTTATCCTGAATCCGGTGGTGCATTTCGTGTTTGATTCGTTGTCCTGCATTTGTATCCTGGTGCTCGATTGATTGAATCGGAATCTGGGTATTGGGTGGACAGATTGCGTTCAGGAAGCGTAGATCATCTTGTAGTGCCCTTGTGCGTAGTAAATCAGGCATGTAGAGCATCCGCAGGACGGATTTGATGCGGTCATTTGTATCAACTGTTGAAGAACTATCATCTTCTGGGCTGGAGACCTCGGCATTGAGATTGACAGCGGTATGTGTATCTTGAGACATCCATTCAACGGGATCTCCGATTAAAGAGAGCCATTCCTCTTCGATTGCGAAGAAGATATCTGCATAGCGTGATAGACCTAGGAGGTAGAGGTCTGGACTGTCTGTGTATGGCGGTAGACAGAGGGGGATGCGAGTGATATTAAGTCTGTGGATTGATGTATGTGGCTCCCTAGTTTTGGAATGTCAGAAAGATATAGTGACAAGGTAAATCACGCATTAAAAGGGGAAACGCCGGAAAGCGATTGTGTATATCTGCTCGCAATACTCTTAGAGTACCAAGCGTTCTACTGACGTACTTGATGGCAGCGCGTAACCTTGCGAGTAGGTCACCAGTTGTCATGGCGGGATGTGGCACCGCGCTGTACAGGATTGTGGGGGCAACTGTAGCGCTGCATATGTGGATGTCCTCTTTATTCTCCGTCTAGCTTGATCGTCTGCTTTTCGTGTTCATGTCGATGTCGGTATAATATAGGGAGAAGAAGTATGTTCCATGGCATTAAACGATTGAAATTGCGCAATGCGCCACTTCGTTCAGCGGAGATTTTTTGGGTTCCGTCCACATTTTGCGAAATTTGGGGCCACGGCCGTCGGAGGTCGGCGGTCGCGCCACACTTGTGGAGATCAGGTAGTAAGTATGAATTGTACTCGTGTTATTTTCTCTGTATAACAGAATGAAAAGTATTTTGAGGTTATTTTGAAAGTATATCTTGTACTTTAATTTAAGCTATATTATCCAGGATTTCACGTTCATTCTAATAGGGTATTCTTGTCGCCATACGGTCGGAGGACTCGTACTCGGTCGAAAGAAGAGAGAGCCGGAACGGGCCTAGACGGACAAAAAACTGGTTTCGGGCCAATTCGATTGATGACATCCAATGATGTCTCTTAGCTAATTATTGAGTTGCAGAGGGCAAGTGCATCAGATCAATCTATCTCCTTGCGGCATCACATTCTCTAAGCGTCATAAAACTAATAATTGCTAAGATTTCAGACTCATCACGAAAGGACTGATTGATCAGCAAATACCAACGTGATCACGATCTAGACCCTGCTTCATTCAAGAGTTAAACCCTTGTAACAAGGAGGTAGGGAGCTCTTTTGTCGTCAGCGTAACGTAACTAGGGGGTGGATACAGAGAGCAATGACGAACGATGGGACACGACCCTTCCGATCTGAATGGAACCACTCTAGATCGAAGATCAAACCCTCTTCCCGATAAGGTTCTGGAGCTATATCGGATTGGTGAGAGTCTGAGGAACTTGTTTCTCGTCGATCGTGTTCGTCGATGGATGAATGAGTCGTGAAGGGTTATGACGTTCAACGCTGGAGGAGTTGGATGAAGATAAATGTATAAGTAGGAGCATCTTTCTCGTGTGATTCATAGCTTTCATCAACCATTGCAAGACAAGGACCACTACTTTCTTCTCAATTTCTTCTCTCGATTTTCTTTAAGATTACCCCTTATTCCATCATAATGTCCGAGTACGTGACCGATGAGCAGGACATCCCAGTCCAGGACGATATCCAGGACATCGAGGATCCCATCGATGAGGGCACGGCCAACTCTGATCAGCAGCTTGGTTCGTCATTGGCTCCCGATTCCTAATTATTTGCTCTTTGGACACTTGCTAACATGTCGACATGGTGTAGCCAACGATGAGAAAGAGGCTATCGATCGCTCCAACATTATCAATGAGCGGACTCGTCACGCAAAGCCCCAGACCGACAATGGATACAATGAGGGTCCTTCTGAGGATGATCTCCCCTAAATGGCCGTCGGCGATCTAGGATCGAAACCCGGGGAGATTATAAATGCTTGTATGAATATTGTGTACAATAGCTGAGCTAGCTGAACGGAGACATGCTCTATATCGTATCATTATATGCTTTCATCGTAATACGTTTTTTATCATAAAACGCTCTGCTTCCTATCAAATTCATAAAATTTAGTTATGACTATAGGCCATTCTAGCCCAAGACACCTCAAACACAATCTTCGCAATCTTTCTTTTGCTCCCCTTGAACCTTCTCTTCGTTCTTCTTCTCTTGCTCTGTCTTCAGAGCACGATCTGTATGACCCAAGTCTCGATTCGGGGCAATAATGTTTCGAACGAGAGATTTGAGAGCTTTGACCTCTAGATATGTATATCAATCAGCTGCAATCCTTTCATAGAATGGAGACGTTTCAATTTTCATTCTCATACCGGGAAACCCGCCATCTCGCTTCCGATCCCAGAGAAGAGTCTCTTGCGTCGTGACTTCTTCAGTCGAGGTATTTGTAGCTGTCGCATGCCAAATGGTAATTGTGAAAACACCACCGGTCACAGGGACGAGGGCAACTTCACCCAGGTCCGTGCCAAACGTGGAGAGAAGCTCTTGGGCGAACTGAATTGTAGCATGTTAGCGTACGATTGCGTTGATACAGAATTGCGCTGCTAGTATGAGCAGAAACCTGGTAAAGTAGAAAGGGAAGAAGGCTCGAGGGTAATATGGACTATAAGACTAAGAGGAGATAATGGCCTTACATATGCAGCACGCAGCATCCATCGGCATTGAGTACAAAATTTGATCACAATGCGGGGTAAGTGGACACGCTCGAGTGCAGTAGTCTCGGCACTTGAAGGCGGGGGAGCTGTAGTAGAAGCGGACGCTGGCGTTCCTGGCGCGAGAATGTTCTCGATTGGGGCCGTTGGTTCGGTCATCGTAAGTCCAAGATGTTTGCGACGGAAGAAAGTCGACAGGTACGTAGATCGAGAATTCCGATATATCCTCGGAAGAAGTGTCGGTGGATACCGAAAATAAAGGTGGAGCGGGGTTTGTCACCGAGAGTGAGCAGCCTCGAATCAGAATCAGCTCTGGGTGAAGCTGTGATGTTGAAGAATATGGGGTTTGTGAGGATGCGTTGAGCAGCCGTTGGTGGGATGATGTCAGCGGGGAGTCTTGCCTGATTCGGTAGGGTTCGTCTCCAGTAAGTAACCCACTTCTGCATACTACGAGGGTACTAAAGTAGTTCACGGGGCCTGCATGTTCTGTCTGCATCTTATCGGGGACGAGTATACGAGGCCCGCCTATGGGATATCCCAGTGGCGTTAGGCTGAAACGTACTAGACGTGGGATTGGGTTTGGGGCGAAACATGCACAAAAGAGACGCGCGGATTGGGATTAGATCGGTAATTGTATTTGGTCATTGGATGCAAATCGAATCTATGATACACGAATGGCAACCCAACTCTCGTGCGGTGCAGAGAGGCTTTTGGAGGAACCCAGAATAACAAAGGAAAATTTGGCTTCAAAACACACAAGGGTGACAAGAGGGGGGGTAATGGTGCTATAGAAGAAGATGGGACGAAGAAAGTAGAGAAATAGAACAAGGAGATTTGGAGGGAAAAAAAAGGCGAAACAGCAGAAGAGACAAAAGGTAGCAGGGTCGATTCATATCGTTCAGTATGATCTACCGACGCTACCATCTGGGGGGTGTGGATTGGACACTAGGACGATCAATCTACTCGCGTGACCCCGATTAAGGCGTAGGAAGGAGTTTCGTGCAGAGCCAGCAGACGATTTCTTCGGGCGCATGTCTGTTCGCTTGTCCGCGCCCGGCAGGTGAGCGATCGGCGTGGTTGTTCGTCTCCCCAAGGAGAGGGAAGTTGCGAGAAGGGTCGAAGACGATCATCAGGGTGATAAGAGGAGGACGGAGTAAAGAAGTGGATCCGGAAGAATTAGATGAAAAGGGCGGAAGGGAAGATAAAATAGAAATCGTGTCGTGGCGATCGAGAGAGATTAATTCGTCATGAGGGCCATTACATGACAGTGCAGCAGCCACCCTGCTGCTGGGGAGCATAGGGGTCTTCCCGCTTGTCGACCTGGACGAATTGAGTTAGCGGGACTTGCGCGCGCCTATCATGGAACGGTCGCATACCTGTCCCCATACGGAGGGCACCATGAAATCGCGAGTGTTGTTGCAGTAGTTGATGAGCCTGTCGGAGAGAATAACCTCTGGGTAAGCATTGTCCAATTGTGGCTGGTGGTGTGGTTGGTGGCGGTCCGAGGTGGTCAATAAGTCACCACCTCTTCAGAGGGGGCCGAACTCACGAGAGAGCCGCTTCGGATACCTTGACCCGCGGACGGTCGAGATCCTCCTTCAGACGGGCATTGAGCTCGGTCAATCGGCGGTACTTAAGGTCGGCAACACTCTGCTTCTTGTTCTTGACATCACCCCCGGAGCGAAGTTCGTAGGCAGGCATGGTGACGGTCGGCGGAGTCGAGGAAAGTGTGTAGATAGAGGCGCGCAATCGAGAGAAAGGGGGGTGGCCGGGGGTGAGAGGGGGCCTATTGTGTGGACAACGGAAGGGGGGAGGCCGGGTAGGTTCCAAGAAAGACGGGGTGGTAGAGGACTTGGAGCTTTAGCGCACACTTCTTTTGGAAGTGAGTCGACTCTGACGAACAAAAAAAAACGAGAGGAAGGGAGCGGCAGATCAAAGGAAGGGACGTGATGATGGTTTCGGGGGGAAGGGAGTCTTGGAGAGGGATTTTCCCCGTTGGCTGTTTTGGCCTGTTTGGCTGGTTTGTTACGTATTCTTGGGGGTTCACTGTTACGGACAATACAGGGGGATAACGGGAGAATATGGGGGGTCCGTGGGCCATTCTGGGCCCTTTCGGCCGGCCTTGCGTTATGGAGTGGTCTATATATGTATGGTACGATATCTGTAATGAAAGTACGGACTCCGTGCAATCCCTCCCCTTCTGCGATACATATCTGATACAGTACACTCGACTCGTCAATAGTGCGACGGCCCACCGAAGCACCCGGAGTCGACGCGCAGATCTGACCCGTCTGAAAGAGATGATCGCCCAGATTTGAATTGCACGAACTCGGCTGAACAGTCATATTTTCGAGATTGTTCACAATGCCGACTAGCTGACATGAGGCCTGCCAGGGTCATGTTCAACACGGTGCAGTACAAGTACATACCTGGTGGTACCGTAGCTGGACGAGTCAACGACTGTAGATAATACATACTCCGTGGTTACTTGCACTAATGTCTGTAATTACATAGTATGGTAGGTTAAGTAATCCAGATACACACTGCACCCCTTCCCTTCTACATAAAACCATCAGCTTTGTTCTCCGCTCAATACCTCAGGCATCAATAACGCACGTGACTGCCCCATCGCTTAGCCCGAAGTGGGAACGCCGGGCAATTTTCGCTGGCTCGCGCACAACAGGCACTTCTCCCCCTCCAGGCCAAGGGACTTCGCGTGGCAGCATTTTCAACGTCGGTCTCGTACCACTGCCCGTGTGTGAGACGCCTTTACTCATTATTTTCCCCTAATCGACTTTTCTCGAACCCCCCAAAATCCATCGCCCCGAAGGGCTACGTCGCCCAACATGCCTCCACCACCTCACATCAAGCCTGAGAATGTTCTCAAGGTGCGTTTAAAGATCATCAACAATCATTGAAAAACATCAAAGAAAAAGATTCTCGGAGGACTCGGTTACTAATATTCACCCCCATCTCTACAGAGGGCTCAGGAACTTATCGCCGTCGGCCAGGCGCCCGCCGCCCTGACCGTCCTTCACGAACATGTCACCTCAAAGCGGACCCGCAGCAGCCCGATCGCTTCGCTCGAGCCGGTGATGTTGCTCTTTGTTGAGCTGTGTGTCGACCTGCGCAAGGGAAAGGCCGCCAAGGATGGCCTGTACCAATACAAGAACATCGCCCAGAACACCAACGTCGGCACCATCGAGGTCGTCCTCAAGAAGTTCATCGAGCTCGCCGAACAGAAGGTCACCGAGGCCCAGGCCAAGGCCGACCAGATCCAGTCTTCCCTCGAGTCCGCTCCCTCCTCCTCCAACGTTGAGGACCTGGAGGCTATCGAGACCCCCGAGACCATCCTGCTGGCCACCGTCTCCGGGGAGCAGTCCCGTGACCGTACCGACCGCGCCGTCGTTACTCCCTGGCTCAAGTTCCTCTGGGAGACCTACCGTACCGTCCTCGAGATACTCAAGAACAATGCCCGTCTCGAGATTATGTACCAGGCCACCGCCCTGCAGGCCTTCCAGTTCTGTCTCAAGTACACCCGCAAGACCGAGTTCCGCCGTCTTTGCGAGCTGCTCCGCAACCACGTTCAGAATGCCGCCAAGTACTCCACCCAGATGCACGCCATTAACCTGAGCGACCCGGATACCCTGCAGCGCCACTTGGATACCCGTTTCCAGCAGTTGAACGTTGCTGTTGAGCTGGAGCTCTGGCAGGAGGCCTTCCGCAGCATTGAGGATATTCACACCCTGCTGAACCTGAGCAAGCGCCCCGCCAAGAACGTCATGATGGCTAACTACTACGAGAAGCTGGCCCGCATCTTCCTCGTCAGCGAGAACTATCTCTTCCACGCTGCGGCCTGGAACCGTTACTACAACCTGCTCCGTCTCTCGACTATCGCCCTGGCTACCGGCCAGAGCACCAAGAAGGAGAACCCCTCCGTCACCGAGGCCGACATGACCAAGGCCGCTTCTTTCGTTCTTCTTTCGGCGCTCTCCATTCCCGTGATCAGCACCACGCGTTCCCGCGGTGCTCTGGTCGACGTTGATGAGGCCCGCAAGAACAAGAACACCCGCCTGACCAACTTGCTGGGTATGGCTCAGCCTCCCTCCCGCCACGTTCTGTTCCGTGATGCCCTCAACAAGGGTCTGCTCAAGCGTGTTCGCCCCGAGATTCGTGATCTGTACAACATCCTCGAGGTCGACTTCCACCCGCTCTCCATCTGCAAAAAGATCACTCCTATCTTGAAGAAGATCGGTGCCGACCCCGAGATGGAGAAGTACGTTGTGCCTTTGCAGCAGGTCATCCTGACCCGTCTGTTCCAGCAGCTGTCGCAGGTCTACGAGTCCGTTGAGCTCAAGTTCGTCTACGAGCTTGCCCAGTTCCCCGACCCCTTCCAGATCACCCCCGCCATGATCGAGAAGTTCATCATGAACGGCTGCAAGAAGGGCGACTTGGCCATCCGTGTGGACCACATCTCTGGTGTTCTGACCTTCGACTCCGATGTCTTCTCTTCCTCCAAGGCCATGCACGCTGGCAGCGCTGCTGGCTCCGCCGAGAGCGAGATTGGCTCCGTCCAGCGTCTCCAGCACACCCCTGCCGAGATTGCTCGCTTCCAGCTTGCCCGTCTGGCCAAGACTCTCCACGTTACTTGCATGTACGTTGACCCCTCCTACAACGAGGCTCGCGTCCAGGCCAAGCAGACCGCTCAGGCCCGTGCTTTGGCTGGTGCCGCTCAGGAGCACGAGGAGACTCTGGCTCGTCGTGTCATCATCGACAAGAAGAAGGAGGCTGCTACCGATGCCCTCAACCGCAAGCAGCGTGAGGAGGAGACTCGCAAGCGTATCCGCACTCAGCAGCTCCAGGAGGCTGAGAAGCAGCGCCTTGCTGATGAGCAGCGTGAGCGTGAGCTCAAGCGTGTCAAGGATGAGCAGGATCGCATTCGTGCTGAGGAGCTCAAGAAGCAGCTTGAGGAGCTCAAGACCGGTGTCAAGGGTCTTGACATTAGCGAGTTTGATACCGAGGAGCTTGATGCCAACCGCCTGCGTGCCATCAAGCTGGCTCACCTCGAGAAAGAGAAGAACGAGCTCAATGACCGTGTGCGCACCACTGCCAAGCGCATTGACCACTTGGAGCGTGCCCTCCGTCGCGAGGAGGCCAAGCACGTCCCGGCCGATTACGAGGCCCAGAAGAAGCAGGACTTGGAGCTCTACGAGGCCCAGAAGGCCGAGACTCTCAAGGAGGCCAAGCAGAAGCACGCCGAGGCTCTCGCTCTCAAGCACCGCCTGGCTCGTCTTGTGCCCCAGTTCTCCAGCTTCCGCAAGGAACTGTCCGAGAAGCGCCACGAGGAGTTCGAGAAGCGCCGCAAGGCCGCCGAGCGGGAGTTCGAGGCCAAGAAGAAGCAGCGTGTCAAGGAGGTGCAGGAGCGCCGTCGTCGCGAGAAGCAGGAGCGCGAGGAGGAGGAGCGCCGCCGCAAGGAGGAAGAGGAGCGTGCCGCTCGCGAGGAAGAGGAGCGTGTGGCCCGCGAGGAGGAGCGTCGTCGTGCTTTGGCCGAGGAGAAGGCCAAGCGCGAGGAGGAGCGAGCGTTAGTTTATCCCCACCCCGATTTCTTATGTTCTATTCAGACTAACGTCATATTAGTAAACTCGACGAGATTGCTCAAAAGCAGAAGCAGCGCGAGGAAGAGGCCGAGGCCCGACGCAATGCCCGCAAGACGGGTGGTCCTTACGTCCCCGAGCCTACTGCCGAGCGTACCGCGCCCCGTCTCAATCTCGCTTCTCGTCCTGCTGCTGCCGCTGCCGCTGCTCCTGCTGCTGGTGGTGGTGGTGGCTGGAGAGAGCGCCTGGCCGCCAAGGAGGCCGGCGGTGCTGCCCCCGAGCCTGCCCGGGAGGAGCCCGCTCCTCTCCGCAAGGGCGGTTACGTGCCTCCTCACCTGCGTGGCGCTGCCTCTTCTGGCTCCGCCCCACCTGCTCGTGAGAATGGCCCTAGCGAGCGTTCTGACCGTTTCGAGCGTCCTGAACGTTCCGACCGCTTCGAGCGTCCTGAGCGTTCCGACCGTTTCGAGCGTTCTGAGCGATCCGATCGTTTCGAGCGCCCCGAGCGTGCTGAGCGTACCGACCGCTTCGTCCCCCGACACCTGCGTGACCCCTCCGCAGCCACCCCGGAGGCTCCTCCCGCTGCTAAGCCCGAGGAGTCCAAGCCCAGTGGTAGCAAGTGGGTGCCCCGCTGGAAGCAGCAGCAGTCTTAAGCTGGTGCACTGGTGGATCTCCATATTTTCTTCTTTTCACCTACACCTATAGGGAGCGAACCAAAAAGTGACTCGGAAAGCTTTTTTATCTATCCGGCGCATGTTTCTTCTTCATGACCCATCTTGCAATGACCCTGTATCATCGGCCAGGAATCCTTGCCACTCTCTCTACACCTGGTGGCCCGTTGGCGTCCACCGTTTCTATTTGATGTGTGTGCGTGCTTTCTTGCGTGTTTCATGTTCTTCCATTTCCCCACCTTGATCTTTTTCGGACGGGGTTTATACTCGTCATCCGTGATGCCAATATCATGCCTTGTTTCAATGCTGTTTGGGTCCCGAATTGGACTTGAGATTTCAGTGAAGCAATCATCTTTAGACGAGCCAATACCTAGTTAAGGACAAATCTTCTTCTCTCTTAGCTCCAGCCTCCTCGCGTTGTTATATAAGGCGAATTTAACGGATTCAGTCCTGATGTAGTTCTCACTCTCCGTCTCCACCAAGCTTCAAGCATTTAGCACGACGAATGAGATGAATTTCTCGTAGCCTGGTCTTCATACATCCAATGCACAATCTTCTATGCCGGGTTCATATCCGGAGGGAAAGCAATACGAGCTATTAGCTCAACATAGGCATTTTGTACACAAGATATGAGGCTATATAAGATCCCACAGCCTCGAGTTCAAATCCATTTCACCAAGATTGTAGATCTTCCCTCTAGGCATCACAAACACATCCATCAATTCGCCCTCCAAGCCACCCAAGATGCCCGAATACCACGCAGCATGGCAAGACGAAGTCGGCACACGCCTCTCCATCGGGCCAACTCCCTACCATACAGACATTGCCCCAACCCAAATCCTCATCAAACCCCACATCCGGGCCATAAACCAAGCCGACCACATTTTACAACCCCTAATTCTGCCCTTCGTCAAATACCCTGTCATCATGGGCGAAGACATCGCCGGTACAATCAAAGCACTCGGCAACGAAGCCAGCAACGAACTTCCAGATTCACGATCGGGTCCTCGCCTCTGCGCAAGGCGCAACGAGAGGCGCAGTAGCCATGGGTGGATTCCAAGAATATGTCCTCGTCGATATGGCTTTTGCCTGTGCTATACCGGGGGATATGAGTTTCGCTGAAGCGAGCGTTTTGCCGTTGGGGTTTACTACGGCGGCTCATGCGCTGTTCAACAGTGGGACCTTGGGGCTGCCACGATGGAGTGCTGATTTCTTTGCTGGGACTGTAGGTCAAAGGGTATCTATATGGGGTGGTGCGTCTTCTGTTGGTGGGAACGCGATTCAATTGGCCGGTGAGGCGGGATTGGAGGTTCTCACGACGACGTTGGGGAGGAATTTCGAGTACGTGAAGAAACTTGGTGCCAGTGTGGTCTTTCATTATGCTAGTGAGACTGTGGTGGCGGACGTTGTTCCTGAACTGAATAACGGCGGCGTGCCTTGTGTATATTCCAGGCTGTTGGATCGATTGACTCTGTTGGGCCTGTGATGGAGGTAGCTCGACGGGCGAAGGAGGATATATTTTCATCACGATGTCTCCGTTACGAGAAGGTTTGACCTCTGAGGGTGTGAGGGCGAAGATGCTGTTTGGAAATAGTCATGATGATATTCTGGATATGTGGAAGCTGTTCTTGCCGAAGGCATTAAAGGAGGGTATGTACATTGCTGCCTCGCAGCCGCTTATTGTTGAAAAGAGGGGTTTGGAGGGGGTTCAAGTGGGATATGATATCCTGAAGAGAGGTGTTTCAGCAAGGTCGTCGTTCTGGCAAACTAGGATGGTACAAGGCCCAGAACTTCTTTATACATGGGCTTGTTGATTGTGCTTGGGGGGAAGTAAATTCGACTTCTACGGGACAACTTGAAGAAATCAATGATTTTCAGAACAGAATATATGATATTTCATAGCCTTAGAGCTATCTCTAATAGTATATGTCGTAGGGATATAGCAAGCTAAGCTTCAAGGGAAGGCGGATGTGATATGAACAAGAAACACCACCTGGGTGATATGGGGATGTATCACAGGGTCAGTGTAAACATAAAGAAGAGATTCATGGAATCAAGGGATATCTGACAAGAAAGAAAAGACCTAAGCAAAGCTCGTGGGAGCTGAGGTGCATCTTGGAAGGCAATGATCACCTTCAAAAGATCAGAAGGAAATGAAATGAAGTTCATGGTAAGGTGGCTACGCAGCGGCCACTTCGGCTCCGGGCCCGAATAACTTCTCGCGCCATTCGCCACAGACAGTTTCAAAGCCGCTGACAACGTCCCTGCACTCCTGGCCTGCTTCACGACCCTTGAGTCGACGGTCCCACTCACCGCGCTCAATCCATCGTGAGCCTTCCTCTCGGCTTTCTTCCTCGCGTCGAAGGTCCGCCACGAGTTCCCGCGCGGACCGGAGGCGTCGAGATGCCGTGGATGTTAGCTGGCGGGATTCATAGAGGGTGTCACCCAGGCTGCGAAGAGAAGCCGTGATGTCGGCTGTTTGTGTGACGAGAGCCTGCAGAGAGACAAGGGGGTTTTGGGTATTTTGTTGCGACGGAGTCGAGGGCCGAGAGCCTCGTCGGGGCTGCTCGGGGAATGGATATGGGAGATTTGGAAGGAGGCCTTCGTCGATTAAAGGCATGAGTGAGTCAATGGCGTCTTCGGAAAGAAGGGGGAATGGCGAGAAGAGTAGTGGATGGATCAGAGATTGAAGAGTGCGTGTTTGGTGGGTTAGGTGGGATGTGATGGAGGAATGGGCGGTGATCAATCTATGATGATTAGCTTCTTGACTGGGCACTGAAAAACATTTAAGAAACTTACCGCATGGCACCGTTTTCAATGCCGCTCTGTCCGCCAAGATCTCGAAGGGCCTCCACCGTTCGTTGAACGACATGGTCGCTCTCACTCCCATTGTTCTCAATGCCGCGGCGCGCCAGGCTCTCGATATCCGCCATTTGCATCTCTAATGAGGGGGAAATGTCCGCCGCCTCATCGAGATCCGAGTCATTCCCATAATCCGATCCATCGTAGTGGGATTCTTGTCGCCGATGCTGCCGAAGCTGGGTGGCACGAAGTCGATTCCTGCGATCTGGTGAGTCTACTGATGGAGACTGGACGCGCATATCGCGAGCGGGTTGCATGTACCCATCCTCTTCATCACTCTGCTCTATCTGCTGAGACCCCGCAGCTCCCATCTCTTGGCCCGATGCGTAGCCATATCCGTCATCCTCTTGTTCCCACGCGTCGGCCAATTCATCGGCAAGGTTCCCTAGACCACCGCCATTCGTTTCAGCGGGGAAATCCACGGACTCTCGGTGAGATCCGTTCATAGCATTTGTACCCCGGCGGGAGGTGACGGGAGATGGTGGGGCTGACAAGCGCGGGGTTCGAGGCGAAAGAGGGCTTTGGAGAGCGAAGCCATTGACTCCTCCTGTCCCAGGAGAAATCGGTGAGTCGTCGAAGTCGGAGGGACGGCGGTGAGAGAGTTTCAGGGGAGATGGTGGGAGGGGTGGCATTTTGGCGGGTGAGAACGGTGTCCTCGGTATTTTTTGGGTATAGAGGAGTATGTATACGAATCAAGTAGGTCCGGAGAAGTGATTCGAAGTGAAAGAAGCATGAAACGAAAGGAAGAGACCAGGGACACGCAGTGTTGATGGTCTACCGCAAAGGGCAAGTGTGGGACGCAGTGCAAAGAACGCGGTCTGCTAGCCGTCTATCACTGTATAACCCGTGTCTGGAGAGAAAAGGAGAGAATATGCCCTGGCAGGCAAAAGGAAAGACAAAAATCGAAGGACCGAACTCAAAGGTGTCAACACAAGCTGGTTATGCATCGTCCGTGAGTCGCGCCCGAAAGACAATCGCAACCCCCCGTGGACGATAGTGGACACGGCGGGCAGCACGGGAGTGCATAATTAATAAGCGCGGTTGGACCGCCGCTTTTAACTAACTGTCTGCTTCGAGCCACAGCGGCTTTAATCGTTCTGTTTCTAATTGATGTTGATACATAATGCCAGCACCTCACTAGAGATGTTGGATTTATTGAGGTATCAAGAGTGACATGGCTTAAGAAGAGACAAAACAGAAGTCCATGAGTGTTAAGAAGCAAGGTTTGTATAGTTGAACCCAAGTAGTTGCCGCTTTGGAAGCACTACTCTCGCTGCATCTCGCTGTAACAGTAGGCCTAACTTCAACCACAATGGTAATACAAACACAAGCTATCCTCTTTCTGGTCATTTCCTACTACTACCTCTAACCACCAGATGAGCTAATTGATACAAGACTGCTATATACCGTATCATCAAAATTCTTTTATTTAAATCTCAACAGACAATGTACTAACGCCTGATTAACGCTCGGAAAAAGGTTTTTCTATGCGCCACCTACGTGTTACAGGCCAAGCAAAAGGATGAATCAATTCGGTGCCATTCAACGAAGCAACTAAATCTAGGGGAGAAAAGAGGAAGAAGTTCTATCTAATGCGTAGAAGCCTTCTTGTCAAAGGCCAAATGGAATCTTCCACCAAACGCCTGCTCATCCTTGATTGTCACACTACGCGATGGTGGTATGTTGTCGATTATCATAATGAAATATTGTCTTACATACGTCTCCATAGTACTGTAAGACCGCAGATCTCGCAGAAAAGCATTTGATTCAGGATACCCATGGTCTCTGAACCATACATGATACTTCGAATGGCCAAGTCAATTCTTTAGGTCATGCGTCCATGGCGGAGATTCTTTAGATGTGAATTTGGGCCTTCTCGTGACGGATGAACGAATTAATATGCTAGTAAGCCTCATGACTATCTCAGCCTACTTGGTAGTATCATACAGGAAACTATACACGAAACCAATATTGTTACTTTCGAGGAAGATCAGACGGAGAGGCGTGATAACGGGCTTTTTTGGAAGGATAGTCAGGTCCCACAAATTTTTAAACACACTGTGGACCCACCTAATGTCACTATCCTCTAATTACGGCCGCGTGCTCATTCTAAACGACGGATCTCTTGTGGATATAGAGGAATTTCTACATTCTATAGATAAAAAATCCTCAGGAACTCTTAAAGAACTATTACTCGATAGTTTCATATGCATCAGCCGCTTCTCTCGAAGCTCATGGCGAGCGGAGTCCCAGCATCAACTTGTAGCAACTCCCGCCGCAACGGATATTAACAAGAGAATTTTTGAATTGTATTCAGGCAAGTTTGGTGCCTATTATAGACCTAGATATTTGCCACCAAATTCAATGATTGGGCAAGGTGTCCGAGTGGTTAAGGAGTTCGCCTGCTAAGCGGATGGCTTCGGCCGCGCGTGTTCGAATCACGTCCTTGTCGTTCAATTTCTTTTTGTGCTTCAGTGATAATTTTTGTACGTCTGAATTGCCATCTAGCTAAATTCATGTGTTTTTCGTGCGTAGGCAAGTGAAATGCAACTGTAGGCGCTATTGTTACTGGTTGAGACGCGGAAACTGCAGGATTGAATAGGATCGAAATGATGGATAGGATCCCCTTGAATGATGGAGAATGGGACGAAAAGGCCTGCTTGCTTTACAGAATGTCTTAGAATCCTGACCTTTTATTCTGGCTTCTCTCTAGATACGATTCTCCCCGAAATGTTGCACATTTCATACCTTTTTTGTCGGATCTCTTTTTGGCTCTTGCTGCTTGCCTATAGATAGCCAAAAAATGACCTAGTAGTCATCAATACGGCAAGGTGTCCGAGTGGTTAAGGAGTTCGCCTGCTAAGCGGATGGCTTCGGCCGCGCGTGTTCGAATCACGTCCTTGTCGATTTCTTTTTCTATTTTTTTTTCTGTCGTGGCGGGGTAAGAATGTCTCTTTTACCTGCGAGAGAACTTTCTTTCAGATTTTGATTAGAAGTAGCTCAACATGCCAGTATCCGGGGTTATATTTAGTTACCCCTACCTTCATTTTAGTCATTCTTCTGAAGAGTGGCGGTCGTGATCTTGCGCTTTATCCACCCAAGCGTCCCCCGCAAAATCCTCGGCTACCCGGCGTCACAATCCCAATTCCCTCCCCTCCCTTTCCCCTCCTTCCCACGATAATAAACCATTCACCATGCAAGAGCAATTTGAGCCACTGAAGAACGACTTGCTGCTGAGGGCTGCTCGGGGTATCTTACTTTTCAATTCCCTGTCTTCTATATGACTGCTAACAGTCGTAGGCGAGAAGGTCGAGCGTCCGCCGATCTGGGTTATGCGACAGGGTGAGCTCAATCCCCCGGTCCAAGTCTTTTACGAAGCTCCTATTCCCGTGGACCTATATCAGAAATTCTAATCATCCTACTATTCTCTTCTTATATTTAGCCGGTCGCTACCTCCCCGAATACCATGAAGCAAAGGCAGGACGTGACTTCTTCGAATGCTGCCGCTCGCCGGAAATCGCCTCGACTCTGACCATCCAGCCGATTGACCGCTATGAGGGTCTGATTGACGCTGCTATCATCTTCTCGGATATTCTGGTAATCCCGCAGGCCATGGGCATGGTGGTGGAAATGCTGGACAAAAAGGGCCCGCATTTCCCCGAGCCTCTGAAGTCACCAACGGATGGGCAGTACGAAAAAGTGATGGCCAAGAAGGTGGACGTCAAGTCGGAGCTTGACTACGTCTACAAGGCGATCTCGCTCACTCGGTTCAAGTTGAAGGGCCGTGTGCCGCTTATCGGATTCTGCGGCGCACCATGGACGTTGCTATGCTACATGGTTGAGGGCGGTGGCAGCAAGATGTTTGTCCAGTCTAAGACTTGGGTCTACAAGTACCCCACCGAGTCGCAAGCACTGCTGCAGAAGATCGCTGAGATTTGCGTGGAATACCTGGCACTCCAGGTTGCAGCTGGCGCGCAGCTGGTGCAGGTGTTTGACTCGTGGGCCGGCGAGCTGTCGCCCGCTTCGTTTGCCTCCTTCTCCCTGCCTTACCTGCGTCACATCTCGGCCAACCTGCCGAAGCGATTGAAGGAGATGGGTCTGGAGCCCGTTCCCATGACTGTCTTTGCCAAGGGTGCGTGGTACGCCTTGGACGACTTGTGCCAGTCTGGTTACAACGTTGTCGGTCTGGACTGGCTGCACGAACCCGCCGAGGCCTTCCGTGTCGCCAACGGTCGGGCCGTCATTCAGGGCAATGCTGATCCTGGCATGCTCTATGGTGGTCGTCCCGCTATCACTGCCACCGTGGAGAAGATGGTTGAGGGATTCCAGAAGGGCAAGCAAGGCTGGATTTGCAACCTCGGACACGGTACGTGTGGCCAGATCTCTGATAAAAAGGCGCTGGAATGCTAACATCCTTAACAGGTGTCACGCCCTTCGTGGACCCGGAGCACCTCAAGTTTTTCTTCGAGGAGGTTCACCGTCTGACGAAATAGATTCGCCCACCTTCTCCTCTAATTATTTCGGGGGCCTTTGACCCTTGCTCCTAGGCGAGAAGCCTAGAAAAGTTTCACGACACACTAGAGCGGCCCTCTGCCAAATTATGGAATATGAATGTGAATTGACACGGTCCATTGTTAGAGACCACCAGATCACACTGGTTCGATATATTAAATCAACTTCTATGATACTTAGACGGCAATATCCTCGTTCCTATGTGGCACACACTTCGATTAGCAAGCTGCCAAAGGGCTCTTTTCTCCCCAAACGAACAGTAAACAGGAAACGACACGAACTTACCATAGCTCCGGCTTCTCCTTCATAAACTTGGCCATCAAGTCTTTGCACTCTTGGTTGTCCACTACGATGACTTCCTTGCCGCGGTTGAGCAGGTATTCCTCCCCGCCCATGAAGCTCTGGTTCTCGCCGATGACCACCCGCTTGATCTTGTACAGAATACACGCACCGGTGCACATGTCGCAGGGCGAGAGGGTTGTGTACATGGTGGCACCCTCGTACGCGGAGGCGGGGAGACGGCCAGAGTTCTCGAGAGCAGACATCTCAGCCTATACCATATTGTTAGCTCAGCATGTTCCCGTGGTGCTCAAGCTCGATAGTGCTTCTATGGAAGGTAGAATTTCGTTAGGGTCTACTGACATGCAGCACGGGGCTACCCTTTTGCACGCGCATATTGTGGCCTCGACCCAGGATCTTGCCATCCCCAGAGACCAAGCAAGCGCCAATGGGGACGCCGCCCTCGGCGGCGCCTTGTTTCGCCTCTTCAACAGCCGCGATGAAACCAGGGTCTTGCTCCATAGTGATTATTTAGCAATTGAGTTGGTGTGGGGGGGAAATTTCGAAGGGGAAAAAGCCGAGGAATGGAGCGGGGAGAGGTGTGACTGTACGGCTTATCTAGTAATCTACAGTTCCAGCTAAATTTCGGAGAGGACCGATGACGATTTGACGCTTAGAGTCGAAGTGGAGCTCGAAGAACTTTTCCCCTCGGCTTATCGATAAGATATGTGTGGCTGATAATATGTGGTGGGTGTGGTTCTTCAGCCACACCACACCCGTATAGAAGAATGTACTGCGTAGTAGTGTAGTGGTGCATAAGGTGCGATTGTATGGCACATAGTACAGAAAATGATAACTAACAAGACATACATGATCGTTAATACCACCTGTGTTAATAAAATACCGTACAGTAGACAAATGAAATACGTATGATCTGAAATAGCCTTTTCATCGGATCAACTTTGTGTATCAATTCACAGTATCCCTCATACCAGAATGAACATTCGCCCCCCTCAACGGAAGAACCTTGGAACTATATCAGATCCTGCACCAACCACCACTATCATTGGATATGGGTGATCTTCATGAACTCCCGAGTACTCGTAGCCTTAGGGAGTCAATGGGAGTATGTCAGTATACTTTTCTCAGGATTTGCCTCTTCCTCGGCGATCTTTCATCCGTTGACGATTCTCAGTTGTGTTGATTACTCACTGATTATATTACATTACATGGCGAAATTGGATTACCAACAGACCATGGAAGCGCGGCGAATTCCAGCGAAAGCCATCGAAGTCCGCAGAATCCCGTCGAACCGGCGCTCGGGCCAAATCAGCTTTCAGAAGCCGCCAGAAAGCAGGCAGCCGAGGAGGGGATCGTTATAGAAAAGTAGAAAAAGGCCTATGATTCTAGCCTTAAATAGTAGAGATCGAAACAGAGTAATACAGATCACTCAGGCTCAATAGTACTGTGGATCTTCTTCGAGCGCATACAGTACTGTATTTTGGTCTCTTTCTTGCTGAATTTGACCCTGGTATTTTATTTGGTGGTCGGATTACCTGCCCCATACAGTACCTGGAAAAAAAGTTACTCAGCCATTGGGCTCCCTATTATTCTCCATTCTCGATTCTCTTATCCAAAAAAGAGATTCGTCTTCCTTCTATCTCCCCCTCCCCCTCCTTTCATTCCTGATTTCTTTGATCTCCTGGGTGTCGCCTTCTTCTTCTGTCGCTCTGAGGTTTCAGTGATTCCTCTTTCTCCTCGACTTCCCTGCCTCTCCTCTTATAACTTTACTCATCTCTTCCCTACCTCCACATTCTTTCGCCTGAGCCAGACATCATGGTCAAAGACACCAAGTACTACGAGTGCCTGGGAGTACGTTCAAACATCAGTCACCTTACCTGAAGATGTGCATCGAATCTGACCGACCGCTTTTTTTTCTATCACTCTAGGTTGATCCCTCGGCTACTGAAGCCCAGCTGAAGAGCGCCTACAAGAAGGGTGCCCTGAAGTTCCACCCTGGTACGTAACGCCCTGGGGCCATAACCCCTCCCATATACACACAACTTTATCGCCTGGGAGCATTCTGGCTGACACGGAACGCTTTTTTCCCCATATAGACAAGAACAAGAACAACCCCGAGGCCGCGGAGAAGTTCAAGGAGCTGTCGCACGCCTACGAGATTCTTTCCGACCCCCAGAAGCGCCAAATCTACGACCAATATGGTGAGGAGGGTCTGGAGGGCGGCGGTGCCGGTGGTGGTATGAACGCCGAGGACCTGTTCTCGCAGTTCTTCGGCGGCGGCGGTGGATTCGGTGGAATGTTCGGTGGTGGCATGCGCGATACCGGTCCCAAGAAGGCTCGCACCATTCACCATGTGCACAAGGTTAACCTGGAGGATATCTACCGCGGCAAGGTCTCCAAGCTGGCCCTGCAGAAGTCCGTCATCTGTTCCGGCTGCGAGGGCCGTGGTGGCAAAGACGGTGCCGTCAAGGAGTGCTCGGGCTGTAACGGTAGCGGTATGAAGACCATGATGCGCCAGATGGGTCCCATGATCCAGCGCTTCCAGACCGTCTGCCCTGACTGCAATGGTGAGGGTGAGATCATCCGGGAGAAGGACCGCTGCAAGAAGTGTAACGGCAAGAAGACCGTTGTCGAGCGCAAGGTGCTGCACGTCCACGTTGACAAGGGTGTGCGCGACGGCCACAAGATTGAGTTCCGCGGCGAGGGTGATCAGATGCCCGGTGTCATGCCTGGCGATGTTGTCTTTGAGATCGAGCAGAAGCCCCACCCTCGCTTCCAGCGCAAGAACGACGACCTCTTCTACCAAGCCGAGATCGATCTTCTGACCGCTCTTGCCGGCGGCTCCATTCACATTGAGCATCTCGACGAGCGGTGGCTGACCGTGAACATCGCCCCTGGCGAGGTTATCGTTCCTGGTAAGTTTTTGCTTAAATTTTTCCCGATCCCTGAGCCCTTCATTTTCCATCGGTCCCAAGTGGCTGGTGCCTCTCTTTGACTCATGCTAATTCACTTCCGCGATTAGATGCTATCAAGGTCATTCCCGGCCAGGGTATGCCCTCCTTCCGCCACCACGACTTTGGCAACCTTTACATCAAGTTCGACGTCAAGTTCCCGGAGAAGGACCAGCTGCGGAACCTCGAGCTGCTCGAGCAGGTGCTGCCCCCTCGCTTGCAGCAAAACCAGCCCCCGGCCGATGCGATGGTTGAGGACTTCGAGCTCGAGGATATTGATGCCAACGAGAACTCGCAGGCCCGCGCTCACGGTGCTGGCTCCGCCATGGACGAGGACGATGATGACGTTCCCCCCGGTGCTGAGCGCGTGCAGTGCGCCTCGCAGTAAACGCGAGGACCCTGCGTAACCACGCCGTGTGAATGATTCGAGGAAGCTGAAAATCAAAAGGTCAAATGTTTGGGCCGACTTGACGAAACTTCGCTTATGATACCATGTGAAGGGGCACCGGCCGTCCCTCTCCATTCTAGGAACTGGTGAGATAGAGATGTGTCCGGAGCCGTGATGTCTTTTTCTTTTCTTTCGTATCCCATCATGGGGTGGATGGGATAATGCAATCCACCACGCCAATCTATCTTTTCTGCTTTGCGATGGCGTTCGCTGTGATGAGACTTGAAGACCGATGGCCTTTTGCTTTGCGCCGTTATTTGTTGCCTCTTTTCAACCTATTTCGTAATCTCCTTATTCTTCGCACCGGGCCATGATCTGACGTTCGTCTTCTCCGCTTGATTTCTTTTTCCTTTGTCTATCTTCGGATTCCTTTTCTCGAGTGCCGGCGGGAGGACACGGAGCAGACGACACGGTCTTGGCCCACCGCCGGTGATGGTGACTGCGTCGTGGACGCCAGCTTGGATTTGACTAGAATTGCAAGCCAGGGGATCTGCGTCGAGGTATGAGAAGTGAGCGGTCTTTGCGTTGTCGGTGTCCGATAGTCGACTCTGGATGGGCATTGAGGGATGACCTTGGATGTTTCTTTCTTCTTGATTGTGCTTTTCTTTTGTTTTCTTTCCTAGCATGCACTGATGACGACTCGGAATAGACATTGCGTTGCTTTTTGTTTAATGCATTATCATTCACAGCATGATTTCGTGATTGCGGATTCGTAGGTCGGTTTTCGTAGGTCGGTTTTCGTAACTGGTTTTGGTAGCTCGATGTCTGTGCCCGGATTTATCACATACCATGTGTGCGAGTTTCTCTGGGAAATACCTAGACTTTATTGATTGTTGTTCCATTGACCTAATTTTGCCAATATCATATCATCAAGGTCTGGAAGACAATTGTTGACCCCGGTCAAGAGGCGAGCCGTGGAGATGTATGATCACCCTTACGAGACCAGAAAGCAAGTCCACACTTCAATTCAGAGAGATGATAGCTTAGGTTTCCAGGATGGGCTTCTACTAGGGGTATACCTCCGTAGGCTGTCCTCGAGGTCCCCGCTTCGATTGTACGATGGATGGCACGAATTCCACTAGGGTCCTCAGCAACCAGAGGTAGCAGGAAAATACCAGAGATTCTCACTCTTGAGGTGTAGGATCTTGATTTCTCTCCTCCAGTGGCTTTTCAAGTTGCACTTTGCATCTATGATTGGGTCTAGAGGCAGGGGGTTTGTCTTATCGCTGTTGGTTTCCCCTGCTTTGTTGATATTGAGCTTTGATCCCCAATAACGCGTTTCTTTTTTCTGCTCCTAAAGATCACGATGCAGCGGTCATCAACTCAAAAATGTGAGAATCAATCTTCTGCGGCTCATAGTTCGATGGGCATGCAGTGTTGAGGCTATCATCACCGGGGTCAGTTCCACATCCGCAAATAAACCTTGACACGCCCTCTGGGGCTGTTTAGGGAGGGGGGAAGCACGGGCGCTTCTAAGGTTGGTGAATCGATGGAAGTGCCCTATTACTGAAATTGTATTGAGGTCCTTTCGTTCCTTGTATGGTAAACAAGCCCTGGATGGTTCACATTGCACCCTTTATATATTTGCAACATGTGTATCAAGAGGGTGGAAGAAAGATCTAACCCAGTTTCTTTTGGAAGAAGATATTTCCGACGGTCTCTTTACAACTCTTCTAAAAAGGACCATGGCTTTCTCGCAGAATATCTTTCAAATCAATAACAAACAAACACATATTGAAGTCCAATCGAAGTAGGTGAGATTACTATGAGTTGTAGGCAGTAGATTACAGCGAACGCGTCCACATATCCGGGATTTCATACCAGCCACGAAGACATACACGACAAGTACAAACAACGGGTCTGGAAGGCGAAATACTCAATATTAGCCAAGTTGTCCAATGAGAGTCAAAATGTTATGCATTGAGTGTTGATTGTAAATATGTTGTACCTTCAGGCTGTATGTACCAGGAGCCCTGGTACATCAACCCGCTACCAATTTATCAACGCAGTACCATATTAACGAAACCGGGTAGTTGTGTGTAAGTGGCATGTAAAAGAAAAGAAACTCATACATGATCCAACTTCGTCTGCACATACAGTATGGCTAAATCAGCTATGGTGGATCAGGGTCGATCAAGTGGAGGATGTGTAATCAAGTCAACTAATTGTAGATTTGGCACATCTTCCCCGAGGACGTAAGGACTATGTACCTATCCTATCCTATGGACAATGCAAAAACATCAAAAATCAACCGTTACCTATCAATGGCACCCTAGCAGCCTCCAAGTTGGACAGACCCGAATAAACACTAGCAGAGTGGGGCGAGGCACCAAAAAGATCGAGGCCGAAAAAATTAACGTCACCTGCAGGATTCGAACCTACGCTCACGAATGAACGCCCTTGATGTCCTGACAGCTGTGAAGTTGCCTGAATAGCAGGGGCGCGCCTTAACCACTCGGCCAAAGTGACTATTTGATGTAGAATATCACCTTACAATAATATGTGTAGTATTGAAATTGTTTTGGAATGCGACTGTGGCTATCACTACCAAACACTCTTGATGGATGTGTTAACAGACGATGAATACGGTGTATTAATAAAATAGAATACCCGAAACTTATGGAATTACATGGTTCGTTTGGTTTAAAATACTTCTCTCCAAAGCTCAATATCACTTTAGTGTGGGAAAGTAGTGTCCTGAATGGCTTGGTGCAAAGATCGGAATTGTAGTGAACATATACATTCTAGTTCACGATGATGATCATTGCCAAAGAAATCCTAGACTGTGTTCAAATTTCGGTTGTGACTCATCATCATCATGGTTTCTCGCAGCGAAGTTGAATAGGCCTAAGTGGTCATAAAGCCTGGTCAGGTAATAAGAGTACTTCAGGTATCCACAGACCTAGAAGCTTGCCAGAAAATCGTGCGACGGTGGGAATGGGAAATTCAGCCTATGTTGTTGGGAGTACCATTTGATGGTGAATATGAGAGGAGGAATCAAAATTGCCATTTGCTTATTATGTACATGAATGTAACCAACCAAGTAACTATGAATTCGCACCAGTTAGTCATCAAAGGTTCTCTTCCTGAGATTGCCCAGATTATACAAGGTGTCGTCCATTATTTTCCTTTGCTTGGCGTCTAGCGTGGCAGGAAGACTAGAGGTCCCAACTGCATTGATAGATGCCGTCCTTGTGTCATCACCCACGGTCCATGTCAGGCCCTCACCAGAGATGCTGAAATGGAGACATTCAGTGAGAGTTTGGGGGGATACCGGGCTCTCCTTCCACATATCGGTAGACCCAGGTTCTCGAACGGCATCTAGCGAGATGATAACAGAGCCTTGGGAATCAATACTCGCAAGGTCGAGTACATTTCCGGATAGCTGAACAGCACCTTGGGACCTGAGTGTGTTGTCGCTCTCAAGGGTGTAGCAGAGGAGTTGAGGGGTACTAGTTTACATATCAGCGGGAGTTCTTCCATTTGATCAAAAGTTGATACATACCCTTCCAGGCCAACCAAGATTATATTAATAGATCCAGTGGCACCGGCAGGCTGGTCGAAAGAGACGTCCCAGATCCCACTCACGATGGCACCATGGAGTGAATCACCCAAGGGCACGCTTTGGTGGAGTTGGCCTTCAATCCAGTTCCACACAAGGAGCTGGCCATCGGCGCCACCAGAGATCAGGACATTTGGTGCCCACGAGGGAATGCAGAGCTTGCTAATAAGGGAAGTGTGACCCAAGCATTGTTGTTCAATGACATGAGCCTGAGGAATACCACGGGACACACGAATATGCTCATCGCGATCCGCAGTCAGGATGTAGTTCCTCGGGCGGCTTCCCGCTGCACCCGGCAGAGACACGGCGATAACATCAGTCAGCATCGAGACGTGACCAAGGATGAGTCGGTGCTCAAAGTTGAGCGCCACCTTCTCCTCACCCTCCTCTTGGACTTTCGCGGCCTTTTCAGCCCGCTCGGCATGCATGTGCTGTTGCTCCAACGAACGAAGGTTACGCTTCGAGTGCACAGTGAGCGTGGTCGCAACTGGCTTGGGCTTTTTAGCTTGGACCTTTGGCTTCACGTACTCCCCAGGAATGAGAGGCAGAGTGTAGACATCGCCAAATTTGTCAGCACACAGGATGGTTTGGTTGTCGGGAGTCAAATCCAGTGCGCACGGCTTTTTGGCCATATTCCTTCATTTCGACTTAGTAACTACTCCAGAGTTGGTACTGCAGGGACCACTTACCGAGAGCTGAGCTCCTTGAAATTTCCATCTTCGGTCAAGCTGAAAACTCGGATGCATTTGTCCTCAGCTGTCAAGGCTACTACATGCTTGCCATCGGACGTTGCCAGTACTATGGGAATATTGGTCCAGGTGGTGGAACCGTCCGTTGTCGCAGCAGGCTTTTGCTCAGAATCCTTCTCGGGTGACGAGAGTCTGATCCTCTTCTCTGGTGGAGCCTGATCCTCGGACGTGGATGTTGGAGCAGAAGTAGCTCCGCGGCTGGTCTCTACATGCTGGGGCCATATGGCCAGACGCTGGCCGCTCTCGGCTGCGTAGGAGTAGATATATGAGCCCGCGGAGGCCACCAAAACATTAGAAAGGCCCTGCAACTGGCGCCTGACAAGCGTTAAGCTCTGAAAGGGGTGCTGAAAGCTGGCCATACTGAATGCCGGCTTGATAGGACTTGATAAAATTTGATCGGCGCGGATGGCCGTGGTGAGATTTTGAGGGAGATGATCCGATGCCAATTGAGAGAAGCAATTGGCGAAAATAGAAGCTCACCCAAATAAAACGCAATCAAGAATTCAGATCGGAATATGAAGTCGATCCCAAGATCCTCATTATCTCTCTATCATTCCTCAACTTCTCAAGCGACAGCACCGCGACCACATCTCACGTGACCCACACTAGCCGAAGCCGCACCAAAAAAAAGTCCACAAAACCCGCAACCGCGCATCCTCCTTCCTTTCTCCAACCACCAACAATTTATCACCCTTGTCCTTAAACAACCTCTCTTCAGGTCAAATAAGAAGAAATGGGGGGCAAGTCCGCAACCAAGGCCGCTTACTTCGATAAGCTGAAGGCCCTGCTCGATGAGTACCGCACTGTCTTCATCGTCGGTGTCGACAATGTCAGCTCTCAGCAGATGCACGAGATCCGTATGACTCTGCGTGGCCAGGCTACCGTCCTCATGGGCAAGAACACCATGGTCCGCCGTGCTCTCAAGGGTTTCGTCACTGAGAACCCTGAGTTTGCCAGTCTGATGCCTCACATCAAGGGTGAGTTCCGCCAGTCATTTACTTCGCCCACCGGATAATCATTGACTAACGTCGTACTCGTTTTCTTGGACAGGCAACGTTGGTTTCATCTTCACCAACTCCGACATGAAGGATGTCAAGGCTAAGATCTTGGCTAACCGTGTCGCTGCTCCCGCCCGTGCCGGTGCCATCGCTCCCGATGACGTCTACGTTCCTGCTGGTAACACCGGTATGGAGCCCGGTAAGACCTCGTTCTTCCAGGCTCTCGGTGTCCCCACCAAGATTGCTCGTGGTACCATCGAAATTGTCTCCGACCTCAAGCTCATTGAGGCCGGTAACAAGGTCGGTGCCTCCGAGGCTGCCCTGCTCAACCTGCTGAACATCTCTCCCTTCACCTACGGTATGAGCATTGCCCAGGTGTACGACCAGGGTCAGTGCTTCAGCGCCGATGTCCTCGACATCGACGATGAGCAGCTCCTCAAGGCTTTCAGCCAGGCTATTGCCACCATCACTGCTCTGTCTCTGGCTACCAACATCCCCACCCTCCCCGCTGCCATCCACTCCCTCATCAACACCTACAAGAAGGTTCTTGCTGTTGCTGTTGAGACTGAGATCAGCTGGCCCGAGATTGAGGATCTCAAGGACCGCATCGCTAACCCCGATGCGTACGCCGCCGCTGCCCCCGCTGCCGCCGCCGCCGCTCCCTCCGGTGGTGATGCTCCCGCCGCCGCCGCTCCCGCCGAGGAGGAGGAGGAGTCTGACGACGACATGGGCTTCGGTCTCTTCGACTAAGCGCATCTTCACTGATGTGTTAAGTCAGCCGTGTACTAGATACTTTTATTTGACCTAGCTCTGAAAAGGGATGGGGAATGACAAAAAACCGACTATGACCTGGCAACGGAACCCTTTTTGTTCGACAATTTCACATGTTCTCTGGATCGTAGAAATCACGCTCCAGATTACCTGTTCGGCTTAATTGGTGAGTTTCAAACTTTTTCTTCTTTTGTCTTTATTTTCCTCGTTCAACCAACTCGGTTACCACCTGCATTCAATCCGGCGGATGATGAAAAATTTTTAACCCCGAGCATGCGTCTCCCGTGAGACCGCGCTGACGATTAAAAACGCAACAACAACACTCTAATTTTTTGCTGACGCCTTGCCTTGTTTGCTCTTGCTCTACATCATTTACTTGCACATGATTTTGAGAAGCAATTGCTAACTATCTCTCAGCTTAACAGGTTTTCTCTCATGAGTTATGATTCTCTCGTAGCGCTTCTGGTATTCACCGTAGCTAACGTAGAGAGCACATTGGCATTTGGAATGGTGGAACTGGCAAAGGTTGATCGTCTACCGGGTTTAGATGTTATGTTTTACGATACCAAATAAAATGTCTCATGTCCATGATGGTCGCTCACATATTAAACAACATTCTATCCCTTAATCTAGGCAGGTAACACATCGATGTAGCATCTATACACAGCTCTTACAGCTCTTAAGACGAGCCAGCACAATTCACAGATTCTATATCTGGTATCAATGCTTAATCACAAGAATATAATTAACAGTCCGCATTCCCAGCCGGGAGTGAAGAAACAAGAAGGTATCTGAGTACACAACCCATCATCATGAGGGCTTACGCAGCATCGTCGGCGCCACGTCCAAACCGACCCCCAAAGCCACCCAGATCACGACGGAAGAACTTCCCAATATTCTTCAGATTCTCGTTGAGATTAGCAGCAGCAGTCGATTCTGAGGGAGTATGAGCATGGCCAATTTGTTGAGCAGATGAAGTCGTCGCAGGAGAAGGCGTGCCGGATTGACCGGCGAAACCGGAGACAGTGGGGGGTGTGCCTGTGATGCCAGGAACACCGGAAGCACCAAGTGCGCTGAGACTGGGGTTTCCAAAACGGTCGACACCGTCTTTGGCGGCGGACATGAGGGCGGAGCCGAGCATGGAGGCATCAAACCTTGAAGGCGCCGATCCAGTGCCGCTAAGTCCCAGTCCTTGTGAGACTGATCCCGTGGTGGTAGTAGCCGGTGCCTGGAGAGCTGTGAGAATTGGATTGCTCTGTTGGAGATTGGATGCATAGCGATCAGATGCACGGTGTAGCTGGAAAAGCTCGACAAGATGGTTCTGCTCCTGTCGGTTACGAATCCCCTTGAGGTCGAGAATCTTCCGGAAATTGTTGTTATTTCGGTCCGCGATATGGATGAGGTATGCTTGCACCAAGGCCTCGGGAGGCGATGGCCGGACTTGTAGTGTTTTTAGAAGAGTTTCAATCTTAAAGAAGCTGGTGTTGACGCGCTTTACGAAGCCAGCTGGGGCCGGGGCAGGCAGGAGGGACGAGAGCCCACTCTTGAGGGTATATGAGTCGAGAAGCATCTAGAGATAAAGTTAGCTTCGGAAAGCTCGTGGATGATTAAGATAGTGAGGCATACTTGTTCAGCGCCAGTCTCCGAAACAGGCCTGCACTGGAAAACATTGCTGATGAACAAACTTGACATCAATTCGACCAGGTGATCGGAGAAGGCCCGAGCATACTGTTGCTTATGCAGCAGCTGTAGGATCTCCGAGGCCTTGTTTTTAGTGCGCGATAGTAGCTCGCTCACATACGAGCTTTGGTCACTGACAGCCTCAATTTTGCTCCAGGGTGTGTTGTGCATTTCTCGCCAACTCGGTTCCAGTTCGACTTCAACTTGCCGAACGAGGCCTCGCACGGCCGCAGATGCAATGCCCATGAATGAATCTGCCTGGCTCTGGAGATCCACGGATTGCTTGAGAGACTCATCCAAACGACCCTTGATCTTCTCTTCCAACTGAGTGCACGTAGTGTAGCAGTAATCAGCAGTGTTGAGGACGGAAACCAAATCCTCAATGGCTGGCACTTTTGAGGGCGTGTGGGCGCTGGGTCGTTCGCTGATATAGTTGAGGAGAACCTGTTGTGCGTACTGATCCAGGTATTTAGCAAACACCTTAGCTAACTCAGCCAAACTTCCTCCAGTCGACAGCTTGGCGCATTGCTGTAGAGAGTGGCGGTAGAACGCGAATAGTTCTGTCGAGGAAGATATCACTATATGCGAATTGAATTCCTCGTCAGGGGGCCGGAGTGGCTGTTGACGGTACTTGGGTAACAAGGCGGCGAGCTGCTTGTCCTGTGCATCCACCCAAACACTCAAATAAGGCTCAAAAGCCTCGGAGATAGACTGGCTAAAGACGGGATTTTCGTTTGAGGAGGTGAACGTGTCCGTAGATGGGCGCGAGGGCGCGAACCGGCTCTCGAGCGAATGTTCGAACTCGAGTGTCTCTTGCAGGCACGAAAGCAGTAGATTGACGTCAATTGTCTGTCCACTTCGCACTGACCGGGACAGAATGCCCTTGAAGTCATCGCGAGTACCCTCACAAAATACATTAGCCAGGTTTTCATTCACCCTCCAGGCAACCGGGAAGATGGCGGCGTTCTCCTCGTCGTAGAGCTTCATTATGCGTCGGAACCAGGAATATCTGCGAGAAATATTGTCCAGTGACCCAGCTTCTTCATTGTTGCGGAAGACCTGACGGTATTCGCGAAGCTGGGTGTTGCAGTACCAAGTCACAAGTCGGGATCGAGCGTGCTCGCCTAGGGCATCCACGACAAGACAGGCCTCCGAGAGAATCCCGCGCTTCTGAGCAACCTCGCCTTTGGCAAAAGCAACCTCAAAGTCCTCGCAGACTTGTTCTAGTAGATCCCGTTGTATATCTGCCACATTCCGGCTCAGAATCGCGATTTGATCGATCGATCGGTATGACTTGAAATGGGCCATTAACTGGATCACCGCCTGGAGAAGCTGCGCGCAGTCTCGGTATTGTCGCGTCCGGCTCAGCGTTTGAAGCTGGTCATAGGCAGTGGTAAGCATCTGGAGCCGCTTAAGAGCCGTCATGGACAGAGTGAGGTTCTTCTTCGCGTTGTCTAATTGCTTGATGTCGGCCGTCATGTCCGTGATAGCTTGTTCGGTCTTCATCGCACGCTCCCGGACATCTTCTATCTTTCTGAACAGCTCCGACAGATCGGCCTTCGCGGTTTGAATGCGTTCCACACTGTCCGCATTGGAGGTGACCTGCTCCTCGACCAGGGCGCTGATGTTGTTGTCCAATTGATCTTCGTAGGCATGGAGAGTGCTGGTGACCTGAGAGACGGAGGAGAGGGTGGAGGGGTGGGAGAAGATGGCATTCAAATGTTCGACAGGATCATAGTCCACTATATTGCAACATTCCAAGTCAGTGATTTCCATGCGCATGACAATGAGCGTTGGAGCCGTACCTGCATCCAAAGCGTCCTGAGAGGACTCCTCCTTTGGCGGCATGTGGCCGGTACTCGGGACAGTAATCGCAGTCATCCCACCAGTACTTTAAGGATAACCCATCCTGCTCATACCTGGGGGACAAGTTTGGTGTCAGGCCAATGCGAATTGAGGACTGCGGCGATGGGGAATTGGAGACGTCGAGCGCGGGTCGCATGTCTTCGCGGGCCAGGTGGCCCGCGAGCTTGGCATCTCATGCAGCCCCAAATCGACGGCGGCAGGGGGAAGTATATCCAAGAAACACATCACCAAAAGCCCACTTCCTAAGTTTTAACACAATTTTTATTGAGTAAAACAGAGATCAGTCTGAAGAATTACGTTTTAAGATTGATATTTCTGATAGTCATTGATCACATGTGGCATATGTTAAGATCCTAGAGTACATGTTCGTGAAACTTTGCCCATTCGCCCGAGCAATGCAAAAAAAGAAAGCCATCTATACTGCCATCATTCCTGGTAGCTTACAAAATCCCCGATGACAAGGGGATTTGTCGTCACTTGTAGGTCTATTCTATCTTGGAATAGAAGCGAAGTAGAAACCCGAGCTGGTGGTCGGGTGACGGAGACCGCTTAGGCTGGAGAGAGGAAAGCGGTGGCGGGAAGAGTCCCCGAAGCCTGAAATAAATGAGTTAGTCTTCATTGTCGTTTTATAATATCCAAGCAAGTATGCATACCTTGAGCTCTTCGAAGTTCTTCCATGCAGCTTCGAAATTCCAGCCATTGCCGGAAAGAGCCATCTCCGAGAACTGAAGAGTCATACCCGACTTGGCACTCATCTGGGCCACCAATTGCTCCTGCTGGACTTGGGCGTCGGTTTTTCCAGGAGCAGGGACACCGTATCCATGAGGGATACCGGGCTGGGCGAGGGGCGCAGGCACAGGAGCAGGAGCAGGGGCAGGGGCAGGGGCAGGGGCAGGTACAGCGACGGGGACAGGAGCAGGAGCAGCGGCGGGGGCAACTGCGTAAGGAATAGCCTGGTTCTCCGGGCTCCAGGCCTCATGACCACCGTAAGCCCGAAGGCACAAAATGTCGTTAATGACACGAATACCGCCCATCCCACCACCGGGGCCAATGACGAAGGTGCGATCGAAGCTGCGGGTCTCGACCTTGCCGCCAACGCTTTCCTCAAACTTTCCGTGAACCATTATCATCAGACCACCCACACCAGTAGGGCTCTGTCCAGTAGGGTCGGGAAGCCCAGGGACGGGATGGCACTCGATCAGATACTCCTCTGGGTGTGAGGTCATATCAGGGTGACGAGTTTCCGGGAGAGTCTTCCAGAGTTCAAGGATCTTCTCCGCACCCGTGTAGGCACGCGACATGCGAGCAGGAAGGTGGTTGATTTTGAGGAGGTTTCGGCTCTTCTTGATGTATGGGTCCCAGCCTGCAGATTCAGTGTGCTGGGCCTTGGGTGCCGAGGTATTGACGTTCAGGGTAAATTCGGATTGGTGGTCGTAGACGCTCTTGGCGAGTTCGTCGCGGTTGGTATCGTAGCGAGTGAAGAAGGCACGGATGAAGTTCTCTGCGATCTGACCATCGTCCTGGAAATGGGGTGCTTGAACGGGGATGGGCGTCTTCTTCTGAGCCGCAATCTCCTCGGCAGTGCGAACAATAACGTTGTTCAACGTTTGCAACTTCGGGAACCACCTCATCATGGTTTCTTTGAAATTCGGCTCAGCACTGAACGGATTTTCTGTCAGATCCAGGAACTCTAGGTTGCGGAACTTCCAGCGCCATGCGCTGATCGAGCGGTAGTCCTTGAGGTTGTTGTGGGAAAGGTCCAAGTTCTTGATATCTGGGAAAGTTTGCGAGAGAGTGGTCACTGCAGTGACGGCAGTGAGTTGGTTGTGAGCGAGACTGACACTCTCCACGGCCTCTCGTCGCTGGACTGTGTTGGTGAATCCCATCTCCCAGACCTTCATCAAAGCAGGGAAGAACTTGGACTCGGTCGAAGTCTGGTTGAAAATACCCATAGCCACCAGGTCTGGGTCGGAGGAGAGTTTGGAAAGGTCGAGAAGTTTGGTATCCGGATAGTAACGCTTGGACAGAATCATCGTCATCTTGGACTTGGTATCCGCGGTCGAAGGGGAAGTGCCGGTGGTGGTACCCAATTCACGATCAAGAGCGGCACTCGAAGAGGCATCGTAGGGCTCCACGACGAGGTGACTTCCTGCGAAAAGACTATCGTTGAGCCGCAGCATCCTGTCCGCCAAGTCGGGGCGAACAAACACCACGAGAGAGTCGCCTTCAACGCGCGACTATTATCGAAAGTTAGCAAGGCACGAAAGACCTTGTGAAGCGTATTCATTTGAAGAACAAGCAAGACCGGCGAGGCCCAAGGGATGTCGGCCGCCGTTCTGCCATCGTTGGGAAACACAAGCAAAGTCGAAATCGGGTACATGTCGAGATTGGTGATTGGTGATCGCGCCTTCGGATGTTGAACATACCTTAGTAACTCTAGCGCGGGGTCCTGATTTGCTATTGGCGTTCATGCGTCTCTCAAGAAATGCGATAAGATTTTCAACGCCGCCGTCACGATGGGATGAGACCTTGCTCGTCTTCCAGCCACGAACGCTAAATGACTCCAGGTTGCTAGCAGCATTGTTCTTTCCCTGTCGAATATTGACTTGGGACTCCCGAGTATTTGAAATGGCTTTCTGAATGGCGTCCAGAGTCTTGTCGCGTGCTTGCGGCCGATCACCGCCAGAGCGAGCAGGACGACCAGCGCCAGCGCCGGAGCCGGAACCAGATCCAGATGGACGACTAGGACCACCGCGACCTCTCTTGCCTCCACGGGCGCCAGGTCCATCCATATCCATGTCACCATCTCGGTCGGTGCGAGTCGGGCCCCGCTTGCGAATGCCCCCGCGGTCACCACCCGGGCGGCGGGACTTCATGGTCTTCATGCTGCTCAGGAAAACGAGAGAGAATTGAGGTAAATGGAGATGGATGTGTGGGAATAGAAGAATAATAAAGGAGGGTTTTGCCTGTCAGGCCGTTTCGTCGAAGGGACTGCGCGTTGCGCGCCTCAGATCAAGAAGAAATAGTCGACTTGCATGCAGGGAATTCGGAAAAGTCGTTGTAGGGAGAAGGGTGAGAGGAGGAAAGGAGGAATCGCAGGGACGAGGAAACAGTATTAATAAGAGAAACAGTCGATTCAGGCAGTGCAGTGTGCCCCCAGCTTTGTCCAAGGCAGTCGCGAAGTGAATCGTGAAGCCCAAAAAAAGTGACGCACGGGTCACGTGGTTGATTGAAACGCGGATAGGCAGCCGTCAGGTGACTTGCGGAGGTGACTCAGCCGGGCGCCTTGGGCAGGCAGGGCAGGCAGCCAATGAGCGGTTGTCTTCTGTCCTTTCAGTCCCTTTGGCTGCCTTTGAGAATACGGTAATTCCCATACAATCGGAGGCCCGCCCTTGGCTCCGAGTATACGGCGGACCTCGATCTAGCCAGCTTGCAGTATCCCAGACGGGCTCGAGGACGAACGGGGATACAGAGGCAATTGAGTTGACTCTTGCTAGGTAAGTGCATATTCTGGAAGTTCATTGGTGCTATACCTTGTTTCTGTGTCAAATACTTCCCCCCTCTGTCTCTCTTTCATGGAGCTTGCGCGTTCTGTAAAGCCCTAGCTAACTGCTCCCCACGCCCTGGTCTAGGAAACCCACGCGCCGCTGCAAACTTGTCCTTCATTCATCTCAGGTCTTTGGACCACTCTATGATCGCCAATTGCCCCGCAAGATGCCCGCAAAATCGCGATTCACGAGGCTAGACGCCTTCGCCAAGACCGTTGAGGATGCGCGCATTCGCACAAACTCCGGCGGCGTCATCACTATAGCTTCCTTGTTGGTAGTGTTGTGGCTTGTCTGGGGAGAATGGGTGGATTATCGCCGGGTGGTGGTTCAGCCCGAACTGATCGTGGATAAGTCGAGAGGTACGCATTGGGAGCTGCAGCTCGAAACGTGTCGATCTACGTGCGCAAGGAAGCTAACATGGATGGGGTTTGCCTTGATATAGGAGAAAGGATGGAAATCCATCTGAACATGACATTCCCTCGACTACCTTGTGAATTGTTGACCCTGGACGTCATGGATGTGTCGGGCGAGATGCAGGTCGGTGTGGCACATGGCGTGAACAAAGTCCGCCTGGCCCCGGCGGCGGAAGGAGGTCGAGTGATTGATGTTCAGGCCCTCGACCTGTAAGTTCCTTTCCTCGGAAGACGATTGCTTCCAATGTCGACTACACCACGCGCAAAAGTTGATCATGAGCTTACCTGTTGATATTTAGACACTCCCCAGCCGACGCCGCCGCGCATCTGGCCGCGGACTACTGTGGTGAGTGTTATGGAGCTGATGCGCCCCCCAATGCTATCAAAGCCGGCTGCTGTAGCACTTGCGACGAAGTGCGCGAGGCGTATGCAAACAAGCAATGGGCCTTCGGCATTGGCGAAAATGTAGAGCAGTGCACCCGTGAGGGATACGGCGAGAAGCTTTTGGCTCAACGGCGCGAGGGCTGCCGCATTGAAGGCGTTCTCCGTGTCAACAAGGTGGTGGGTAACTTCCACATTGCCCCGGGTCGCAGCTACACGAGCGGAAACATGCATGCCCACGATATGGACAACTACTTCATGCGGGATGCGCCCTCGCCCGAACAGCACACCATGACCCACGAGATCCACGAGCTTCGATTCGGTCCTCAACTCCCCGCGGAGCTTGCAGATCGCTGGCAGTGGACTGATCACCACCACACCAACCCGCTCGACGACACCAAACAGTCGACCGAGGAGCCGGCCTTCAACTTTATGTACTTCATCAAGGTTGTCTCGACTTCCTATCTCCCCCTGGGCTGGGATCCGACCTTCTCCTCTGCTGTCCACACTGCCTATGATAAGGCGCCTCTCGGCTCGCACGGTCTCGCCTACGGCTCTCAGGGTAGCATTGAAGCCCACCAGTACTCTGTGACCTCGCACAAGCGCCCTCTCGTTGGCGGCGATGATGCTGCTGAGGGCCACAAGGAGCGTATGCACGCCGCGGGTGGTATCCCCGGCGTCTTCTTCAACTATGATATTTCCCCCATGAAGGTTATCAACCGCGAGACCCGGCCCAAGACCTTCACCGGTTTCCTGACCGGAGTCTGTGCCATCATCGGTGGTACCTTGACAGTGGCAGCGGCTCTAGACCGTGGTCTCTACGAGGGTGGTATGCGTATCAAGAAGTTGCACTCCAATTAAATTATCGCCCTCTTTGTTTCTCGTTTCCGAGAGACATCGAGTGCATCGCATCCCCACTGAAGCCTCCGCCCTGAAAAGCCAAGAGATGGAAGGCAAGTAGGCATTCGTGGCGTTTTTTGGGATACCTTTATACATTGATTTGATTTGATTTGTTTTGTTGCGTCTTTTGGTTCCGGTGTATGTACGTACATTTTTCAGAAAGTATGAGTTGCATTTGGAGCAGCTTCGTTTGATGTTTCGTGCCATCAGATTTCGAATAATATCACATCTGCCGTGTCTAGCAATAGATATACTACGCTCGTATACTCAGTGAGGATCATGGTCACGAAAGATAGGAGCTGGTGAGGAATCTCCATCTGTCACATGTAGTGAAGGGCAAGAGTCGCGACCTTGACAGATTACTTGGAAACCACTGGAAATAATGAAACTTTGAATATCCGAGGCTTTTACGTCTATTTCGAAACCATTGCTATATGAAGACAAGGTAAAGATAGCCTGTACCAAGCATTCCATTCTGTACAAACCCCCTCAAAAGGGACGTACTATAATCAAGATCACGGGCAGACAAGGGAGTTCTAACCATTTAACACACAGAGAAGAGAATTGAGAGCCTTTGATGGTACCGAGGAACGATAACGTTGACCCAAGAAATGATAATAAGGAATGGGAGGAAAGCAGACCGCATGCGACAGATAAGAGAAGCAGACCCCCATAGCGCCAAACCAAATCTGCAACTCCGTTATGATGCGCAATGCAAGGATGATGATAATCACGAGACAAATAAGGAAAATGACAGTGTGGGGAATGAATGCGAATTGACGGACAAGGAGAAGGCAATAAAAGGCGAAGACGAAGGACCGAGGGCCGCAGTACTGTGCAGATAATCTAGATCTAAGGCAGGAGGTGTGCAGATTCAAGTTTGGACATGAAAAGAAAGAAAGGGTTGAAAGGACAGTGATGTGAGGAAAGTTGAGCTGTGTTGGGCGCAACTCATCGAGACAAATAGGTGATCGTAGTGTCTTATGAATGCATGGTGTTGTAGTTGGCAGGATAGCCATCTTGCTGAGCAAAGTGCTGGCTCTGCTGGTAGCTGGGAGGGACTTGTGAAGCCTGGGCGAGCTGGCCATACCATGAGCGACGGCGTGGCTCGTCCGAGCGGTTCATCTGGTGGAGTGCATCCCAAGTGTGACTGGCGCCAGGGAGATTATACATCTCATCCCGAGTTGCGGGTGGGAACACCGAGCCGGCGTACTGGGGTGCATATTGCTGCGGGTGCTGCATCATCTGGTGCTGTTGTTGGTATTGATGATGTTGCTGGCGCTGTGCAATAGCATGCTGTACCATCTGATTCGACATTCCCTCTTTCATCTCACGCTTCTCGCGCTCACGAGCATCAATTGTTGACACGAGACCCATTGGATTGACTTGAGGTTGGGGCTTCTTCGTGTTACTCGACATGTCGAAGAACGAAGAGCCAGTCATGCGTGCGACATGCTCCTGCTCACGAGCAGAGAGATGGTTCGAAACATCGTTATAGTTGGTGATCATCGTGCTGGCACCGCGAGAAGAGGGGCGGTAGTTGGCATCCGGATATGAAGTCATACGCGAGTGAGGCCGGGCCTGGTGTGTCCAGTCTCCTGATACTGGTCGTGCTGGTGGTGGGCTGTTACTCGACGGAACACGCTGGTGCATGTGCACCGGGGGACTAGGCGCGGCTCGCTGCTGAACGAATTGCTCCGGGGTTAGACCGCCTCCTGGAGTAGTGGGCCGACCACTGGCCATACCGGGCTGCCACAGGACACTGCGTCGACGCTCTTCCTGGCTCGGAGACCGAGCGTGACCGCGCTCCATGGGGGTGGTTGGAACCCAGTGCTTGAAGTCGGAGTCATTACGCTGATGTGAAGCCTTCTTCAAGGCGTCACCTGTGGTCGGACGTCCGGTGGTAGGCATGTAAGTCAGAGTTGGGCCAAAGTCTACAGTGGGAATATCTGGATTAGGCTCGGCTGGCCTGTCGGTCGCATAGCGAGCATCACCAATGACGAGATCCTGTTTGGCCGACTCTCCGACAGTCTTCTTGACACCCATTCGTTTGGCAGACTTTTTGCTGTAGACAGACTCATGGGTACTCGCATAATCGGGTGAGACGGTAGACGCATCGTCATACACGCTCTCCTCCTCTTGACGGGTCGGGGAAATAGGAGACGGAAGATGAGGCGCGATTCGGTTTAGGGCATCTTCATCCAGAGTATGGCGCAAGTCGTCAAAGCTAGGCTCTTCACCGTCAGGTGACAATGGTGGGCCCCCAAAGAGCTGTCGCTGCGGAAGGGGTTTACGCTTGACAGCCTTGAGACTGTCGATTTGGAGGTTCCGCTGAGGCGAGGGAGTGCCCCCTGTACTGGGGGTAGCCGGATGGGGTTGCGACGTAGGTACTTGGCGCGAAGGGAAAGCAAGGTCGATGCCCTCGTCGCTGGACTGGTTCCTGAGTGGAGAACCTCTTGCTACCACGGGCTCAGGGGCGTAAATCTGATAAGGTGCATGGGGTTGGAGTCGTTGATCCATACTGGCCTCGGGATGTTGTTGCTGGTGATGGTGTTGATCCTGATATCCAAGCGCAGCACCGTCCACTTCCATGCCCGTTTTCCCAACCTGGTGGAACTGCATAAGAGTCGTGTGAGACATACGGTTATTAGCCAGTCTCTGCTCATTGCTTGTTTTCGGCCGGTTGGTAGGCATTTCTCGCGGTCCATGGGCGAAAGTGGGTGGGTTGGTGACTGGGGACGGTGGCGTACGAGGAGGAAGCTGCTCTTCAATTTCGAAAGGTCGTTCGGTCATAGGCGAGTTACGATCACTTTCGGAGCTAGTCCGCTCAGCAATGGGACCGGCCAAGGCTTGCGCCCGGTCACGTTGGACGAGATCCTGAGCGGATGAATCCGGCGAGCCCTCCAGCAGCGAGCCATAGCCTGGTCTGGGTCCTGTCTGAAGACCTGTGGTATCCGACATTCCCCTAGAATGATAGATCACAGGATCGTTCCGAGGAACTTCATGAATGATGGCCTCTGCAGACTGGTTAAACTCGGGCTTAGCCTCCAGGGGAGGGAGGTGTTGACGAGATCCGTTCAACGAGCTTTCACCCGGGCGACTAGATATGCTGGCACGATAGCGAGGTCGAGTGCTGTTGACGCTGTTGGTACGACTTCTGCCTGTGCTCATCCGCTTTTGCGTTGCATCCTTCAACTGTTTCCTCCACTCGGCTTCGCTCCAATCCTGGCTGCCGGGAATCTGAAGAAGATTGGTGATGTCCAAGACGTCCAAATATCCGTAGCGGCGCTGTTTAGGGAACGCAAACATGATACTCTTGATGTGGTTCACGTCAGCGACGAGGCGAGTCGGACGGCCGTAGAGATTGAACGTATCGAAGGTTGGGAATAGGAATCGGAGCATCATCTCGAAGCCAGAGACCGCGGCGTGCAGCTCGGGCATGACGAAGACAAAACCTTCCGTCGACGGCTGGTTCCCGGAGTGCATGCTGATCCGACCTTCCAACTTCACCAAAGTGGATTGATCAATGAGCGCTTTCGACTGGGGGTAAATTGCATATGCTGAGTACACGTTCGTCACCGTCGCAATAGGTTTGACTTTTTTAGTCTTTTTCGTTTCATAGAACTGGATGCTTCCCGTGACCGGTATCGTGAGGCGGTCATAGGCAGACTTCTTCATCAACTTTCGGGCCTTCTGGAGCTCCTTCTCATCCGGTGGATTAATAACAAACCAGCACCGCCTCCAAGGCGTGCCCGCGCCAAAACGCACTCGCGCCCAATCCTCATGTTTGAACTTGGCAGGTGCAAGAATGGACTGGATTCCATTGAGAGACTTGCCTTTAGCGGCAATAAGGGAACCGGTATACGCTTCGTACAGCGAAGTATGTTCGTACATCGCAAGACGAATGGCTGCGGTCCACTGCGTCATTGAGTGGAACGAGCTGAAATGTAGCAGATATCGGTTTTTGCCCGCAGAGGATAGACTCAGGACGTTCTTCAATGGTTGCACGGCTCCATTTCTGATCGGGAGCGTTTCGATCTGGGACAAAATTAGGGAATTAGCTTATACGTTGCGACCGCCCGCGTTGCGAGAAGAGACCATACCATCTTAATCGACGCATCCGCCAGGTTGATAAAAGTCGCCGGAACCTCTTCCCCGCCTGCTGCGTCCAGCGCAGCAGCTTCCCAGAGGGAGAGGACGGTTCCGACAAGCTGGGCGTAGCATTCTACCCATTGTCGATCGCCGCAAGGCCGTCCATCTGCGTATCTCAATTAGCCCATCAATTGCCCCGCACACGAAGAAGGATGGCTGGCGAATGTATCTATTCGCACACAATTGCATCGTTTCAACGTACGAGAATCCTGGTCATTCAATTTCAAGAAATAACCTTCCTGGTAGACCTTGTTGGTGTGGATATTGAGAAAGGAGAAGATCGGCGAAAGCTCCGGTGGGGTATCTTCCTCCTGGGTCATTAACGGTGGGTTGCGCGAGAAGCTCATCGACACTGGGCGCGAACTATTTCCCGCGCCTCGGGGATTGGAACCCCCGGCAGGCGACAATTCAGACGGCGGAGATGGGGTATCGGGCGACGGTGTCTGCCATCTCGGGGGGGTATCGGCGGGCGTTACGTTGCGCGAGGAGCGCTTATTCTCCTTTCCGGTGTCATTGTTCTTCGGACCTCCCCAGGTTGATATAAACGAAAGGACTAGAAACAAGGACGCAAGGGAGAGTCAGTAATGCGGTCTTGCCGAGCGCTTGCGACCCAGCGGAAGCCGATTGACCGTTGACTTACCACGCGAGCGACCCATGACGTCGAGCGGGTGAATAGATCACCAGCCAAAACCTCAATGGTCTTGCACCAGCGCTGAGGGAAGGGCGCAACGTCTTCAAAAAAGAGAAGCAGTAATGCGAATATCCCAGGGGAAAAAGTGAGAGAAAGACGACGAGGCCACGGTAGCGCACGGTCTTGGTTGGAGGAGAGTGGTGGAGCTAAGAAACCCGCTAGAACCGAAACACGGAGGAGCTGCGAATGAATCAATCCATGGAGGACAGATGCAGATAAAGGGGGGTTTCTCCCTGAATGGGTTTGAGGGGGAAGAGAACACCGAGGTGCTGGAATAATCAGGAAGCCAGTACTCAAAAGGACCAAGATAAGTCGGACGTGGACCAAGAAAGTCGGCAGGAAGTTTTGCTGGACAGGCGCCGCCAAGCGGGTGTGATGACGTTGCGGCCTTGGTAAAAGTCAGTCGCCGGGACTGGGTTTAGGCAGCGGGTTAGTAAGTGGCAGTTGGGTCACTTGGATGGAGAGAAGAGGTCAAAGGTGAAGAAAGAGGGGAGGCTGGGGAAAGAAGAGGAGATGAGACGAGACGAGACGAGAAAGAAAGCATGACCCTGGAGGGCAGAAATTATTGAGATACTACGGAGTAACGGAGTAATGGAGTAATGGAGTACGGGATACTATGGATAATGCCATCGAGGAGGCAAATGCGGCCGCATGGTCGTGGGTCTGGTAATCAGCCGGAACCATAATGACCACCAGGAACAGACGATAACTAATAGTTACGTTACGAACGAATTAGATAATAATTAGGAGCTCTCACATTCTGATCTCGACAACCGTTCCTTTTTTCTCCTTCATCCCTGAAGCCGTAGTATCGTCACTAGACCATCACTATTGGCAGCTGGTGGGTCGGGCCTAGCGACTAAGTTTAATGGAGATTGTACTAAGAACGGTTACACTCTATACTTGGCTCCTACAGTACGGAGAACTGTACGGAGCAATCCTAGGAGTTAGTTCCACCGTTAGTATGGAGCCAAATTAATTAGGAAGGTCAAGTACGATTACCTCCTTTTCTTGAAAGACATCTGGAACGAAAACCATCTTCCCCTGGAGAACCCTGATGACAAGTCTAAGCGAAATCCCATGGCTGCGTCACGCTGGATCCTGCAGTGGGTGGGATCGTCGGGGACATCCTGTCTTAGTCCCAAATTTAGCAGTGTCTTAGCCAAGCTGCAACTATACGATCATATTCTCATGCCAGATGCCATGAGTGGTACACCATACATATTTACTACATACAACTCCGTACATACTGCAGTCACATGGTATAGTAGCCCTATATTCTCCCCCTCCTTTTCCGCCATGATGACTATTTTAGGTACTCCTAACTCCGTGCCCCACTCCCCACTCCTTGCCAAAAGGGCACCTGGCATGCCTGATATTCCTCGTTGATGGAACATTCGAAGAATTCCGCCACCACACGGGCTTCTCTCGGCACCACCACTCACTCTTTTACCTTTCGCCACTTGTGCAACGATCACTTTAACAATCGCACTCCGTAATAATACAATTCGAAGCCTTTTCCAGGTTATTGCCAAGGAAGCCAATGATTCAACAAAATCCAATCAAATGAGTTCACGATAGAAATTACAGCGGGTCAGCGCGGACCAAGAGTATCGTCTTTCCAAGTTTGTAATTTCGTTCTGCTTGGACGCGCAACGCCTGCGCGGCAACGGGCTTCACATTGGCCCAAGACGCACACACCGCCGGGCCCGGGGCCCAAGTTGCTCTGCGCTTGATTTCAAGTTTACCCGCTTCCTAGGGCCTGCAGCGACCCGCAGAGTGCAGGCAGATCAAAAGGCTGGGCGATCGAGCTACAGCGTGCATATGCGGTCATTCAGGCAGGCCTCCGGTCCCGTACCTGTCGCCCATGCCCGGCCCGTTGTTCGTTCACGTTGTGGCTGGAGCCACGGACTCACCGATCCAAGATCAACACGCCCGCTGGTTGCCTCCGCGTTAGTTAGATCCGAGGATCCGACATCTCGTCACCACCACCGTTATGCAGGTCATTTCTCGTGATTTCTCCATCCTCGGGCTTGCCCCCTCCTGCATGAGACCTCCCGGCACCAACTCCAGCCACAAATTTGGTACTTGGGCCTCTCTAACCGATGCTCCTTTTGGGGCTACTAGCTGCTCTTGGGAGTCGCAGAGTGGAGTCTTGGCGAGTTGGCAACACTTGGATGGCTCGATGGACCTTCCGGCATTTCATGGCCAGGTGTTCCCGGGTAATCGTGATCCAACCTGATTTGCCGGTGATGGGGCCCGAGGAGATCGAGATTGGCCCTCTTGAGTGCTATCCCCCAGACAAGAGAGCCCTGCCCCTCCAAGATCGCATCAGTCCGTAGGTGCCCACATTCTTGCCTCATGATTTCCCCATATCTGTGCACCGTGGCCAAAGCTCCCGAGGCATCGTCGTCCGCCAAATTCCCCCCTAAATTCTGTAGCTCTCTTGTGAATAGGGGTTCAAGGGGCCTGACCAGGGTCCCGTCCTTGGAACTCCCCAATGTACTATATAAACAACGCGTAAGACAACCCTGTGGCGCCGGATAAATCCCCGTTCAAGTTAGGCGTTCGGTAACTCACATTTACGATTTGATTCGCCTTTGTTGATGGCCATGCAACAAACTGATTTTTGTTAGTTTTCTCGTCGCTAACTATTTCAGCGAGTCATGGTTATCTCTAGAAATGATTTTGCGTTCATGTCTCAGGTGAGGCGCGGCAACTTCCGGGGTTCACCGTCCAGACCCTTTGATGGACCTCTTGGTGTCTTGGCTTTGGCTTTGGCTCAAATAGGGCTTTCTGTCGGTGTCATGAGGTTCTTACCCCTCCCCCTGGCCCATTATTAGGGCTCGAGACCCTACCACATGGTCCAAGGGGTCGTGGATGGCTGTACAACGTGATATTTACAGAATCATCATCGAGCCATGCTCAGTGGAGTGCCTACCTATACCTTTTAAACAAACATTGGAGGTTCACTCTCCACAGACATACGCTGCAGCTATGAACATAACGTAAGCTTTTCATCGCAAATCGAAATAGTTTACTCTCTCTCTCTCTCATACAGTCACCAAACTCAATCGACTTGATACAGACTGCAGACCTCCAGCTCAAATGTTGAAATGCAGACTGCCAACCCGGTAACAGAGGGCTAATGCCTGTTAACCAACCCAGAGTCATACTCTCGAATGTCATCTGTATCATGTCGTAGGTAAATTCTGCTGGATGGTATATAGCAATTTTCCCCGACAGAGGTGCTCGAACACCTCTAATTGAACTAAAATGATTCGCTTTTTCAAACTTTCCGCCCTCTCAATATGGTCATTGAATCTCCTCGAATGCCCGAACAATAAATGGCCTTCCTTGAATAAGAACTTTCTCCCCGGGGACCCTCCAAGAGCCCTGACCTTCACCCTCAAATCCGGTCTTCATCGATGGCAAGGCGCCCCCATCCGGCCCGACAACGTACTTCTCCTCCCATCCAGAATTCCATTCCTCCCGTCTCGCACTCACTTCAGCACCGGTCCTCTTCAGAGTCAACTTGCCATCCGAATCTCTTTCTTGAGAATGAGCCTGAACCTGCTGGAACGCCAGATATGTGCCCCAGATCCGACCGAAAAACATCTTGGTCACGGTCGCCTCGCCTTCTTTCTCGGAGAGACTGATGCTACTATCATCCGACTCGAGAATCCACGAGATACCCTTCTTGGCACCCTCGGGGCCTTCCCTGAAGGGTAACTCCCGCCAGACCTCTTCGAAGGCGGTCATAGGCGCACCGGGGAGATCGGTGCGGGGCATCTCTCCGGTTTCGAGATCATCACCGTTGGGCAGGGGGCTGAAGTTGGCAGGATCGACCATACCGATTTCATTGAGAGAGTCCAGCTCGCGGGTAAAGCGCACCTTGACTGTACACACTGATTAGTATATGTATGCTCGCGTATGTCCAGCCAGGAACATCATCTAGATTCCTTGGGGTAACCGACGTGGTATTTCGCCCGGGTTCTCCACGATCCGTGTACCCGCCATCGCCCAGTCAATTGCACCAGAGGCCTTATCCATTCGCAAGTCAATGAACCATTCCCCGACAGAGAGAACGATCGTATCGGTCGTCTCCTCGGGGGGTTCGGGGACCCATCGTAGCGAAATACGAGTTGAGAAGCTGCTGGATGAGCCCAACGTAGCACCGGTAGCTGCCATAATTTCACACGTGTATAACGTGAGACTTCGCGGCGGAAGAGGAATGGAAATCTGCTATTAGCCAGGTGGGGTAAAATGAAGTCTCTTATAATCAATGAACTGTGGAGGGAGTCGAGTTGGAGAACTACTGGGAATTCGGGCAAGTGCTGAATCGGGAAGCTGCAAGAGATGGGGTACAGCCCCTTATCGCTTATCGCTTCTCACTTATCTTCCGTTGCCCCGCGATGGTATGATGGTGAAGTCCCTATCGAATCATGGCTGTTTCTTGAAAGGTTACTAGCTAGAAGGCAGCATCGTGACTTCACTTGCTGATGAAAGATAAATTCTGTTTCAATTTCGAGGTTAGCTCGAAACATTAAGCTTAATCTAGGATAGATATTCGGGACCGGACCCTGGCCTCAACTATCCACAATGCCGATAAAATCAACGAGTTCCATAGATTTGGACCTCGAAAGAAGATTTTACTGCCGCAAGTCAGTTTTAAGATTGGCTCAATCAGCTGATCTCGATGGTGCGCGAGGGAGTACCCAGGCCGAAGAACTATAAACTGAAAGCCCGCTCAGCTGTAGCCAGATGTAGTGTCCGGTGCATCTCGAAACGGATGTGCAGCTTAACCAGCTTTGCTTTAATGTGAGATGTTGGTGATGATCTAATCAGAAATGATCGCGAAACATTCGTTCCCGACTTTCAAAACAGTGAGTGTGGCTTTCATAACCTGGGGTCTAGGCTAATTTATGTGATTCGCGAGTGGATTTTCATTCCAAGTTTCAGGCTGGTAGAACCTGCTGCAATTCAAGCTTTTGTAGATTCTTGAATATAAATGACTCAATGCTGCGAATCAGCGATTGAATCGGTTTGTGTTGAGAGTCTCTGAGTCAGCCCTGTAAAAGATTTGCAGTCGAGGCCGTAGAGTACATCCTGGACACACCTGTAGAAGAACTCAAACTTACTGAGATCGAGGCTGGCTTCCAAAGATGCCTCTCTACCGCCTTTGCTGCAGTATCAGCTGCTAGTCCATTGAATTGAATACTCTAGTCGTGCAAATGTCAGGAGTTCAAGGTACGGAGCACGTTCTGGGCCGTTGACAATCAAACTCGATACGGTTGTAGCTTGGCAATTAAATTTTGTTTCTAGCTATGGAGACGAAATGCATGAGTAGATACTGCATTAATCTTTTGTGAAATAACTCCACAAACTGAAATGATCTTCACGACCTGTTGTTCATACTAGAATCCCCGCATTCTCCACCGAGAGCCCAAGTGCATACATACAACGCCAGCCGAGGTTCCCGGAATTAACCATTCTGAGCTCCTCGTCCCACCGCGAGCCCCCACCGAAGCATCCCCCATACTTCAAACTACATAGCCCATACTGCAGGCATTGCAGCTTCAACCCTCAACCCCCAAATATTGATTATTCCTCGACCAGTATCACATTTCCAGAGCCTACCATGTCGTTTCAAACACCACCCCCTACGACAACCATCTTTGAGGTGTCCTTCCCCAGCCCAGGGGTTCTCCTCGCAACGATCAATCGTGAGAAACGCATGAACTCAATCCCGTTGAAAGGTCACCATGAAGGAACCGCTCTCTGGGACTGGATGGACAACGAGCCGAGCATGCGAGTTGGAATTATCACTGGCAAGGGACCCAAGGCCTTTTGCGCTGGCGCCGACCTTCTAGAGCAGCGTGATATCAGTCGCGGTGACGAGGCCAGACCCGAGATAGGCGCCGAAGGCGGCTTTGCAGGGCTGAGTCAACGACGAGGAAAGAAGCCAGTTATTGCTGCGGTGAATGGTCTGGCACTAGGCGGCGGATTTGAAATCTGTCTGAACTGGTTCGTGCATGATAGTGATTATTGCGACCATTTTTGAATATATTGGTTACCTTGCTAATCAATGTTCCATTCCGTGTCCAGTGACTTGATTGTTGCCTCCCCTAAGGCTGAATTCGGTCTACCCGAAGTCCTTCGCGGGTTATACGCTGGCGCTGGCGGACTGTCGCGTATTGTTCGCGATTGTGGAATGCGAATTGGCAGTGAGCTGGCATTGACTGGACGTCGAGTACCTGCAGAAGAGGCGCTGCAGTTGAGATTGATCAACCGGATTGCGAGATCTCCAGAGTCGGTCTTGAATGAAGCCATAGAACTGGCCAAGGATATCGCTAGCAAGTCTCCCGATGCGATCATTGTTTCTCGGTCGGGCCTCCGAGAATCATGGGAAACGGCTAGTACGATAGAAGCCGACAAGATCACGGCAGAAAGATATGGTAGAGGGTTGCTGACTTCGGAGAATTTGAGAATCGGATTGGAGGCCTTTGCAGCAAAAAAGCAGCCCCAGTGGGTGGCCTCTAAGCTCTAGAGATGAACCTGGGTCTATCATATTCGGTCCTATTTACTTGTGTATAGATATATTCATCTTATCTCCAAATGTTGCAAACAAGCCAGAAAGGTGAACTAGTTAGCATCAAAAACTCTTCAAAGCTATTTACAGATTCTCTCATTCATGCTTGCCGCTTTATATTTTGGGCCCCAGAAATTTGAAAGTGTTTCTCCCGGTCTCTTGGTCCCAGTTCACCCAGATGGACTTTCCAACGTGCTCGCTAGATGAGCCAAGGTCCTTCAAAGTAGAACCATCAGTTGTGATGGTGATAAACCGAGAGCCATTCTCGTCCAAGCGACCCAGTACAAAGCCCGCTAGGGGCGATCCATCGCGATCGTATTGAACCGTGTATGTCTATTCATCATATCAGCCTCGCGCACCCTTAAATTGACTCGTAAAGCACCACTCACCTCAATTCTCGCGCTCCCCTGCGCACTCTCGACAATAGGCGGTTGGGCATCGCTGATATGCTGTGGAAGAGGGTTTCGATTCGGATAAGGGGCACCGTCGCCTCGTGGCTCTCGAGACAGACACACTGCATGATGATGCGACAGAACGCCGCCGTTGGCGAGGACGAGGCCAATACGTCCATTACGCTGCCGGAGCTGGCGTACCATCTCCGTGATTGCCTGGTTGAATTAGTTCCGAGCATTCAGAGCAAGTCAAGTTTCGGAATCAGCATACATGCATGGAGTAGTTGTTACCCGCTCCGCCAAAAGAAGTGAGGCCTCCAAGTAGAGTCGTCGGTCTCTTGCCGCCATAAATTGGAATACCCAAGTGCAGAGAAGCCAATTTGGGAACTATTGGAAAGCATCTGTGTCCGTCAGCAGGAAATTCCCTTTGACAAATGCGCCTTGTTCTCACGAATAGAAATCAAATAGATCAATATCGTCGGTCTTAACATTCGAGACTGCTAGCGTCGCATCCAAACAGGAAGACAAGCTCCGGCTGGAATGGAATGAGCTACGTTCCCAGACTATTTGCTCTCTGGTTAGAAGTCTTTCACAGAAATCTTGTTCTCTACGATCCGGTTAACTCACAATGCTCACGGTCATGAGTTCCCGCGCCTCCAAGGGGAAAGATCAATTGAGACTCGGGGATTTTAAGATGGCGGGAGTGCTCAAGCGAAGTGATGATACATGCAGCCGACATGTTGACATTGTTAAAGGCGTTCATAACCAGAGGGTCTGTTTCTAGTCAGCAAAACAGAAGGATAGCACTTTGTGGCTTATTTGGACGCTTACATGGCAAACAGATCATTCGGTTTCTTTTTGTGATCTTGCCAATAGCGTCCGCTGTGTCGGGCTCTTTCCCGTGACCCCAGGCAATAGGGTTCTGTGCTGCTACGCGCGCATATCCTGCATAGAGTTCACTCGACTCGCGATGATTCTCCGCTAGACTCTGTCCCCGATGCGCACGGAGGGCAGCCTCGTACATCGGATACACCTGCGTGGGTAGACCGAGTCCATAGTTGCTGGCCAGATCTAAAATATGGTTAGCATTTGTTCACTGTATGGAAAGGACAATGGCAATATCCCATACTACTCTTGCGTTTCCGTTCCCAGATAGAGGTAGTATCATCCACATGGGTCCAACCCGGAGGGGGGAACCTCTTTGCAGCCTGGAATGCGCCCACTATGTGCCAAATGTCAGCCAACAGTTTTGAGTACAACAAATTTCTTTCCGATGTAAAGGGAGGCATACATGATGCAAGGGCTTCTCCGCCGGTGACAACGGCGACTTTGGTCTCCCCACTAGCAATGCGCCGGCAAGCTTCATCGAACAGCTCTGCGGGCGCATTGCCACCATGCTCACTTTCATGAAGATAAGTAGCTTGGCAACCTAATCTTTCGACTAACAGCTCTGGGGTATTTGGATAAGGCCATGTCCAATTAGCCACGACGGAGATGCTATCAATGTCCCGTTGGAGAGTCTGGGCATCTTCAGCGGATATTCCAGTATCTTTCAAGGCCGCTGCAATGGCCTGCAACATAAGCTCTAAAGGCTCGACTGCATCTTCCAGGCGAGTCGAGCGGTTCTTGATGTCGCCAACGCCGACCACGACGGGAATAGATGTTGACATCATCGACGCCATATACGGATTACAGCGACTTCACAATTGAGTGTACGTACGGGCCGGTGCGACTAAAGGCTAATATAGCCTCTTTCCCTCGCTTCTACCTTCGGCCTTCGGCTACTATTATAACCCTGTGGCGATGAACTTGGGTCCTGGTGGGGAAAAGATCGTCAGTACGTGATTATGGTCTCCCGTCGGCTGGCACGACGCAATATACCGAGGGTAAACGGCTCCCCCTCAATAAGTTCCGGGGTTACCCCAACCATGGGAAACCCTCAGACTTCACATGACTAATATTCATATGAACTAATGTTTACTAACTTAACTAAGTCACTTAAACAGCTAGAAGTACTTAAAGCGAATCCGCTTCATTATTGAACTGTTCTTGTGTCTGTGGGGCTCCTGAGGTAACTACATATAAGCTATTTCCTTAGCCCGGGTAACTCTCTGGGCTGGCCAAATTGGCAGAGTCAAAACGACATGTTACCAGTTACTAGTTACTAGGATACGACTACATAGTATATTGAGTCTCCCCACACCCGCTTTTGGGCGGATGGTGGAATGACCTCCATGTTATGTTACACACCTTAAGAGCCGAAGTGTGAAGGCGATGCTGAAACTAGATGCTAAAAATCAATATACGAACCAAGCTTGGTAGGTCTATATCGCTGGATTTCCATGGTTGATTTGCTTCCCGATATAGTTATTCTAGCTATTGTCAAGCTACAGACGCATGGGAGGCCATGAAAGCTGGACTCGTGTACAATGATTTACTCGACTAAGATGCCACCTGTTACTCTTGGAGATTCCGTTGAAGATTACTACAAAAGCCTTCAGACACATTGTCAGCGTATTGTTCAGTAAAACTCTTTGTCAAACTCGTTGATATGCTAAGGAGAGCGACAAGGGCCTTCCGCAAGTAATCAGCATAGCACTACACCTGGACGAGATCAAAGATGTTTTATTTTGCAGCCTCGCTCGTGGATGGGAATACACTATCTCCTCAATAGGTCTCGCAAGAGGAAGCAGCGTAATTTGTAAAATTGACTGCGAGGCTGAGGTATTTCCGATGCAGATTATCCACCAGGCATATTAGCTGGCGGGCTCATCGATCGGACTCGCCGAAGAACCAAGTCCATGCTGTATCAGCCTTAGCGTGGGATAATGAATTGTGAGAGATTATAATGTCACTGAGAAAAGACAATCACTTACGATCGAGCTGAATTCCACGTCTAATAGAGCTGAATCAGAGAGGTCTTTCAGCTCAAAAGACATTTCCCCACGTAATCACATGATGGCTGGACGGCTCAGGTGGGGGCGAAACCACTTGGGCTTTCTTTGGCCTCTCACAATACGGCATACTGAGGACCCGATCTGGAAAATATTACGCATCCGGCTCTAGCCTTTGCTCATTATACACTTTTCTAGAAGCAGACCAAGCCAAGACAGCTCTATTCATGGGCACGTGAATCCAGACGCCTTGAAGAAGATGGGTGGTAAACCTTGGTCATCGGCCGGTTGCAGAACATGCAAAAAGCGCAAATTGAAGGTCGGTGGGTTTGAAGACTTTGAATATATGGACTCTTTCTTATTTAAATCTTCAGTGTGATGAGCAAAAACCCCACTGTGCTCGATGTATCAAGCGTGGCATTGAGTGCCTTGGGTACATCGACAGGCGGATATTTATGCATCAGGCTTCCATGCTACCAGAGAGACAACACAATGATACGCGAAGGCCTACAAATTCGTTTCAATATTCTCGTCGGGCACGAGAGTTTATTTTGCCTGTGACACCGAGCGCTAGTCCTGCGATACGTGTGCAGTTATCTTCGTCGTTTCTCAACACATATTTCCCCCACCACATGGAAAAGATTGCTGGAAGTGACTCTTGGTACTCTTTGTTCAACAGCTGGGTGTCGCTCCCGAGTAAGAATGAGCTCTTTGACAGAGCTCTGTCCGCTCTGTCTTGTATTTGTCTAGGCAGGACAAATCAAGACCGAGGGCTTTATCACCATGGCCTTTTGCAGTATACTAAAGCAATACGACTCCAATCCAACATGATTGACCGTGGACTGTGCACTGAAGAGATGTTGTATTCCGCACTGGTATTTTTAGAGATTGAGGTAAGATCATGGCAAATTTGTGAAGCGAATTGGACTGACACCGACTAAACTAGAGCTACTCGTGTCCCGAGGGCATGGAAGGGTGGTATACCCATGCAATAGGGGCTTACGCGCTTATCAAAAGGTACCGTAGCACAGCGGAAACCTCGAAGAGTCCTGCAATGGTTTGTCTTTTGAATAGATTTGCGAAGCTTCTCATGGTAAGTTACCTTATTGCGATATTCAGGACGAAATTTAGTAATCATTCCTCCAGGTACTAATCATTTCATCACTTAATGTTTCGGGAGAGGAATATAAGCAGATTGTGCAGTCCTGTCGTGAAACACCTCTTGATGGATTGGTCAAGCTATACGCAGACTCTGCCATCATTGCACAAGCAGCCGACTTCATAAGTCCGCTCGACTATGGAGCGTGCCAGTTGCTGCTTCATCACAGCCTCGCTCATGAAAATAACATTATAGCATGGTATGAGCAGATCAAGGACGAAATTGGCGGAGCTCCCCAGGAATGCGCCGAAGACGAATTATTATGTAGTGGACTTGCTCGGGACGATGATCTGTTCGGGACTCCTTATCGGTTTGCTTCATTGGAAAACGCCAGGATACACATCCTGGTCTGGAACCTTCTACGAGATCTCCAGCCATACATCTACAAAGCTCGGATTCTTATAAAATCCCTTATACAAGACAATCTCCCCAATAACCAGCTCAAGTCCGAGAACCAGCAACTCGCGATTTACTATGCGGACCAAATGGCGCGGAGTGTGTTATACTGTGTGCAAGACGACTTCAAATCATGCGGTGTTCAATGCTTGATATTCTGTCTTTGCCAAACTGCTAAAACATGGATCGATGTGAAGAAAGCAGACAAAATTACCTGGTGTCAAGAAATTTTTGATTTCGCAGCGGGCTTAGGCTTTGACTATGCCAACCGTTTGAAGGAGACCATGATGTCTCAATGGATTCAAGCAGAACAGACTGATTCTGTCGCGCTTTCCCCCAACAAAGAGCTGACTGAGCGCGTTGGTGAAGAAAGTGATGTGGCAGGTGTATCGGAGTTGGCTGCACTTCCGGGTATGCTAGGGAAACCTTCCATGTCAGATGTACCGGGGCTTTCTAGCATGTCGCCGACAGCAAAACTGTCAGATGCCAGGTTTGCCGTAACTGTGCCCGTGCGAGAAAGGGGGAGTATTCAATGACCATGAAATGATGATCTCCGATGAACCAATATACGTTTAATAAATTCCACTTAAGCACCGGTATACCACCATTATGAATGAGTCAACCCACCGCCTGTTCAGTGAACAAGTCCTACCAGGCTTAAAAAATGCCCTTTCAGGAAATAGTATCTGTAAATTTGGTTGAGTCCAAATGCCGATCTACGTAAAATCTATTTCGGGGACGAGGTCAATGACCTTGTAAACTTGATTAAAATAGAGAACAACCCCTAAAATATGGTGTCGTGTGTAATAATATGTCATTAAGTCGTAAATGTGGTGCTCAAACAAAGACTCCATCAAAGATACACGTGCCAATGAAACTCAAGCAGGAAAACTGAGAGGCCCATCTTGAAAGTCGTATGGTACCACAGCTCAATTATGTTCACTCTTCCATCAGATGATATGCCTGAGCCGGGTCCATCAAAGCCATCTCGTTGTGGCCGGGTACCATAGATTCCATGTCATCGTCCATCTTGATTGAATAATCAGGGTGCATTGGCATTTCAGAGTCCAGCGTGGGCTGTGCCTCCGTTGGGAGAGATGCATTCGTCGTGCTAGCAAGGCTCTGATCGAATTCAAGACCGTAAATGCCAAGCGCGTTGCCTCCGGTGCCAATTTGATCAGACAGAAGGGCACGCTGCATGAAAAGTGCTTGTACCTGGTCCTCAGAACAACCGTGCTTGGCACCCATGTGCAGCCAGAGATCGTAGTCACGATGGAATCTGTGCTCGCAAGATTCATAGAAACAAGCGATATGGCGACCTGTTTCTTCAGCATAGCCCTGACCCGTAAGGGCTGTCAATGTCGAGATCTGGTGGGAGTTGCTTGGCGTTTTCGTAAGGCCAAGTCGCTCCCGCCGCTCTGCTTTGCAGTTCTTGAATCCCATGTGTGACGTGCGAACATGTTCCTCGAGGGCGAGCTTGGTGCCGTAACGCTTGCCACAGCCAAGACCGTCCCATCCGGTCACTTTCTTTGAGGTAGAGAGGTCTGTTTCGCCGCAGGCAAAGCGCTTTTCACCTTCGTGAAAAGTTCGAACGTGGACAGTCAGGTTGCCTTTTTTGGTAAAGCTGCGGTCACAGCCGTCAACAGTACAATTGAAAATCTTCCTGTCTTCAAGGCTTACGTCACCGTGCGCGACTTCGAGATGGCGACGTAATTCTCGAGAGGAGGAGCAAGTGATGGGACACTTCGGACATTTTGGAGGGTGTACCGTTCGAATATGAGCTTGTAAGAGGGCATAGGTAGGGAAAGTAAAAGACTGATCAGGCAGACTCTCAAGAGTATCCGCCTTCGAGGATTGCTCCTGGAAGCGCTCCAAGCATTCCGTACAGCTGAAACGCTTCTCAGTGTGAACTCGGCTCTTATGAGCGCGAAGATTACCAGCGGTGTCAAATGCCATTTGACATTGCTGCCCAGTGTGCTCATCGACATGAGTGCACGGGAACGGTTTCTGGTGCAAATGGACAGTTATAATATGCTTTTGGAGGGTAGAATGTTTCCGAAAAGTCTCGTCGCAAGGCGGGTACTCGGTACAGCGGTATTTGTCCCGACCATCATGCGCGGCGAGATGGCGACGAAGACGGGATCCAGTGACGAAACTCTTCCCACAGCCCGGGCGATCACAGACATAGTCCCGGATCCCCGTATGGGCACTCTTCACGTGATGCTGCAGATGCGAAGCACGTAGAAAAGTCTTGTCGCAGTTTTCGTGCGTACATTGGAACACTCGTTCATTATTATGCGACCGAATATGCTCTTGTAGTCGAGCAGGGCGGTTGAATGCTTTGTCGCATCCTTCGAACGGGCAGCGGCGAGTCTTCAGCTCGGAAGGGTATCGTGAAGACGTTGTGGAGATTGGCGTCGCAGGAGTGTCGTTCAAGTCATCGCTGATGAGGCTGGGTGTCTCTGATCCTGAGTATTCGGCGTCGGAATGCACTTCCTCGTAAATTGGGTCTGTTGCGGATTGTCAGCAAATGGACGGGTCTTATCGCAGGTCGGTATCGCCCTTTACCATCATGATCCAGAAGCGGCGGTTGTCGCCGTTTGGAGGGCGAGACCTCTTCTGTGGAGGTCTTTCGTTTCAAGGCCATGACTGAATGTTCCTCGGAACGACAAAGCCATTCACCATCAAAGTAAAGGATGGATGATGTCGTAGTGTTGGTGTGCAAATAAAATTATTTTGCCGATGCATGAAGGCGGTAAGGCCGAGAGCGGACTAGTGCAGTGGAAGATTTTCCGCCTTTTCTGCATCGCGAACCCTCACTTCTGGTCCTACACTCAGGGTTTCTCTCTCATTGATCCCCTCGAAGTTCATTCTTTACCATTCAACATGTCGGATTACGGCGGCGACAACGACGCTGAGGAGAAGTACGCTTTCCTTACCAATTGGAGCTTCTGAAGACCTCACGAACGACCCTTTTAGCTATTGGTCATCCCGGAGTCTCTGACAGCTTTGAAATGGAGAGGCGTGGGTGCTAACTCGATTTTTCCTGCAGCTACGATTTCGAGCCTCAAGAGGAGGTCTTTGACGAAAACGAGCCCGAGGATTTCCTTGACCAGGAGGGTCTCGAGGGTGACGATGGTGTCGAAGGCGAATCGTACGAACCCGCTGTCAACGGCGAGAATGTGGTCGTTTCGGGCGACCCCAACGCTGGATACTCGGGCAAGGTTATGGAACAGTCGCGCGAAAAGAAGGTTCCCAATGACAAGCGCACGACCACTCCCTACTTGACCAAGTACGAGCGTGCGCGTGTCCTCGGCACTCGTGCTCTGCAAATTAGGTGTGTTTACTCGGCAACATGGTCAAGGGTTACCATTTGGCGAGCAGATTTATGTGGGACATGCGTAGCTAATGTATCTGCGATGCAGTATGAATGCGCCCGTACTCGTCGACCTCGAGGGTGAGACCGATCCGCTGCAGATCGCCATGAAGGAATTGAACCAAAAGAAGATCCCTCTGATCGTGCGCCGGTATCTTCCTGACGGATGGTAAGGAGCCTCGATCGTTGATAACGGTACGAACTTGCCACTAATACAATCTAGGTACGAGGACTGGTCTTGCGAGGAGCTGCTTTAGACTGATACCACCCCTCCTTCCTGGGATTTTGGGATTATTTTTTGTTTTTGGGTGGATTCAGCATAGCGTTCGGAGTTTTGGAAGCCTAGAAACCGTGGCTCAGCAGAGATTCAGAGAAAAAAAATAGGCGCAATGCGCCGTGGACATGGGCACGAATTGTACATGAGATCTACAAAGACCAAAAAAATAGTAATGACGGTTTCTACATTTTGATCTGTGATGTCAAGCTCCCGTGCTTGATCAGCTGGCTTTCACCATCCATAAAAACTACTAGTACAAACCAGTAATATGGATATATCCGTCTATCGTGGCATACATACTCGGTGTACTTTGTACTCCGTTCATATCGGACATTCCTCAACCACGTGAGTTCGTGCATTTATCTCCGGGGAGGAGCCTTCTTACGCCGAAGTCCCACTTTTTCTCTTTAGCTCGCCCCCTCGTCCCTTCGTCCACTGCAACTTCACGGCTCTAAGGGACATCATGATTCGACCTACTAAGAGCTATCTGCGCCAGCCGCCAGGCATCGCACAGATCGGCCTCTGGGGCCCCCTCTCGCCTGGGTAATCGGCACGCTCCCCAGAGACCGTCATTGGTTACGATCTCTAGTTGACTGTGCTCGGCCTCCGAGCCAAGCAACATGGCTTGCCTCATCCTACCCCATGGTCAAGGCAAGTGGGTGCTGGTGGGTCACCCTTGCCTATAAGATGCTTCTTTTCGGGCACTTCCGCCCTTCGAATTGCTGCTTTATTTCTGCTGCCCCGCTGGCTTGCGACTCGGGGTTAGCCCGGGATTTACAGAATTTATAATCAGCGCTATGGATTTTTCTTTGCACTTCTTCAAATCCTGCGAGACGACTTTCGTAGCTTCTTGAGACTGTTTCTCTCCCTTTGTGCCTCCTTCACGGGCCCTCTATACCATCTGTTCTCGAGGGACTGACTCTCTCCCCAGAGCAACCGCCAGTGTCTGTCCGTTACGTCAACACGAAAAGATGGGTTCGACTAATCTAGAAATAGAGCAGAAGAAGGTCCTCGCAGACACTTTGGTCGCCAGCGATGAAGAGAACCCAAATTCTCCGGGGATCAGCTCCCCTGGTGAAAAGGAGCTGGAGGAGGTAACATACGACACGGGGCTCTTCTCATGGCTGCAGGTCTTGGGTTCGTTCTTTCTGTTCTTCAACTCATGGTATGTGGTTCCCCAGTAAAAGCGAATTCATCTTCAATACGAAGCATGTGCTGACATGAGTTACTAGGGGCGTGATCAATACGTGGGGTGCATATCAAACCTACTATGAGCAAGATATCCTGGCCGGCACTTCGTCATCCACCATTGCATGGATTGGATCCCTGCAGTCGTTCCTTCTGATGATGGTTGGCGTCATTACGGGCCCTCTTTTCGATGCCGGCTATTTCCGTGGATTACTCTGCTTCGCCAACTTCATGCTGCCCTTTGGGCTGATGATGACCAGTATCTCGACCAAATACTGGCATCTGATTCTGGCGCAGGGGATTTGCGTGGGACTAGCAGCCGGATGTCTGTTCGTTCCCTCGGTTGCCCTTCTACCACAATATTTCCGTCAGAAGAGAGGATTTGCCAACGGTCTTGCTGCCAGCGGTAGCAGCATCGGTGGTGTGATTTACCCTATCATGTTCAACCAATTGCAGAAGAAGGTTGGATTTGCCTGGGCGACCCGTGCACTTGGATTTCTCTGTTTCGGAACCATCTTAATCTCGGTGGGCATCATGCGCGTTCGGTTTGCGCCAAAGGAAAAGCGCAAGCTTTATCAGCTGTCTGCCTTCAAGGAGCCTGCATACTGTCTTTTTACTGGAGCAATGTTCCTGGGCTTCCTGGGATTCTACAACTTCCTTTTCTACGTCCAATCTTACGCTATCGATACGGGAATCGTGGACGGAAACCTGGGCTTCTACTTGCTGTCCATGCTGAACGCGGCCTCGACTTTCGGCCGAATTGGGCCCAACTTCCTCGCTGATCACGTTGGCCCTCTCAACATGCTCACTCCCGCCGTGACCATCACCTCCGTTCTGGCCTTTGCGTGGATTGGAGTTCACACGGTGGGTGGCGTCATCGCTCTTGCTGTCCTGTATGGATTCTTCTCTGGCGGGTTTGTCTCACTGCCTCCCGTGGTGATGGCCAGTATGACACCTGACGTGCGCGACCTCGGAACTCGCCTTGGAATGGTCTTCGCCGTTACATCCATTGGTCTCTTAATTGGTACTCCTATCGGCGGTTCCATCTTGGCTGACACAAACAAGTATCTTGGTGTCCAATTATTTACTGCCTGCTGCCTTGTTGCATCTGCAGGCCTCATGGCTACCTTGCGGTTTGTGCGATCTGGTCCTAAGCTGATCTGCAAAACTTGAGACTCGGTCTTCCCAGATCGATCCGTGAAGCATGATGCATAATAAGTCTCGAAAATGCGGCGTATTTGATGCAAGATCGAGTCCAGGTTCTCGTGATGTCTGCATGAGCCAGTCTCTGATGAGTCAACCTCGTCCAACCACAAATGAACCGAAGTACTCCGTCACTCGGGGGATCTAAAGAGCGGTCTCTTGTGCCCTTCAGGACCTATATGACGGTCTACGGAATAGCTACTTCCTATGAGAGCATGCCAAGTGCATATCTCAAGTACGCAGTCAAGGTCAGGGCAATCGACGACGAATACTCGCGAGGGCAGATCTAGGGTTCGTTGGGTGTCGTGGACTATGCCATGACATATGGCAACTTCTAAAAACAATAGCGTCTAAATAATGATACAAAATTAACACATTTAATACTATCGCTCAACCAATGAGGTAGATTGGTGACACGCAATTGCATAAGATGTCTGAACTAGCTTGTATGAGTTCCGATGGATTCAACCATGAATGAACCTTCTCTTTTTGTAACCGTAAATGCACCATTTTAGGTGCTCGTCATGTCATCCTGAATCATGATACGTCCTCGGGATGCACGAGGAAATCTTCGCCCTTATCGCGAACATGCTCCAACTTTTTGTCCCGACTACAGGGTTTCCGCATATCGAACGCATCTTCGCCATTCTCTGAAACACCCGATGGATCGTCGCTGTAGTAACTCACGACTCGTCTGAAGACCGAGTATCTGTAGGTTCTGTCAGCTTTCAAGTTCCTTCCCTTAATTTCCACACTTCAGTCTTGATGCTCAACTCACCCCATGCCCTTGTACATGTCCACCGCTACCTTGTTCCCTGCACGGACATAGAGATCCACGAACCAAGCATTATTGATATCAGAGCCTTGCTCCAGCTGCTCGGTCAATCGACTGGCGTATCCGAGTCGGCGCCAGGCAGGCGCAACGGTCAGGACAGTGATATGGCCGTGCCATGGGGTGTAGTGTTCGGACTGCTTCATGGAGGGGTGTTGTTCTTCAAGCTTGCCCATGACTATAACCTGGTTAGTATGATGTATCCCACGAGCTTTGAGGTCTGATAAAGGTCCATACTGTAGCCCACGACCCCCGCATCGCGGTCCTTCACCGTGCTGAAAAGTGACGGCCATTTTGTCAGATAGTTGAGGTAGAAGCCGAGGTCATAATTCTCGGTCAGCGGGTCCAGATTCGTCAGATTCAGGCTCAAGAGGTCCAGTGGGGACATGCGCGTAATGGTACTCATTTTGTCGCTGGTTTGTAGAGAGCTTGCTGCTCTGAAGAATAAATGTGGGGTCGGGCGTTCAGGACGCGATTTCTGCCCGGCGGTGTGTGTTCGAACCATCATTGATCGATGAAAGATACTAGGAACTTTAGGAAGCGAATATCATGCTGCTAGGTACTAGCTTCTGAAGACATGTTATCAACTCAGCCGACTCAAACTTCAATTTCCACCAGAGCTATTTGTTTCACAAGAAGAAACAGATATGAGAATGAAGTGGCTGCTAGATATATTCAAGTGAGATATGAATAAACAGAGCTTCTGATCATAGTTAATCGCGGTGCTGACTGCGAACTATTTGACGTGACTATGCACATAATTCTTTCTGCTCATTAATGGAAATCAACATTGAACGCTAAGAAGCATCTGGGTCCATATCTAGTACAGTAAATTTACAACCCAGACACAACGGTAGAAGAATCGATACCCATCGATCTAAATGGACCATTTGCATGATCTTTTGCATGGATAGTCTATATTAAATATAGCGGCAACTCAGTTTCCGAAGCTAGAAACGTTCAAAACCTCTGAATCTTAATAATGCAGCTTTCTTTGTTTTCGTTCTTTGATGGGGATTCCTTACTATCTTACCAAACATGCTTAGCAAGATAAGTCCTGAAATATCTCTCAGGGCTATCTGCAAGTGATACTCTCGAAGTTCTGTTAGAATCAGATTTTGGGTCGGTCATCACTTACCCCACGATCACAAGGCCCATCTCATCATCTCGTATATCAAATTTCAAACCCCCAATCAAAGTGCATACACATTACTTATTTCTAGCTTAGATGTAACCACGAGGGTACCAGCATGACGGTAGTACACATCCAGCGCACCGGGGTTTCCCCCGCAAAGCGCGATGAGAGACTACACCCTGCGTATGCACGATGCCGATCCAGTCCCAAGGGAGCCCGAGTCAGTGGGCTCGGGACCCATCAGCTGTTATCCTAACATCACTCCACTGCAAGTCAACGCCGTGACTGACCGAGCCAGCCTCCAAACACCGACGATATTCGAAGGACAAATTGAGTAATCCATGCCGAGTATCGGCGCAGCCCGTAGATACTGGCGGATGGCGCGGGCTCGGGTCACGATGGCATCAGTCGGGCGAACAAGACCAAAGTACGCGACCCAGGACGAGGATGGTGTGCTGCGTGCTGCGTGCTCAGCTGAAGCTGAACTAACCAGTCGACCGTGCGCCGGGGGCCAAGAGAGACAAATGAGCTTGTTCGGTGTCGTGATCAGGGTCGCATGACGAGTAAGCTTATTCGTGTTCTTGCGGAGCCACGAGGGAAAAGAAAAGACAAAGATGGAAATAGGATGTAGGAGTTGTTTGATTCTTCGATGCCGAGGATATTTAGTCGAATCGTAGCATGATTATTCTCCTAAAGCTCATATGTTTGGGGGCCGTTAGTATAAGCCACGACCACATTTCCTTGGTTGCGTCAGCCACTCGCTACCGCCGTGATAGAGTGAGCATATTGATTGTATACCCTCGCTTCGACGGACCCGAGGACTGGGAAGCCCAACGCCCTCGGCGCGACGCACCTCGACTATAACTTTATAAAGTAAAAAGTCAAAAGCAAAAATTCTGATCATCCACATTCCTAAGAGCCCAGTTCCCGCGGGTCGCCATGAGCTAAATCTAATTTGGGATACACCATTTCATCAAGAAATCACATCATCAACAACCCACCCAGCCGACAGCATCGTCCACCAAGCTCCGCAGGACTAAGCCAGATACAGGGATGACATGCAGGCTTTTTGAAAGATAATCTGAATATCATTATTGTCTAACTTCTATTTGTTTCAAGTTATGGACTGCAGCCGCGATAAGCTGTATGACGCGATTTCGATCTGGATGGCGACTTTGCTGTAGTAGACACGAACCTGTCGGACGGCGCATGTTGCAGACATCGTGCATAGGTCCGTCCCGTAGGAAAGAGTACGACAGAGCTCTAACGCCCGTTGTGACCGATGTCTCCGAGGCCCCACCGTTCCATGTGTATCCACCGCCTATGTTTGAAGGATAATTTTTGTTTGGAAATGTCGTATGTTTCGAGATGGGGCAAACGGTCTATGGTGGCAGAAGGGGTTGATGAGGATATTAGAATTGTACATGGAGGGATCGAGGTGTCAGAGCTACAGTATCGTAATCTCGGTAGGCAGTTCAATACTTTCTGTATGAACTAAAATAGTTATAGGGTTTAACATACTACAAGAATAACTACATACAACATAATTGAGGACAGAGTGTGTCCATCCCGTGAACATCAAATCAGGTGACTTCCGGGCCTCAACCTAACAAATAGAGTAGGGCCAGTCAGGGCCCCCGAGTCCACCCCTGCCAAGCGCCGAGTGGTCGACTTCTTGTTGCTTTTGGCCTTTTCGCCCGTGCTTCTTGCTTTTGTCATCTTGGACGCATCAACGGGGCCACTAGGGCAGGGCCCCGTGTGGGTCACCGTGTGCGTACGGAGCACTTCGTAGAGAATCCCTTCACAAGGAAAACGATACGAGGGACAGATTAATGTTGGGGCTCCACGTAAGTTCGGGATAGGCGAGTTTGACAAGAGAGAATATGGAATAGCACTGCGGAGATTACCGTAAATGTATCGGTGACCTGTCCTAAGTCCGAATAAGCCCTTCAATTCCCGATTAAAATTATTCAGCAGTCTTTTTCATGGTCAGTGAAAAGTCAGAAAGGAGAAAATAAAAGAAAACGAAAATTCATCAAATCAGGGTGGCTCGACAGCATCAGGCGAATTCGACTTCCACGATGGATCTTTCACCATCGGCGCGGGAGATTTCACCATCGCACGAGCCGCTGATTGGCTCTGAGGCCCCGCCGTCGATCGACGTCGTGCGCCTGCGTGGCCTGATTCGTCATGGGCGGGCGGCTTGGCAGGATTATGTCAGCCCACGCGGTTAGAGTTTTGAGTTTGGCAAGATTAACTAACCCGGCAAGAGTCTACACTACTGTATCACAGATCGGATGGATCATGGACGAGAATCCTGCATGAGTTGTACTGTAGACTAGAAGAATCAAATAGTAGAAAATCCATACGATTTTATGAGCAATTTAGAATGTACAGACCTCTTGCGTTGTATACTACTACACGGTTGTCTCTCTCGAACGGTACTCTCCTCCGCTTCCCCCCCGGGAGCGGACTCTCTGCTCCACGCTCCGTCGTCATCAGAACCCGTCGTTTCCTGTCCGCTTCCAGACTGTCCTCTTGGTTCCACCCGCCACTTCCTGCTGGGAAGTGCGATCTTCGGTCTATCGGTGGGCCAGAGCCCCTCCCCACGAGGGCCAGGACGCTCGTTTCATTCATATGGGGAGGGTCCTGCTCAAGATCCGTTTTTGACTTCTTCCCATCATCTCGGGTCTTGCAAAAAGCAAGCATATAGAGGAGCCTTTGGACTCGTGCAGCGCCCGCCGCAGTACGCTAAACTAGCCTCAAATTCTCCCTCGAAAAAACCCGTGTTGAGAAATCTGGGGGATTTTGATATTACGCCATCGGCTCCCGAATCACGCACAACGCCTCCACTCGGCCTTGGTGTGCCCCCTTTGTGATATTTTGTCGTATTGCCTTGCATTCTCGTTCTTTTCTTTTTCTCTATCATCGTCGGGCCTGGTCGCCATCCGCAGTGCGTGGTTGTCAAAGTTTAAACACGCCCCGGCCTTTATATTCTGGATCGTCGCCACGTTCTAGAGATCCTGTCAAGCAAGTTCTCGACTATCCCGGACACACCCCCCGTCCTCACCTTCTCGAAGACCGTTCGGGCCTAGATCTGGGTCTGCATCCTGCAATTGGACTGAATCTTGATCTTAACGTCGTCTCTCTCCGAGTGATATAATCATCTCTCGAGTCCACCCTTTCGTCGGCGGCCATCATCCACACCATTCACAACATGGCTGGTGGTGAGCGTGCCACTAAGGTGGGCCATGCCCTCGCCAAGGGCCTGGGTATCAAAGTCGCCTACCGTGACCCTCTGGGTGCCGTGGCGGACCCCGTCACTCGCGGCGAGTCGACTTTCTCAGTCGGCACCGTTGAAACCTATTCTTACTCCGAGCCTGAGCCTACCAGCATCGAGTGGCTCCGCGAGATTACGCCCACGGGCCAGCAAGTGCTCAACTATTTCATCAGCCTATTCCCTTTCCTCCGATGGATTGGCCGGTACAACGTGCAATGGCTGATCGGTGACTTGGTTGCTGGTAAGTTGGTGGACTGCTACCAGTTGCTCTCAAGATTCTGAAGTTGATGATTCTGGAAACAGGTATCACCGTCGGCGCAGTTGTCGTGCCCCAGGGTATGGCCTACGCTAAATTGGCTGACTTGCCTGTGCAATTCGGTCTCTATTCGTCTTTCATGGGTGTCTTGCTCTACTGGTTCTTCGCTACTTCCAAGGATATTACTATCGGAGTAAGTTTGTCTCTTTCTTAAAATAAGTCACCTGTCGCTAATCGGTCTGCTCTGCAATATTAGCCCGTGGCCGTCATGTCTACTCTGACCGGCACAATTGTGCTCGAGGTCGCCGACAAGTTGCCTGATGTTCCAGGCCATGAGGTGGCCTCCTGTTTGGCGGTCATCCTGGGTGGTATCGTGTGTGCCCTGGGTCTGCTTCGGCTCGGCTTCATCGTTGATTTTATCCCTCTCCCCGCCATCTCGGCCTTCATGACGGGCTCTGCGATCAATATCTGCTCGGGCCAGGTTACGACCCTGCTGGGCCAGACCACCACAGTCAACACCCGCGGTGCGACTTACAGAACCATCATCGATACTCTTAAGGCTCTCCCGAGCTCGTCCCTCGGTGCGGCTATGGGTGTCACGGCCTGTGCGATGTTGTACATGATCCGTGCCGGCTGCACCTACGCCGCGAAGAAGCAGCCACATCGCGCGAAGACTTGGTTCTTCATCTCGACCTTGCGCACTGTGTTCGTCATCCTGTTCTACACTATGATCAGTGCTGCTGTGAACATCCACCGGAAAGATAAACCCGCGTTCAAGCTACTGGGCCATGTGCCTCGTGGTTTCCAGAATGCCGCTGTGCCGAAGATGAACACCGAGGTCATCAAGGCCTTCCTTCCCCAGCTTCCCGCCGCTGTGATCGTGCTCCTGATTGAGCACATTGCTATCTCAAAGTCGTTCGGCCGTGTGAACAACTACACTATTGATCCCTCGCAGGAATTTGTCGCCATTGGTTTTAGTAACCTGCTCGGCCCCTTCCTGGGTGCTTATCCTGCTACTGGATCTTTCTCCCGTACTGCCATCAAGTCCAAGGCTGGCGTTCGCACCCCCTTGGCTGGTGTCATTACCGCTGTTGTGGTGCTGCTTGCTATCTATGCTCTCCCCGCCCTCTTCTTCTACATCCCCAGTGCCTCTCTTGCGGGTGTTATCATTCACGCTGTCGGTGATTTAATTACTCCCCCCAACACCGTCTACCAGTTCTGGCGGGTTGCCCCTCTTGATGTCATTATCTTCTTCATTGGTGTCTTCGTCACTATTTTCACGTCCATTGAAATCGGTATCTATTGTACCATCTGTGTGTCGCTGGCCGTCCTACTTTTCCGTATGGCCAAGGCCCGCGGCCAATTCCTTGGCCAGGTCAAGGTCCATTCCGTGGTCGGCGACCACTTGCTGGATGGCGAGGGCAAGTATGGCTCCTTTGGTGCCACCCGTGCTTCCTCGGAAGACGACGACCACGCTCATCGGTCTATTTTCCTGCCCGTCAACCACGCCGACGGCTCCAACCCCGACATCGAGATCGAGCAGCCTCATCCGGGTATATTCATCTACCGCTTCTCCGAGGGGTTCAACTACCCCAACGCCAACCACTACACCGACTACCTCGTGCAGACCATTCTAAAAAGCACCCGCCGGACTAACCCGCATGCCTTCAACAGGCCCGGTGACCGCCCCTGGAATGACCCCGGCCCGCGGCGCGGCACGGAAGACGCTGATGTCCACGACGAGCGCCCTCTTCTGCAAGCCGTCATCCTGGACTTCTCCTCTGTCAATAACGTGGATGTCACTTCGATTCAGAACCTGATCGACGTACGCAACCAGCTTGACCTGTACGCCTCCCCTCGCACCGTGCAATGGCACTTTGCCCACATCAACAACCGCTGGACCAAGCGTGGCCTTGCCGCCGCCGGCTTTGGATATCCTACTCCGGCATCTAGTGAGGGCTTCCACCGTTGGAAGCCAATCTTCAGTGTTGCCGAGATCGAGGGCAGCTCTTCTGCTGCGGCACACGCCGAAATGGTCAACAACGAGCGCGAGCACAACCTGCACCACTCCAAGGATATTGAAGCCGGCCTGAAGGATGAGTCCGCTACAACTGCGACCGAGACCCATGGTATCGAGACCTCGTCCGAGGATAACCAGCCCATTCACGAGGACAAGCTCTCCCGTGATTTGACTTCTAGCCACGCTTACAACAACCGTCGCAAGGTTGCCATTGTTCAGGGTATGAACAGGCCATTCTTCCACATTGACTTGACCAGTGCACTGCAGAGTGCCGTGGCGAACTCATCCAACGAGATCCCACACGTCTAAAAAAAAAAGGGAAAATTCCCTTCCCTCCTCCCCCGCCACTTCGTCGCTTCTTCTTATACCGACTTTCATGTCCTATTTTTGGGGCCCACCCACCTTTGCATTGCATATTACCTGCATCGTTCATGGATATTCCCTGGTTTGGAATTCCATTTGATATGTCCAGATATGACTTGTTAATATCTTTGCTCACTTTGAAATTTCTCTTTGGTTTGGGGACATCATCACACTCCCCCTTTTCTGGCGTCATTGCGTTGTTTTGAATCCAAATTACTCCGTTTGGGCTTGGATGGATTTGGACTATTACACAATTTTGCTGGGAATTTTTAATTGGGTATCTGATCTGCTTGGTTTTTACTCTTTTGTTTCGGATACATTCGATCTTACGATATCTTGGCATATCGATCTTGCTTGGCTTTGAGGCCGCTTGGAATACTTGCTAGGGATACCCTTGAACCTATAGAACGCGTTTTGACTGTTTAATCGATCTTACTGTATTCGCATTTCCCTCATCGTATGTCTGGCATTCAAAATCCTGGATATTGACATACTGTAGTCGTATATTGGTGTGGTGGTCCTTGAGTCTGCAGTCTCGACAGACCCTTGTAGGAATCTATCAAGTCATGCGCTGAAAGGGTCGGTAAACTGAGTATCTTGATGTGATCATTCGTGTGTGCATGGCCTTAGGCCTAGTATTTATTCTTAGTACCAGCCTACTTAGGCATCTATCTGGAATCCGACCTCCTTATGCCATCACTCAACTCAATTGCTTTGTTGAATGCGACTTCTTTCGTCAATGTTGTCGCTTCATACCTGCGGCCCACCTGAACGATTCAAGAAAAAAGATACCCCTATATTCATCTAAGAAGATCTCTCAGAAGCGAAAGAGTTGAAAGCATACATAGCAACATCTATCTACTTGATTCTATGTCTCTGCTCCCACACTAGCCAGGCAATGGGTCGCATTTCTCAAGTAGTGAAATGTTGTAGTAGTCGTTCACCACTTGATGACAGCTCTAGTTCAGGAGCGTTGCCGAAAAGCCTTCTCAGTGGGAGCCCACACAATTTGCAGGCAAAATTAACCTGGACATTTGTAGCTACGGCCGAGGATTTAAGAGGAGCTATAATGACTCCTTGTATAGCGCAAATTCCTTAAAAAGAGAAACTGAGGACATCGGACATTGCTTCGTATGCACAAGAACCTCGTGATATTCTGAGTAGTCATGGCCCAAGAATATGGTTTACCTAGGTCAAAGACGATGATTTTGTATTACCTTGGCGAGTTCCAACTCGAGTTGTACTTCGAGCCGAGGGCAAGGCAGTCTTCAAATGTGTGAATGTGTGAAATTGTTCCAACGGCTTAAATGGCAGCAGCTCAATTGGCATATCTCTTAGAGTCGAAGTTTAAATGCGACCCTCACACCGGTCTACCTTTCCTTTGCTTTGCTCTGACTTGGTATGATCATAGTCAACATTCACTACGATCTATACTCTCCTCGATCCAACAAGACATCTTCATTTTGCTCAATTCATTTCACAAGCCAAAGGCCCATTAACGTGAACTATCTGCCGAATCACCTCAAACAAAAAAGCAAAATCGGACAGAAAGATAACCACCACAACAATATCACCAGATTCCCTATTTAAACCTTTATCACCCGTCAACCCAAAACAGGCATAAAAACGACCTTACCCACTACCTCAAAACACCACCAACACCCGCCCACCCTAGCACAAATCCACTCAGCGCCTCACTCAGAACACCCCCACCAAACCAAACGTCTCTCCACCCACCCCGACGCAACACATACCCACCCCGCTTCCCATCCTTCTGCATACGTACCACGCCGCCATCCATACTAATGCGACCCTCGATCTCGCCGCCGCTGCTACCGGGGAAGAAAGCGCCAGCACCGGCGCCGGAGGAACGCTGTAGGATGACGACGTGGAAGAGGGCGGAGACGAGGACCGTGCCACTGAAGTAGAAGGCGAAGCCGGCGGTTGATTGGAGGGCAAGGATGCCGGCGGACAGGCCGAGGAGGAAGGCTGTTAGGGAATGGAGGGAGGATAGGACCTGGATATTTTTTGGTTGTTAGTTGATTGCGTGGGTTGAGTGGATAATGAGAAAAGGAGTAGTATTTCTAGGACGGTGGATGGTGTTGGAAACCATAAAGACGTACCCGGTTGTTATGCTGGACGGCCTCGGGAACGAGAGGATTTATGAGCAGGGAGAGCTCCTGCTTTGTTGGGGCCATGTTGGTGGGCAGTTTTCGACCGAGCTCGAGGCTGGTCGATAGTAGAATCGTGGCAAGTAACGTTTCGTGCTTGTTTGCTTGTTGCTGGCGGGTTGAGGCAGTGGATGTGCTCGCAGGACTCGCTTCAGGGGCTGCGGAATCCGAGCCGACTTGCAAGTAAAGGGAATGATGGCTAGGCGACTGGGATTCGAGTATTTCAGGGGGTTGTGCCCGGTCACCAAGTCGCAATGGATGAAATTCGCTAGCGGGGGGTGGTGAGGCGAGGTTGCGCGGAGGTTCGGAGGTTGAAGGCGCGGGTTTCCAGAAGCGCACGGGCCATGCGGACTCGTGGAGTAATGAAGTCTACGCCGAACAACTAACATCACTGCCATCTCCAGGCCATCATTAATGGGAAGGACATATACACAACCAATCTCATGCCCGAGGAAACCACAAAAATAAAATCATGTTCATATCTACGATTAGCCCAGCCATTTTCAATGTTCAGTAGCCCGAAGTGTTCCCTCCTCATGAAGCCGTTACTTGAAGACATCACTGCGTTTGATACATGCCGAATCCCACATCCATCGTATTAAGGTGAACAAAAGATCACAGAACGAATGAAGCAAAAAAAGAAAGAAGAGAGAAGAGAAGAAGAACAGGGGACAGGAAACCAAAAGAAAAGAGAAAAAAAAACCATCCACATATGATGGGAACGCGAATGCCAATCATATGATATCGCTGGGCAAAGAGATTGGAGCCAGACAAAAGAAAATTCCTAAGCCAAGCTCCATGCCATACTCCGAATCAAAATCAGAATCACATTTACGAGAGACTTTCGAGCTTGCCGTCTGCACGGGCCTCTCGGACCTGGTCGAAGACCTAAGGGTGAAGATAAATTAGTTGTCTGAAATGGGACCCTGAGAGAATTAACTAAAAGTATGCAGTTACTCACCTTGAGCATCTTGTTCCTCGCACCCAGTGCGTTGACACCACGGTCCTCCAGGGCCTTGTCGTCGAGCTCGACCAACTCCGTCCATTTGAGATCCTTCAGGTTGTCGGTATACTTGTGCAGCCGAAGGGATCGCAGCCAGCTGGGGATGTCCCCCAGAAGAGCTGGGTCCGTGGGGTCCTCTGGCGGCTTTGAGCTACCACGACGACCACGCGGCGACCGTCCACGGGTGACCTCCGAATGGTCAGACAGGTAGCCCTCACCACCCAGGCCGAACTGACCAATGCCCAGCGAGCCCAGTCCGTTGCCCATAAGCGGGTTGTTCGGGTCGTAAGCAGCAAGGAAACCATTGTTCTGAGGCGAGGTGAAGCTCATCGCACCGAGACCACCGCCCTGCATGGCAATGCCGGGAGAGGTCGGGCGAGATCGTCGTCCTGCCATAGCGGCTTGCTGCTGAGCCTGCAACGCCGCCAATTGCTGAGCGTTGAGTAGCTGGCTGGCCATTGAGCCATGCAAACCGGGGCTGTGCAAGCCCTGGGCGATGGTTGGGTTGGTAATCGAGTTTTTGCCCTGGCCGTCGTTAGAGCGGGCCCGGCGGTACTTCCGAGCATCATCCAGCGCAATGCGGTTGTTTACGGTAGACAACGCAGCCAGCTTCATGGCAGTGGCATTTGCCACCATGTCAGCCTGGGAGTTTGGCCCATTGGTCTGCTGCCCAAAGGTTGCGGTCATTGGAGTGTTGGTCATAGATGCCCAGCTGTGATTCCCAACATTGTATGGCGAGAGCAATGGGGGCTCGATTTCGGGCGCGGGAATCGTGGCAGTCTGAGGCAGAGGAGAACGCATGCCAGACTGGCTGAATTGACCCATGGGCTGATGTCCAGAAGAAGACTTTGGTCGGGCAATTGGGGGCTGAGCATCCGAGAGACCACCACGCTGGCCCCATGGCGAAGCTGGAGGCTGACCTAGGTTGTCCGAGCCGTTGTCGGGGGCGGAGATGGTTGGTGCAACGAACGAGGTGCGGTCACCGAAGACCGCACTGTTCCGGTTTGATGGAGGAGCATTGCCCGTCTGCTGGGTGAACTCTGCCTTCTTCTTTGCGATAGCAGCCGCGGCATCCGGGAACATGGCATTAATAGTAGAGGAGTCGAGACCCGAGTTGCGCTTCGCACCCGGGGAAGGCGGGGGCCGGCCCAAAGAATTACGGGAGGTGTCCATATTGAGTTTTGACATCGCATCGCTCAAGCGGCTAGACATAGGATCTGAACGGAAAAAAGATCATGTTAGTGATGCACTTTTAAGGTGGATGGAATTATGCAGGATAGAGCTCTGTTCGTTTTTACCTTTTTCACCAAAGTTGGCCGGAGAAAGCAGCCCGGACATAGGGTGGCTCTGGGACATTTGCTGCAGTACCTGGATGAAGAATCGAATCTGCACCTGGGTAGTCTGTTGCAACAAGGCATACAGGGCTGCCGTCCGCTCCGCCTCGCTCAGAACACGAAACCACTGCTCGATAGCGCTGAGCTCATCCTTGAAGTCTTGGTCGAGAGTGGCAGCGGCCATCTCTTCCAAGGTTGTCTCATACTGATCGATATCCGCCAACCACTGCTGAGCGGCCCGGTCCAAAGCATCCTCCGTTGAATTCTGACCTTGAGATTGCTGGTTGAAGAAAACTTCGGAGGACGGGCGCATGCTGCGGGAGGACAGCGGCGAGGGAAACCCAGACATATCAGCGGATGCCCGCAGCTGGTGCGATCCGAGGTTGCGAGCAGATGAGGGGGGACGCAGGGTAGAATTCGGAGCGGCCTCCGGGGTGCTATTGCGGTTGCCGATCATATGGTTGGCCATGGCTCACCGGGAGGGTGGGACGACGGGGGAAGTTGCAAAGGCGAATAGTAAATACAGTGGAGGCTGGGTTGGAAAAGATTACTGCAAAACACCTGCAGCACCTGCTGAGTTTGCGTAACAAAATAAGAATCAAAGATCCTGATGGACCCAGATGTGAAGATTCAGAGTCGATGTCAAAAAGAATTGTGAAGCCTATTCCTCGAAACTAGGCGACCACAGTTGGGCGGGCACAGACCAGGCCAGTGGGCTGCACCTTTGGGGAGTTTTGAAAGCGTTGTGGATTGGGGGGTGGAAAACCAGACACCAAGGCTCCGGAATATTAGGCGGGGGGTGGATTCGAACGAAGGAAAGTCAGGGACCAGGAGGCAATAGTGTGTCAAACACAACAAGCCAGGCCTCGTACCCAAAAGAAAGTAAAAAAAAAAACAGGGGGAGGGAGGAGGGAGGAGAGAGACGGAGAGAGAGAGAGAGAGAGAGAGAGAGAGAGAGAGATGAAAGTTGGGGATGGTGGAAAAAGGACGGAGGAGGAAGTGCGGCCGCCGAAGAGGCTTTTCTGTTTCAGGGTCACGGGGTTCTGCAACGCAAACTCCGGGAATGAGGGAATGAGGAAGCGTCAACTTTGACATTCCTTGATTATCAACGTTGTCTGATAATCTTTTGACCTAAGTCTGCCCAAACCGGCGCTTTCTTTTCTGATTCATCCATTGCATCGCTCCTGGTGGAGCTGTTACTATGAATAAGCAGGGCCGCTGCACCTGAAACGCCTGGAGAGAGACTCGGTGCCGCGCCTTGACTATACGGTCTGGGCCCGGTCCCAGCGCGCTGGTTCTTCACGCACGTTGTCTATCAGTGACATTCGGGTGACGTGCCAAAAGAAGGCATCAGTACAGTCGCTGTCACTCACTTACAGCTCACAGAAGAATTATTTCTTCTGTATCACGTTTCAAAAACTCTGCTTGGATGGTCCACCGGACCGTTGTAGCGATATCGCCATGGCTGACTCGGATCATCCCATGGACTATGCTTCTCCTTCAGAAGAGCCGTATACGTCGTACCCGGACATCGACGAGTCCGTTCAGTATCCTTGGCGGGAGAATGATGCTCTTGCCGCTCAGGGCAATCCTGCCGATCCGGTGATAGACCCGCGCTTATATCAGGATCTCTTCGCCCAGAACTCGCCCCAGCACCCTGTTCATGAAGCTGGGGATCTGTCTGATGGTAGCCTAGCATCTATTCAGCAGGACTATGCAGACATCTTAGATGACGATGAGTCCGACTTTCAGCTTTCGGAGGAGGGAAGTGCCAGGTATGGCTCCATGACTGCTTTGTACGCAACGTTCTCAGATTGACAGATCTTACAGTGAGGAGGATGAGGAGCTTCTCGAGGAAGGTGATTCTGATGACTCTGGTGCCGAACGCCGTCGCCGTCGAGGCGGAGGGCGCTTCTCCGGCCGTTACGGTGCCCGCGGCGGGAAGGGTATCAAACGAGGACCACGCAAACCGCTGGATCCTGGACCGGAATTCAAGATGTTTCATTCAGAAGCCACGTCGGCTTTCATTGATGGTGATTACGATCGCGCCCACGAGTATGTGAACCAGGCGATCCAGATCAACCCTGAAATGTTCCCAGCCCATTCGCTGTTGTCGGAAATCTGGTTGGCAAAAGGAGATAACGTTCGAGCCTTGCAAGCGCTCTGGAACGGTGCTCACACTCGACCCAAGGACCCTACCGTCTGGATGAAGGTTGCGCGCCTTCTTCTGGAACGCGCTGGTGAAAGCCGCGCGAGTGCGTTGAATGATGTTATCTATTGCTACAGCCGTATCGTTGATATTCAACCCGGAAACTACAATGTTCGATTCCAGAGAGCAGCACTTTATCGAGAGCTTGGGCATAATGGCAAGGCTGCGAGTGAATATGAGCGTATTCTACACGACAAACCATACAGCACACGGGCTCTTCGACACATAGCAGAGATATTCATCGATCTCAACGACGTTGAACGAGCAATCACTCATTGGTCAAAAAGCGTCAACCACTTCCTGTCGCTTGACCCAGATCGAGTGCGAGATTTCTCCTGGTCCGATATCAACATATATGCGGAGCTTTTTGGATACGTGGGCCGGCCCAGGGAGGGGCTTTATCATCTCAAATCGCTCTCTCGATGGATCCTGGGTCGCAAGGATGACATTATGTGGGCGGATTTTGAGGACGACGATCGAGAATGGGATTCCCAGGACTCACCTCGCCGAATCAAAACCGACGGATACATCCCCGGTCACTGGCCGCGAGATAGCTATGGACTTGGGCTGCCCCTAGAGCTGCGGGTCAAAATGGGGCTGTTCCGGCTGAAGATGGGTGACAAGGATCATGCAGAGGCCATGGTAAGTTCGAAGCAGTACACCCGTATTGATATTGGAGACTTACGAATCTAATTACTGGACTTATCTAGCATCATTTGGAATATTTGAATCCCGATGATACCTCTGAGGGGGCTCGGATTTTTGACTATGGGGATCTTTTCCGAGAAGCCGCAGACGCGTTGAAAGAAGTTGGTTTGCTTGAAGAAGCTCTTCGATTCTATGAGCCAATTCAGCAGACCTCTGACTATGCCGACGTCGGCTTTTTCCTGGCAATGGCCGAGTGCTGTATGCAACTGGGCAAGGTAGAGGATGCAGAAAGCTGCTACCTCACTGTTGCGGACCACGATTCGAGTAACATAGAGTCTCGTGCACAACTAGCAAAGCTCTACGACAGCCTCGGAATGCCGGATCAGGCATACAAGTATGTTAATGAAGCTGTCTTGCTTAGCCGACAAGAAACCAGGACCCGTCGGAGAAGAAAAGATGCTCGGCTGGAACAGCTTGCGGCCGAGTTCAGGAGGGCAGAACCTGCGGCTCTTAGGCCTCTTGCGCCCAAACCTGGTCCTGTCGATGCGTGGACCGCGCCTACTCCCATCGAAACGGAGCCTGTGAAGCGAGGTGAAGCTGCCCGCGGAGAAGATATCAAATTCCTCTATGCAATGATGGAGCAACTAGAACCTAAAGTCAAGGATGGCAATGTTGAAGCCACTGAGGACTGGCTCGACATTGCCGATGCCTTGCTGCGCGAATTCCGATCAAATCGGATATTCTACCCCATGGCACGCACGACCGAATTTCAGGGTTATTCCACCCAAGCACAACGGCGGGCCAACGCATCTAAGAACGGTACCTTTTTGAATGAGATGGAAGAAATAGCGGGCCGTTTGCAGAAGTCGAGAGGTACGCTTTCATTGAATACTAAGTACCTGGTATCAGACTAACGGCAGGATGCAGGTGACGAGGACTATCAGGAACCTTTACAAGGTGTAGTTCCTACTGAATATCATGGAATTTCATTCGACACGTGGCTAGACATATTCCTTCAATATTCTCTGACCGTCACCGACCAGGGTGAGCCAATCGAGGCGTACGAAGCCCTCGAAGCTGCTGCGACCGCTAGCGTTTGGTTCCACGATAAGCGGAAGTCCCGCATGATTCATGTCTGTTGGTTTAGTGAGTACTTTGTCACATGATTTCCTTGTGCCTTCAACGCTAATACTCCTACAGCATGTGCACTCCGAGCCCAGGATGAGGATGCCCTCACTAGTGAGGCTCGTTGGTTTGTGAAGGAGTATCAATTTGTCACAGACACTTATCGCCTCTTCTCAATGTTGAGCCACCTAGCTGGTAATCCTCGAAAGTCCCTCTTCAACTCCTCTCCTAGCATGAAGTTTATGCTTCGCCAGATCAAGGCTATGGATTTTACCCTACCAGACACGGATGATAAGCCCAAGCCGACGCGGCAATCCGTCTGGAGGGAACGTGCTGCTCTCTCAACCAAAGACGAGAATGGAAAAGACATTCCGGCGTATGAGCTGGATATCGCTCTGCTCGTACTTTACGGCCACATCCTTTACTCGGGAAACAGCTTCTACCCAGCTCTGAATTACTTCTTCCGCGCCTATGCTATCGATGACCAGAACCCAGTGGTTCTTCTTTCTATTGCACTCTGCTACATTCACCATTCGCATAAACGGCAGTGCGATAACCGCCATTATCTCATCATGCAGGGCCTGTCATTCATGCACGAGTACCGACGTGTTCGTGAGAAGCGCGGGGCTACACTGCAAGAACGCCAAGAAGTGGAGTTCAACTTTGCTCGTGTCTATCACGGCCTCAATCTGTCCCACTTGGCTATTCCAGGGTACGAGCGAGTGCTTCAAATTGGCAAAGATATCCAGCAGCAGGCCATGAAACAGTCTGCCGGCGCAACGGATGACGATGATGTGAATATGGACGGCGCTAACGCTGTTGCCGTAACTCCGGGTCACAACTTTGTTGAGAATTTCTCGCGCGAGGCTGCATTTGCTTTGCAATGCCTCCATGTATTCGGTGGCGATACCCTTACCGCCAAGGATGTCACCGAAAAATGGCTTGTCATTTGATGAGAAAAAAGATAATTTGACGCATGGTCGGTTGATCAGCGGGTGGAGATTTTGCTGGGATAGCATCGAAGGCGGCGTTTCTCAATAGCGTGTTACTCATAATGCAAGAATCTTCGGTTCCTGATTCGGATGTACTATTCTAACGGACACGGAATCTACTACTGGGCTGAAAGGCAAGCAATCAATACGCCAGAGCGATACATTACCTCGGTTGCGGAGGGGTTTCAATCCAGAACGACGAGCCATCTATAGCAAGTAATATCCGCTACTGCGTGGAGATTTCCTTCCATAGTGGTAGTATATCCCCAAAGGGGAATTGTGTCAACCAATTACTTCGATCGTAACAGCGGAATCGCATACCGCTCCTCCATCGCCCCTTGGAATAACGGGAGCAGCGCCCAACTGATTCCGCACCATCAAGTTGGCGAATACGGAGCATCACCTCGCCTCTAAACGTGGTCACCGACTTGAATGGCGACTCCCTAAAGTAAATCAAGGACTCGGCTCCAACTTCGGCATCCACAGAGTTTCCGAAAGTCGGGTCAGATAGGCTTAAATATGAGACCCTGCAAGATGAGGCGCCGAATTGTCGCTCCGATCTCCACAAGATAACTCTATTTCATGCGTGCCCCAAGGTGAGTCGCCCAATTCGGGGCTTCCCCGCATCATCTCAACGCTAAAAGAAGAGACGCAAGCCATGGATCTCACTATCTCTTTTAGTTGGGATCTTCTCGGGCGGGGGGAAATATCAGGGAATTCAAGTACGGTCCGACGGTCCGATGGAGCTTCTTTTCCACACCGGAAACTCTGATTTCCTATTATCGTGATGAATTTCTCTCTATCGCGAATGGCTGGTTCTCTATTGGTTCAGTTTGTTCTCGTGGAAGTTCCCGACGAGAACTGCCGCTTGGCTTTGAGTCGTCATAGGTCGCACAGCTTGAGCCCCAAGGGCTGTATATAGAAGGAGATGATGAAGGCGAATTCATTGCCCTGTAGCTTTTGTGGATTGAATCTTTCCTCATATAATTACCCAAGAACCATCAACCTGCTCAAAGTACCCAGTTATCACTTAACCTTCTCCAATTGCACCAGATACCCACACTCAATCATGATTTACGACAACAACCCCAACGCCAAGGCCGGCAATAACATGTCTTCTTCAGATTCCAATACCGATGACATTGAAGCTGGCCGTTATGGCCCACTTGCCCATATCAACACTGCTGAAAGTCGACTTCCTGCTTTCGGGGGTGAATTCCAACCGGGTCTATACCGATCACCTAAGAACCGCGGCATTGCCAATCCAGCACCCCTTGGGCTGTGTGGTTTCGCGTTGACAACCTTCATGCTCGGATGCATTCAGATGAACGTCAGGGGTATCACTCAGCCAAATTTCATTGTGGGACCTGCTTTGGCTTATGGTGGCCTGGTCCAGCTACTGTCTGGGATGTGGTATGGGATGAAGGGGAGACTATCTGACCAGTAATGCAGAAACTAATAATGCCTGACAGGGAAATGGCCGCCGGAAATACTTTTGGTGCTACCGTTCTGTCCTCTTATGGCGGGTTCTGGATCTCGATCGCAATTACCTTCATTCCCGGTGGTTTCGGCATCATAGGTGCCCTTGAAGAAGCTGACAAGGGTTCACCGATTATGTTTTACAATTCTTTCGGCCTCTATCTCATGGTATGTATTGCCCAGTCTGTTGTACTGGAGGCACCGAGTTAACAATTCCTAGGCATGGTTCATATTTACCTTCATGATCATGCTGTGCACCGTCAAATCCACCGTGGCGTTCTTCTCCCTCTTCTTCGTGGTCGACATCGCCATTCTCCTCATCGCTCTATCTTACTTTTTCCCGAATGCACAGGAATTGCCAAATGAAGGTCTTATGAAGGCAGGCGGGCTTCTGGCTTTCCTGGGCGCTTTTCTGGCTTGGTATAATGCTTTTGCTGGTATTGCAGATGATAGCAACAGCTTCTTCGTTGTCCCTGTTGTTCATTTCCCGTGGTCTGAAAAGGGGCGGAGCGCGAGACTGAGAGCGAACCAAGGCGAGAGTGCTTGAGGGATTCTGGTGTCTCACAGGTGAGGACCGAATTCTATGCTCTCTACTTGTGCCCTCGCAATTAATGAATAGTATATTCGATTTATCTGTGAGAACATTGGTTTTACACTAGGTATCATTTCCATCAATGTAAATTCCAACGGTAGCCAATCCACCATTATACAGTTCAAAGAATTACTCTATCAAGGTCATCAATATTGCAAACCGCTGCCTGACTTGTATCTTGACCAAGGTGTCCCTCGTAAGACATGCGCCAATCCCAGGCCGAGTGACTCGAGGAAAGAGAAGACTTCTTGACACCATAGATAGCGATCGTTGATTCCGTTGCGATAGAAGAATTGAGCCGCCATCGACACGGGGAATAGTAAATTATGCCCTCCCAGTATATGCATGTGTGGTTGCACAAAGTACCCCACCCCGCGGCAGATCTGGTCGGTATATAATTCGGCATTCTTCATGAAGGGGCTTGATCCGCCTTGCCTGGTGACATAAATGGGATTTAAGCATTGAGGATCAAGCAAGGTGGTGTCTGAAAATTCCTCTCGGCGTTCAATCTCTTGGAAGAGGGAATAGATGATAAGTGAGGCCGTCCAGTATAGCATATGTACTTCTGCTATTTCAATAGAAGCAAAATGATATGTTTCAGGGAACAGCGATTTTGTGGCATGAGATCTGGAAATTTCGGCTTCATTGGGAACAGTCGTGTATAACGGACTTGGCGATGTGGATTTCAGCCTCGCGTACCATGACTCAGTCTGGTGTTTCAAGGTATGGCAAACTTTCATCAACTGTATTGTATCATGACCCGAGCATATATTGTCAATGTATTCAACAAAAAGAGTGCACCTCATGAGGATGTCGATTATCTCGTCGACTGGATCGGCCCAACTATGGCCGTCAATGCACGAAGTTAAGGTTTGCCACATTGGGCAGAAGTAAAGAGCAGATCTGGATTTCCCAATAGCGTGAAAGATCTAGATATGGAATAAGTAACTGTTGGTTGATAAAAAAAAGGAGCTGTAGGATTTCTCACGTTGGATAGTTTCAGTTGACGGAACAGCATGATGGATATCTGGTCCCTTTCTAGTGACTTCCCATATTGAGCGACCACAGCATTGGCACCTTGCATATGTGCCATCCACCCAGAGAAGCCCGATGTGGAATTTATCACCTGTCTACAGTTAGTAATGAAAGTGGGCGAAACATCAAGTGGTAGATCTAAACGAACCTCGTAATACTGGAAAATAACATTAGCGCACAGAACCTCTCGAACAGGCAATCCCTGACGAGATATTAGACGAGAAAATGAATGTATTGCTTGGTTGTAAAGTTCGACGCCATGATGAATCATCTGGTCATTCTTAAACTTCTTGCCGACAAAGACAGAAGCAAGTGCCGACGTTGCCCGGTCCAGTAATTGGCTGTTCTTGCCATCCAGCATAGACGGCAAGGCTTCGAATAGATTCGAGGCATCCCTGAATCGGAAGGAGACTTGGCCCTTTGGTGCAGATGGATTATAAGAGTCGACAAATATTGAGAAAAGTTGAGAGCGAATCTGAGCATTCACCTGGACGACGGTGATACTCGTCTCTTTTGTTGGCCGAGGAGCGTCCTTGGCTGTCTTCTTGAATTGGAATTGCATAGACTCGCAAATCGGTTCCTTGCCCGTTTTGACTTGATCGGCAAACGTGTGTACTATGAACTTTGAAGCTCGCTCATATCCCTCGCAGCCGTGGCCCCCACGGAGGCATCTTGCACAATGGGGGCGTTGCAGATCGCACTGAGCGAATCAGGGACTCTCCGGCTTTGTTTTTGCCTTGCGGTAATTTGCAATCAACTCACCTTTACTTTTCGCCTTCTGCAAGTATTGCAGCCGTCTGATCTCCAGGGAGCTCCGCCCATTTTGAAACAGTCGGTTCGAATTGTTAGAAAGTCCAAGCTCGCAGGATGTTGAGAAACTCGTCAGTTGGGGGCCATTTAATCGGCGTTCATGAGGCGGCACGTGCTTTGCCTCCCCCAAAATTGGGCCCTTGACGGATTCGGAATCCAGGCATCAAGAATCAGGGTGAAGGTGGGGTTGGAGCGTTTAGGTTGGAGAACCGACTTTAGGATATAAGATCAAGTCTAGGTCCAAACAATCTATCAAACAGTACTATAGATAAACAGGACACACTATGATCGAAACCTGGGCTAACTCAAGGAGCCGATGATAGGTGCGAACTATATACTTCCAATCGGGACCCAAAATTGAGCGAGCTTCCCAATTCTGCCAAGCTCAATCCCGATTGATCTCAATCATAACCTTCTTCAAGGCGTCCTGACTATCCTTCATCATGGCCTCTACAAAGTCCTCCAGTTCGTCACATATCTGTTTCTCATTTGGACCGTACAATCGTACCTGGCCTGCCCGGAAGTTCTCTTCCGAGGTATCACCACCGTTTCTGAGGTCCCAAAAGCCGGTTTGCATAATTGGCGCAACGAAGAAATCGGGGGAGGATGCTCGCATGTGACGTTTATGGAAGAGCACAGAATGTGTCATCACTACGAACCGTCAGTAGAAATTCAGGAGAATTTCCAAGGATGAGATCAGATAGGGGGACTGTTGCATTTTCACATACCATAGAAGGTTGCCAACTTCTCCGTTCGTGTCTCGTCGTAGACATCCATCATAAGTCTCTTGAGGGAACGATCTGTTTTGGCAACCACAATGACTCTATGAAATGGTTCCCCGGGAGCTTCGGATTTCTCCCAGAACTCCAGCTTTCGGGGTTTCCTGCAGTGGAATGATACTTAGATATGGCCCTCACACGGTTCAAAAAGATTCGAAGAAGCTCTTACCATTCCTTCTTGATCTCATATTCGCTGACCCTTTTCGTGCTCAACGCGGTCCACCCCCGCACAATATCTTGCAGGCGGTTGTACATGAAAAGAGCCTCTGTGGCGGAATTTAGTAGTGCCGCGGACTGTATTGACATAGGTTTCTTACCACTCAAATTTCCAAAAGTCATCGAGATGGTGCGGATTTTATTCCCATCCGGAGTGGTGCAGACGATAGTCTCACTCCCTACTATCTGCATATCAAGACTTGGCACTAGACTGTGTCAGATTTCGAGTAGAATACATATCAAGGACGGGATCAATACACTTACAATCTTCATGGAAGACTCCGACGTGATCCATCGGCTTTGTTGTGCATGTGAGTCGGGGAGCTCGATCTTCCAGGCTGTATTCGACTGAGAGATACGGATAAATGTAGGACTTTTCCGTGCCATCTGCATATCCTACTTGAACATGCTGAATTCTGTCTCAAGGTGTCAGTGTCGGATGCGTTTTTCTTTTAATCCGAGAATTTCTCTAGTATATTACCTTTTCCCAACGTTCGAATCCTGATAAAGCTTGTTCGGAATGCCAAATGCAGTTTCCATACGCTGCAGGTATCGAGCGGCATACAGCTGCCTCAGAAAGTCCTCGCGATCTGTCATCGTGAGCTTTTGACAAGTCCCAGAGCCAGACCAGTGAACATACCGCGAGGGGTTTCAAAATTCACCAGTATCTGTTCAATCTTGGTGCTTGATTTGAGCGCATACCCTCCTAGTGCTAGATGGTAATCCTCTGGGGACTCCTGTTCTGAGAGGTCATCGAGTGGGCAGGCGAATCCCTTCAAATCACAGCGTGCAATGATTAGACTGGACTTTCCAGCTGGAACAAAAAAGCGATGCAGTGTTATTATTGATAACGCTGAAGAACATTAGTCTTGGCTCTTCAAGGTTAATGAGTCACTGACAGTCCGTTATTTGCATAAAATATAAATCTCCTGCGGAAGGTCCCTTGAACAAGAGATGTACTTGCATCGGCCTCACTGATTCGTTTGCTGGTGACGGGTCGTCCCAGTTGCAGACTAGACTGATTTTCTGTTTTCCGATTTTGCTAAAGCAGAAATGTCAGTGTAAGGTATCTATCGGGTATGATGTATGCATTTGCACTTACAATTCACACACCACAGTCAGATCCGGGCTATTGAGATCAGGAGCTTGATGACCCTCGTCTTGACTGATACCGTAGAATCCTGGCTCATCCCAGCCTGTAGTCTTAGGACCGGTGATCACATGAGACGTATCAGTATCCATAGTCACCGAGCTAGCACTACTCCCAAGTGTAGGCGAGATTGTCCCCGTATCCTCCTGCTTCAGTCCATCAGCCTGTCCTGGATCAAGACCTGCCAGCTTCTTCCGCCATGAAAGAGGCGTTTTCACAGCAGTAGATTCCTCGGGTTTTAGCATCAGTTTCTTCTGAACCTGGATGAGGATTTCCTCGATGTTTGTCGTAGTAGTACTGTTGAAGGGTAAGCATATATAATCTTTGCTTTGCACTCAAACATACCTAGTCTGGACGGAAAGCAACAGATCCAGGGAAAGTTTGTAGCTTTCCAGACTTCTCAACCTGTCTTGAATATCATTCTCCTTCAGTGTCCACTTCACTTTCATCTTCAGTGAATCAAGCTTCGAGTTTGATTGTAGCCCCTGCAACTCTTTCTGAAGCGTGAGGTATGTGGCTCCGCAATTGTCTAGAGTGTTATTGAGCGCCTCCAGCCATTCTGCACTTTTGGTCGGCTTGGTGGATTGGAACTGGATGATCTGTTGAATCTGACAGAGGATTCCACGGACGGCCACAACTTCACGCGAGAGAGATTTTAACCCTTCATTGTTTTTGGACTTGATCGCACCAATAAGGCTTAGAATTTGAGTCGATATTGTGATGAGGCCGGCCACCGAGGCGGAGATGGAGAGGGGATCCATTATACTGTTCCTGATATCAGGCAAAATTTATTGCGAGTGTTAAATTCTGAGACGGGAGATTTCGCCTCTTCATTTACCCAAGAAGCCGCTTGAGGGAGATTAATTACCCCTCCAGTTGTCACAAGCGACCTCGTATTCGCGGCTTGCTGGAGGGGTAAATTTAGCGTTGTGGCATTCGTCCCGGGTCGTATAACCTAAATTTGGTGTTCAGCAGTGAATTAGAAATTTCTCGTAGTCATACTTACACTCGATAAACCATCTGATACTGGAGCTTGCGATGCCTTTCCAAAATATGCTCAATCGATAGTCACCTGGTTGGAAATCTCAATCCGTGGTATGAATGGACATTTTTGATGAAGGCCAGCCACACTTAGCTCAATCGACAATTGAACTCGCCCGTTTACCGAATATCGAAGCATTCCTTGCTCTCAGATATTCAACTCATCAATGCCAGCAACACATCATTTCTCCGCACATTGATACAATGGCAAGGGATGCATCTTCTGTGACGAGATTGAGAGCAGTAAAGATCTATGCTTGAGGGGATGGACCAGTGAATTGTAGGAGTATTCTCTAAATTGCCATTTTCAAACATTAAGAAAGCAATGATATTTGAGCTGTCGGCCTGAAGGCGGCACGGCATCAGCCAGGCTTGTGTATTGAAAGTTTCCTCATTGATTGTGTGCTCTTATCCCAGTAGGTCGCTAGTGCTCAGCCTTTGAGAAATTTCCTTCCTGCTTAGATTTTGTCAGTGGTGATAACTAGCCAGAATGTCTTCAGCCAAGCGCAAATAGGGTTAACAGACCTGAATTATCACGGTTCAGCCAGTGTAGTTGTAAACACCTTGGAATTACATCTTCCATTCTGAATTGGTCCCAATCATCTTCCTTTCATCACCTTGCATTTTCAAAAGTTGAAATAGGAAGCTGCAGGAATCAGAGCAAGCATTTGGATAGCTTCGATTGGGGATCTGTGTCAGCGTCGACATTTTAGGGCATAATGCGCCTGATAATACGCCCCAATTTCTCCGTTTCTGAAATTGAAGAGGCTCATAATACTTCTCAGAGAATTGCATGCATTCCATTATTGAGGCAATAATTCAAAACTCCCGTTGTATGAGCCGCTTGTGCTAGCCCTTCAAGTCCTGGAACTGGAAGAAGGCTTTGCAATCGTTGACTCGCGAGCTTATTTCGTGAACACGGAACTGGTGTGAAAGAATCCCGAGCAGAAGAGAGGCTTGAGCTTGAAAGGGTTGTGGCTGTTAGACCGAACTTGGCTTTTGGTTCAGGGCCGATCACAATAGAGGCAGTATCTAAGTCATCATTGCGCGGACAGATTTCTAGTCAAGTTCTATGAATACTCTCTATAGAAAGATGGGCTCCAATTCCTTCTCTTTGTAAAGGTATCAAAGCCAAAACAGCCTAGCATCAGACGAGATTCTTGACCCCCCACGACTGAGTGAATGAAGCAAAGTTTAGGATGTACTCAATCTTGCCTCTGAGTGGCTTCGTAAAAGCGGCGGTGTGTGAGAAAGTAAAGGCACATAGAGCAGGGCGGGAGTAGGTATGATATGTAGCGCGGTGCTCAATAATTGCGCAGCATATATATCTACTCCGTACTTAATTTTGCGAACTTGATTGTCCAGCAACTCACTATTGGTATTTAGAAGGCTCATAACGACTATCGAAGGCAACCGAGTTCAGCCTCTCTTTCCGTCTTATGATGATACTACGTATAGTTACTCCGTTGTGATGTTTAGATGGTCGCCAGAAACAGCCCTTTCTGTGCCGGCCCCATACGGCCCATACGGCCCCAAACCGCTTACTTGGGGGCTCAACCTGGGCGCAACAACACGTCGTATTCAGCATGCGGTGAAGTCCACAACACCTCAGCAGGAGTGTCCTTGCAGAAGGATCTGTCCCACACTTTCTTGTCTCCAAACCGAGAATCCGAGGCCGTTGAAAGGAAACATCAGTAACGTACTGGTTTTGTATACTCAGCTCCGTTGCTGCCGATTCACCGAACCGAGTGACGAATCACCCCCGATCGGTCCGACCGAATGTTCATTGTGCATGGCCAAGCCCTGTAGCCGATCGATCCCGGGTGTTCGTCTCGAGCGGGAGTCAGCATGAGTCTCGACACTGCCACTGTAACAAACCGAACCAGCAGGCTTGGTCAGGCTGTGCGACGGCTTGGCCCTTGAGAAAAAGCAAAACCTTGTCAGCATCTCGATGCTTGGAGAAGTGCCAAGCCCTCCCTGTCATGCACGCTTCGTGGGCATTAGGATCGCCGTGATCGCCCTTGGCGCAGGCCATTGCCAATGGAAGTGTCGGGCTCCGGGCGGCCAAGTTGCTACTCCTTTTTGAGACCAGAGGCAGTGGCAGTGTATGGCTTGGCGTCCAGCGGGACAGCGTCTCCCTGCGATGAAACCATACGAAGGCCAAATAGGGAACCGGCGGAAGGGAGATCTTCGCTCTCCTGAACCTCCTTGTGCAGAAACTCTGCCAAGATCTAGGCCTCCAAATTCAAGAAAGGGGCTTCGAGCCCGCTCGTTCGTGTCAATCCACTCCACTGCCCCCAGACTTAGATCTGTGGGGGCATTGTTATTGCTTCTCTGGGGGAGATTGGCTTCCATCCCCATCACCCCTGACTTGACTTTGACTGTTAGTGTCTTCGGGTCATGAATCAATCGTCACCCTGCTGGTCTCAATAGCCCGGCCATCTCGGAGTCCGCGTAACACCGGTCGCATTCTGAAGGTGCGTGAGGGCCATGCCTAGGGCTTGGCAGGCTGGAATATTGGACGTTGCCGCCAAGCATCGCCGTGGAATGCGTAGAACCTGGTGACTGTGGTAACGACGGAAGGTCCCACTAAATCGGGTAGTGATGCTTTTCTGGCCTGCAACATTGATCTTTGCATAGATGAAATGTGACGATACGTAGACAATCTTGGCGAGGTTGTGGGAGTCCATTGTGTGTTTGAGTTCGATAGTCCCTGTACTGTCAACTGATGATGTAGTCTTGTCTCGGACACCATCCTGGCTCTGAGCACAGGAGAGTGTCATGACCATATTCGACCGTACTTGAGTACAGCAGATACGCCGTAGTTCGTATTGTATGTATGGAGGAGGACATTGAGCATTAGGTCTGTCAGGAGAGTCATTCAGATGCCCGAGAAAGGCCTTCCATGAGTAAAGATAAGGGTAACTTGGTGACGGTCAAGATTCATTAGTGGTTCGGACATCGAGAAGCAGATTCGGGACCATTGATGGCCCGATATGTCCATATGATGCGTCTGCGAGGGATGTCATCATGTCCGTCGCAGAAGAAGCAAACTATGCTTGGGCATTCCGTTGCAGGGTCTTTTCGGGTTAGTAGTCACCATGGCCGAGATGTCCGAAGGGATGCAGTAGAAACAGCAGGGGAGGCATTTGCACCCGACCTGTGTAGACTCGTGGTACTTATGGCCGTATACAAAAATGGCAGGTTCAGCCAGGGTGCCTGTCTGTCATCCATCGACGAAAAGGCAATACGGTACACCTGCCGAGACGGAATTGACCACTCGGGGAATAAGTCTCGTCGTCAATATGCTCAATTGACATGTTGGCAACCCCGCGTAGCAAACAAACGGTTCCCGAAAGAAAGCAAAGACAGCCCAGCAAAAGAAACATCAAAAAGAGGGGTTCTACGAACCACCAAGTCCTCCAAGTCAAGCCAAGCGGGACAGCCGCTGTCAAAACCCTCTTCCCCTCCTTTGAGCCGTGGTGACTTAACTGTTTCCGTTCGTGGAGGAAGCGAACCAAAATGCCTCATACAACGCCATACTAGGTTGACTAGTAAGCAATTTTCCTGCGCACTAGTTACAGGAAGAGGTTCCCCGGGACACTGGCATGGTCATCGTGGTTAGATTAGCTACCTACACTTACCGTCTTGAAAGTCAGCTAACTAAAGAGCCCATCCAACATCTGCACCACTCGCCTCCTTCAATATCTTTAGACTGGTTAGCCTCGTCAAGCCAGCGACCTCTCGCTCTGGTTCGCATTGTTCTTTTCTTCCTGACCCCGTTTCGCGCCGGCTTCGTTCTGTTCACCCCGACCCGGAGAGCACTGCTAGCCTCCAATTCGACATACTACGAGGTCTCCACTTCCCCCGATTGTGCTCCGGTCAACGAGTGCTTCGCATCCAATGTATGTACAATTGTACAACACATTCTTCACCCGGCTCCGTCACCTAGGACTCGAAGGGTTTAGTTCCTTGAATCGGTTGCCTTTGAACTATCATCGTCCACGCTTGTGCCAGCTCTTGGCCCGAGTTCGGACTCCACCTGCACAGTTCACATCTTATTGTATGAATACGGAGAGTAAATATAGTATTGGAGGATAGGACACGAATCAACATTCAATACCTGACGGAGAATCTCCTGACATGAGACTACAGTAGAGATCGGCTGGTAGGAAGATAGTTTAATCCATAGTTTGGGCTAGCAGGAGGAGACCGGGTCAAATCAGATCTGCAGGATCCAATGTCCCGATATTCAGCCTTTCTTCCATGCCCGGTTTTGTTTTCTCCACGGGCCCCAACTCAACACTCGTCCCGTCTGGTGCCACGAGCGCAAGTTGTCCCGCTGCACACGGGATAATTCTCTTGGCCCCTCCTGGCGGGTTTGAAGGTCTCCTGTTTGAATTGGCCACTTGGATTGTGATTTTCAATGTGTTTTGTAATTAGTTGTTGGTTTTATGGAGAGGCGTGAGGGGGCGGTTACGAATAATTTGGAGGGATTGCTTGGCCCCCCTGTTTCTGTACAAGTCCAATCGTACGGGCGTCGATTGCCTCGAATGATTGGACTCAGATGTTGTTGTACAGTACTTGTCTTGAGTGGGGGCGCAGGATTGCATTGCTGTTTTTACAACAAAACTCGTCGCGTATAGCGGAGAATAGTCCTCCGTGGCTGGCAGTCCAAAGTACAGAGGGAGAGTAAGTACGGAATACTTCCCCTATGTACTCTTCCACTTTCTTGCCGTTCCCCAGTACGCGCCGACAAGAATTGGCTTACGAATTGAGTGATGGGTTGCAGCCAAAGAAAAGAAACCTACATACTTCTCGAATCAGAAGACGAAACAGCAACGAACAGGGCAACTTGACCGATCAAAAGGGATCTCGTGCCCCGAAAAAGCACTCTCGTGCAGGGCCAGTAACGAGCCCCAGCAGCGTCCCATCAAGACCTTCCCACCCTCCTTCGCCAAACCTTTCTCGCCGATCGGAGAAAATCTCCCCTTCAACCAGTCGAGTCCTGCCCTTCTCCAACTTCACCGATGTACAGCACTGTACCCACCACCCACTACATCCACCCTCAGCCGATCTCCATTCCCTGCACCGCCGTTCCGTTGACAACAAGGTTCGCTGGGATTGCAAACACGACCAACGTCTCTTGCTGACTACTGACCGGTTCGTGGGCGAATATGCGCGGACCACTGAGGACTCGCGATACTGACAGGGGCCATGCCTGTTCGTACAGGTGTAATGTGGGGTGATCTCCTCGGATACGCGAAGCTTGTCAAGATTTGAACGCCCGTTTCATCTGGGGATTGCATCTTACTTGTTCACTTCGACCGACTAGTCATGTTCTATGCACGTACATGACAGAAAGACGCATCAAAGCGTGAGTTGAGAATCTTGTACGCATCTATGATGCTTGGGGGAAGCAGGACCCTTGCCGAAGTACCGAACGGTGTACTTTAACGAGCAAAACCATGTCGCTACCTCAATCACGTGCCTACTACCTCTGGGTACTTAGATTTAGGTATCGATGGAGACGCTTACTGACGATGACCATGCGATGGACAAATTTGTAAATTCTCCATTGCGGACCGCTGCCGGGGCTGATTGTGATTGCGGCTGACCGCTCCTCCTGCTCGGAGCTCCCGATTTGGCTGCCCTCGCTCTGTCTGGCGATTGGTGCCCGTCGAGGTCATTTTTCTTTGTCGAGAAGTGCCAATGATGTCGATATTCAATTTTGGTTTCTGTAAACGATGACTGATTGAATACTTCCCGTGGAATACGTCGGTAGAGTGTGCCGAGCACCATGCATCTCACTAGTGACTTCGATCTATACGAAGTACAGAGTACAGCGCTGTATTAATTGTTTTCACTGCAGATCGGAGACCGGCAGTACGTGGATGACCGATCATCGTCCACGCGACAGGACCGAACGGTGAAAATCCATCTGCAAACTGTCCATATGGAGCGGAGGATAACTGCACGATATGAAGTTTGCCTAAAGCATCGCCTCGTCGGATGACGACAATTCTGAAGATCCGACGGGGATCAGATCAGTAGAGACACTGTAGGTACTAAGTAAAGAAACAGCCTAGTAGTACAGTACTAGTCAACCATTTTGGCTAGCTGGACAGGCGCAGGCAGGACAGCTCTTGGCGCCATACCGACGCTACCCTTGGACTTGGCGTGCTTTGGAATGACATGCACGGAGGATCATGACGGTGGGTGGGGGAGGAGGTGTTTTTCTTGGGCTGACGCTGGGACGTCTGTATACCAAGCCCGATCGCCCGGCACGGAGCAGGGCCAAGACAGTGTGTCCTGGGGCCAGCGCTGTCGATGTACAGTGGAGACCTTTTTTTCATTTTTCAGAGTAGTTGTATTTCTTCGAATAGCCTTTGATGCCTCTGTAAAATGAACGATATTCTTGTTCCACGGTATAGTCTTGTTTCATACTTATCATTGTACTAATATATTTCCGAATCAAGTAAAACACCATACTGTATGTAGGTGCTTTCTCCGGCTAATTTCTGTCGGAAGAGGTCCGAACTCGCTCCCTTCCATAAAACACAGGTCTATGTACGTTACGTCAGAGGTGTCCGCATCGAGGAGCAAGGGCCAGGTAAAATTGTGTTTTATTATTGCATCTCAAAATTCCCCAGTAGAGTGAGGAAAATCCCCGCCAAGAACTGTGAGACCAGTCAGACCGGAACTGTAGCATGAAGCGCGCAGAGCGCGTTATATCGTTTTAGAACGAATTAAGTCAGTCATCCCGTAGGTTTTTGACTAGGTTCACCATCGGGTGGGCTAGGGACGGAGTCCATCCATTGCGGGCGAGGGCTAGGGTTTTGGTCATTTTACTGGAGCCGAAATCGTGACCGAGAAAAGAGAATCAGAATCAGGCACAGGCACCACGCCGCTTTTGGTGGGAGAAACGGAAATTACCAAGCTAAGTGGTTGGTGACGTGACAATACCGCAGATCAGCGCCAAAAGGTGGCCACCAGTAACGTTGGATGACGGTACGGGTACGGCCGTGCCTCGTGGCCTGCTGGAATCGGAAATTCTCCTGGCTCCCTCTTTGCTTTTCTGGCAAGAGGAACATTCCTGATGCAGGGCAAAGCCGCATCAAGCAGCGTGCTCTAGATGGAATGCTGGAGATAAAGATGATCGGAGAATTCCAACGATCTTCCATGAACCTAGAACTAGAAACTTCGCAATCTCGAGATTGCGTACATAGAGAACGAAATAATATCATCGAAGATTAATACACAATACGGAGTCATTTCTCAGTACAGTCAGCAGAACTGCATTGGCAGCGTGGTAATGAGATTACTACATTGTACTCCGTATTACTATCCATCATCTGTGGACGAGAGGTCGGATCTCCAAGCGTGGATGCCCTGAAGGGGTTTAGCCGGCGACAAAATGCCTCATAGTCCAGCGGCAACCACCAGCGGACCAACGACTCACCACACAATCCGGGTGTAGTCATCACACACTCCACCCGGTTTCATTGAGAGCAACGAATGAAACCCTGGCAGTGTGGCACTGACAGCGAGACGATCAAGGACCAAATTGCATGAAACTCGAGAAACAATGAACGTACGTTAAATACCACAAAAGGATAGTCCACAAGTCTTGACAAAGTATGGTTATTAAAATAGAAAGAAAGAGGAAATCCTGGGGCTGTATGAATGTATAAGGGCGCAGGAACCATCATGTATGGAGGGCTGTAAGATGCATCCCTGTTGCAGCCAGTTGACAAGTGGGGCCTGGAAACGTCCGTGGAAGGGCTTGAAAGGTGTGGCGAGGGGGAAAAAAGAAAATGGAGAAAAAAGAAAGAACTGATTTTTTTTGTACGCTAAGCCCAAGACGACCATGCCGTCGTGCCGTGTATGGTCACCGTACGGTCAGAGTATAGCGGTCATGATGAGGGGGAACTTGATATTAATGCGGGTGGCTGCTAGTGCGAGGAAGTACCCGGTGGCACCCTGACGACCGGTCCGTACGGTCAGAACGTTTCTGTCAAGACGGTACCGACGTCGCTCTCCCACCCAAAGCCCTCCCCCCCCCTCTACTTGACCTTACCCTGAACTACGACGACTGACTTCCCCAACTCACGACTCTTTTCTATACCCTCTTTTCCTCATTTCCTTTTTATCACTCTCCACTCTCCTCTCCTCCTCATTCTTATTTCCTTCCTCCACCTTGAAATCTTCTCAGCATTCTTCATTTTTCAGTTCTGAACGCCCTTTCCTGCACCAAGGCTTGGCGCTAAGACTAGAGGTATTCGTGCCCCGGCGCTCTATTGAGTGGCCATCCTTGAGAGAACAATAAATCATCCTTGGCGACCCTCTCCTCGTCACCTCTTGATTTTGTTCCTTGAACTCTCTCTCTCAGACATGCGTTACATATCATGACCGCTGTCCTTCACGGGACTATTGCTCTGCCCACTGGGTTGATCGATTGCGATTTCTAATCGACAATCGAGAGAGCATCGCCGCGCGAGTCACGACCCGACCTACTTTGGACAAGCTCGTGAACCTCGCAACTACAATTTGATCTTCTTCGAGGATTTTCTTCTTGAAGACTTGCTTTCTGCTCGAAAACGAAAATGGCACAACCCCGTGGAGAACGACCATTCTCATTTCACAACCTCCTCAAGATGCTCATCGCCCCCAACGCCTCTACGAGGCCGGCTCATGACGAGGCTGATATGGCCGAGGACTTGGATGAACCCCCTGATCAACATCATATCATTCACGCGACATCATTGCACCACCACGATGAGACCGTCTTCGCCCGCCCCGCCCTCTCCCACCAAAAGGAATCCTTGCTCACGCGCGCCCTCAAGAGCAGCCCGGAGATGTCTCCAACCGAACCACACCCCACCCTCCACGACTCTACCTACTCCTACCGCTCCTACCCTCACAGCAACATTAGTGGCATTTCCACGGCCGAGCTGACCAGCGATGGCGGCCTGACCAGCCCGTCTCTCTCCAACACCCCGAGTCCACCTTTGCCACCACAGATGATGGGCAAGGCTGCTCCGATGGGCAGGAAAGACGGCACCCCCAAGGTCAAGATCGCCGTTGCCAATGAGACAACCGTCGAGGCCAATCTTGGCCGTAAGCGATGCATCAGCTTTGCCTGCGGTCGCCAAACCGAGGCCTCTCCTGCTCAAAAACCCTCCGCGCCACCTAACCCTCAACCCGAACCAACCCAAGCTACACTTGAACCGCCCAAGCGCAAAACCGCTCTCACCTTTGCCTGCCCCGGACGCCTTTCCGCCATCGCACGTGAACGCTCACCAGCTCGCAAGAGCCCCTTCCGAAGCCGTTGTCGCGGCTCTCCGGCCCCTGCTGCTCGCAAGCCCTCCCAGGATCGCGTGGACGGTATTCTCAATGAGAAGGCGCCGACGAAGAGCTTGCCTCAAGGTGTTCCGACCAGTGGGCTCGGCAAGTTTGAGGAATCCGAGGCCACTCGGTTCCACGAGTTTGCCAGCTCGGTAGACGAGGATGATGAGTGGGTGACCAAGTCGACCGATTATGCCCAAAAGATTACATTGAACGATTGCATGAAGAAAGAGATTGCTATCCGACGACTGGGTGAAGAGGCCGAGGAGGAGGCCCAGGATGAAGAGGATGAAGAAGAAGAAGATGACGAAGATGACGACGCCGAGGATCTCGCCGATGATGACTCCACCGTTCACTATTCCGACGATGATGGAAACGAGTCCGACAATGAGGCTGGCTTTGCCGACTCTGACGAGAACGATGATGATGGTTCCGACTACGAATTCTGGGCCCCGTCCGCAATTGTGCCCGAATCCAGTACTCTGCCTCTCGACGTCTTCGCTCCAACCATGGAGCGTCGTGCTTCTAATACTTCATTCGACTCCATGACCGATGACCACCACCACCCGAAATGGTTGCCAGCTCCTGTTCGAAAGCTTGCAGGCCGTCGACCTCCTAAGGGATCTAAGATCATGCGCCCTGGCACTCCTAACCTCCCAGATAGCACCGACTTCGTCTGTGGTACGCTGGATGAGGATCGTCCTCTGGAGGCGGCTTACAAGTCCTGCATCGAGCAACGGCGCATGTCGAAGCGCATCCTCATCCCCCAAGACATCGACCCCAGCTTCCCGACCAGCGACCTAGAGGAGGACGATGAGGATCTGGACGATATCTCGCACGGTGATTTCGACGAATTCATTTTCGAGCCATCTCGCGGCCGTACGGAGGAATCCACTCACAAGCTCTCGCCGCGGCACTCCCCCAAGCGTATGGTGTCTCCCCCACCTCGCCGGGCTGGCCGGATCTCTCCCAAGCGTCTGAAGTCCCCTCCTCCTCGATCGCGAGCCTGCAGAGCCAAGTCGCCATCCCCTTCCAAGCGAACTGTCTCCCAGGAAGACCTGCCTGTCATAGAGTCTTCGTCACCACAGGGTCTGAACATCAGCCACTTGGTCCAGCGCCCGCATTTGGCTCGCACCAAGTCGCTGCCGCGCACACCCAACCCTTTCTTCACGAGCTTGGACAAGTCGCACCGGTGGCATGGAATTCCTCCTCTGACCGAGTCGCCCGAGCGTGAGCACTCTCGTACACGTGAAATGCACACCCGTGGACCCATTGACATCGTCGAGGGTCTTGAACAGAAGCGCCAGAAGCGCAAAGAAAAGTTCTGGCGTCAACATTGCCGTAAAGCTGCCAAAGAGCAGATGGTTCGGCGGCCAATTCCCGGCAAGGGAGCCGAAAGGATGAAGGAGCTTGGCCTCGAAGTTGCTGAGAGGTGCAGGGCTTACGGTGTCGCTCAAGATACCCAGCTCGTCCTATCCGTCTAGGCTTCCCAAGGACTGGACTGGACTGCAGATTTGCATGTCCGTCTATTGTCTTTCCCCCCTTGTTTCCCCCCCAATACCCATTTTCCATCTCCTTCATTTCTGTACATACATTACCCTTTTTACATCTTTTCCTTTCATATACTATTTTCCCCACCCAGTGAGCGATCTGGGTGCCTTTCGCTGATACATACTTCACCAACTTCATGTCATCCACTTGACCGATTTTCTTTTACTGTCTGTGATGTGATCCCTTGATCCTCCTCACCTTACCTACTATCTACCTATTTACGATACCCTCTTCTAATCCTTCTGGGGGGAAACAAATTATCCTTGCATATCCAATATCCTATCTTCCCAGTACATTTTTCTTGCTGTCTTGCCAGCGTTTTATCCGAGGAGGTCACTTTCTTTTTTTATCTTGCATAGCTGCGGTGCGTATACCCCTTCGCTGAATTTGCTGCATTATGAATGGAACGAGGATTGGAATGAAAATGCGTCGCTAGTTTTAGTTTTAGTGTCAGTTTAGTGCTAGTGACCACGAATGAAACTTGAAATCCTTAGTGAGATTCTATTCTGACTTTAGGAAACTCGTAATGATTCAAGTCTGTAGTACTGATCGAGTCAAGCCATTCTGTAGTAGGATCGTGGTGACTCGCACTTTCGTCAAGTCCGCCACCACCGTTGATCCCTTGCTGCCTCAGGCACCCAAGCCACTGGCCGATCCCGAAAACAACATCAACCTGTCCTGACGTTCTTGCCTCTCTCCCCCTCTCCATCCACTTCGACGCCTCCCTCTCGTCTGCGATCTCCTCGCATCCGGCTCCCCCTTGTCCGACACCTCCACAGTCACATTCTGTGTTCTCGTCTTCGCCATGTGGATCGTCAACTGGTGTAAGTCGCCCTCCCGAACTTCATGGCCTGACCCCAGTCCATCATCCCGCGCAACACCACCTGAAAGAAGGACTCGATTCTTCATTCCCGCTGGATGATTTTCTCCGCACATCTGGAGAATCTCAGTGGTGAATATGACCGAGTCGGCACTGTTCATTCAAATGCCGCGGCTGATGCGCTTGTGATTCCGGGGCTTGACCTTTCGCAAAACTGCGTTTACTGATGGATGTCTTTTTACCCGCAGTCTACGATATTCTGGCCTCGCTGGGCCTCCTGAACAAGCACGCTAAGCTTCTGTTCCTCGGTCTCGACAATGCGGGCAAGACGACCTTGCTGCACATGTTGAAGGTGAGTTCGTGGTTGTGAAAGCGGATGGTTGCGCGGATGGCGGAATACGAGACAAGGCCGAGGTCGAGTGCCGAGACTTTGCGGTCCCGGTACATGACTACGGGATATATTCGCTGAACGGGGATGATATACTTGCGCGGGATCCACGGGGAGGGATTGATTGATGGAGGATTGATTGTATGATGAATGGAGAAGCTGACGATGGCATCGCATTATCTAGAACGACCGTGTCGCCGTTCTGTCGCCCACCGCTCACCCGACCTCGGAGGAGCTGGCCATCGGTAATAACCGCTTCACGACCTTTGATCTGGGTGGTCACCAGCAGGGTGAGTTCCCCGCCAACGATTGACCGAGTTGAGACGAAGAGAAAACCGGCGCAACTAACGCAATATCTTGCTCGCCGTATAGCCCGTCGTCTGTGGAAGGACTACTTCCCTGAGGTCAGCGGCATCGTCTTCCTGGTCGATGCCAAGGACTACGAGCGTTTCCCCGAGTCCAAGGCTGAGCTGGACGCCCTGCTCGCCATGGAGGATCTCGCCAAGGTCCCCTTCCTCGTGCTCGGTAACAAGATCGATCACCCCGACGCTGTCTCCGAGGATGAGCTGCGTCACCAGCTCGGTCTGTACCAGACTACTGGTAAAGGCAAGGTCCCTCTCGAGGGTATTCGGCCCATTGAGCTGTTCATGTGCAGTGTTGTCATGCGTCAAGGTGAGTACCCTCTCCCCCATACAAGATTATCGGGTAAAGATACAGCATAAAGATCCCGATTACTAACATGCAATTCCAGGATACGGCGAGGGTATCCGCTGGCTGTCTCAATACGTCTAAACATCGTCAACGAGTACGATATCCAGCCTGAACACCTCCTCTCAGCCACCATACCCACCCTCCTCTCTAATTTCGCCCCCAATCGCCAAATACCGGCGTAGCGGACTGGATCCCCCAGCTCCACCATGTCCCACACCGTCAACACGCAAATACCTATGTTGTGACGGACATAGCCCTCGAATACCTCGAATCAAGCCAGGCCCCAAACGCCAGGCTAAGACTCTAGGATCTAACCTCGCTCTGTAACCCTCCCCATTCCCCCTGAATGCATGTCTTTATTTTTCTCTGCCTATGCTTTTCTTTGCGCCTTTTGTCTACACACTACAGCCAATTAGCCGGTGAAGATTCTTTGTTCTGGGGTTTGCTGAATGCAATGGTTTATACTATATGATAGCACCAGTAGAATTTAGACTTCGAGGCGTAGAACCCGGCGGTGTCAGGTAGAAGCGAGCGAGATATACACTTTTGATTGGCGTACCTGAGTACTGCATCCGAAGGGCGGTTGAGAGGGAAAATAGGAGCCGTATACTTGTCGTTGCATCAAGTTGCATCTGGGCTTCACCCCCCATAAGTAGTATGCCCAAAGGAGGAGACTGTGTACGAGCCTACGGAGCTAATTTCGTAGACTTCAAAGAACGAGCAGGATGTCCACGAACTAGACAGAACTTTTAAGCTACGCCGCAACTCATACGCACAAGCCTATGAAATATTAAGGCAAACAGATGCGTTCCATTGAAACTCAAGACAACTCGACCAATAAGACAGAACGAATCAGAGAGGAAGATAAGAAAAAAAAGGAGGATAATAAACCAGGTTTCCCCGCCCTTCCAGGATGCCGAGAGTAATCTTTCCGTCCAGATGATAAGGTGAGAAACGGCAATAAAAGTAGATGAGAAGGACTAGGAAAAAGGCAAAAGGGAAAAAAAGGTACGAGAAATAATCAGAGAAAAAAAAAGGTGGAATAGAGACGAACGGGAAAAAGCGAGATCATCGTCCGTCCCAAGGGGGGTGTACATGTATGTTGGTCGCGTGATCCGGAACCGGCCAGAAGAAATGGAAGGGGGGGACAGACAGACGAGAAATGGTCAAATGGCGCGCCGGGTCAGCCCTAAACGTAGATCGGAAGAGAGGAGATGAAGACGATGGATTATCGGATTGCTGTAATGGCGGCGATTCTGGGGATGAGAACGGGGGGATGTGTGGTCGTTGGGCTGGACCCGGGCGTAAATAAAGATCCTCGGTCGTTCATCGCTTCGTGGGGGGTTGTTGTGAGCGGGGGGATGGAAATCGCGGCGAAGGTTGGAGGAATAGGCGTGGGGACATGGCTTGGACATGGACAGTGGATTTGGCGGCTGGTTATTGTAATGGTTGTATTTGTCGATAGGCAATTGTTGAACAAAGTGTGTTGCAAAAATGGCTTATCTCCGCCCGAACCTGCTGCACATGGGAAAGCTCGTATTGATTCTTCTTTTTTGGTTTTACTTTTTCTTTTGCTTGCGCGGAGGAGTATTGGGCCCGCCGGAGCTCATGCCACCGTAGACGTACTTTTGTTTCTTTTCGGCTGGTTTTAGGATCTGCAAATGAAGAAAAAAAAAGAAGAGGTTAGAAAGAGTGACTCGAACAGTGGTAAAACGGGAATTTAATTGTCGGATTCGAGATCCACTCACCTGGAAGGAGCAGAGCAGAGACTCGTCAACGCTCATCATTGCACCCGCATTGTCGAATTCACCACAGTAGTTGGGAGCGCTGAATAGCGTGACCAGCTGCCGCTTTGAGAAGAATTCGTATCCGTCCTCCACAACCTGATGCGCGCGGCATATCAAGTCCATATCGTGTTTCTGGAGGAAGCGTGACACCACGTCGGGGCCGAATGTGAATGAGACACCACGGTCGTTCTCGCTCCAGCCAGTGATATCCTTGTCTGGGTCGGACCACAGAAGATCGCAAAGAAGGCCACAGTCGGGGATCTATTACGTGAAGTGTCAGTGAACTTGGCATTGAAGCCGCGAGCGCCTCCACAGTTCGTTGTGTAGAAAGTGCCTGCCAACTCTCGAGTCCACGCGTATCTCGAGTCCGTGCGTGAAAATAGCAGACCACCCGCCGAAGGATCCGGATCCAAAGGGAAAGTCAAAATCAGTCGGGGAAAAACTTACATCAGTAGGACGCATAACTCGGCGGATCTGCTCCATCGAGTTGAGATCCGGGCTCAAACCACCGTGCATGGTGAAAATCTTCTCGTCAATGATGGCAGCAATAGGCAGGCAGTTGAAGCAGTCGGTGAAGGTCTTCCACAGCTTGATGTTGTATCGTCGCTTGCACTCGTCATAGAAACCATAAATACGGTTGATGGATGCACACTCGTGGTTGCCACGCAGAATGAAGAAGTTCTCGGGGTACTTGATCTTGTACGCGAGGAGCAGGCAGATGGTCTCGAGCGACTGCTTACCACGGTCGACGTAGTCACCGAGGAAAAGATAGTTGGCCTCTGGAGGGAAACCGCCATATTCAAACAAACGAAGGAGATCGTAGTATTGACCGTGAATGTCACCGCAGATCTGTGACCAAAACAAAAGACACGTTAGACACGCGAGTTCTCCGGAGGGAACAAAGAGACGTGGAAAATCTTGTTGTCGGGAAAAGACCTGAACTCAGAATACGCACCTTGATAGGGGCCTCGAGCTCCAGAAGAATGGGCTGAGAGATGAAGATCTCACGGGCCTTGGTGCAGAGGTAACGGATCTCGGATTCCAAGAGCTGCACCTGCTTGCCGGGACGGCTACCCCTCACCTCCAAAAGGCGATCGATGATAGAATCCAAATCCACTTCCTGGTCGGCCATGACGGGCGACTTCTAACGAGAGACGGGGGAAAGGAACGAAGAAGAAAAAAAGGGAAACGAAAAAAAAAGCACGCGGGAGTGGAAGAAATGACTTCCGAGGCGGGTGAAGGATTGATGACGCGGCGGCTATGTTTCTGCAACGACCCCAAGGAATCACGGTCGGTTAGCGATGCGTTCACTATGGACGGGGGATGCCAGTCCGATTATCAAACGGTGAAATCAGTATCAAAGGGGGCCTCAGGCGCGTCGTCTCCGACGGAATTTTTTTTCTGCCTTGACCGGGGTGGGCCCAGACTTTTGCTGACCTGGGTGTGTGGCTCGAGCAAGATGTACAGGAAAGGTGTGACGAGAAAGGTGAAGACATACCGAAATAAGATCCAGTGAGACCAAAGGGTCTATGATGAAGCCTTACGGCCGCGACGTGTTGTTGGGGGGAAAAGCTCTGGCAGGGATGCCAGACGGGGAAATTTGCTTAGAGCAGAGCCTCTTAAAAATAGCGAACCGCAGAGATGAGGTAGCCTCAGAGGTGGGTAGGCTCCTACACTGCCTTGAAGAGATCAAGGGCGCGAGTTAATTCCGATCGCGAGTCGGTGGTTGATTCGAGCGGGATGAAGGGAGGGGGTTTGGCTGAGAGCGATCGAAGTTTTCCGAGAGGTAGCAGTCAAGTGCGAAAGGGGGTTAGAGGATGGCAATCAAGGCAGAAGAAAATTCTCTACAAGCACAGAGGCACAGAGAAGATCCAGAATAACACGAAGGCGGGTTGATGCGTTGGGGTGTGAGTGCCTCGACGGGGATGAAGAGGGAGAATCTTGCAGGGAGAGGAAGAGGAAGCGGGAATGGGAAGTTCGGGTTCGTGTTTGGGATGTTTGGCTTGCCGCGCGGTATACTTCGCCCCATGGGCCCTTCTTCACCTGAGATGTTTAGGTTTTTCTCTTCTTGAGAATTGAGGAGAGACCATTAGAACAGACTTTATGAATTCATAAAATCCTCTCCGGTCTGTTCTCCTTCGCTTCTCCTCTTTTGACCACCCTCATTACCACAGTGTCGGCGTCACCGTGGAGGGGCTTCCTGCAGTCGTTGTCGGTCGAGACCCTCCTCCAGGCAGTCGCAGAGGTCCTAGCACCAGCCAGCATAATAACCCCGCTGTAATCAATGTTGAAGTATACTTCACGATACTTTCTACCATATTAGACCATGTTGACCGTTGTACTGTCTACGAAACATGATCCCGACTTGTTCTACCAGGCCGCCGACCCAAAACCCGGGCCTTCCATTGGATACCCAACGCCTGGATTATGATATCTGGAGCTATTTGCGGGTGTATATGGCTTGATAGTGGGGACTAGCTGCATTTGCTCGGGGTCCAGGGTCTGCAGGCTCAATACTTGCTTCATTGGCTAACTAGCTTGCTAAAAACTTTAGAGGCTTAACAAGCGGAGCTAACCCATGTTGGCTACGTGGTGAAGAGCAGAGATGAATTGAGACAAATATTATTTCCGAACTGGTCTATCATTGAAGATAGCCATTGCTCTTTGCAGAGTTTGAAAAAGTGACGACAAACCACCCGCCGAAATAGAAACACGCACGGCAAAAAGAAAAGAGAACAATGACAAGAGGGGAATAAGGAATCGTGCCGCCAACGCCAGAAATACCCAAACAAAACAACGCAAGAAATCAGCAACGGGTACAGTCAATGCGCTCTAGAACTCGAATCGTCTTTCACGGTGCCGTCCAGAAGATGACAGGCAGGAAGAAACCGCAGCAAGATGCGTTTTGGTGTGTGCAATGAAGGCAGCACAAAGGGCTGGAAAAGCCGAGTCGAAAAGCACAAAAATGTGAAAGATCAAATGAAGACAAGGACAAGGAGAAAAGGCCCAAAAAAAACAAGGCAAAAAGAAACACAAGGCCGTAAATTGTTCATACATCCAACCCGCCGTATCTCGTGAGTCATCCAACGCCGATAGAAATGCAAATGAGGAGCAGCACGAGGCTTACTCAAAAGGACCGATTAGTCTGAAAAGGGGAGAGGGTTATGATGACTGCGTTGCCGATGGAAATGTGCAAGCAGAGAGAGAAAGAATGATATGGCCGTGAGGAGCTGGTAAAGAGGCCAAGTGGGATAATGATAGTGTGTGCAATGTGCATGAGCGTTGGGGAAAAGCAGTAATGTTCAACCACCCAAGGCATGGCCTCCGCTCAGGATACCTCCACTCAGGATAGCATGGCTGTTTGCACGAACGAGAGGTACCGTCGGAAGGGCAGCGTGGTCCAGCCCAGCCCCTGCCAGGCGATGCGCAGCGAAGGTTTTCTGTGCATTGTCCCAGGAATGGTCTCCCAGGACGCTGATCCAGCTATGTCCGACCTCCTGTCGCAATGCCTCCAGCTGTTGTCGGCACAGCTCCTCATCCAAGGTCCAGTCTTTGCTCGGAGTTGGTTGTACTACCGGAGCCTGAGGACTAGGCGAGTGGATGTGCTTGATCGGGCTCTGGATGCTGGAAGACCCGGACGGAGTCCCGCTCTCCAGCAGTGATTGATGTTCATACGGGAGCACAATGGAGGTACTGGTTGGGCTGTGCAACTGCTGGATCGGGGGGACTGCCGGCATGGTAGGTCCTGGGGCTCCAAGGCCATCGGAGGTGAATGGATTGTCGGTGGAGAGGTCAACAATGCGTCGCCGCTGGATCTTCTTGCGACGGTGGGTCCCGCCTTCGGTCTCCTGTTGCTGTGCATCCTTGAGATGAAAGTCCATATCATCCTTTGGTGGCACAGGCGGCGGAGCTTCTTGGACTAAGATGGCACTGGTAGGCTTGTGCACTACGACCGACTGGTCTGCCGCACTCGAGCGAACCACTGGAGCAGCCTCGGGCTCAGCAACGCGGTCCACCAGCTGCTTACGCTCGGTGTAACCGGGTCCACGGCCATCGATGATGATGTCCTCGGCATAGCCAGGAGTCCGACGGAATAGGTTCATGATGATGACACGGTAGCCGGAGTGAGTCTTTACGAACGGGTTTCCGGACACCCAAATCTCCCGTATCTCAGGGAGACTCGTAAGTCGTGCCATTTCCGTCGGGTCCATGAGGTTGTTGTCACGGAGATCTAGACGCTCCAGAGAAAGGAGGCGTTCAATGCCGGCCAGTGAGCGAAGTCGGTTGCCACGAAGATTAAGAGCGGTGATCGCGGGAAGCGGATTGCGGGTGAGAGAATGCAAGGATTCGATCATGCAGTGAGACAAGTTGAGCGCACGAAGAGCCATGAGCGATGCCAAGCTGTCGGGAATCTCAGTCAAGAGGTTTGACGACAGGTCGAGAGAGTTGAGAGTGTTAGCCACGGGAGCAAGGCTGGCAGCCGAGATGGAGGTCAACGAGTTTTCCGGAAGCCCCAGGTGTCGCAAGAACCGCCACTTCGAAGGATGGAGAACGCCAGGAAGAAGAGTCGCCGAGCTGCCAGTCCGATAGCCACCGGACGTATCGCTGGAGTTTGAGCTGCCCGAACCCGTACGACGAATCCGTGCAGATTGGCCCCGGCTGTGACGATGACCGTGCTTAGTAGACGGCCGAGTGGGCGAGATGCTCTCAGCTCGTGTGCGGATCTTTGTCCCCTCGGAGCCGGCTCGCATCATGGGGACGGACTTGGGACTGGTGCTGCTTGCGAGGGCAGTCTCAGCAATGGGAGAGCCGGGCGCCGAGATGGAGGTATGGTCGGGGGTATGAACTGGCTGGCTGCCCGTGCTGCCGGTCCAACCAAGCGGCGGCGACTGTTGAGATTTGGCAGAGCGACGGCGGCGCTTGTCAATGTCATCCAGCACGATCCTCGTCAACAGATCAGCCGGGTCATCCAAATGAGCCCGCTTCACGGTCAAGGTGCGCAACTGCTCAGAGAGTCGGTCCCAACCATAGAAGGAGCGGTAATCTATGTCAATGATTTCTAAAGCGCTCAGATTTTTGAAGGAATGGAGCGGCACAGCCGTGTCGAATGGAAACTCTTCATAACCGCTAATCAGACGTGCGCGATGGTCCGGAGCCAGTCGCAGACAGGGAATCTTGGTGAAGGCCGAGTACAGGTACTTGAGGTCCGCTTCCAGGGCGACCTTGGCCTTGTCAGACTTGGAGATCGAGTCCTTGGATCCGAGGCCCCAGGAAGACCAGAGGCCGCTCATACCGGACATGACGCTGCGAACGCTGGAAACGGAGTGGATCGACGCGCCATCGCCCTTGGACCGCTGGGGTTTGTTCAAGAAGGAGACGTACGACTGCGAGACTTCGGTGTGGATATTCTCCAGGCGAACATTCATGGGGCCAACCGCAATGGACAGATCCTCGAAGCGCGACAGGAGGTAGAAAAGGTGGTGAGGGGTCAGGGTGAGTTTGGCGGGCTTGATGTTCTGCGATGTGAATTTCAATGCGCCCAACGAGAACGCCGCGGCCAGTGTTAGGGAGGTGGAGGAGAAGGAGGCGCCGCCAGTCGAGGAGCTGGTCGACGACTGTGGGGTCACGACATTCTTGGACTCGCGGCGGAGCTGCAAAGCGTTTGCAAGCGCCTTTTCGTGCGTGCGGACGAAGTTGGCAAGGTTCTAAAGGGAACAGTTTTAGCGATACAGGTCCACAAGGAGGCCCGGGAGGAATCATGCTGATGCTGAATCTTCATCGCTGCTTTGGAGACAGGACACACCTTAATGAAGAGTTGTCCATCTTCAGTGTTTAGCTTCTCCATGGCGGATACGGGATCCAGCGAGGCAGGAGAGGAGCCCGGAGAACTCTGAAGATGGATGGCTCAATAGAGGGTATCAGAGAGAGTCGACATTTTGCTGGTGCGACCAGGTGCGATTGAAAAGGAATGTGTTGTCGATGTCGCCTAGGCGAAGGTGAGCAGTTAGCTGAGTTGGTTCTTTTTGTTGGGGAGGTTCGGCGGGTGTTGTTTTCTTGTTGATCGCGGAGTCGCCGTGATCGGGAAAAGAAAGCAGGACGCAAGTACCTCTTCGAAAAGGAGCGTGGCGAGTCGACGTGAAGAAGAAGCCCCAAGAGATCTCAATCAAAGATCTCGAACAAGGGTCAGGGGGTGGGATGAAGTAGGAGCAAATTGACGGGGGGGAGAGGAGAGGGAAGTGAGAAATTGGTGGCACGGGGTAACCGCTAAATACATACGATGTCTGATGATCGGAGGGGAATGGTATTTACGAGAGGTACGATGTTTACCACCGAAATTACGATATTATAATTTACTTTACGGGCGACTAAAGTTTCATCGGGTTTAGGGGGGGGGGGGGGTGGATTTATTTCGGGATTATTTTAAGGAGAGATTAGAACGGATTTGTACCACTCAGAATCTGATCTTCCCGGTGGTATCATTTAAGATTGCTTCTGCTTTTCTCTTCTCTTCTCGAGGAGGACCAGTCGAACTACTGTAAGTTGGCCGTGGTCGGATCGCATCGACTCATTTCCTCCGTTGAAAACGTCCCTCTCTTCGGGGGCTGTCATAATCTCACGTCAACCTAACGTGAGGTCCTAACCTCTCTCTCTCTCCCTTCTTCATGGCTAATTTATCTGAATTCTAATGAAACGGGACAAAGGAACGGGATGGTTCCATGGGTTTGGTAGTGCCTTATAACAGTTTATCCTCAACGCAGCGAATCCGAATTTAACGTGACTAGTTCGATCATGATCATAGGCTACGAATTATCGTGCAGCCAACGCCCAGTGGTCAGTGGCGAGCCTATGGAGGGGTCGTATTAGGGCGACTCGCGTCTATCAGACCCTTCGGTTGGTTGGACCGAAATGGAGTTTCCGTCGTCTGAATGGAGGGGAGTCGTGGGTCGTGGATGAGCAGAGAAGAGGATCCATCACTAAGGTTCAAGTACGGAGTATAGGATGGCCAAACTTGGGAATGCCCCGCCGACGATGGGTTGATCATGATCCTCTTTGACCCTCATCCTCCTTCTTGATCCTCGTCGTGCATGGCCTGGCGGGATGGCCGCATTCTGAGGCCATCCCCTCGAGTAAGGAAGCGTCCGTCTATCACGCTCCATAGTGGGGTCTCTCGTCCGTGCAGGTCCGTTTAGTTTCCTACGTTAGTCTCTTTCCGGAGTAGTCTTTTTTGTAGTTTCTTTTTTTTTTTCCCTATCCTGATCGGTTCCCCTCCTCCCCGGTTGACCAGAAAAAAAAAAAAGACATAGTAGATAGGAGGGAACTACATAGATACATAGCTATACACGCTCGTTCTTGACCGACTCAACACTGAACGATGACCATCCCACTCAGCTCGCCCGCTCGCGCTGGGAAATCTTGACAGCCACCAAACCGCACAGCCCAGGTGGGAATGCCGCAGTTGCCCCGTGCTCCTTGGCCCGCTTTTTTTTCTTTCCGCCCTTTCAGTGCCGCAATCAAAGTCCGTACAAGACGTAGTGTCCTGTAGCCTGTAGGTCGCGTCGGTAGCGCCGTGTTCCCGAGTCGGTCCTTACCGGATACTGCTGGGGTCATCTGCAGTGTACACAGCTTCTGCGTGCTCGGGGCCAATCAGACGATCGCGATGCAGATGCAGAGGATATCGGTGTCGCAGATGCTCCAAGCCAGTCCGGTCGCCGAGAAAATGGGACCATGCGAAAAATTTCTGGAGCACTGAACATGAACGCATCGTATCCTGGATCATACTCGATGGGGATCGGAAATAGGAAAAGATTAGCCTAGGGAAGATAGATTGTACGGACACACGGACGGGCCGTTTTGGGGCTTTCAAGGATGGAGTCGATCAACTATGAACGAGCCAATGAGCCCGGGCATACGCTGTCCGCTATCTATGTATGTATGGGCATATTCACATTTCTCCAGTCAGATACGGAAAAGAATGGCGGCGTACGGTGGTCATCTGTCGTTTATATTTCAGCCTCTTCGTGAGATGTTATTGTCATCGTGCTCTGGTCATCCCTACAGATAGTTAAATCTGGGGGTTTTATCGCTTCATGATGCTCAAAGTGTCAATAATTACCCCTTAGGGGAAGACGATATCCTCAAGCCCGTTCGAGTTTTCAAATTGAATGGAACGCCACCGTACTGGAGAACCAACTTTTCTACGGTAGGAGAGGACACGAGACTAGCAAATGGGACTCCGTGGCTTTGGGGCGTTTTTCTCGTGGATTTTTCCTGGGACCCAGTCAGCTCGCACTGACATCTGACATTCCACCGGGGCCACCAGTGGGCCCCTGATTGATCCGTCTTGGGGTGGAGGTCGGGATATCATCGATCAGCACGGTCCGAATGACATCGAATGGAGGCAGAGAATGAAGACGAACGATGGAGAACGGCCAATAACCAGACTAAAACACATTCCATCTTCGACACCCTCGTGATAGTTTTGGTTTTTTGGTTTTCAACTTCATCCCCCCCCGATATCACGCCTTATCGCGACGTGCCCCGCGATCAGTCTCACCGCACATTCCCGGGCCGAGGGGGACTAAGAAGGGCTGCGAAACAACGGGAATCCGAGCCATGGTACTCCCTGGTACTCCCTGGTACTCCTTATTTTCGCAGAGTGCAGCAATGTCTTTATTGCTACTCATCTCATTAACCTTTCATAAGAGAAAGAAGGGGCTGGCTATACGAATCAATTCACTGCAAACAGGTGATAGGTCGAATTTTGGCTTTAGGTGCGCCGACCATGGCTGGTCGCTGGGTTTCAGGAGTCGAGTTTGTTTGACAGGGGCAATCTAGGATAGGGGGGACAAGCTGTAGATTCGGCATCACTTGGTTCGTAATTTCATTTCGCAGCGCAGTGTCCGGGATCCCGCATTGTACATGAAGTAGAGTGTCAAAGTATTCAATGGATCCAAGTATCGACCGTGTACGTCTTTATGTGTAGCTGTGATCGCATTGGGTGCGATGTTTGTTTGGCTCCCCAAGGTGAAACTGTCAAAAGTTGATCCCTGGAGCCGATCCCCTGGTTGGGCGCGGGGTATGGGAAATTAGAGATTTCTTTCGGTATTTGACTCAGCTTGATATTAGCGAGAAGAACTTGGTTCTATAGATGGCCAGCATGATTCAGAACAGGAAAATAACCTCGCTTGTCGGCTTGTTTTCTAGCCAACATTCCCGAGCTCCCTGCGCGGCAAAAGGGCGCTCGGTCCAACATCTGCTCCCAACCTCGCTGCAGGCTAACCCTCCGCCCCTCTGCAGTGGCCAGGAGTAGTTCGCATGCAGTCTGTCCTTGCAGGAGCCCCAGGTCCCGTGTTGTACGTACCACGGTTGGTACGGAGAAGTTAGTCGTGAAAAAGTAAGCTTGGCACGCATACTAAGCAGCGAGACATCAAGAAGTATACATATGTACTCGGTCCAAGTGCTCCGGAGTCCTGTCTATCAACGAAAGTACATACAGCTATCTGCATCGGTGAGCTTCTACTGGGCTCACCGACGCACAAGTCTTACGATTTGTGAACACACCACTGGAGCTGTCTATTTTCCCCTCCAGCCCCCGATGTTGCGTGACTATGATGATGACCTTGGCCACGAGTACCGTACCCTCATTCGGAGCCCCTCCCCCAGCCCCATCCAGCTGAAAGAATGCTCAGCGCACATGGGAATGATCAATACCCCAAAAAGGGCAACGGGTGGATCTTGCCCTGTAGAATCGCATGAGATCTTGATACGATCAGCCCTCTACAACCAGATCAAGCAGGAGAGTCAGCACCCCAAGAGTCAAGAGTTTGGTGGACGTTGTAAGCATCCAATAATCGCCAATGGATCAACTAGCAATTTGACGCCTCGGGCGTTGACCGGTCCTCTTTTGCCTCCCCACTGCGGGCGATCAATACAGCACGAGGATCCGAAAGGGTGATATCGCGGGCGGCGTGCTTATTGGGTGAGACACGGCACGGTCATTTGCATAATACGCATTCGCCAAGCCCCTCGTGTGGCTCGCTGAGAGCCTGCATATTTGACCATTTTTACTTTTTTTGGTCGATGTATCTGTTTCTTGCCTCGCGAGGTTTGACCATTCATCGAAGTTTACGACATAACATAGGACTACCGACTCCGGGAGGGACAATGATCACTGTGAGCGGGTCGGAGGTGGACGAGGGTAACTCCAACCCTGGCGCCACAGAATTTGACCCGCGTAAAGAAGTTTAGCGATCTGCATCAAACCAAATGAGGAAGCGAACATTGGAGTTGAGCCATTTGGATGCCGAGGTGCTTGGTTGTGAGAGGCTGGCGATGTTCGGAATATACCGTTCGAGTCTAGTGAGGACGGGGTCGGAAGCGTACAGAGTAGAAGATTGCTCACTAGATTCCATACTTTCTCCCCCCTCCATGATTCACGCACTCACTAGCCCGCTCCTACTACTGTCTGTCATCGCCATGGCCCCCACCCCCTTGTTCACATCCCGGTTTACGAATCATACTAGTGAGTCTAAAAGGTAACCTAAAATGACGGGCGGCTACCGCGCAACCCAAAATTAGCAAATCAATTTGATCTCCAATCCACCGCCGTTGCGTACGACCACAAAGTCGTCGGATCTGTTATTCTAAACAAGAAGCTTCGGAATCTATGACCAAGGATTGAGATCTGAACCAGCCACTGGAGAGGCAGCCACCGCAAGTAATGTTTGCTTATTCTCTCCACCGATTCGAGGATTTCACAGGTCAAGGGTGGATCAGCATGATCAGCGCCAAGGGGGCGCATATGACTGGGGACGCGGTGCTAATTAGCAACCAATCCCGCCCGACAGGGAGGTGCACGTATGCACATCTGCACATCATTTGGGGTTACTTATTTCCGATTTCCCATCGCGTTTCTTCTTGGAGGCCATTATTAGAACATTGAGTACGCCGTATATGTATTGAACTATAGCTTCTCACTACCATGTCAAAAGTAGAAAATATCTAAAAATGTAGTACATAGTTGATATTTCCATAGTCTCAGTCAGGTGATGGCCCAATTAGGTAAAACGGATACGATATCCGACCATCCATCTCCCGACGAGTTATATACAGTATCCACCTCATGCACCAGGTTCGTGAGGTCACCACCGCCAATCGAGTGGATATTGAATATCATGGACAACCCTATGTCGTCACCTGTCCGGAGCTACCTATACCGTATATCCTAAAATCTTCCCAATTCGACGACGATCGACGATGTACCTCCCTCTCCATATCTTCCTCCAACCTCTCCGATATCGCCAATCCCTTTGCGGGCGGCTAAAATGGTCATCGTATCCCGCGTTAGCCCATAGGGTGCTTTCCCGTCCCACCACAATGGATTGCACCACTAACTCAAATAAAAAAACCGAAAGTAGCAAAGTAAGAAAAGTTACCAGCCCTGCCAATCACAACGGCTACCACACATCTATAGAAAGATCGAAACCAAGACAGGATGTAGCGGTGAAGCTTTGCCGTGTTGCTTTGGAGCTTTTGTTTTTCTGATTGATAGAACCACTACCAGGATATCGGTAATGGATCGTCGTGTGAGCAAGATAGACTTTTTCCCCACTGAATTTTTTCTCGGAGGGGGATGGAGGGGTAACGAGGGGAATGAAGATTGTGTCCTGGGCGACGAGGAGATGTTTGGCTCGTGGGAGCCGGTCAGCAAGCATTCCGTGAAGCTACACTCGGACCATTGTTGTGCCACGAGATTGACTTTCTAACGAGCATGCGCGAATTGCAAGCTGCGAATGCAAATGCAAGTACATATGCGAATGCGAGTGCCAACTTCCTGCGTAGCATGGTGAGGTGGGATGGAGAATTGTGTTTTTGCCCGGAATGCCCTGTCGCCCTGCCCCGCGGCAGGAGGGGAGAATTACATGATCCATTGACACAGTTGAACCTGAGCTTGATCAACAAGTCATTGTGTACACCATAACCGCCCTTGACTTTGTATATTGCAAGGAAAGCAAATAGCGGTCTGGAGGTGATGATATCCTGAAAAAAACAAACTAATTGCGCCGGTTCCAGCAAAAGGGACGACCGAACCATGGATTGCTCGTTCCTTATCTTTTTTTTTTCTCCTTTTGGAAAAAGATAACAATCGCGGGGTGCCGAGAATCAAAGTACACTAGCCACAAAGCACTAGCCACGGATGCCTCCGCTGTGGAGTGGCTCGGGTGGGTATGCACGTGATGCTGACGTCGGTGGGAAGCTGCTGCCCCAACCGGGTTCATCAAAGCTGTGGCCAGATGCCCTTCATTCTTCACGATCTACTACACAATGAGTTGAACCATGCCCACCGCGGAGAAAGCAGTGCTACAGGACCACTATGACCCGGTCGGTCTGCCAGACTACGACCGAGAATTCATCAAACCGGACGAGCTCGAACGATTCGCGCAAGCATTGAATGCTCCGCAGGCGTCTCCATTGGTAGCTCTTAACGACTGGCGCCCGATCAACCAACGAGTGCGCAAGGCCCGCGGCCGTCGCAAAGCCCCGAAGCGAAGCAAGGACGAAACAAGGGAAGGCATCTTGTACACTGTACTGAAATGGCCGTTTTTGGGGACCGTTTTCGCGTGGATTGCCCTCCTGGGCTGTGGCTACGTCCTTGTTAGGCTTTACATCGTCGCATATGAGCAAATAGTGACCTGGAGAGGTAAAAGGCAGCGGCTCAGGCGAGAACTCTGGGCCCAGAGAGATTACCCGAGCTGGCTGCGTGCTGCTCAGGTGCTGGACGCCTATTTGGGGAATGACAAATGGAAGCAGACCGATGAGTACGCTTACTATGATCACCTCACCATCACCAAGGTGGTGGATCAGCTGAAAAATGCGAGATATCAGGCCGAGAGTGAATTGAATGATGGCACCGGTGCTAAAGAGACGTCGGCGATCGAGGAGTTGAGTGCTTTGTTAGAAGCCTGTGTCAAGAACAATTTTGCCGGTGTGGAGAATCCCCGGATGTACAGCGAGGCATACTCTGGGACGAAAGATCTGGTACAAGAATATATCGACGAGGTACATACGTGCATCGAACTGGTTCGTGACTGTCGGCAAATCGACCGAGAGACCAAGTACCAGCACTTCAAACACCTGGACACCAACTTTGGACGCACGGCACTTTGTCTATCGGGCGGAGCGACTTTTGCCTATTACCATTTTGGAGTGGTCAAGGCTCTGCTGGATAACGATGTGCTGCCGGAAATAATCACTGGAACGTCTGGCGGAGCGCTCGTCGCTGGTCTGGTAGCGACCAGAACCGATGAAGAGCTGAAGCAGCTACTAGTGCCGGCTCTAGCCCACCGGATTCGGGCATGCCACGAAAACTTTTTCCAGTGGAGTAGTCGATGGTGGAGGACGGGGGCTCGATTTGACACGCTCGACTGGGCCCGGCAATGTTCCTGGTTCTGCCGAGGATCAATGACTTTCAGAGAAGCCTATGAACGCACTGGTCGTATCTTGAATGTGTCTTGCGTACCCTCGGACCCTCATTCACCCACCATTCTCGCAAACTACCTGACTGCCCCCGATTGTGTTATTTGGAGCGCAGTCCTAGCTTCGGCTGCAGTGCCCGGCATACTGAATCCGGTCGTCCTGATGACCAAAAAGCGCGATGGCACACTAGCGCCGTATTCTTTCGGACACAAGTGGAAGGACGGCAGCTTGAGGACCGATATTCCCATCAAGTCGCTCAATCTCCATTTCAACGTGAATTTTACAATCGTGTCGCAGGTATGTCGATCGCCCCCACTACTTTGAATTGTGGATCTCTCTCTGACAATGGACTCTTCCGCTCTAGGTCAACCCCCACGTCAATCTGTTCTTCTTCAGCTCACGAGGAACTGTCGGGCGCCCCGTCACGCACCGCAAGGGCCGTGGCTGGCGCGGTGGATTCCTCGGCACTGCGATCGAACAATACATTAAACTCGACCTGAATAAATGGCTTCGGGTCTTACGGCATCTTGAGCTCCTTCCACGGCCTCTGGGCCAAGACTGGAGTGAGATCTGGCTACAGAAATTTAGTGGCACGGTTACTCTCTGGCCTAAGAGCATTCCCTCTGACTTTATTCACATCCTCTCGGACCCTACACCAGAGCGACTTGCGCGCATGATCCATGTTGGTCAGCAAAGCGCTTTCCCCAAACTCCAGTTCATTATGAACCGTCTCAAGATAGAAAAGAGTATCATGAGGGGCCTTCAACAATGTTCTACTACGGGAGGCCGCTCTCTTTCCCCAATCCTGTCTCGTCGGATGCAAGCTCCGGAGCTTAAGCCATCGGATGCACTTTCTCAGAGGCTGGACGCAAGCTTTCCTGAACGTCACGACGATGGGGACTCGCGCTATGTGGATGTCTCCGATAGCATGTCCCAGTCAACGGCATCCTCCCGCCCTCAGACCCCGACCCGGCGGGGCAGCCTTATGGAGGAGATACGACGCCAGTCCGCGGTATTTTTTGATGACACAGATAGCTACGGTGACGAAGATGCCCTTGTCACCTGAGGTGATCTTTCGGTAGAGGCGGCTTAAGCGCCCCCCGCGGGTGATAGGATGATGCCAACCCAGCCCATGACGGCGGGTGGGATGTTTCTGCTTCCGATACCTGCAGATCGGCCTCCTACCTCCGTCATGATGCTTGCCGTCTCAGAGGTTTATTCGATATGACAGGCGGCTCCTAGTCGTTTTACACATTTTCATATGTGGATACTTTCGGATCATCCGCGAGCTTGCCTGTTGTATTATTCGCCGCCGTGAAAGGTCCAAGTTAGTCAATTTGTTTTCTCGCCCCCGCACTTGCGAATTATTACACTAGCATGACAAGGAGTTTTCTTTCTTTGTTTTGCTGATTAGCCTGCATACACAATACAGCCTTTGAATTTTTGATTTTGAGTTTTGCATATTGCTCCTTTGCTCACATCTTGCTACTTTGTGATTAGTCTGTTCGAGTACAGTGAAGTTCCATAAGTTTTATAACCTATCCACCTTGTCCTTCATTAGTTAGCCATGCTTTGATTGATAAATTGAGTGATGTTGCCTGAAGTTTCAGAAAGACAAATTCAAAAAGCGCATCGAGAGACTTTGAGAAACAGAAGAAGCCGAAGCGTGTCCGGCTATGCCTTTGTTCCCATAGTTTTGTTTCAGATTTTGGACTCCAACGTCTATATATTGAGACAGGTTACATACAAATTGAAATACTGTTATTAATAAGTTAGGGTAATGAATTTGATCATCATCTTACCTCGACTTCTTCCAGGGTGCAATCATTGATACCCTGTGGGGGTAGACGTCTGGCACGATGTCGAGGGATTCGACGAGCGGGGATCCGTCAGGCACGATGACGTCGCCATATGCGTTGGCTTGAGCGCCACCATCAGATAAACATTAGACCCATGGAACGCTACTGCCACAGTGTTGTCATTTAATCTATCTCTACATGGTCATATGGTAGAAGTGGTTCCTAATTGCCTAGTCTCTGGAGACCCCTAAGTTAACAGTAACATTACTAGCGTGTATTTGATCGAGACCTTGCAAATTATGGACCAACGTCTTGAAGAAAAAATTGATGACGATTTCTGTAGTGTGGCTCTAAGCAATTTGAGTTTCAGGCCTTCAATGGAATTGCGGGGATGCGGAACGTTGTATCTCAGGGAGTGACAGGCACGAGCAGGTGGTTCTCATGCCTGACCAAGTGAATGTCATTAGTTCCGGGAAACTTCACAGCAGGTCTGTAGATTGATGCTCATCAAAAGGAGGATATCAGCAAGAATGAGGTTCAACATACCAGTCAACTGCATATTTGTGCTTGAAGAGGCCTCCACCAGGCTCCGTTTCCATCGACCAGACTCGTAGCACCGAGCAGCCTCCTTTTTCAACGACGACTTTAATCGGCCACAGCTCTATGCGTTCATAAACAACGCCGTTCTGAATAGGCTGGACATCAATAAATTGAGACTCTCGTCGAGGGAGATAGAGTCTGTGATTGGGACTCTCGGGCTTGACCTTCTGCATGCTGGTCCGCAGCCAGCCCTTCGTCACAGGCACAGCATCACTGGACAACCCCGTCTAGGCAACTTCCATTCCAGCAACAGTGAATGCCGTAGTGTCAAAAAGAGATCCGGATCCAAATTCTCTGGTGGTGGAAAGGCAGAGCTGTCAACCGGGACAGCTAGATGCGCGAGAACATGGTCTGTCACCTCGAGCTCTGACTGAACAGGCAGCGTCTTGAGTTCGAGCACCTTCACTCATATGACAGACGAATCGCCTGCATCATAAGACAGAATGGATGACTCCGCTGGTTTGATGACCTGTAAATGCTTCCCCAGACCAAGATCAGGAATCAGGAAAAACTTGGTATACCGAGTTCTCGCGAAAAGCCACTCCAACTCATTCCTACGAGCAAAACTTTTCTCGCCCTCAGGATTACTGAACCCAACATCATCTTTCCTCAAGCAAATATTGGCTAGAGGTACTTTGCAAGTCTTCCAGCTGGCATAATCGGTATCCTTCAAGAACGCCGACAAAAAGCTGCATTCCAGTTTCACTTCCTCATCACAGTCGAAAGGCAAAATGTGTCTACCTACAGTGAATCGCAGGAGCTTGTAATCTGAGCCCGTCCACATATAGCCTTGCAATGCAAGATTGGATGCATGTCATGAGACCGGGTGGTGTCACGGCTGCCATGCTGGATGATATCGGTCTTCGCCCAATTTTTATTGATGCTAGCTCTTAGCATTTATACTGGTACAACGGTGCAGCTTTGAAGAGAGCTAGGTGTTGCCGGTATGCCTGATCCAGTCGGCGGTACTGTTCATCGCAATGCTGATGGGTGTCCATCTGATCTTCTTGATGAGGGAGCTATGATATCTATAATCTAACCGTATGTACATATGCAGAATCTCTACGTCGAAACAACGCGGAGCTCGACTAGAGACCCTCGTATACGAAAGTTGTGAACAAGCAGTTGAAATTGGGCATGTGTGAATCTATGGTTGCAGCATCAGGTGATGCGCCAAGAAGTATCTTTTCCGAAAATCGAACTGGAGCGTTGAGTGTCGGGAAGTTGGCGGACCTTGTCGTAGCAGACATGGAAAGGGATGCAAAGGCTCTCCTCCAGGCAAAGATAAAGGAGACATGGTTCGGTGGACGCAAGGTCTGGAGTGACTAGGGAAATAGATGCACGCTAGTTACATCAGCAATTAGTATTCATGGGTATCCCAGTGCGCTCTTTTCATGATGTCGTTGAACTTGCGGAGAATCAACCAACCAGTAGTTGATTCAATTTTGACCACACCGCTTGAAGATCTCTGCTCACCGTCTTAGAATTCTTTAATGAACTTCACTGGCGATTTAAAAGGTACTGTCAAAGTAATACTTAATACGCCTAGGGTGCCAGTAGCGGATCTAAGTTCTTTAAAAAATTGCAACAGTATTGCTAGTCAAACGGTGTTATACAAGAGGAGAAACAGGACATTGACAGAACATCTAGGGAGGTCCAGGAGGGCCACCCATTGGGGGATCGCCATCATCACAACAGCACTTACAACACTCGAAGCAACAGAGTCCGGCACAGCTAAGCAGATCGTTCAATAAGAATATTTAGAGATAATCATAGTCATTTGATGCACACTTACAGTCCACAACAAATGTCCTCACCCATGTCACCGCCACGCATATGGACGCCCATGGAATCGGAGGATCCCTGGTGATTTGTTAGTATCCATGCTTGGCATTCTCTGGGCATTATTGGAATCGATGTGCTTACTGGCTGCTCAGAGACGGTCTGACTCATGGCTGGGGCAGTAGGGCAGTTTGGTTGCTGCATAGTCACCGTATTGGCGTCCCATTTATTCTCAGCCACGGGCTCCTGGGTTGACTGGAACCAGCTCTTGATGGTTTCTAACATGATGGATAAATTTGGAGTTGTGCAAGATAGAAGGAGGAACTACAGTGCAGCACAGCCGGTGCTATTGTGTATTTAAGGTGGTCAAGCCAGCCATATCAACTGATGCCCACGAGATCGACCTGGAGCTTTTCCCGTCTATACTATCGTCCTTAACCCAAAAACTTCAATAGTTACCCTCTTGCCTCAATTGTATTTTTTGAATAATTCGTTGTTCTGCGTCAGTGGTGCCGCTGGGACGCGTAACCCCACGCCACAAGAGATCCGATGGAGATCCACTTTAAGCCGGTAGGGCTGTGCAACATCCGTTGCTTCAAAAATGCTTGCGTGGACATCACTCCTCATTATTGCGGAATTGGAGAATGTCTTGACGCCAAGTGAATGAGGTCACTATTTTTTGGGACCTTTTACTGATACCATAAAGTACTTACTACACTAATCGCATCTGGAAAACGGGTTCGTGTTGCAATTGGAAGATCGCCGATAGCTAAAGACCCAGGCAAAGACCTCATCCGGCACCCCAAACTAGTGCCTATGATCCAACAATTATCAATTAATAGTGAGAACTAGTTAGGCTGCCATTGGCGGCTCTCATTTACGGCATTTCTTGGCTTTTGTAGGGCTACTTGGCAAATCTCCATTCTGATCCAGCACGCCACCGGTGTGGGAGTCATGACGATCATCCACGTATCCAGCTTGAATCTGTGACGTGAATTATTAGCAACCTCGTGTATAAGAATCAAATGGTACGATCATTTAAGTGTCATAATTACTTTCTTTCCATTCATACCACATTTTATCCTTCATTCTTCCGAACTCTTCCCTCCATACATAAGCAAATATGGGTCTCTTCCATCACCACCACGATCACCATAAGGAGGGCGGTGGCCCCGGCGGCCCCGGCGGCCCTCAGGGAGGCCCTGGTGGTCCCGGTGGTCCTGGTGGCCCTCATGAAGGCCATCATGGAGGCCCTCACGGAGGCCACGGTGGTCCTGGTGGTCCTCAGGGAGGTCAGGGAGGCTTTGGCGGCCCGGGTGGCCCTCAAGGAGGCCAGGGTGGCTTTGGCGGCCCCGGTGGTCCTCAAGGAGGCCATGGTGGCTTTGGTGGCCCCGGTGGCCCCGGTGGCCCCGGTGGCCCTGGTGGTCCTCAGGGAGGCCCTGGTGGCTTTGGTGGCCCTGTAAGCAACAAACTCAGATTTCCATTGAATATAATCGCTGACAGATTCATAGCACGGCGGCCGGTAAAGCGTTTACATATAAGGAAACAGATACAAGGCAGGCGGGGAGGAAATCTTACCTGATAAGCTGTATATAAATCTCACAAGGCAATGACAAGAACAAGAGTCTTGAAATCCATTCAAACTGATAGGTTCAGCGTACTTTGTACTGAAAACATGGAGTACATAGCCGTGGCTTCTCTGAGATGAGAACATGAGATAACCCAACCCGGGCAGCAATGTGTAATTAGTAAAATCCAAATATTGAACCAGGTATGTTGTGGTATGAAATGTCATGAATTGAAGGTCAAGAATACAACGAGGGTATGCAAACACGAATGAAATAGACACCAGGCTTAATGCGCCATGCCAATGGTGAAGCCTGAGAACTCCCGAAATAATGATGAAAGGAACCCTAATCCAGACTCCCTTTAATGAGTGTTTTGTATCAACGCTTTCGTAATCATCATAATAGCACCGATCCAGCTGTGCTTGTTTGCAGGGGTAAGTAATGACAGAGGTGTGCAGCTACTGTAAGCCACAGACTGTTTAGAGCCAACGTCCAATAGTTCTCCGTTGCTGACGTTTGACCGTTCCCAAGTCTCGATATCGTTTGTTGTTCGCTCTGTGCTTGCGTTCTTGGTAATTTCTCCAGTGCTGAGCAATCACATCCTCTGCCCAGACGATTCTGTTTCTAGTTTGAACAACAACCGCGCAGTGCGCAGCAAGATCGTGAGCGATCTTTCGACGGGACTCATCACGCTTGGCAAGGTAAGTCCGCCAAAATCGCTGTAGCACTACAGCTGCGCGAGCACGCTTGGAAGCTGAAAGCAAGCGAGAACAGAGAAATGCCAGGGTACCAAGAGTAAATTCTCCGTCGAGGAAATGAGAGGATGCTTTTCCAGGGGAGACGAGGCATGCTATAATCGTATATCAGTATTTGGTTCAATGGGGCTCTATGTTGGCCAGTGATTTTGACTTACCAAACTGAGGGCTGCACCCCAACTGGCGTAAACGAGATTCCAACGACATCAAGACGGAACCTTCCCCAATATTGCAGCCTCCTGTCCCCGTGCCAGTGATAAACGGCTCATACTCATCCACAATGCTGCCGTAGATTTTCCCATCCGCGAAGCTAGTAGTCATGTTCCTGATTCTCAGGCCTTTGAAGGCTGCCAAGATGGCAGCCCATCGTTGGAGTAAAGAAGCATTGTCATCATCACTGATACAATTCTTAGGCGGGAACCATGCTTCTTGTTTGACCCGGTCATGGCCAAGCTGAAGCGTAAGCTTGCGTTGAAGCCTATCAGTTTCTTTGCGGACATCATCCCAGTCAACGAAGCCCGTGAGTCCCCATTTGCTGAGAAGAGCCCACAGGAGAGCAATGGTCTTTTCACGATAACCATCCACGATATCCTCCGCCCGGATTTCGCCAATTATTACACGACCCTCCTTAACAGATCTCAGAGCCGAGAGGGCGATCTGAACATTGTAGGTTTTGGCTGCTCGACTGATGCATGGATACTTCAGATGCCCGGACAAAGGTAGGTCTCTTTCATCGCCACCAAGTGAAAGGATCTCTCCCGAAGACAATGTGACTCGGCCTTCGAGGCCGTTTCGCACGCGCTCCGAGGTGTACAAGAGGATTTCGACAATTTTGGTCAACCGCACACCATCTCTGAAGTCGACGGCGATGTTGTCTATCATGTAGTCAAATTCTTGAAGCGCATGCTGCTTGTAAGTGACATGACAATCAAGATGGCCCAGTGACTTCACTATATCTCCAACAGATGGCAATAGCAAACGGGCCAAGGCTTGTAGGACCTCGGCGGAAGACTTGTATCGAGATGATGACAGGAAAAGTTGTCGAGGTAAGCCTGTGTCAAAGCTTTGTCTTGCGTGATCCAATAGAACAACGAGCACAATGCTTCGAAGTGCGGTCCGACGATATGCCCGAGCGTGGATCTCACCCGCTCCTGGGGCCGCATGCACCATGTCGTCGTTTTGCAGCAGAAACGCTTCAAGGAAACCCTCGACCTTTCGAGTAATCGCCTTTTGGGTCGTGAAATTATCCGTACAAGCCGAATCGCTACGAACATCAAACAAAGTGACGTCGCTAGAAATTCTTCGGCCCATCACGGTCTCCAAGGCCGGAACCAGGGCACGAAGGTCATAGGTCTGAATCCAAGTGTCCAAAAATTGTCTCCGCAGGCCCAGGTCATGGTTGAGCCGGCTGTTGCGAGCTTGAATGTCCTTGTGAATGGCAAGAGTTCCAAAGGACAAGGATGATTGAAGTCGCTGGTAGAGGCGTGTGAAGTCTTCAGTATGGTAGATTTCAAGCAATTCCGGGCGGAGAGCATATGGGTCCGCAGCCGCCGAGTCGTTGCTAGTGCACTCGAACAAAGCGTTAACCAGCTGGGTGACGACAGTTTCCTGGTGTGAGAGCCAGTCATCTTCATACAGCGCGGGCTTTGATATGTCCTCCGTCAACAGTGGGTACTGGCTGTGCAGCTCCTTCAATGCCGAGGTTCTCTCAACCTTGGAGGCTCGCGTGGTCTGCGACTGACCTAGCCGTTCTGACAATACCGATGCGCGAGCTTTGAGGGATGCGGATGCATTATGCAGAGGATCATGTGACTCGGTTCGAGGTCTTGCAGAACGGAGAGAAGTAGATGACGCGTGTCCATTATTTTGCATTTCGCCCAGAATACCGCGCTTAGGCAGATGCTTCTTCATGTCGACAGCTGAATTTGTAGTGTGTGGTTTCATGTGCATTGTGGTACAGCGAGCCGACTTTGATGTCACCGTGCTCAATCGCTTCGGCTTGGGTTGTACTGCATGATCAAATTTGCTTGTTTTGTCGACCTCAAGGACTGCTCCAGGTGGAATATTCTCCTTGCCGCCGTTCTTGCCAGCAACATCGACTCTAAATGCAGCTTCCTGTGCAATCTTGACGCTTGGTTGGAGAGGTGCTCTGCATGCAGGGGCTACCTCAGGTTTTCGAGCCTGTCGCTTTACAATTCGTGCTTCAAGACTGTTGACATGGGTATCTTCGGGTAGAGGCACAGTGTTATCCTGTGGTCTCTTTAGTGGACTGAACAGCCCCATGAACACACTCGGTACGGTACTATTGTTTGGTGGAATATAGGCCGTTTTGTGGCGAATATCTTTCTTCGGGTTATTTACACCCGGGCCGACACTCAATACTTTGTGAGCAGGACGGAGAACAGACAGAGATCCGTCATTTATCCCAGGTTGTAATGATTGTGCATTCCGTTGTCTTTCGGTCTCTGGAGCATAGTTGACTTTCGGGCGAAATCGCTGGGCAGGTTGAGCGAGTAAAGATGATTTGTAGTTAGAGGAACCTCGAGGTCGCGCATTTGGTCTTCTTCGTTCGGCGGGGACCGACTGCTTATCGTTGATATCCTCGTAAATTTGAACCGAAGTGCGCGCTCGATTGCTTCTTCGAGGTCCCACGCCAGTCAGAGTCGGTATTTGAACCTGTGTCGTGAACTCGACCTGAGCCGTGGCGTCAAAGGCCGAGTCATCAATCACCAAGCTATCCAAGGGCTCGTTGCTGACATGCTCACTCCACCCAGAGCATCGTGACCTGGATGGACAAGGTGTAAATGCTTCATTCAAAATTCCGGACATGGTATCAAAATGACCAGTCTTGAAGGTGGGTGATTCATGGGCACATCAGCTCGTTGGAATGGGGTGTCGAGATTGAGTTAGTCGGAAGTGTGCCCTTGCAGGTTATTGATCTGCGAGAGGCGGTGTGAACTGAGGGGAGGGGAAGGAATTTTCACAAAGACTCGAGGTTGAGGATATCGACTTGCAAGTTGATAAGGAGAGCCTGAATCTTTGAACGATAGGCGATAGTCGCGACGACTGATAACGGTCGCGTCTCCATGACGCATCTCCCTAAGGCCTCGGCGTTGTTGACGGGCTCGTTGTCAGGGGCAACTGAGATTACATCATCATGGCGGGGCATACACGTGACTTGATCCAAAAATGGAAAGGCGTCGATCTGCCCGAGCGGGCAATTGTGCATGCACCCTGCATAACCAAATTACCTTACCATATACAGATACCTCCCATTCATATCTGAAACGCTAACGAACACTTGGGTCTAGCTGCATCCATCTAAATCGGATTACCGACTGTAACGTTAGCCGGCTGCGGCCGGACCTACCTCGGGCTTTTCACCAAGTAGCTAGCCCATGCACCTTACATATGTAGCATGATATACACGCACAGTACGGAGTACTGTACACGTCCTCCTCACCTCTGCGCTGTAAAATTAAGGGAACTATAATCATCCAAGGCGGTCAAGACTATCTGCAGGATAAATTACCACCTTATTTTAATGGAGATCAACTGTTATCGTATTGGCGGATAAGTCCGTGGTCATCGCGAAAAAGGAGGCGAGTGGGGCTGCTCTAAATTAAATTACATAGACAAATCAGACTCTCGTGACTTCTCCTTTCCCCGGATGATCAGTCAACGTGGCCACGCTCTAGCTTTCCCTCGTTAGTTACTTATTGACCTTCAAGATACCAACATTATTGTGACTGGAGAGTGTTGGTTATCCCGCGACATGTTCCTAGGCGCGCGCCTGGCCCTCTAACACCTATTGCATAGTCCCTCCTCCTCTCCGGCCACGATTTCGGCCAGCCCACTACCACCCACTTTCCATTCCTCGCTTCGTGTTCCGGAATGGTTCTCGGCCATGGAGTCTTTTGTGCCTAAGGATTCGCCTTTGGATGACTACCTCCAAGGTTTGTCTGTCTTGCGCCCGAGCCGAGTAGGCTGTAACTACATGCTGACGCGCTTTGGCTTCTTAGGAGTTGGTGGAAGCGAGGAGAACTGGTCAGCGGCAGAAGCGCAAAGCGACAGTGAACATGAGGTCACAGCCTCTGATTTTGCTCCTCGGGGAGCTTCTCGCTTCCAGAGCCGAGTTCGCAACAAGCTCCCAAAGCCCCTGAGACTCTGCAACTCGCCTCATTCCGCGATCGTCGAGAAGCTCTACACGGCCTGCTCGGTATGATCACCGAGGAATAATTTTGGAGCTCACCCTGACTTATGCCCCCTTTACAGTCTGCCCTAAACGCGCGCATTGCACGAGGAGACAACGAGCGCTTCCTGGAACAATTCGGATATGTTATCGTCGCCTCTCAACTGCTGAACGAGCACAGCGCCCCTTCCTACACCTCCGCCGCAGACGTCCTCGCAGCTTCACAGCCCGCAGACCTTCCATCCCTCTCCACCACTTTTGGTCTGCAAGGTGCAATAGTCACTGCTTCTACATCCTTCTCGATTGTGTGGTTACTACACTGGGGCCGGTCTAAGACGGGATCTGGGTTGAATTTACGGAAGTTCGGGATCCTGTTGATCCTGGTGCCGGTTCTTGGGGTCTTTTTCTATGCTTTTGCGAAGCGACAGTGGCTGAAATACTTGCGGCACCAGGCGGTGGAAGCCGCTGGGGCATTTGTCGGAAATGCTCAGGGGTTTGACTCGGCTGCATCGGCTTCGGTGGTCTTTATCCAAGAGGTAGAGCTGGTCTCTAGAGGCTATCGGATGTAAGTTTTCCTCGGCCTTCCATGAACTGGACTGTCAGCTTATTTGGTACTTCCAGAAGCACACCCCTCCCCCCTATCAGCCGATTGGAAGACCAGGTGCAAAGCCGGCGATGCTTGCGGCTGCGAAGAGCAGTATCTGAATGTTTTCGGTCCATGCTTGAGCGCTATATTCAATCGCAAAACACGCTCCGCCCGCTCACCGACGAGGCGAACCTTGCTAAATATTATGACATCTACGATATCGCATTGGAAGATCTGGAAGCAATCGAGTCAACGCTCTCGCAACGCTCTATTGATGATCAATATTCCTTACGTTCCCTGCGCGAAGCATTCGGGAAATTATATACAGTGAGGAAAAGCGTATTATGCTGTTTGCTTGCGCTTAGTGCCGATGGAGGAGAATCTGATATCGCGAGGTGGGGTTCGGCCGTGGAAGAGATGCGCGAGCTCGCTGCAGTCACGGGGTCAAGCATGACCAAAATGGCCAACATCCTGAACGAAGAAGACCGTGAGTATCTACTTCATGCCCGTGTTACCCTCCCAACGAGCCAACGGACATTAAGCTAATCTTCTCAGGGGATGTTATTCCTCCTTCACCGTTACCGTCCGCTTCTCCAAGCAAGGAGCATATGCGTGCGCAATTTCGGCGGCTGAACTCGTTATCTCAGGGTGTTCGTGCCTTGCATGCTAAAATGCACATCGTCAGTGAGGAGTCCAACGCCAATCTCGAAAAGTCCGAGTCCGGTGAATTCGAGGCCAGTCTCCTAGTACAGTATGACTCCATCGGTAGCGACATTAGGGCCCTTCTCCAGGAATGGGAATTGGGGAAAGCTACCTTTGTCAACAATCAGGATCGCCTCAGCGTTGGGAACTTCTCCCGACCCCCGAGCACAGCCTTCCCACTGTCTCCTACACCTAGCCTTGGCGGTACCACCGCCGTGGAGGGTAGTCCCACCGATGCGCTCAAAGCGCTGAACGGGGAGCGTCCAGACTTGACGCATAGTTTTGAGGACGAGGAGATCTTCGAGGCGGTTGTGCTCCCTTCTTCTAGAAATAAGAGGGCATCTCTAACGAGGGATGAGCGTCTAGCGCGCGTTCGTGAAGCACGTGCCACTAAAGCAGCCGCCCAAGACAAGATATTTGCTAAAAGCAACATGCTGAAGGAACTGGAGATGGTTATTCAGCAAAGACCTCGCAACAACTCTTCCAAGCGAGTGACTAGCATCTAATACGTGCTGATACCGGGTTCCCTTGAAACCCAAGGCACTCATACGCTCTCGTTCTTTTATTCTTGCTCTGATGTCGAGCATGGCTTCACATCGCCATGGTTTGCTGACATGATACCCATGAACTTTATAGAGGGATCAGGCGAAGATGGAGTTTTTGAGGATTATTAGCCTTTATTTCTTATCCTTCCGGTCTTTGGGACCTTATTCTTTCTCTTTGGTCTGATTGTTCTGTGTTTTCTCTTGTATTCTCACTTGCTGGATGGGTTTCGCTCTGTACATTTCTTTCTGGCTTTTTGCAGCTAAGAGGACGGACCTGGCTCCAAGATCTTTCTGCCTTGTACATTACTACAGCTTCTATTCTTACCAATGTCCTGTAATTATAATTGTCTCGGAACACTTCACCTAGGTCGTTACCCCTCGAGGGATGTAGACACCTTGCGGCCTTGGCCACTGCGCTAGCCGAAAAGGGGCATATCGCCAAACGCGCTCGCGCGTGTTTCCCCACTAGCTCTCGAACGCGATTTCGCCTGCGATTCAGACCGCCGCCTTTTCCACCTTCATCACAGCTACTCTCAACCACCACACTCCCCTTCTCCCTCTACTACCACTACTGCTCCGTGTTTAGAGACGTTCTATCGTCCTCGTCTCCTCTTCTCTTTCAATACCTTCCACTGCTTTTATACCCACTTTCACAACCCCACATCAACAGTAAGTGCATGAAATCCATTGCCGACCGTGGTGCGAAAAGTCCAATTAACATGATGGGACAGTGCTTGAGGCACGATTGGAACAGGCCGCCCTCCTGAAGCGCGTAAGTAACCCCTGTTGCATCTATATCCCAATTTTTTTCATCGGGTTCCTGTACTAAGACTCTCTCTTCCAGGTTGTCGACGCCATCAAGGACCTCGTCCAGGACTGCAACTTCGACTGCAATGACTCCGGTATCGCCCTCCAGGCTATGGATAACTCGCATGTTGCCCTTGTCTCCATGCTCCTCCGTGCCGAGGGTTTCTCGCCTTACCGCTGCGACCGTAACATTGCCCTCGGTATCAACCTGGTCTCTCTCACCAAGGTCCTGCGCGCTGCCCAGAATGAAGACATCCTGACGCTGAAGGCCGAGGACTCTCCCGATGCCGTTAACCTGATGTTCGAGAGCGCCGAGACTGATCGTCTCAGCGAGTATGATATTAAGCTCATGGATATTGACCAGGAGCACCTGGCCATTCCCGAGACGGAATATGCTGCTACCGTTGAGATGCCTTCCATGGAGTTCCAGCGTATTTGCAAGGACCTGAACGCTCTCTCCGAGTCTGGTTAGTCCGCCTCGCCCATCTCTCTTGTCTCGATTGCGACGGAACGACTAATTCGTCATTCTCTCTAGTCGTCATCGAGGCCAGCAAAGAGGGTGTCAAGTTCTCCTGCACCGGTGACATTGGTAACGGCTCCGTTACCATCCGCCAGCACACCAATGTCGAAAAGCCCGACCAGAACGTTACCATTGACCTCTCCGAGCCCGTTGCCCTGACTTTCTCCCTCAAGTACCTCGTCAACTTCTGCAAGGCCTCCAACCTGTCCAGCTCCGTAAGGCTGAACCTGTCCCAGGAGGTGCCTCTATTGGTGGAGTACCCTCTTGGTAGCGGCCACCTGCGCTTCTACCTCGCCCCTAAGGTATGTGAAACTGCTTCTTGAGTCTTTTCGAGCATCACTAAATGGTTTTTTTCTCTACAGATCGGCGATGAGGAGTAAATCACATGAACTGGTCAAGACCAGACAAAATGAAGCCCCTACGATAATGGAGATTCCCTGACGGAGGCAATGACCTGTTTATTTTCTTGTTTCTCTGCTTTTTGTCCCGAATTAGAAGGGATGGCAAAGCCTTTGTTTTATCTATGCTAGTTTATTCCAATCACCTCCCGAGTGGCCTTAAGAGGGCTCTCGGTTTCTATGTACCCAACCACCTGTCCTGTTACGAAGAGTAGAAAATTTCTGCACTGGTATACTGGTGCAATACACTTGAAGATTCTACTTGAGACGATGACATAATACCAAGGCATGAAAGATTGATTTGCTGCGTCCAAAGTAAGGCTGTATATACTAATCTTCATACCCAGACACTCATCTCAACCACCAGTGTCCAAACCCACACACCATGCAACGTCAAGGACCCTTGAAGGGGCAAACCTAACGGGAACATGGCCCGCAACCCCACTAATTAGCAGAGTCGCCAAAAAACAATCCTTTTCAGACCCACTCCCGGCGCACAACATAGCACCATGCTAAGTGAAGGAGGGGGTAAATAATCAAAATACTGACCTAAGAAGAAAAAAAAGGTGAAGCGCCATCCCCACCAGAATGATCGGAATCGAATGATACCGCTCTCACCTCCCGAAAGAGACAAGAGCACAGTATGCTGCGTATTGCACTAAAGTGTCATCACACACAATCTCCGCACCGACTCTCCCATAGGGTATCGAAGCCAGTAGAACTGGCTCGGGTCCCCCGATGTTTCTGATGCCGAATGCAGGTGTGTCGAGTAGGTCACACCAGGCCCTCGCGGGCAGCACCGGCCCTCGGACTTCGCGAACGAAGAGAGGGCGGGTTGGGGTTGTTGAAGATTTCTCCGAATTTCTCATTTGCAAAGGGTCTCGGGCTGGGGATGAGCCCAGGTACCGAGGACAGGGGGCGAGGCCCCGCTATCGTGTGTAGCAAAGAAACGCAGCATTGGCAGGGATGGCGCTTGGAGAGAGAAAAGAAAGAAGAAGAGAAAGTGAGTCGAAAGAAAATGGGGAGCTGTGGGTAAAGTAGTGACCGCCTTCTTGGTTGGGTGTGGTTCCTGAGATTCTGCCGCCGTGAGATCAAAGGGAGCTTCAGAAGATGATGATTGTTGCTAAATGATGGATAAAACTTGAACTTTCTTCTTGGTACTAGTTCAGACCGATATATGAGCCACTGATTGAGTTTATAGGTATACCCATGGGTAATTTTCTGGGAATTGTAAATTTGCTAGCCCGAGGACAATCCGTGCGTCAAATCTACGCAACATGGCCAAGCTGGCCATGACATGACATCTCGACGTCTCCTAAATCTCCTCAAATGCTCTAACAATATACCTCCTTCCTTGAATAGTCACTTTCTCTCCGACTACCCTCCATGCATTTTGCCCTTCCCCCTCAAGACCATTGCCTATAGAAGGCAGTGCTGTTCCAGCGGGTCCAACCACATATCGATCCTCCCAGGCCGAGCTCCATTCCTCTCTCCTGGCACTGACATCGGCCCCCTTCTTCCTCACGACCCAGTCTCCAGACGGTCCTCTCTCTCTAATATGAGTCTGGGTCTGCTGCAATGCCAGATACGTCCCCCAAATTCGACCCAGGAACGTCTTGACCACGGTCACCTCACCCTCTCCTAGCTCGCCATCATCCGACTCGAGAACCCATGACAATCCCTTCCCTGGTCCTTCGGGGCCTTCCTTGAACGGCAGCTCTCGCCAAACCTCCTCGTAGTCTGTCTCGGGTGCACCGGGGAGATCAGGGCGGGGCATGGATCCCGTCTCGAGGTCGTCACCGTTCGGGAGAGTGACGAATGTCCCACAGTCGGCACTTTCAAAAGCATCATGGGAGTCGAGCTCGTGAGTGAAGGATACACGTACTGTATAAGTGATTAGTCAAGATTCAAGGTTCGAGAAGGGTGTATAGAGTGACAGACGAGGTTCTTGGCTTTCAATTAGCCGTTGACCAGCAATTGCCCAGTCAATTTCACCGGTTTGCTTGTCCATTCGCAGATCTAGGTACCAGTCCTTGACGGACATGACGATGGTATCGGTCGTCTCGTGCGCGGGCTCGGGGAGCCATCGTAGTGAGATGCGCGTCGAGAAGCGGCAAGACGAATGAGCGGGGTTGCCGGTATTGGACATGATTGAAGTACAATAATAAGTTGTTATGCTCCAAGGGGATGTCAAGAGCGAGAATGCGTTTGAGGGAAATCCCGCAGGAATTTTGTCCGAGTTGAGTAACTTCCGAGTGTCTAAATTGCGAGTTTGACGTGCACGATGGCTATTTGAAGCCAAGACGAATTAGGTATCTCGAGGAGAAGGTTTCGCAACGGGCAGAGAGATCATCGTGGGCCTTACCGGCTTCCCCCTCATGCCCCGCATTGTCGGCTCGACCAGCTCCTTTGGTACGGCTCCCCTCACGCGGCAGACTCCGCGTGTTTGATTTGTATGATTCGCTCGATTGGATCGAAATACAATACGTAATGTTTAACGTTCTCGGAAACCATCTATCATTATAAGGACAAAGAGCTTATGAAGATCTGTATATCTTTCTTAAACTTCAGAAAAACCATCACAGACACAAACATATCTTTGAAATTTCATAATTTATTGAATTTACAACATGTGCGAGCCTCATTCTATCGCCTATTGGCGAGGAATGACGATACTGGAAGTCTGATCCAGCTTTCGCTTGAATCAGCGCAGAATACCCCATAGTTCAATGATTTACACAAGCGGATCGTGATCAGATGTTATTTACGTGTGCAGTTGCTACCTTTCGTCCGAGAGGCTCGGCCCGAGTTAGACATGACAGCGGCTCAGCCGTCATTATCGAAGAACGCAATACTTCAGGCTCGATAGGGAAATTAAGAAAGGCATGGAGGAATCATGGCAGTCCTAGAGACTGAGATAATGTGGAGGCGCGATAATTGATAACTCCATCGCTTCACGACAACTAGGCGATATTGCAAAACAGTTTTCGTATCGGCCGACATTAGGAGATCAAGTATACGAAAATTTCACAAGGCTTTATAGTATGGATCTTCTAGCTTCGGATCCAGGAATTTGTTTTTTCACCGATGTTAAGGTCCCTCAGACATGGACCACTATGAATTCATGTATCGAGCTCCAATATGTAGATGTCATGATAATCATCGTATTTTGGAACATATAACACCGATTCCATGTCTGAACAGAATCTTCATTTAAAAACTATCGAAAACAAAGTCATCTAGGTCTCTGTGAAAATCAGCTTGCACGTCTGTCCCTTAGGTCTTGCCGAGATGATCTGATCATCCAGCTTCATAGAGCCATCCATATCAGGTGCCACCGTGGTAGTGAATCGAGAGTAAACTTCGCGAAGAAGTATTTTCATCTCCACCAGCGCCAAACTACACCATATTAGTACACACCTCGAGTATGGGCTTGGAATTAAAAACCTACTTCTTCCCCGTGCATCCTCTGCCACCAGTTGCAAAGGCAAAGAAATGCCTGTTTCGCTCAGCGGCCCCTTTCTCCTCGAGCCACCGATCAGGATTAAATTGGTCTGGCTCTGGAAACACCTCCTCACAGCTTCGATGAACGGTATACGGCTGACAGCTCACGATCGTGTGCTCTGGAATAAAGTACCCATCAATCGGCCTCCCACCAGCAGGCACGTAACGGGGCAAGGACATCGGAATCGGGGGAGAGCAACGCAAAGCCTCTTTGATTACCGCGTCCAGGTAGACTAAGCTGTCCAACGATGAATCAGGTGAAGCATTCTGAAGTTCATGCTGTAACTTCTTCTGAAACTCCATGTTATGTCGTTGTGAGAGTTCCCACATCAAAAAGCAGAGCCCATCACCGGTAGTGTCGATACCAGCTGCCATGTGATCTTTGCATTCGGCTGCAACTTGGATAAGTTCGAGGCCAGACTCTTTGCGCTTGAGCTTTTCTAGGAGAGAGTACTCTTTGACTTGACTTTGGGCAGTCATGTCAAGAACGAACTGGTTGGTCTTGGGTGCACTGCGTGGATGGAGGAATTTTGGAAAGTAGGGCTCCCAAGAGGGGAGGTAATATGCCAGAAGACTTTCTGCATTTAGATTCAGCATACAGTCATCTCTCAGGGGAGGGGAAATCGCTTACTTTGAAGACTTTGATGGTAGGTAAGCTCCTGCATGATCTCAAAGTCCTTTTCGACATTTAGTGATTTGAGGCCTCCTGGACTGAACATGAAATGTGTAACACAGTCTACAGCATAGCAGTGGAGAAGGACCTGGGTTAACTGGTTAGCAGCTATCAAGAAATAAGGAAGCTGGTAAATCAGAGAGCCAACTCACGTAGACATCGACACTTTTCTTGCCAGCTTCTAGACACTTGGACACAAAAGTCATTGCCCGCTCGTGCATAACTGCCAAAGGTTCTGCCTTCATAACATTTGTCATCGCATATCGCTCGGCGAAGATGCGTTTTCTCTTGCTGTGCTGTATAACCGCGAGATTTAGCGTTATCAATACAAGCTCTGGGGGAGAATTTACTAACTTCCTCCTTGCACAGGGTGGAAAACATGGTTCTGTATCATTCAGTTAGAAAACGATTGTTTGGAAAAGTTGCCAGTATGACTTGCTTGGTCTTTAATTGCTTGAAGAGCGAGTAGAACTCAGTCTTATCGTAGCCACTACCCCCGGAGGCGTATATTTCTCTGATAGCATCGAGGCTTGTGAAGGATACCTCATTGGGACCCAAACGAACAACGGGGCCATATACTTGGTGGAGCCGATGAACAGACTCTCGTCTGTTCGCCGTGAATTCTTGATATTTGATCCAAAAACTTGTGAAGCGTGTATACCATGGCCCTGGTATCTTGGATACAGGTCCCAGAATTCCCTGAATCAGAATATACCCAACGAGGAAGATAGCGCCTATCCACAGTGAGAGCATGGTGAGTTTCGAAGCGAAGAGCCGGTCTTTGTCGCTGGTATGGAAGGAGCACGTGTCTTCTTGGGAATAAGAAGTAGGTCTCAGTGTCGCTCGCTACCTTGATAATTTATACCAGTTTTGAGCCCACCTGAGTCCCTATTATCTAATTTGTGTGTGATACAACGCAACCAATAAAGAGACCGTCGATCCGCCTAGCGTAGCCGATATCAGTTGCCCGTGGAGTGCGTGCGGGGAAGGGCGGGTAGATGCGCGATGAATGGCTTGATGATGTTCCGATAGCATTTAGCACTTAACCCAAATTAGGAAGTCAGAGGAGATGCTCCGATTAGCGACGAGTTATGAAGGAGTTTGACTTGGGGATGTTTAAATGTGTGATTCACAAGCCAGCTTTGTTCTTCGGACCCCGCGGGCTGGTCGGCCTATCTATCTACTTGTTATCGCGACGAGAGCATGTCGGAAAGCTGATAAGAGATGTGACTGTTCGAATAGTATACGTGATGACAGAGGAGTAATCAATGAAGATTCTCTCCAGGTCAAAATTTCCATCAGAAGGCTCTTTGGCTTCCGCGATACGATTCACTGCCCGCCGTGGGGTCACACTTCTCATAATTTTCTCACAACCGCATAGTTACCAAAGACCGGTAGAAAGCGCCTGCAAGTCTAATCCATTTCTATGCAGATAGAAACGCCCGAAGCCCATCTAACACGGTCGGCACTTTTGATTGGCTGGATCAGATCTTACCCCGGAGGCTGTTCTGATGCTAATATTAACCTTGACATATCAAACTGCAGGTTTGACTCTCCCAGGGGTTCCAGTAAATCGCACGGGGCATTGTATAAACGGAAGGATCGCTTTGTGTCAGCATGGCTTTCCGTGCTGCTTGTGGTTGAGGTCTTTTGCTAATTCTTATAGGCGCCACCGACACGCAGTAGCAGTTCAAAAATTGATCTGTCGATAAAGGGATGTTTTATATTTGGCAGTCATCAATGCAGACCGCAGACCCGATCTCCACTAAGAACACCATCGAATGGCGATACGACCCACAGCCAACTGCCATGAGCAAGTCTATGGTTCATCAGCATGCAATTTGACGTCTGATAATCACTCCTACTCCACTCGGTGGCCAGACCCTTTCTTGCCCGCTGAGTAATGTGGAGATTCCTCGCTGATTGCGTTTTGTTAAATGCACCCAGACATATTCAGCTCAGGCGATCATCCGCGCAGTAGTTAGTCTGATCCCTGCATATGCTAGCCTGAGGCCCTGAGCAGTAGGCTTCCCGCATTGCGCAAGCCCCTGGACTCGAAGATCAAGGTACATGAACCGTCGAAGGAGGCCTTCGACGGTGAATTAAGACAAGTTAGTCATACCTACAAATTTCGGTCGGGCCCTGCAGGGAAAAGATCGAAAGCAGTAGTTTCACAGCCAGCGGACTTGCCATGACCTGCATGGGGGCCATCTCGGGCAAAATGCATGCTGTGGATATGATGAGAGGGAAATGGAAATGAAAACTCAAAGAGGCAATGAGTCTGAGCCCTTGAGAATTGTCAGATCTTTGACACTTGTCAGACTAGTCTGTTAGCTGTGGCTAAAATCAACCACTCCTGTTATTGTCAGCAGGCAATAATTTACAGTTTGAACTGCCCAAGATGTCGATGAGCCTCATGAGGTACAGTGCATGTAACAACTCATGTCTCAGACCAACCTCACGTCAATACGAGCTTACCGAGACCATTCAAACCCAACTGGCGCGGTAAGGAGCTGGTCGTCGCACAAGTCCCACATGGGAGATCCGAAAGTAGGCCTCGCGTGGCTTGCCTGGCCCAGCCACAGCTACCGTACAAACTCTGGTAACATTCCAGAGACACACTCCGACGCCGAGGCGTCCCCCTCAGCCACCACTTCAGAACCAGCCACACCCATCTGACAGGCCAAATTCCGGGTCGTGGTGGAGGATCCCAGACGGGCTGGCATGTTGTGGTCCGCGGTCGTGTGTGGCTTTGAAGGTGTCGAGCCCAAGCCTATCTCAATTATAGAGCCGTTCCTCTACATAGAGAGGTGTCGTGGTTTCGCAATAAGTGGACAGGGACTGAGGACGCATGTCATGACAACGAGAGGCGACGATCAGCTCTTTTTTGGCCTAGGAGTGGAGGAGGAACGGTCACGGATGAGTCCGGAGTAATAGTGCATGCCGAAGAGGCAAGGCAACTGCCAAAAAGGCGCAAGAGCAAATTGACGTGGCCAGCAGCAAGCAATAATAATCAACCGAGTGATCCAGCCTCGGCCCAACAAGGTTTAGTGTGTCTGTTTCGCGGTGATGGGTCCAGGCCCACAGGAACCACGGCTTAGAGCCAGCCAGGGCCTGGGTCACTGGAGAAACCCGTTGAGTTTGCGTGTGTCTAGAACTCGAATTTCGAGAGGACAAAAAGGTACAGCGAAGGGGGGAAAGTCTCTCGCAATGCGACGAGAGCACAAGGCCTAGAAGAGTCTAGGATGGAGGAAGGAGAGAAGCAATGGGGGTTGACCCGCCCGAGGCTGGTATGCGTGTGGACGTGTCTCTCGTAGTCCGGAGTACGGATGCTCCGTATTGGGTAGTCAGTGGTCCAGTGACTTGGGAGTCCAGGGACCTGACTGGAACCCCGGATGGATCCCCCTTTTGCCCTTCGTGAGGCTATCATTCATTGTTTTCCACAATCCACTTCTTCACCCTCACCCCCTCACTCGTTCAATCTCTCTTTCGGCTTTCTTCCCTTTCCTAACAGAGAGAGGAAGAGGGAACAGAGATCAATCCAAGGTTCGCCTGGCTTCCAATCGCTCATCCGCCCGACCTTGTTGTCCATTCCGCCCCCCACCGGCTATCCCCTGCGACCGGACCAGAAAAACTCTCCAGCGCAGCACAACAAGGCCATTCGTCTTGATTTCCTGTGACCTCCCACCTTCCGCTCGCTCACAACTCGGCTGGTTCGAGCAGTGCAAACCTTCCCACCGTCCGATGTTCCTGCGGCTCGACTTTCGAGTCTAATCCTATCCCGACTCTCCTCCAACGAAATCGCCAAGCCACCGAGCACACGAGCCTCTGGGCGTTTCGACCCTGCAACGTATCAGGGACTAGCAGACGGCTACACTGCGTCTCGCACCTGACTTGTGCTCCCTTGCACCCCCCCCCCCCCCCCCTCTTCTCTCCCTCATAAATAGCATATCCCACCGGTACTCTCGGTGGTCAACACCGTCAGCGTGTCTTCCGCCGTTCAGCATCGCGCCGACCCGAGCTCCGCTTCGGAGCACTTCGGCAAGATTCACTCTCACGGGTCGCGCGCCTCCCTACTTGGAGGGGCCTTGTTTGACCCTTCGTTTCGCCCAACACCCGGGTTTCGTGGTCGCGAAGGATACGTCAATGTGACACCCAAACAGAAGACGCGGATCATGTATATCCCCAACACTCAGTGGACGTGGTCCTTTGCCATCGTTACCCTGGTCCAAACTCTGGTGACGCTTTCCCTTGAATGGTATGTATATATCTTCGCTCGAGAAGTCCCGTTGCGACCGAAATTCACAGCCCTTACTAATGACCGGTCGCGTGTAGTTACATTTTCGCCAACTTCCAGATCCAAGAGAAACCCAACACGAGTCCGTCGTCAAAAACCATCCCCACCTTCCTCGCTCTCTACAGCTTCGGTTTTATCTACGAGTTGGTCCTGGTTTATGACGCACTGCGCATGAAAAACACCATTCAAGTGATCGGTCTGTGTGCGTGCAATTTCGGTCTTCTAATCTACGGCGCCGTTCAAGTGCGACAGATTCAGAATGCCGTTTCCGTCCTGTCCGACATGGACAAAATTAGTCCCGTGGTCTGGGCCGAGTCCCAGCCATTTTTGATCATCATTCCGTGTATCGTTGCGCTTGGATCGGTCTTGATGACCTTCGTTGCATTGAAACTGTACGATGAGTTCGCATGGACCATCTACAAGCATATTAGTGCGGATCTGCGCATGAAGCGTCGCTACCTCACCTACCAGATCTACATCGCTCTGCTGAAGTTTGATTTCTTCTTTTTCCTCGGCTTTACCGTGCAATTTTTGGTCGTGGTGTCCTCCTCCAAGCATGACGCCGAGTTTTACCTGACCATCATTGCGGTTCCCGTGACTGTCGTTATTCTGCTCTGTGGTGCCTTCTTCGTCCGGCGCGAGTTTACTGCTGGCATGATCACCATTATCGTAAGTTGTCCAGCATTCTCGGGTTTTCAGCGACCCTTGTCTAATGAATACTTGAACAGTTGCTCTTATTCGCGGCCCTGGGGTATTTCTGCTTCAAACTCTTCCGCATGTACGCTACGGCGACATTCCCCCAATACCTGCCTGCGCGTCCCTCGATGACATTCTTTGCCATCATTACCCTGATTTTGATTGTCATCACGATTATCATCTCTTGCATCTGCGTGCACAATTTCAACCGCGGCCTGAAGCCGCATATCAACAAGAAGAAGACCCGACCCGAGGAGAAAACTACCGAGCTCGCCGAGAACGTCAACGGCCAGGTTCCTTCGCGAATGATGATTGACTAAGTCAGTCTCTTCGTCAAGAGCCGCTGGTCCTATGTAATATACATAAGAGTGTGAGCTTAAATCACTTGTTGGCCGGCGTTGGATCTCGGAGTAGGTATTTCCTTTCCTCATTTCGTTTCCTCTACTTGTTAATTGAGTCCTCGGATCATTCGATTATTTGAGCCTGAATCTTCCTTGCGTGTTTGATTTATTCTTGCCCCCCCCCCCCCCTTCCCTCTCCCTTTGATATGATACCTCAGCAGCTTCGAAGCTTTGCCCTTCTTCCTTCCCCTCCTTCTCACCACGGCTTCCGTGAGCCCTGGTCCAAAATTCCTGTGATTTTATTTGGCCTTGCTTCATCACTTTGTCTTTTACCCTCCCCTTTACATATCCCTTACGAAGTGCACCGGTGGCGTTTTGCTTTCCTTGACTTATTTCTGGATATGATTCCCGGGCGTGTGTTCGCGGCCCTTTGTTGTTCGACTCCATGTCACTTATGATGACAGATGCCAGTAGGCGATTCCCTATGACCGTGACTTAGTTCTCCTCAGGATTTCAAGAATCTCACAATGTTCAATATATCATGGAAATCGAGCCTGCAAACACTTCAAACGAGCTCTCATACAGTAGTAGCAGGCAATATCGAAGTGGCCAACAAGCTTAATTAATAATCTGAGGCATCGTTCCCCAAGAGTAGAGCTCTGTGATTGGTGGATTTGCAGTATCCCATACAGAATAATACGCCAGCTTGTCCCGTGAAACCCCATAGATGACCATACCATTACCGGCGCTAGTATCAATCAGGAAACCGCGATCGTGGCCTCAACTCCGCAACTTTCGGACCTCTCCCCTTCATCCCCAGTCTACACCCTTTTTTCTCTCCGTCCCTCCTTTTCTTTCTTTCAATCATTTACATCAATCATCTCACAATGGTATGTCTACGTACTCCAATATCAATTGAAATATCCAATTGGCACTCTCACCAGCCAATGCCACCGAATATCACTCTACAAACCTCCTTTTCATTCCGCCAATGCCAAATCTCATCTAACATCGTCTCCCATTGAACCACAGGCCTCTCCCCGTCCTGCCTCTCCTCTCACCTCCGGCGCCGAGTCCGGTCCTGACTCCAAGTCCGCCGGTGCCGTCGCCGCCTCCGGCTCGTCCGTCAGCCGTCCTTCCTCTCCTACTCCCCCCGGCGGCCCTCGTGCTGCTATGCGCCGCCGCGCTGCTGCCGACCACAAGGAATCTCTCCGCAATGCTCGCCCTGCGTCTACCCGCTCTGCCGGTGCCGGTGGCTCGTCCGGTACCATGCTGAAGCTGTACACCGATGAGAGCCCCGGTCTCCGCGTTGACCCCGTCGTTGTTCTCGTCCTGAGTCTGGGTTTCATCTTCTCCGTCGTCGGTCTCCACGGTAAGAACGGATTCAATAAATCTGACACCATTTCGATGGAAATTGAGGTACTAACCCGTTCGTCACAGTCATCGCCAAGATCACCCGCAAGTTCTCCGCATAAGCGAGTTCTCTATCAATTTACCCTCAAATCCAACGAAAACCAAGGCCTCGCACCTTGGCCCTCGACTACTTGCGTAACACTGCCACCCTCATTCGCAACCACTCCCTTCCTCCTATACCCCATGACAACTTTAGTCCTTTCGAAACCTGGGTCGGTGGCGGCGCAGGGGATTCCCAGTTTTGGCCAAACTGGTGTGATTCCGTTTTTTTCCTGACCTCTGTGGTGTTTTCTTTTTTCCGTTTTCTATCGTATTTGGCGGTGTTTATGATTGAGCGAGGGATGACCTATCCGCTGTATAGGTCGGGCTGGATGACACTAAGCCAGGTATCTGAGCCTTTTGCTTGGTCACACCGGGGTTCGCGCTATTACAAGCTGCGGTGGCCCTGCGTGAACTGAGAATGCTTATTTGGCAAGGTGTCATCTGGCGTTGTCTGTACCATAGTAACCAGGAACAATATCTTGCATTGAATTGTTAACGGAGACAGTCTTGATCATATTTTGCATGATATCGACACTTTACTTCGCATGGCTCGTAGACTTGATATCTCGACATTCCACCAAGCCCTCCTAACCCTCTAAGACCTGCCCAATGATATGACTTGCCTCCTTCATATCTACCCACGTTTCTGATGGTACATAGGTCCTGTGCGTCCAGTTTGTTCCGATACCAGCAGACCCAAGCGCCTGTCCAAGGAACGATACACCTCGGCTGTCCGAGTTGCTGGCATCCTCATTGTCGTGATACTGCGGTATTGTGAGACCCATTAATCTGGTCCCTCATGTTGCGTTTCTCTAGATGGTTGTTACGGATAGTTGGGATTCGGTATTTAGTGTTCGTTTTGATGATCCTCATTTCGTACGTACACGGTGCACATCAGGCTAGCAGACGCTCTATTTCAAGGTCCGAGGTTACATGATAGTCAATTAATCTGCTTCGCATCTTCCATCATCATGGAAGGCCGAGAGACTGCATATCATGAGAGCGGAGGGCCATTCGACCGTAGGCATAGCATCGAACCATCGGAGTTTGATACCGCGAAGAGGGCGGTAAATTCTAGACCTTCTCAGAGCACTATGATGGAAATGACTAGGTCTGGCGAGGTCAGGACATCAAAACTTAATCCATTCATACCACTGACTCAGCGCATAAATTTTTGTAAACAGTTCAAAATATGTACTTTTGTGAAGGAGTGGGGAAGCGTAGTTCTCCAGCGGTGTTTCAAATGTCACAATTCGCCGTTAGAGCCCGTTGGTAGCGCAGAGCCCCTTCATCGAAATTCTAACACTCGGCGACTTACAGTTAGTAGCTGTGTGAGGGTGGTTGGACCCCTTCCCACACCCGCGGCGGGCGGTTCGAATATCGACGAAGACGCAGAATGTCATTGCCCATCGTTAGGGACGGGGATCTATGTGCACTCGAACAAGACACTCATCGGAGTTGGGAGTCATGGGCGTGTTACTCGGGAAGGGATTGAGAATGGTCGATGTTTTCAACGTTATTGTTCAGAACATCATGATCACTGGTTTGAATCCGCAGCGTCTGGGTTGGTGATGCTTTTACGCTTTTTGGGACTTCGAGGATATGGTTTGATCATGTCACCATTTTCTTACACACTCTATATTGACCTGATCTACAAATACTGGTTTCGTTTTCGCTAGACACGATATACTAGTTGTATGCACTACTCTTTAGGTCGTGAACCCAACACTTTGATCACTATCCCAAACAACTTTTTGAACGGTACGACTAATTTCTTTACCTCGTGTAATGGGCAAACATACTGGGGACGGGGCTGGTCGGTAATGATGATCAGATCAGAATTTCAGATAAGTCTTCTCAGATTGAGTTACTACAAGATATTTTCCTAACACCCAGCACCAAGGCAATTACATATATCGCACCTCGGGCCGTAGCCCGGCACTCAGCGGCAATACACTCTTCCACGCCGTCAACAGTGTCTGGGAGGACAACAACGGTCACGCCATTGAGGGCACTGACTACGGCCAAGGTCTCCTCTGGAAGGGCTGTATTTTCAACAATGTCAGCCAGATATTCTTTGGGGATTTTGTTGGTCATCTCTTCAGCTCGCCAGTGATACTGTGAACCAGGCTTGCTACGACTGTCTTGGAAAGGACTGTGTGACCAACGGCCGAACGAATGATGGGTCTAGCCTTACTGATGCCGAAACTGGGTTCTTCTCCAATTCCACTGGCCTAAGTATTGCAAGCGCTAGTGCGGCTTCGGCGGCCCAGACAAGTGTGCCGACCAATGCTGGAAAGACGCTTCAAATTGCTTTGTCTTGATCTCGGATTGATGGACAGCAAGTTAGGATGTATTGATAGAATCGTACTTGGGGGAAAATTGAACACGACTGCTTGATAATCTATGGTTGTCATCATCCGATAGCACCAATGCAAGTCGTATGAGAATGATTAGTGATATATTGTCGTGGCTTTCTGGCGCGAATAGCGCCTGCCACGGAGTCGACAGCTAAGTCCGAGACGGGTCAGCATGGAGACAAGCACATGTTATACGTTATATAATACTCTTAGGTTTGGTTGAGATGATAGAAAACACACTCACCAGGTACCTAAACCCAAAAAGGGTTATCAGGAATAAATGATCTTTGCAAGATCGCTGACTGGCCAGCGATCGGAGCCTTATCTTGCCAACTCAAAGCCAATCACACCTCCTGTCCAAGCGGAGTCTGATAAGCCCATCCACGACGCTGATAGGCTCATGTAAATTAACTCCTACAATTCTATCCTTCTCCAGCGTTCCCACACGCTTTGTATCTCTCGTATTTCAAAGGCCCTCCTCTTCATTAACCATTTTTGCCATAGGGCCATGTGGAGGAACATGTTTGGGCTTTCTCTCTATAGGCCCAAAAAAGGGCCCCACTGACGGCGCCCTCCAATCTCATCTTTGGGAAAACCCAAGTCATTACGAGAGCAATGCCATCCTTATCGTCGCCTCAATTGTGGGTCGTATCTTGCTATCTAAGCTCAGGGACCCCCGAGTACGTTTCTTTTACAGGGTTGATGCGTGCGAATTCGGAGCTGAGTGACTTGCTTGACGTGCAGGATGAGTGTTGATCGGGACATATATCTATGCATATTTCCCCGCCATGGATGACAGTGTTTTATAGTACAGATACACTAAGCTTTTGTTTCGAGTGCATTGCAGGCACATTTTTTTTTCTCCTAAACGGTATACATTCTTCTACATCGACAATTGTCTAGTCTCGGCCTTCTCTTTTCATCTTCATCGCCTCTATCGGCTGAAACACCGTACCCCTCTAACCATGTCGGAAGGGGTGGCCACTTTCGAAGCGCCCTTGTCGCAGGGCTTTGGATATGGTATTATCCTCGGTCTGGGATTTGCTTTCGCATTGGTCATGATCTTTATTACATGGGCATTGAAACGGTTAGCAGTACCTTTGTGACCTCTTGCAACACAGGAAAATTAACTTTTCATTATCAAAACTTAGCTATCAGAATGAAGTCCAAACGTCTGAAATGTTCTCGACTGCAGGGCGGTCCGTCAAATCTGGTCTAGTTGCTGCTGCAGTCGTGAGTAGTTGGACTTGGGCTGCAACTCTTCTTCAGTCTTCCGCCGTGGCATACAAATATGGAATCTCTGGTCCTTTCTTCTATGCATCTGGTGAGTGGTACCTATTGGAGAAGCTAAACAAGACTAAAACTAATTTATGGGGAACAGGCGCAACGGTCCAGATCCTCCTCTTCGCAACCATCGCCATTGAGCTCAAGCGTCGTGCCCCGAACGCTCACACCTTCCTCGAAGTCATTTGTGCTCGCTATGGAACCACCGTTCACGTCGTCTTCATCGTATTCTGTCTCATGACCAACATTCTTGTCACTGCTATGCTGCTCACTGGTGGGTCGGCTGTTATGACATCCCTTACTGGAGTACCCACTGCAGCTGCGTGCTTCCTGCTTCCCATTGGTGTCGTTCTATATACATTATTCGGTGGTATCAAGGCTACCTTCATCACGGATTACATGCATACCGTGGTTATCCTGGTTGTGATCTTCCTGTTCGCTTTCTCGGCATATGCGACCAACGCCGAACTCGGCTCTCCGAGCAAGATGTACGATGCTCTTGTCGCGGCCGCCAAGGCGCATCCCGTCGAAGGCAATGCGGAGGGAAGTTATCTCACCATGAGATCCAAGGAAGGTGGCATCTTCTGGATTATCAACTTGATTGGAAACTTCGGCACCGTCTTCCTCGATAACGGTTACTACAACAAGGCCATTGCTGCGAGCCCCGTACATGCATTCCCTGGATATGTGATCGGTGGACTCTGCTGGTTCGCCATCCCCTGGCTGTGCGCCAGTACTATGGGTATCTCGGCGTTGGCTCTCGAGGGCTCTCAGCGCATGAGCAGTGATGATGTGACTGCTGGTCTGGTCCTTCCTTTTGCCGCCGTCAAGCTTCTCGGCTACAGCGGTGCCGTCGCCACGACTTTGATGATCTTCATGGCTGTGACATCTGCCTTCTCGGCTCAATTGATTGCAGTCTCTTCGATTTTCACCTATGATATTTACCAGGCCTATATCGATCCCTCTGCCAAGGGCAAGAGGCTCGTCTGGATCTCGCATTTGTCCTGCATTGTCTACGCTATTATCATGGCTGGTTTTGCTACTGGGCTGTACTATGCCGGTATTGGTATGGGATACCTCTATCTCCTCATGGGTGTAATTATCTCGTCTGCAGTGTTCCCTGGTGCCATGACTCTGCTGTGGAAGGGCCAGAACTGGATTGCTGCCGCTGCGTCGCCGCCTCTCGGTCTGGTGGTGTCCCTGATTGCCTGGTTGGTGACCGCAAAGAAAGAATACGGTGTTTTGACCGTGGATACGACTGGTGCCAAGTGAGTATCTCCAAGCTATATCCATTATCGTTATATTGTTGCTGACCCATCTCTCCCAGCTACCCCATGCTCGCAGGCAACGTCGCTGCTCTTCTCAGCCCCGTCGTTTTCGTCCCCATCCTCACCTTCGTCTTCGGCTCTCAGAACTACGACTATGAGTCTATGCGCGCTATCCGCAAGGTCGACGACACCGAAGTTGCCGCAGCCGCGCATATCGATCTTGAACTCGTACCCGGCGAGGGCCACGGTGCTTCCGCAACCGAAGAAGAAGAAGAAACACGCAAACTCAACCGTGCGGCGTTCTACTCGCGCACGCTGACCATCTTCATGACTCTTGCCTTACTCATCCTGTGGCCCATTCCCATGTACGGATCATCATACGTATTCAGTAAGAAGTTCTTTACTGGCTGGGTTGTGGTCGGATTAATTTGGCTGTTCTGCACTCTCTTTGGTGTGGTCGTTTTCCCGCTTTATGAAGGTCGTGAGAGTATTGTGCGTGTTGTGCGGATGATGAGCCTCGATGCTACGGGCCGCAAGCCGACGCTGTACCGGGGCCACAAGACTGATGGCGCGCAGGCTTCTGGTATTGCGACACCCACGGAGAAGGTTGGAGAGAAGGATAAGGGGGCGCTTGATGCGTCTGCTTAATTAGATGAGGCCTTATAGTGTCTGCTTGTTCGGGTCTGTTCTTATGAGCCCATACGTTATCTTATACCCCTTACTATGATAGTCGATTTATAATGACAAGATTGTTAACAATGTGATTGATTCCGAAGAAAAAAACAGAGTTCCCAGATACGATAAAGTGGATGACACCCTGAAAAACAGAAAACCTTGGCGCCATAGAGTGCTTTGAAAAAGAAAAAGGGAATTTAAAGAAAAGTGCTGCTTAATGCCATACTGCTTCGTTTTGTGGTCTGAAGGGCACCTTGGGTAGTGCCTCTTCAGGCAAAATGGGAAAGCGAACGAGTCTCAATTCGAGCATCACTTGTAACTCTCGGGCTCTTGCTGAGCCCCATGAGCTACTGGTGGCGACTGCAACTGAGGTTGCTGTTGCTGTTGCTGCTGCCATTGAGCGCCAGGGGGAGGCTGGGGGCCCCATTGCATGTGTGGTGGTGGTCGTGTCTCAGGGGTAATGTCGGGCCGATCACTATCATTATGACATGAGAACCAGAAGTTCAGCACAGAGCTGTGGAGGTGTTGTGGCTTACCGCAGGTCCTGAGTAAAGCGGCAGGTATAGCAAGTGACCTCCTGTAAGAACATTAGCTATCGTCAAACTGGCAGCATAAGATGAAAAAGCAATGTGCGAAGACAAGTGCAGGACAAGAATATACTCACTTTGTACTTGTGCGTGGCAAGTGGAATCAAGGGCTAATCGAGGTATTTCATCAGTCATAATGTACAAAACGCTAGGGTCTGAATATGATCTAATCATACAACGAAGCAGACGGTGAAGAACGGCCTAAGTCATAATGTGAGTTTCTCTGTGCATGGTGGGAAAATGGTACATTGGTGTCATACCATCGTGTCAGACAATGTCCATTCCAGTGTTGGCCTGCAGAGTGATGTTTATTAGTCGGGAGTTCATATGCATGAATATCAACAATAATTATAGACGGTCATTCAGTTTTAAACTCACAGTTATAGCAGTAGGCGCGGACATTCTCATAGCCCTCCAGCATGGAGGTGAACTCTAGCGTCGGTCAGTCACCCGCAATATCAAGATAAGTGGATCAGGTCCGCCAGGGTAAACACATGACGTAGACAAGACCCTAAATCGCCCTACGTAGATGAAAGACGTTCCCTCGAGCTTGGATTTATACTTACCATGGGTGCCAAAGGTAATACAGATCGCCATGATGACGGAGATGGTTGAAAAGTGAAAAAGAGGGCGATGCAAGATGCATGGAAAGGCAGCGGCGTTTGGGGATTTGGAGCGCTGTGGCTTGGCTGCTTGGCGGTGAGCACGTGAGGTCATGTGATTGAAGATCAGAGCGATGATGGCAAAATCCAAATACATCTGTAGAGCTATCTAAATACCTGGTATCTGGTTACGAATGGATTCGCTGCTGAAAAGAATTTTGTTCACAAGGACTCATCTCATCAGTATTTAAGTAGGTAGGTAAAATGACAAATTGTGTACAAAATGCGACGTTGCTCGTGAAGAAGGCGCTTCGGCACAAAAGCTCAAAGTCATGACACGAAGACAAAAAAGGATCGCTTTGAAAGGGCAAATTGACGACGCTTTCCCCCGTGGAATTCCAGACTGCACCTACCCAGCACATAATATCCGCCTATTGGGTCTTGAAGAGGAGGATGGCGCAATGGCCAAGGTAGAAGTAAATGAAGTGCTTCGTCTCTGCGGAGGATGTCAGCTAGGTATCCTTTGGGTACATCTGGACTATCCATACTGACCATGGGTGACAAAGCTTCCAAAGTTTCGGCCAACAACGCAATGCCAGGTAGCACCCTTTCGCGAATCGAACTGCAGGGGTTATCAGTGGCGGTCCAAGGAGATTTAAGGAGGTATAGGACGGGCGACAACGAACTTCTTTTTTGATGTGCTGTGCGATATCCTATTGATCTCATCGTCAGTATTGATTTCAATGAAGTGTTTCCCGGGAGAGATTGTGGGGTACATACCTTCTCAATGTGGTACTTCTCCATAGCCTCGATCGCTATAAAAATACATCAGCTGCAATTCAACTAGAAAAAGATCGTTTGAGCTCATACCGAGAGCAATGGCCTCTTGCTGCATGTCCTCAGTCTATTTGAAGGGGGTCAGAGCTAGGTTTCCAGGGGTCATTGAAGCTAGTGCGTCCTACCATGTCAACGGACTTGATTTGGGCTGCCAAAGGTTAGCGGACATATATTAGCTCGGATTTGGGGGTTACTGACCCTCCATCTTGTCTTTCTTCTCGGTAGTCATGTTTGCGGTCTGTTGGTCAAGAATCCGGTCGGCTTAGACGTATGAATAGCGTGAGGGAGACAAAATGATCGTTCGGATGGGTGAAGCTGCGCGAATGGGGCGCGTCCGGCCTGTGATTGACCGCCTTCGGCAGGGGAGGTGTATTGCCGGACCTTCCAATGTCCCCACCGAAACTATCTTACCGCCTTCGGGCCCATACAAGACGCGAAAAAAATTTCTTGGATAGTTTTTGCATCTGCACTCGCCCAAGGCTTCCCAGCTGCAGACACTCATAATGGAGAATACTCGGGTGTTTGTCAGTGGGCTTCCACCTACTTGCTCTAATGATCAGCTTCGCAATCATTTTGCAAGCCGCTTCACTGTTACAGATGCTCATGTCCTGCCCAAACGGCGCATGGGTTTCGTTGGCTTCAAAAGCAATGAAGCGGCCCAGGAAGCTGTCAACTACTTCAACAGGACATATATGAAGATGTCCAGGATCTCGGTAGATCTTGCTCGACCGGTACGTGACGCCTGTCATCAGCTTGCTGCTTCCTTCTGTTCCTCATGTTGCCTGCGTTCCCCGCTGACCAGTTCAGTTTTCTTGAGACTGACCTGTATCATTGTAGATTGATTCTAAGCCCACGGAGGGAGCTCATCCTACACGAAAGCGTGATGCTATGGAAGCTGCTTCGGACCATGCTCTCAAGCGTAAAAGGGATGCCGACTCCAAGCCTCAAGACCCCAAGCTGCAAGAGTATCTTGCTTTGGCGCAGACCTCTTCCAAGACCCGAACCTGGGCAAATGATGATAGCACGGCCATGGCCATGGCTGCCGAGCAGGCCGTTGCTCCAATTAACACACCAGCCCAGGATACCAGTCCGTCTGAGGAACTTCCTTCGCATCCGAAAAAGGTTCGTCGGGAACCTGCATTCGATGCTGACGCTGAGAAGCCCCAGACTATGGAGGTGGACAGACCCGATGAGGACGTGGAGGAAGTCACACCGGTGCAAGAGGAGACTGAGGCGGCGCAGGATGAGACAGGCCCAGTATCAGATTCTGACTGGCTTCGGTCGAAGACGAGTCGTCTTCTTGGTCTCTTAGATGAAGATGAACAGGCTGAGTTCGACCAACACAAAGTTGCTCAACCAGCCGAGTCAAGTCGTGACGTCGAGGAATCTCGCACTGCTGCCTTCGAGGATGTCCATCCTCAGCCTGTTACTGACGATGCTACTGTTGAGGATGGTGATGCAGTTGAGACAACACCCGAGCGGCCAGATCCAAATGTCGATCTCATTCGTGATTCTGCCCGCTTGTTCGTTAGGAATCTTGCCTATGACACGACCGACGCGGATCTTCAGCCGCTTTTTGCTCCCTTCGGCAAGCTGGATGAGGTTAGTGATTTGTTGCTCTCTTTTTCTTTGCTTATTTCCCACCCATCAACCACGCTACCATGTGCTTTCGCGCATGCGTTAGCGGAGTGCTCGTATGATGACTATCCTGATAGGGACAGCTTATGCAACTTGCAAATGATGTCACCAGGCGAGAGATTTTAGTAGATGCTTCTCGGTTTTCTGATTGAGCGACACTCAACCGCACTTGCACTTTTTTTTCATTTTATCTACAGACTTGTCCAGCCAAGTGCTAATGATTTATGAATACAGATCCACGTGGCTTTTGATACTCGGACTGAGACGAGCAAAGGCTTCGCCTACATACAGTATACGAATGCCGATGCCGCCCTCGATGCCTATCGGGCCTTGGATGGAAAGCATTTCCAGGGTCGACTCTTGCATATCCTTCCAGCTGCCGCTAAGAAGACGTACAAAATCGACGATGTTGAGCTATCTAAGCTTCCCTTGAAAAAGCAGAAGCAAATCAAACGTAAAATGGGTGCTACCTCAACAGCCTTCAGCTGGAACTCTCTCTACATGAATGTGAGTTGCCTCGTTCATCCCTCAAACCAGTCCGTAATACTAATAACTTTGTAGGCCGATGCCGTGATGTCCTCGGTGGCGGACAGACTTGGTGTTAGCAAGGCAGAACTGCTAGACCCGACGTCTTCAGACGCCGCTGTAAAGCAAGCACATGCTGAAACGCATGTCATCCAAGAAACCAAAGCCTACTTTGCATCAAACGGAGTGAACATTGAAGCTTTCAAGGGTCGTGAACGTGGAAACACCGCAATTCTAGTGAAGAACTTTTCCTTCGGCGTGAAGTCTGCTGAGCTCCGGAGTCTGTTCGAGCCGTTCGGCCAGATTCTCCGCCTTCTCATGCCACCTAGTGGCACCATTGCAATTGTGGAGTTCTCCAGGCCTGATCAGGCACAAGCTGCATTCAAGAGTCTGGCGTATCGCAAGATAGGTGATTCTATCCTGTTCCTGGAAAAGGCGCCCAAGAACTTGTTTGATGGCACGGTGACTCCCACTGCTCTTCCCGAGACTCAGGCCAAGTCTCAAGGATTCTCTACTTCGGACACCTTCGCGGCAGACGAGCCCGAGACTGGCATAACCTCAACCCTGTTCGTCAAGAACCTGAACTTCTCCACCACGAATGACGGGTTCCTGGAGGTCTTCCGACCATTGGATGGATTCGTTACTGGCCGCATCAAGACCAAACCCGACCCCAAGCGTCCCGGTCAAACCCTCAGCATGGGTTTCGGTTTTGCAGAATTCAGAACCAAGGCTCAGGCGCAGGCGGCTCTGGCAGCCATGGATGGTTACAAGCTCGATCAGCACGAGCTTGTCATTCGCGCCTCACACAAGGGCATGGATGCTGCGGAAGAGCGGAGACGGGAGGACACGGCCAAGAAAATTGCGGCCAGGCGGACCAAGATCATCATCAAGAACTTGCCTTTCCAGGTTACCAAAAAGGACATTCGGTCCTTGTTCGGCGCCTACGGTCAGCTCCGCTCCGTGCGTGTGCCTCAAAAGTTCGACCGGTCAGCTCGCGGTTTCGGTTTTGCAGACTTTATCAGTGCTCGCGAGGCGGAGAATGCCATGGACGCGTTGAAAAACACGCATCTCTTGGGTCGCCGACTGGTACTGGAATTCGCGAACGAGGAGGCTGTCGATCCCGAGGACGAGATCGCGAAGATAGAAAAGAAGGTAGGAGAGCAGGTGGACAGGGTCAAGCTCCAGCAACTTACGAGTGGAGGGCGAAAGAAATTCACCGTAGGGGCAGAGGAGGACGAATCGTGAGAGTAAATTGTGACCCTTTTGCTCTCCCTGTAGAAAAGGGCGCCGAGTGGATTGGCCGAGGATGGCCATCCCTTGCGTGGTGGGGAGGAGACGACCATGTACGATTTCTTGCATACACTTTTTTTTTGGTTCCGTTATGTACCTGCACTCGACAGAGAAAAGAGATACCCCCGAACACGTTCCTGCGGCTGTCAAGTTTTGACCCTGCAGTTGAGATCCGCACGGCTTGTGTTGCATTTTCGCCTACTTTTGTATAACTTGGTTCCTGTTCCCCTCCCGTTTAAGGCCCGCCCTACTTTAGCCCTAACTCACCACCCTTCCACTGTATACCTGCCAACACTTGTTCACTGCCGTACCATTCGAAAGCTTTGATACACAGGCAAAGGTCATGAGCTATGATTTCCGTGTAACTGGATGATGCGCGGACCACCTTGGAGGTCATTGAGGACCTACATTCCAACGCCAGTTGCTGTTTGGGGGTGATGGTGCATTCTTGACGCTGGGCAAATAGGAGCACACCTTTAGTTGTTCAACATTCCTGCCAATCTTCAGATTGCCACTGATGATAGTCGACGACGGTCAACACTGGCTCGTGCAATAGCACTCCAAGGTCACTTCGTGCAGCTCTAAATCTCCGAACCGCTCGTCACTGGATCGTGCTGGTCGAGCATCCCTTGCGTGTGGAAACACTTCCTTCATATCGAGCCCTTTCTTGACTCCTGATTTGCTGCGGCAAGGACGGCTGGCCGGTCGGGTCCTATGCTACTCTACTACGAGTGCCTGGACGCGCCGAAGGCTCTTCGGTCGAGAGCGGTCCCTGTCGTAGGAGCATGAGGAGTTGGCGTTCGAGGGACGTGTGGTACTAGGTCCAAGCAAACCTGGCGTACCTAGCAATGTTGCTACTGGGACTACAAACCACCCCTCCCCTCGGGGGAAGTATGCTTCCCTATAAACACCATCCTGCTCGCTCTCACATTCTCTTTCCCAGGTTCTGACATTCTCTTCAGACAGTTGCGTTCTTTGCCAGGCAGTAAGCATTTGACGGTGCCTCTTTACTCCCCCTCCTCTTTGGAATCTGTCATTCTTTTGGGAGAGCCCGTCCTTGGTACGCTCCATGGCTGCTGACTGGCAACCCGAGTGCCTCGTGCCTCAGAACCAGCCGTCTCTGGAGGCAGTGGGTGTTCATTCGGATCGAGCTCTTCAGAATACCTCTGGGAACGTTCAGTCATATTCGGATAGCCTTGCACACAATGATGCCGGTCGAGAGGATCATCTGCAGCAGCTAGCCTACAAGTATCCTCAACATCATGTTGCCCATCATCCAGTATCAGCCGTATCAGCTCCCAGCATACACCACCAGGCTATGCAAGCTCGGCTACATGCGAAGAAGCTGCGTCGGCTGAACTCTGTCGGGCCCAACATGGCGCCTCGACGGGGAAGAAGCTATCTCAAGTCCCAGAAGTACTTGGAATATCGGGCTCGTCCTCGACGAGACACCGGTAAAGATGGAGAGCCAGTCTGGTCTGATCAATTGGAAGATGCTTTCCAGCAAGGTGTGTACTCGACGCGGCCCCCAAAAACAGGGCATCCAAGCTCAATGCTAAATAACAATCTTGGATATAGCTCTCGAAGCAAATCCTCCCATGGGCCGAAGAAAGTGGTCTGAGCGAGGGAAATCATACGGACGCAATGAGCTTATTGCCGAGTATATTTTCAAATTGACTGGCAAGCGAAGGACCAGAAAGCAGGTCTCGAGTCATCTTCAGGTGCTTGACTCGTTCTTGAAGGGGGACCCCGATTGTGAGTGCACTTTCTGGCAAATTTATATGCCCATCGGTGTTTTGCCAATACTAATGTCGAATTTCCCAGGGGAGCGACTCGTTCGGGAACAGTCCACAGACCGATCAACTGGGCATACCTCAGCAACCGGACCCAAGTGGCGGACATCTATGGACCACCACGCAGCATCAAGTCACTATGGGGCCCATGGACATCCCCAGTATCATAATTCTATGAGGGCAGTACAACATTATGGAGATCTCCCGCCGCCGCACTATACCCTGGGTTCCAACATGCAGGACGCTGGAACCAAGAACATTCATGGCTTCAGTTTCGACATGTGGGTAAGCGCGCCTCAGCAGGCGAATCGCATCGACAAAGCTCTTCATGCATACACCCGCCTTCAGGGAGATCTACACCACCCAATTGCCCCTCCTATGCCCCTTGAGAGTGTCAATGGGTGGCGGTCTTCTTTCCCCCACCTGTCCTCATTGATTGACGAGCTAAATGGGCCGTTGGATTGTGATATTATCATGCTGGAAGTGAACCTCCAGCTGATGACCGATTTCCCTCCTTCGGGCTCCCGACTTGGCATTCAGCTTGATCTGGACTTTGGCCACCCAACTGCCGGTGACGTGCTTATGGTGAGGCAGATGGAAAACTGGACCTGCAGCACTCGGCTTTACGAAGATGGACAACAATTCCGGGAGAACTACCAAGATCTTTCAAAACCTCAATCGACCAAGGTCAAGCCTTTGTTTGAATCTTCCTGGTGGGCCAAAATTTTCACCGAACGGACGCAGGAGAGGCGAATGGCCGAGGACTCTGGGCAGGCCGAGAGCATCCACGCCACTGATGAACGTACCCGCCGGTTCTTCCGCTCTTTGACTGCAGTACAGGAGATACGTGCTGTTCCTCCCAGCTCGCGCCGTCTCTCAAACCAGTTCCAAGGCCATGGTGACGAAAGTGAGCGCATGGCCATTCTCGTTTGGAAGTTCCGCCAGACTCGGCCTGGCGAGGTTGGAACCACTACCTGGCGACGACTCATTCCACCCCCAGAACGCACTTCGACCAACAGTCCACACCCCAACTCCGGGGTTGACCTCCCTCCTTTGTCCTTGGACTCTATCCTCCTCAACAAGCCATCTCAAAGTGTCTACCAGACACCGCAGCCACAAGACCTCATCACCCACCCAGGCCAATCTCAATCGCAATGGCCAATGTATTCTTCCCACGACAGCGTGGCTAATATTTTCAGTTCCTCTGGCCATCTCGATTTCATGGCTGCGATCACCAAGCCGGAGGACGGCATGGGTGATAAAACCGCGGTCACTTCAGTGCTTGACTCGTTCTCGGCCAGCTTGGCTCCAGAGACGTCCCAACCAACTAGTTTGAGCGTCTCCAGCGGTGGTTCTCTGATCATGAACATGCACGACCTACCCCTTTCCCACCCAAGCCTCGGCTACGCCATGGGCCACGATGGCAGTCAGTATGTGCCATCCCAACAGCACAGCGTCAACATCCATGATAGCAACAGCGTCCTGAACGGCTTCTTCCCTGGTAGCACTCAATCCCTCGATGATCTGAGTAATGGACAGGCCTCGTGGGGTGCTCCCTCCAACTCTCTCGCCGGCGATGTCGGCGCTGGTGGCTACCACCACATGTCATTCCAAACTGATCACCATGGGCCCGTGTCGCGCGAGTCGCAGCAGCCGCACCATTTCGATGGACTCATGCCTCCCGACGATATCATGGACAAGATCGTCGGTCGCATGGCAAACACTTCCAGCATGCACGGGGCAGGCCCTGAGCATATTAATTCCTCATACGCAGGGAATGGCGCTGTGGAGGGGGTTTGATGAAGTGGGCTTGGATACCACCACCAACCCAAAAAAAAACAACGTATTGGTAATGATAATCTTCTTTCTGGATCTCTGTATTCTTTTATACCTTGTGTGTCATTTTTCCTATCTTTTCTTTCTTACCCTCTTTATTTCCTCTTGGCCCTGTCTCTATGATCTCTTATTCTCTTATTATTTTACTTTTACTCGTGCCGACGCAGCTCCGTCTGAATGTCACCGGGTAAGCCTTTGGAAATACTATCTTAAACTTTCGCTCATTGAATGTTTCCTTTTTCGAATAATAGTTGGTCTCATTTAAGTCTACGATACTCAAGTAGATGAATGAATCACAACAGGAAACTCAAGAGGTCGACTCAAATGTGACAAAATCTCCGAGTAATCCGGTTCGTTTTCGGGGCACATTAGCCCAAGCTCAATGAAGAACTTGACAATCACGACAGCACTATTGGGCTTGAAAAGGCCATGTTTCAAGGATTCCAGCGTCTCCTCCACGCTGTATAAAGTAAAACTCTCCACCTCCGTATCACTCGGCGTCGGCACCATCCCGGCCTCCAATTCAAGCTGATACGTATACTCAACCTCGGGCTGTAACAAACCAATCTCCCCTCCGGCCTTGGGTCCACGAACGTGAAAATAACTAATTGGTCCCATCGACTCGATGTGCCTTTTCGTATACTCACCCGGGATAGATGCCTCCTCTTGTGCTTCACACATGATAGCGTCTAGTGGCAGCGTTCCCGTAGGTAAACCACCGGCAGCAGTACAATCCAACATCCCCGGATAAGTCTGCTTCCTGCTTGATCGTTTACCAATCCATAGCCGTAGACCGTCTCGGTCATCGTTCACGTAGCAGAGGAGTTGGACGCCGTAGGTCACGATTCCGAATAAGGCGCTCGCGCAGCGCTCGATCTCGAGGAGAACGTTGCCCTGTAAATCGTAGACTGGAAATGTCTCGTTCCGCCATTTGCTCAGCATTGAAATAGTTCCATGCTTTTGAGTGGCCCTTAAAGTTTGTATGAGTGCTTCGGAACGTGTTTCTCGCGTGGCGGTTGATGGAGTGTTGAGGATGACGGCTCGTGACTGCCGGTCGATTATCCACGCGTCGGACCATTGGATTTTCCCAATTATCGCCTGGCGAATGTACCCCAGTACCGCATTGCAGCCATTGATTTGGAAAGTATAGTATTGTCGCCAGAAATCGGGGGCCGTGGCTTCACCACGTTCGGGCGTCGTGAAGCTGGTCGGTTATTAATGACTGCAAGAGTCGTGGAATTGGGTTAGAGTGGGTCTCGCGTACTTGTCGCATTCCTTGACCACGTCTAATATAGTTCGTGTCATTCTGGAATCAATTAACCGGCGTCAAGGAAGACCAGGGACGGGCGGGCCCGGTGAGCGTCTCCCAAGGGGTCGAGTAATTTAGCAATTTAGCAGCAATTTAGCACCGCGCCAGCAGACGCGGGGGAATTCAGTCCTTGGCACTTTCGTGCCCCGCAATCAGAGGATTTTCTTCCGGAGTACAGAGCCCCAGGAAGTTGGAGGGGGCTATTTGGGAGATTTGGGGCCAAAGAGTGAGTCCCTAGACATGGTTTCTAATTAGGGCACTTGGCTCACGTGTTTCGCTCTAGTAGAAGAGATTAGGTCCTAGAGAAAGGACCGTTTTAAGTCTCTTGTACAGCTGGAACAGTAGAATGAAGAATCCTCCAGTCACCAGTCATCTACGAGGAGGTCACTTTGATTTCGTCTGCACTCCAAGCCATCAGAGAATAGTCGGAGGCACGTCTGGCCCTGAACAGAGTTTATCGGCATGCCGGTGTCCACTTTCCCTCTTTTGCCCCGAGCAAGACCTATCGTGCTATTTTTGAGGCTGCAATCGCTTTTATCCTCTCGACCGCTCAAGCGAATCGATCATAACTCTAACATAAATCGCGATTATGACGATACCTTTTTTTAATCTCCCGCCACTTCCCTGTATATCCCATCCGTCCCGAGCTGGTCGTGACGATGATTCGAGGAAATACGACTTCTACCGCAAGTGGGGAAGGGGAAATGGCCCGAATCCCATGAAGTCATGGAATGACCCGAGAGATTAATTGTAATTGACCCGTGTCCAGAACCTATTTCTCCGGGTATCTATCTCAGCCACCAGGGTAAACCCGTCCGTCCTTTAGCCGCCGAGCATTTTAGCCGAGGCTTGGGTGGGGGGGAGCCCCAGAGTTGGAACGACGTGGAGGGGGGCAATGGAGGGGCAACGCTCATTCGGTCATTTGGCCTTTAGCCTAGACGAAACTTTGGAAGAAATTGTGCCATCGTGGTTCTGTCTCTCTTTTTTTTTGTTATTAAATTGACTTGTGCTCCCTCTTCGACAATGAATCCTCTTTCTCTCCTTCTCTCCCCCCAACCTCTCCAGTCAGTGCGCCTCCCTACCTGCTAGATTGAGCTGGCGGAACAATCGCTAACCAGTACACAGAAAAACAACAGATTCTCCAAAATGTCTTCTCCTACCGTCAAGCTGAGCAGCGGCTACGAAATGCCCCTCGTGGGCTTCGGCCTGTGGAAGGTCAACAACGACACCTGCGCTGACCAGGTTTACAATGCCATCAAGGCTGGCTACCGTCTGTTCGATGGCGCCTGTGGTAAGCTTTGAAAATGCGCTCGCCCGTCTTATCTTTTTTCCTAGGCTAATTTAATCCATTACAGACTACGGCAACGAGGTCGAGGTTGGCCAGGGTGTCGCCCGCGCCATCAAGGATGGCCTCGTCAAGCGCGAGGACCTCTTCCTCGTCTCTAAGCTGTGGAACAGCTTCCACGACGGCGAGCAGGTCGAGCCCATCGCTCGCAAGCAGCTGGCCGATCTGGGCATCGACTACTTCGACCTGTACATCGTGCACTTCCCCGTCTCCTTGGAGTACGTTCCCCCCAGCGTGCGCTACCCTCCCAGCTGGCAAAACTCCGAGGGCGAGATCAAGCTCGGCAAGGCCACCATCCAGGAGACCTGGACCGCCATGGAGTCGCTGGTCGACAAGAAGCTGGCCCGCAGCATCGGTGTCAGCAACTTCAGCCCCCAGCTCCTGATGGATCTGCTGCGCTATGCCCGCATCCGCCCGGCCACCCTCCAGATCGAGCACCACCCCTACCTCACCCAGAAGTCGCTGGTCAACTACGCCCAGCAGGAGGGCCTCACCGTCACCGCATACTCTTCTTTCGGTCCCCTGAGCTTCATCGAGCTCGAGGTGAAGAATGCCCAGGATACCCCCCGTCTGTTCGACCACGCTGCCGTCACTACCCTCGCCTCCAAGTACAACCGCACCCCGGCTCAGGTGCTGCTCCGCTGGGCTACTCAGCGTGGCATTGCCGTCATCCCCAAGAGCAACGACCCCACTCGCTTGGCTCAGAACCTGCAGGTCACTGACTTTGACCTGGAGGCTGGTGAGATTGAGTCTATCAGCGCGCTGAACCAGAACCTGCGCTTCAACGATCCTCTTAACGTAAGTTTTGCCACTATCTCCCTTGGGGTTTCTATGGTCAGTTACTAACGTCATGAATAGTACGGTCTGAACATTACCATCTTCTAAGCTAGATGCAGGTTGGAGTGAACGTTATGAGGATGCACAATCTCGACACATATGTATATACCTTGACGAGACCCGACTTCATGACCTCGGGGACTCATGTGTCATACGAAATGAATGAAATAGATCAACTGGATTGAAATCAACAGCATTCCCGTAAATACAAGACTTTAAAAAAGAATCATCCAAAGTATTTAGAATAAGTTCTGTTCGTGGAGGGTCAACCAACGAAACGACTCCGTAGAAGCTTCGGCCGCCAAGAGATCTTCACATTTTCTCCGCACTCCAAAAAACGTTCTCATCCTCTCTCCAACATCCCTCCAAACACCCTTTCGAAATGACCTCCAAGCCAGCCCTCAGCACCCTAACACGACTCTCCGCTCAAGTCCACATCAGCCCAAACCCAGCACCCAAGACTCTCGCCGAAAGTAGGCAAATCTTCGCCGCGCTACAAGGCTTCGGGGAGATAGTCAGCTTCCGCAACTTGAAGGTATTGCTATTTCTCTGCGACACGCTCTTCCCCCCCAATTGACAAATTGAAATATAGTACGACATTCGCAATGACACGGACAGAGAACGGCCTCTCATCGCCATGTTCGACTCCAGCGAAGCCGCCGAGCGCGCCATCGCCGCGTCCCCGGTGACCATCACCCTGCCGACGCCGACACCACCGGCATTCACTCCGAATCCCTTCGCCTCTGTGTCCTCCTCATCCTCAACGCCCTCTTCTATGCCCCCTCCATCCACACCCACATCCACATCCACGTCCACGTCAACTCCCACTCCTCCAACGATAACGTGTACTCTCAGCCCCTCCCGCCACAACTACGAACGCTCCACCCGCCGCAACCCGTTCTACAGCATGTTCACCATCGACAAGAATAGCGCGATATACGCCGACATGCGCAGCGAGGAAACAGATACCCCGCTCGCGGAATTGGCGGACGTCTTGATGCGCACGAAGAGGGTTACGTTTGCGTCGCAGCGGTACGGGGCGAGGGTGAATGCGCAGCGGATGGGGGCGGATAGTTTGATGGGGATTTGGGAGAGGGGGGTGAAGGAGAGGAAGAAGATTGAGGGAGAGAATCGAGATCGAGATCAAGATCAAGATCGAGATGATGCTTCCAAGGAGAGCGCGCAGGGAAAGAGTGGTGATCGGGGGACGGGACGAGGACGAGGACGAGGGCGAGGTGTGGAGGAGAGGGCGGGATAGGGTTTTCTCGATGGGGGTGGGAGTCGCGGGCGACTCGTGGAGATCTCGAGGGAAGGAACTGTGAGATATGGTTTGAATGGAGCAGAGTCTCACGTTGTGGAATGCAAGACAGCCATAGGTATCATGCCGTACTTTGCTGTGCACTACTGCGGATGTCCTCGATGGATTGAGGCCTGCTCGTTCAGAGTCTGCGGAATAAGACTCGTGTATTATAGGTCTTGGAAGGTGCAAGCCATCAAGACCAGAACGATCTTGTATAGAGCATAGGTGATACCCCATTTCATATATATCTAATTGCAAGGATACTATACATACGGGACGACAATAACTATAGCCGATCAGAGTAAAAATCATGCCGTGACAAGGCTCAGACTTGTTTCGTTTCTCATAAGGAAGGCGCCCTGCTAAAGCTGATTAAAGACACAGTATTATCAAAGCCTTCCACTCCCCGCCGCGTTTCAGGGTAAGAAATCAAGGCCATGCAGTGTTACATCTCACACTCGTACATAGGCTGAAAGAAGAACAACAATGTTAGCTCATATCCTCCTCATAAACCATCGCGGAAGGGAATATACATACTCGCGTCAATCTGCTTAATATGCGGCAACGCCAATCGAACCTTATTCCGATACACGGCCGGGCCATTTGTCTGCAGTGGATTGCCTTCGAAATACACTGTCTCCAACTTCTCCTTGTCCTTCAGCTCCCGCTCGACCTCGTCAAAGCTGGCGAGCTGGTTATTAGACGCCCACAGCTCTTCCAGGTTCTTCAGTGAGCCGAGGTGCTCAAGGTGGGAGACTTGGTTGTTAGAGAAGTCGAGGACACGGAGGGTGGGGGTGGAGTCGAGGCCGGAGAGTTCAGTGATGGCGTTGTGGGAGAGGTAGAGCTCTTCCAGGTTTGGGAGGTTGGAGAGTCCGGTGATGCTGGTGAGGCGGTTGGATTGGATTGAAATGATGCGGAGGTTGGAGAGAGCGTCCAGGTTCTGGAATGACTTAGTTCTCCGTATGCACGGCAGCGATAATATCGCAAAATGTAAGGAGTGCATACCTTCATCTCCGTGATCTTGTTCTTCCCGAGCCAGAGCTCCTCGAGAGAGGCAAGTGTGTCGAGATTCTCGATTTCCTGTGGTGCGAATCATGTCAATCCTGGACCTCCTGGGTTTTTCCTCCATCATCTTCTCACATACCCGGATGCGATTCGCTCCCAGTTCCAGATTCCGCAACTTGTCCAGTCCCTCTAACCCTTCAATACGCGAGATCTTATTCTGGACAAAGTAGAGGTCCGTCAATTTCTTCAGGTGGTCCACATTCTTGATATGCTTGATCTTATTGAAGCTAACATCCAGGCTGGTCAGGTTGTGGAACTCATCCAGGCCCTTGACGTGCGAAATGAGGTTATCGTAGAGATCAAGCTCCGTCAATGTCTCGGCGAGTTCCGTTGGGAAATTGATGCGTGTTATTTGGTTCTGGCGCAAACATAGTCTCTGTAGGAACCAGCTTGTTAGCTTGCTATTCATGCATATCCGAAACCTGTGAAGAAAGAAAGACCCGACACGCTCTAGCCACAACATGGATCCTTCTTTTTTACTTCTCCAGAGCAGGCACCATATTAGAGCGGAGTGGGAGATGGTACCTGAAGCTTCGTGAACCGTTCCAAGCGCAGTGCAGTGAGCGACGATACGCGACAATGAACCAGGTCGATATCCTAAACCCGAAGCCAAAAAAAAATGGTTAGCAAAGGCACACCTCCATCTTCGCCTCGAAAGACAGGGCAAAGGACTTGACAAACCTCGACGTTCACATCCTCATCCGCCAGTAGATCTGTCACCAATCAGCCCCGTGTTCATGCCGTACGAAACCCGCGCGTGCGCTACCGCCAAAACCTTACCTTCGTCCGCGTCGATCTCCTCGACGGGCGGTGCCTCCGGGTCCGAATAATCCGAGTCCTCTAGAGCTTCTGGATTCGTGATGACGGCCTTGGGCTCGACTCGTAATTTGCCGTCCCAGCCTTCTGAGTTCTTCATGATGGGTTTGTGGTGAGAGGTTGGTAAGGATTGGAGGTGGTGGCGGGCAGCGTTGGTGGGTGGTGTGATGTGATTGCGGGGAGCTTTGCGAGCGGGCAGGTCGAGGTTCCCGGCAGAAGCCTGAAAAACAGAGACGAAGTGGCGATAGGATTTGCCGTGGACTCGTCAATTGGTATGAGACGAGTAATCAAGTTGAGTTGGAGATGTAGATGAGAGAAGCAAAAAGTGATGTAGGAGTCCGAATTAACGTGTTGGCTGACTACATCCATCCCAATGCGGGCCGAGGGCGGTGCCTTGATGCGGTGCTCATGCAGCCTCAACCTTAAGAAAATCTACCTTCGCCGATGCACTTTGATGATTTTTTTTTTTTTTAAAAAAAAAACAAGATTAATATTTCACACGCTTAGGTCCTGTAATTCCAGATGAAATATCTTCTCAAGGATTATGTACAGCATAGAGAGCCACGGAGCCGCAGCCGAATAGAGGGCCATATACATTGCGGAAGGAATGAATCCAACGATGCAATTCCCAACGATCAGTTCACGAGCAGAGTGCAGGAAGACAAATATTAGTGTACACTGCTCCCGAGGTAAACCGGACTCGGCATGAACAGAACAGACAGCGATATGCAGAGTCTTGAACTGGAAGAGCAGGACGCAGCGTAGCAAGGCTGGGGGAAAATAACAAGGGACGCGGGCTTGACAGGGGGGGGGATACATAGGGGGGAATGGGGCATAATAACCAACAGACGCCTGCGTAATGCATTGGAGAATGCGGGACTTGGTAGGAGAACTGGAGACAAGACAGCAAGGAAAGATCAGAGGGGGGGCATGACGGAGGATCCAATGGTGAGGACGGTACTAGGAAATGGGGAGGAGCAACGATAAAATGGCTGGCTTGGAAGATGATCAGATAAGTGAGATCACAATGCCAAACCTGCAAGACACGGGAAGATAGACGACCAAAAGAAAATATGGAAGAACAAAGATGCCAGGCTGATTGCGTGGGCTATAATGACGGGGGCCAAATTGACGACAAATGCATCATCATTCAGGCTACGACCCCCGGGGAACCAGTTCCCCATCTGGGCCGATGTCCGGAATATTGAAGAAGCGAAGTAGGCCCAAAGTAAATGTGAGCAGAAGAACAACGGCAAGCGTGGGTCACAAAAATGCTGGAATTGAAGCTGGGAGGGTTGTACTGGAACCGGGAAGGAGACTGCAGAAGGAAAAAGAGCTTTTTCTCGCGACAGGAAAAAAGGGTAAACCAAAAACACAAGGCAAGGACTCGCTTAATGGGGAATCTTAGGCGTAAGAGGGATCCGGACAAAACGTTCGTTTCAGAGGGTAATGTCCAGGACCATGCTGACATCTTGGACTTGGGCCCCAGCCAGATCCTCGAGAACGGGGATGAGGTCCAACAGTTCGTTGTCGTGAGCGTCAGAGAACCAGCTGCTGATGGGTATCGCGTGTTGGGGGTGGAAGATGTAAGACGTGGGCGAGTTGTCGATGATAATCGTTTCCCGTAGATCGCGGCCTACTTGTGAAAGGTCCTATTGGAGAGTTAGATATACCGTAATTGTTGATGAGATGGGAGATGAAGTGGAACGAACCTTGACGTAGTTTCCTTGGTGATTGTAGCAGCTCTCGCGGAAGAGACGGTGGTGCACCACATTATGAATGTCCAGTTGATCCAGCAAAGGGTCACCGTACTGTAGATATTGGTTAGTCGTCGTGGTGATTGCTTTGTCGTCCACCCGAGGCGGGGCCCAACGGTGCTGTGGGAAATGTCTCATTGACTCACCTTAGATACGGACGCCGTGAACACAACCACCTCATACAACTCTCCAACACGCTTCATGAACTGGTCCACGCCTGGGCGTTTGATCACATAGATATTGTGATACTGGCCTTCGATCTCCACAGGAATCGTGAAGTCAGCACGCTCGAGAACCTACGAGATGAGTCAAATTAGCACCCCAAGCGCTTGAACCGCTGAACAATAAAGTGCTTACCTTGAAACTGCTGTGAACGAGTGTCTCATCAAGATCCAGCACCAGACACTTGCGGTTCGACAGGTGTGGGAGCGCTGGCGGCAGCAACCATTGTTGCTGCTCGGCGCCCTCCGTCGCGGTGATCACCTCGGGGGCAGGTGGTGGTGGAGGAGGGGGCAGTACAACCGGTGCCTGGACTAGTTCCTCTTCGTGCGATTGAGTCTCGCCTTCGGCCGCTGCGGGCTTTTTTGGGGTCGTCTCGTTGGTTGTGACAGCGTCGGTCGCGGGGATCTGCTCATCGGCTTTCACAACGTCGGTCTTGGACTCTGGTATTACTCCATTTGCCACGGCCGCCTTGGGCTCATGCTCCTTGGAGTCCACAGGCAGGACGTCGGGCTGACTAGCAGCAGTCGAAGCTCCCTCACCTCGCGTATCGGGCGAAACCTGAGCGTTCCGCTCCTCCTCCTGAGGCTGCTGGTGATCCGCCGTCACCGCAACGACTTTCTCGTCGCCAAAGTAAGCGGGGTCTCTCGATTCAGCAGTACTCGAGTCTCCAGTATGAGCTTCCGCTTTGTCTGGAGTGGGCAGCCGATTGGACACAGGGGGCTGCTTCGACGTCTTCTTGGGAGGCACGGTACTATCGTCGCCATCCACGTCCGGCGAGGAACAGCAGCTCAGGAACGCAAAGAACTTGGATCCCTTCTTCTCGTGAGGCTTGGCTGGTCCGTTCATCTCAGGTGTGGTCGGGGTTGTCGTCTCCTGACCCTTTTCCACGTTGGCCGCTTCTTGCTGAGTCCGTCGCGACCGTCTGCTACTCGCCCGACTGCGATCCCGTGTGATCTTCAAGATGCTCACTCTGGATCCTCTCCGACTGGAATCATCCTGTGTTGCTTCCGCAGTCTTTTCCGATGTCGAGTGTTGATCCGTCTTGGAGGACCGTCGCGATGGAATTGGAATCAGCAGACGGTTTTTCTTGGGCGGTTCGGCATTTTCAGTCGCAGCCAAGGCACTAGGTGTCGATGCGACCGGTGGAGAGGCCGGCTGAGATGATGCGCCAGCGGTCGATCCCTGGGTCTCAGCAGCATCGGGGGCTGGATGTTCGGAAGGTGGTTCCGGACCTGATAGCAGCGAGAAGTGTCAGCGACCGGGATTTTCCTGACACAATCGCATCAAGGATGGATTGCGATAGCTAATCCAGGGGGAAAATCGTTACCGTTGGCGTCCTCATTGCCAGAGGGGGTCATGTTAATGGGTTCTTTGCCCACGGACTCGGGGGCTGAGGTTGCGGAGAGATCTTGCCCCGTGCTTGCTTCCACCATCGAGGCTAGCTACAAATGGCGTGAATCTGTGAGGTCCAGCGAACGTATAAAGGGAGCCGAAGCAGTAGCCAAAGGGTTGCAGCTCGTTCGGAAGCTCAATAGGTCGGGGGGCGCGGCTACTAACGAGGTCAACACGCCTCCTGGAAACGGAAGCCCAGAAAGGGTGGGCTTGTTTTTATTCACACGTACCCGGAGTGAACCAGCAACTTCAGTAAGCCAAGGCTGACAAGAGCAGCCCAAGCAGAGAGGGATTATGCGACGAGAATGATGCCTCGGGGGAGAATGTTATGGTTGAGGCAAGAGAGGAGTCGAGGATGTCACGTGCCGAGAGACTGGGGCCAAACTGGGCGAGGCGGTTCTGCTTCTCAGGCCTGCCCGCCCTGATTGTTAGCGGCCTTTAGGGTCTTTGCTTTACTTTTGGTGTCTGGGGGTTTGTTCGACCACTCACTCGTAGAGATCACGATGGCAGTGACCTAGATTTTTTTGCTTCCGGTACGTAGTGATGCTTAATTTCTTTTACCAAGGTCCCCGTGGTTCTGTGTACGTGCGAAGTACTCCAGGCTCCGTATTCTACTTTGGCACTATTGAACTATTGCCAGCCCTCGGCGGCTAAGCTCTCGTTGTCACTTTGAATCACACCGGAGGGTGCCTCTGCCCCAACTCGGGGTTTAACCGGCTGTAACTATCTCATCCGCTGCGGGTGAGAGCCAGTAGAAAGGTACGATGCAGCCCCTCCACAGTGGTGCATAGGGAACTCCGTACGGCGTACGAAGGAAAACAGGGCTACGACTCCAAAGACGATTAGTGTAGGGCCTGGACCAGAAGTCCGTCCTGCAGAGTGCACCCATTTACGACTCCATTCGTGACTTCCTTTCGTGATAGGCGATCGGGAGGACCATTAACCGGTCCCCACTCAAGATCGAGTGGGTGGTTCAGTCTGCCCCTTTTTTTTCGGTCTTCTGGCCCTTCAGCTAATAGTCTGACAATCCGCTCGAGTGGAGGAAGCTATGGCCCTAGGACAGGTGGGGGCCATTGAAGGCCACTATTGGCGGAAATTAGAGCCTTTTGCAGCAGACAGAGGATTGGATGTGACTGTGCCCAATCCCTGGCCAGGGTGCAACCTGCAGGATGGCGTTATTATGTATGTACGCGGTAGGCCGTACAGTATTACATGTTATTTTTTTATTATTTTTTTCCTCGTTATGATCAGGTCTTATTTGATAGATCTCTACTCCGTACAGTACTAGTGTGTGGGGGAACCGAGAGGGAGAGGTCGGCGAGAGCTATTGAGGGGCTGGGGAGCTTGCGATCTACGAATTCTTTCCTAGCTGGAAGATAGAGACAACCACTGATGATCAGGCCATGAAGCGGTACTCACTGAGTTACCTTGACTTAGGTAGAAATTCTAGGACTTTTTCTTGTCGAGAAATGTACAAAGTATAGAATATAGTATAGCAACAAAATACCGCCGTGCTGTCGTCACATTTGGTAAGGCTGAGGCTGTTGACCCGCCTTGAGATTAAACACGAGGGGTTCCAACCCCCGTACCTGTAATATCATTCCCTTTTTTTGGAAACTATTCTATCTCCATCCCCTAGCGGCTATTGCCGAACATCTGATACCTAGTCCTTCAACTCATTGATTTTGTCAAGGACGACTGTTGATATGATCCCGAGTCTGATCGACAGATTTTGGTGAGTCTCTCATGAATTTCAGAAAGTACATAGCGCTAGAATCATCGCTTCGAAGGGTCCCTATTGACCATTCAGGTCTACAATCAAATTTTATAGCTCTAAGTTAGTCGTAATGATCATGCTTAAGGGTGCATTGTGAATTATATATCTCCTGTTTTAAGCTTGCCATGGTTCCATCCCCTGCTTAATACCTAACATGGGCATCTTTCAAGCAAAATCTACCTAATCATGACATAAAGCTTCTTGTACATATCAATAATGGAGCTAGCTACGATTCTCCACGAGCTGATCTAGGCTTCAGCGGCTGTCGACATTACAATTACGATCATTCTAGATTTCGGCTTGTCATGTCAAATCCCTCCCACACATTTCAGGCCCTGATCCGGCCACACTACTAAGTATCACACTCAATAAGGCAAATCAATCGTCTCCTGATAGACAGAGTCTAGGGTACAGTTGGGGTACACTGTACGGAGTACCTTCCCCAGTTTTGATTTAGTGGGGTTAGTCAGCGCTCTTGCCCTGTGGAACCGCTGGAGCTTTCCCCAGGCACGTGCCTCTCTCCGCAATCCCGAGGTTCACATGCAATGATGCAACGCTCTCCCTTGGCCCAAACTGGTTATCCCCGTCTGGGATCTCATCTTCTTCAACTTTTCCATCACAATCTCTAAATTCCATAAGGAGCTGGTCTCTGGTTTTGTCCATGGAATATCGCCCACGTTAACACGCCATTTGGGGTCGACGCTGTGAACACGGAGGCCGATCTGGGCTCGACAAATGGCCGCCCAGTCGACACTCCGGCGGCCGGAGGATCCCCTCCTGGCGCTGTACTTACACTACTCAGAACTACTGCGCGCACGTCTGAAGCGCACCTCTTCAACGACTCGACTGATCGCCACCGTTGCGCTGCTATTATCAATAGTCGGCTCGGGATATGGAGGATACAAATGGCTCCGTGAGCGGGCTAAGGAACGTGCTCAAGGCCGTCGGTTGCTTCGACGAAACTCTGGAATCAGAGGGAAAGATGGATCTCGTACCATCTATGTCCCCTACAAAGGCGAACGGACCTCCAAGGTCTTGATCCATCCAACCAAGCCGACTACCTTTGATGCCCACCGGCGCCTATTCTTGAACCCTCCGGCATCAGCTCGCAGCGCTGAAGATGGATCAACGAATCAAATCCCTCCACCGACAACCAAACCTGGCCTCAACCTGGCCTTCTTGCATCAGTTTCTGAGTTTGGGAAGCATCATGGTCCCCCGCTGGGGCAGCAAGGAGACTGGATTGCTGATGAGCCACGGCTTATTCCTGCTGTTACGAACGTATCTGTCACTGCTTATTGCGCGACTTGATGGTGAGATCGTCAGAGATCTGGTTGCTGGTAAAGGCAAGGCCTTCCTATGGGGTATCGTCAAGTGGTGCGGAATCGGTACTCTCGCCTCGTACACGAACGCCATGATCAAGTTCCTGCAGTCCAAGGTTTCGATTGCCTTCCGGACTCGTCTGACGAGGTATATCCATGACCTATACTTGACCGAAAACCACAACTTTTACAAGTTGATGAATTTGGATGGCGGCATCGGCCAAGGCCCCGATCAATTTATCACCCAAGATCTCACCCTCTTCTGCTCGGCCGCGGCATCGCTATACTCGTCGCTGGGTAAACCGATGGTGGACCTATTCGTTTTTAACTACCAACTCTACCGTTCACTGGGTCCTCTCGCACTGAGCGGGATTCTTACTGGCTACTTTAGTACCGCTGTGGTGCTCCGGAAACTGTCACCGCCGTTCGGAAAGCTCAAAGCCGTGGAGGGCAAGAAGGAAGGTGACTTCCGCGGCCTACACTCCAGACTCTTGGCCAATGCTGAGGAGATCTCGTTCTACGGAGGAGCCGACACTGAGCGTGTTTTTCTTATCAGGAGCTTCAAGGAGCTGCAGCGGTGGATGGAGGGAATTTACAGCCTCAAGATCCGCTACAATATGCTCGAGGACATGATTTTGAAATACTCCTGGTCCGCTTTCGGCTACTTGGTGACCTCTTTGCCCGTCTTCCTTCCCGCCTGGGGCGGCTTGGGTGGCGCGATGGAGCTGGCAGATGCGCCCGAGGGTGTAGGCCGTGAGCGAGGGAGAATGAAAGAGTTCATCACTAACAAGCGGCTTATGCTTTCGCTTGCTGATGCAGGTGGCCGCATGATGTACAGTATCAAGGATATCTCGGAACTGGCAGGGTACACGTCGCGAGTCTACAGTCTGATCGCTACCCTGCATCGTGTTCACGCAGGCGCCTACTACCCACCTCCTGGCTCGCATCCTGAGCTGTACTCTCTTGCTGATGCTCAGGGTACTACCCACAATGGCTTCGATGGTGTCCGCCTGGAGCAAGTCCCTGTCGTAGCGCCATCCCTCTATCCAATGGGTGGCGATGAGCTGATTGAGTCACTATCTTTCATCGTTCACTCCGGTGACCACTTGCTCATCTCAGGACCCAACGGCGTTGGCAAGTCTGCAATCCCTCGCATCGTGGCTGGCCTGTGGCCCGTTTACCGCGGCCTTGTCAGCCGGCCCCGATCCATTGGACTGGATGGCATCATGTTCCTCCCCCAGCGGCCGTACCTGAGTGTGGGTACTTTGCGCGACCAAGTTATCTATCCTCACACCGAGATTGATATGCGTGAGGCTGGCGAGTCTGACGCAAACTTGCAGAAGATCCTCGATGCTGCACACCTTGGCTACTTACCTCAACGTGAAGGTGGCTGGGACGCTCGTAAGGAGTGGAAGGACGTTCTGAGTGGCGGAGAGAAGCAACGGATGGCCATGGCTCGTTTATTCTATCATGAGCCTCGCTACGCATTCATTGATGAGGGCACGTCAGCCGTATCCTCCGATGTAGAAGGCGTGCTATACGAGCGAGCCAAGGAACGTGGCATTACCCTCATCACCATCTCCACCCGTGCGTCTCTGAAGAAGTATCATACCTATAACCTGACCCTCGGACTGGGTGACGAAGGCGAACTTTGGGAGATTGAGAGAATCGGCACCGAGAAGGAGAAACTCGGAGTTGAGAAGGAACTGCAGGAATTGCGTAAGCGTTTGGACAAGGTGGACGAATGGAAGAAGCGTCGGGAGGAAATCGAGAATGAACTTTGCAAAGTTTGAGCTCATGATGGGGAGATTGCTCCCCCTCCTTACCAGGAAGAGGAGGAAGCGAAGCCAGCTCCCGAGACAACCGCTGAGGCGGCTGTTGAAGAGACCACGACTTGAGTAAGACATATAGATGTCTTGATTTGAAATGATTCCGAGTTTGATCTGTAGCATATCAGAAGCGCCTCTTTCCAATGCAAATCAGCTTTTCCAATGGATCTTCATGTGTTGGACGTCGGGAGTTTAGACTCGGGTGTCAAGAGTCGATTATTAACGCCCAAGACTGTTTCTTCAAGTCGTTTATTGCTTTGCTTGATCTATGGTTTTTACAACTAGAATACGAGGGCCTGTGCAAATCAAGGCCCTAAGTGATAGCGTCTGGGGTCAAACAGCCGCCTTTCCATCCATACCTTTCAGAAAAGCTCCGCCAATCGCATATTTGCCCTTGACTACCACTAGAATGTGCCCATCGTTTCATTAGTCATCTTCCTAAGCTGACTAGTTGCCAGTTAGTGCCAAGGCCTCAATGAATCTGTTCTACTTTGTTCTACTGCTGCTCAAAACAATGTCAAAGCGATGCCGAAACTAGTGCCCCTTCTCAGCAGCAGCTTCACTAATGCTGTGCTTCCACCCTCTTTACATGATAATTCCTCATGTCATAGTCAAAAGCATCATCGATTCCAATTCTTACTTGGCTCGATCTCGAAGGCCTTTTATCTCGGCAATTGGATTCTTTAACGATATATAAGCCGATAGAAAATATTTAAAAGCTAGCGATCACGAGCTAAACTTAATACTTACATTCTGCGCATTCTCACACAAGTGGTCGACTGACACGTTCCCCAGAACCCCTTACCGATGGTGATATAATGCATTTTCAATCTTCACTGTCAGACCTGCATATAATTTTTCTAGAAATTAGAGCCACAATTAGAAAATCGTCCATTATTTATGCGTCTGTCTACTCCGTACGTTCTGCGGGAACAACTCACCGCCCAAATTGTTATGTTGCTGAACATCTCGTATCTTATCGAGTACGTCACGTGTGAATCCTTTATTTGATCCATCAAAGGCACGCTCACCTCACAACGATCTCTTCTTTTTCCCGTTACCCAATCCTACCGTATCTTTGCATACTCTGACCTTGAACTCTCACATCTGGCTACTCAAAACCACAATAGGGGCCTTCTAGCCCCGCTCAATCCTTGGACCTGTTGCTGCCCCGCTACGATATCTTGAGAGTCAAGATGTTGAGCGACGGTGAGGTCTCGGATGATCCGAATATGGTGGTGATTCCCGTTGAGGACGAGAAAAGCGACGGGAAGAAATCTACATGGCCAGTGAATGGTCCAGATGCCCGGTTCATTTACCGAATCCGTGATGACGAAGGCTGGCGCATCGGTCTCGCCCAAATGTGGGTAGAGAAGCAGATGGGTGCTTTAGAGGATGGTAAGTGGTATCAATTTCTATTCTCTTTGTTTCTATAATTGTTTGTCTGGGCAAAAATTCGGGTTCAAGAGACTTGTCTATGGGGGTGAGAGACTCTCTTATGGATCTGTTGCAGGGAAGAACGAGAAGAACATAACATGAAGCGTCTCGTCTCTATCATTCATTGGTCTTTGTCTGTGTGCTCACGCCGTGATGGCTGTTGCTCCTGTGGACTGCAGAATGTCTTTAAAAGCTAATTTCGCTGGGTACTTGGCTAATTCTTTATTTTCAACAGGCATAACTTACATCCTGGAAAAGCTGCCTGAGGGCTATGTGTTAATGGACCGCCCTCGAGGAACTGATCAGAAGGTCGTGAGTGTACCTTTTTGGATTTAACATTTCCTTTCACGATTTGAGGAAAAATTTAGACTGACAAACAACAGCGTGATAGCTTCCTCTTTGGGCATCCAACCGGAAGATATTTTCAGTCTCGTGTCACCTTCTTCGTGCACTTCTATTGGCTTATGACAGATCGAGCTGAGCCATGCGAGTGTAAGCTCTGCTCCAGGCAGAAACAGTCTGGTTCCAAACCGCTTGGGGAGTTTAGGCCGCGAAAGCGTAAGTCTTCTCGCCCGAGGCTCAATTATGTCTTATAAGTGTTCGAAAATTCTTACTGACCAACATTCCAGGGCGCACCAAAGCTGAGATGGAGGCCGACAGGGCCAGATTGGCGGGCGCCGGCCAGGCGGGCGTCAGCGCAAGACCTGTTTTCCGCAAACTGCCCGGAGATGATGAAGGCCCCGATTATTGGAAAGTTCATGTCATGGATCTTAAAGAAAAGGGCACCCTCGACGAGGAAGTTGATCATTCTCTGAACCTGGACTGGGTTCTTACCCATGACTTCCTGACCGACTATTTCGTTCGTCTCACGCTCCAACCGGCCTTTGTCCCCCGCCGGGGCGAAATTGTCCTCTGGACCCACAACCTCGACGGCAGACTTGAGTTTAACCCACAGACCGAGGCCATTGAAATGCGTGCTGAAGATGGTAAATGGCTCGGCATGCCAGATTGGCGTGCCGGTGTGGTCACGCAGGTTTCAGAAGAGGAGTCAAACTATCTCGACATCATCCAGGAAACCAAGAAGAAGCAACCTGTATCGTACTCTGGATTCCGCGTCGAGACTCTGCCCAACCCACTTGACGACGACAAGTCGTACTCGCTGCACTACAAATATGTGCCATTGAATTGCATCAAGCCCTTTGGCGCCTTCGAGCGCTTCCTTTACCCTACCCCTCGCGAGAAGCTGCACCCATCCATTGAGAACGCGATGACAACCATGGCGTCGTACAGCCTGCTGCACAAATTCCGATTCAGTGGAACCTGGCCAAACGCCCGCATCGACTGCAAGGGCATTTTCATCGGTCCGGAGCTCCTCGCCGTCTCGGACACCGCGCGCTTGAAGCCTTTCGGTATGAAGGCCGAAGATATTGAGGAGAACCCGGGTCAAGTGAAGACAGATCTGGGACCCACTGTCACTGACGTGATGGTCATCGAAAAGATCTGGCTCCAACTCGAGAATTGCAATGCCGACCCGAACGACGAGCAACTCGCACAGAAGATGGTTCCCTACATCGCGGGCAAAGTGTACACTCGCGATCAACACCGGCTGAACCGTGTTATGCCATTTGATGCGGATCCTTTGGAGAAACTCACCCCTAAGGAGGTTGATGACTCGTTCCCGCAGGTGGGCATGCGTGTCTATGGCCGGTGGTACCGCGTTGCGGGGGGTAAGACCTGCGTTGTATCCCCAGGTATGATTATCGGTCGATGCTACGAACCCGAGGCCACCCATTTGCACTACGGAACCTTTGATCTGGACTACGATCTACATGGTATCCTGAGCGGCAGACGGTACTCTGTTCGAGTCGATGCACGAATCCCCCCCGGCCTTGAATTTTTCTGGGGCGACAATCGCGTCGAGACCCTCGGTCTTGCAACCATGAACGGGGTGGAAGTGGGACCGGCTGCAGAACAGCGTGACGACCCGGTGCGCTGGCAGGCCATTCTTCGGATTTTGCAGGGAAGCACGTCCGATGTCGATGTGCGTCTTGCAGATTTGGGAGCCTCCAAGGGAGTCGGACGTCCGCGTGCGAAGAAGACGTTCAGCGAGGTCAGCAAGCTGAGCAAGCTCGTTAGCACCGGGCTGGGCGCAGGGACTGAGAACGAAGATAACGGGGAAGGACCTGCAGATACGGGCGACAGTACTCCAACTCCGCCATCGGAAATGGATCTCTCGGAGTCGGAGTTGACAGCACCGATTCCATTCCGCGAGCCAAGCGAGGGACCCGAATACGTACCTTGAACGTTCTGGGGTTTAATATCTTTCTGGCGTCGCAGCGGAGCACTTGCTTTCGCTAGCCTGTACTCAACAAACTACGACTGTTCCTGAGCAAACTGGAGGGTCCGCTTATCCCCATCTCCTACTTGGGCGCAGGGGGCGCCTTGATATTTTCTAATGAGTTACGACCCTTCATGTATCATATCGGAACAAATGAATGAACACAATCTGACACGCCTGGAATACTGTAGATAGACTGGGAAATTCGTACACCGAGACACTATCATAGTACTCCATCCAATATTCATGCAGGTGGTCGACGACCTCTGCACCATAGGTATTCAAGCATTTACCATTGTCATTAACGAACATCAATCACATAATATATCTCCTCCATAACTTCCCTATTTACATCCCTACCAAACCCAGTAGGTTTCTGACCACACCTAATAATTCTTCGCAACAACCCCCCTCGCAAACTCCGCAAAAGTCAATCCCTCCTGCACCTCCTCCCCAAGATTCGGCTGCGTAAAGACCGCCAACGTATTCCTAGCAATTCTCTCTTTCCCACCCACACACTTAGCCCCCTTCACAAAATGCGGCACCGCCCTAAACTTCCCCTTGGTAATAAGCTGCAGCGCCTCCCCAGTCTGGAACGCAAGGCAGTCCCGGGGGATGTTCACCTTGACGACCGTGCCCGTGCGCGAGCGGATGTACAGACCGGCAGACGGATCGGGGGATTGGGGTAGTTCGGGAAGGGAGGTTGTTGGCGTCGGATCCGGGATAGGGAGGGTGGATGCTTCGTCGAGGAACATGGCCGATGTGAGGCCCGTTAGACAGCCGTGGTCGACGTGTGTGGCGCACCAGTCGTCATCCTCCTCCTCGGGTGTAGCATCGTCGCTCCCCTGTGTAGACGACGATGGCTCTGCGGGGAAGTAATGCAACAGTCGGGCCTTTGTCGTGAGACTGGTCTTGACGACGTGCGCTAGATAACCCGGCTTGTAGCCGTCGATGTTTGCCTCGGCGTAGCGATCGCATGCCTTCGCTACCAGTGCAGCGGTGTCAATGATCAGCGAGCAGAGGGCTTCTACGCTGGGTCTGAAACTGGGCAGTTTGCGCTCTGGAGGCCAGATGTTTGGCGCCGTGTACTGGGGTACATCGGGGAAGCCGTCGGCGGGGGCGTTTTGCAGAGCGGCGTCTTGGTAGAAGGCGCAGTTGACGTAGTAGGAGCCCTTGAGGGTGTCGAAGGTTCCTGATTTGAGAGTTTCTTTGCCACAGGACCAGCCGACCAGATAGTTGGATTCGGGGCTTTCGAGGGATTCTGGTAGGGGGTGTTAATTGGGTGGGATGGACTATGTGGGCATTGGAGGATGGATGTGCCGGGGGGCAAGGTTGCCTGCTTGGATTTCTTACCTAGATCCGACTTTGGAAGGGCTGCGAGATAGGATGCGTGCGACAGAGTCTGGGCACGAAGTTGGACAAACTCTCGAGGCAGGTCTTTCACGATGATGATGCCCAGGGAAGAGGGACCAAATGCCTCGGTGAGGGTGTCGAAGGAGACGGTTCCTGTTTGGATATTAGCAATTATACATGATATAGACTGCTAGAGGGAATGACGGACCATTTTCTAGTTCCTTGAGACTGACAGTGACCGCCTGGGCCACGGGAGCTTGAATGGGACTCATGGTTGAGCAGGAATTCGAAGAACAGATGGAATATTTTCCCCACTTCAAAGATAGAAACTAAAGCCCGACGGCCCACGCCGAGACGATCCACGGCTAGAAACGGATGCTACAGCACCAAATGGCCAGGAACTAGAGAGAGTCTAAAGTATAAAATTCGCAGTGAAGAATTCAAACAAAGCAGGTATGCAATTGAGCCAGAAAAGGGGGGTATGAAAGTATACAAACTACAGTATCTAATCGTACAATTCCTTGATGGAGCGGAGTAGAAATCTCATCTCCTCCGCAAATCTCTTTCCTACTCACTCCCACTACCACCTCCAACTTTCCTCGTCACAGCCCTCAAAGTCCCAAACGGCAAGACATCACCAATTCTCTTCGCCCCCGTAAATAACATCACCAACCGATCAACACCACAGCCCCAACCCCCAGTGGCGGGAAGTCCCCACTCCAACGCCTCCAAGTAACTCTCGTCCACCTCGGCAGCCTCATCACTACCTTTACTAAACCGCACCTGATCCTCAAACTTGCGCCGCTGCTCAGAGGGCGAGTTCTCCTCTTCGTAGGTGTTAACTACTTCCTTCCCTTCGATGAAGAGTTCGCCGCGGGCGGCGACGACTTGCTTCGTGGTCGGGTGGATGAAGGATTTGGAGAGTGGGGAGAGACATTCGGGCGGGTTGATGATGAAGGTTGGATCGGTACAGGTGGGTTCGAGGTATGTGGCGCATAGCTCGTCCAGGAGCCGCGGGAGGGTTGCGTTGGTAGGTAAAGATATGGAGAGGTCGTGGAAGAGGGCGTGCATATTGGTTAGGGCGTCGGGCGAAGAGAGATCTGGTAGGGAGCGGTTGATTTGGGCCTCGATGCCCGTGATGAAGTCGATGCGGCGGAAGGGGTTGGTGAAGGAGGCGGTGGTCGGGGTGAGGGTGCCGTCTTTGTTAAAGGCGTTGATGTGGGTGGCCATGCCGGAAAGGAGGGTTTCGGTGATGTGCATGAGGTCTTCTAGGTTGGCGTAGGCGTGGTAGAACTCGCACGTGGTGAACTCGGGATTGTGTGTTTTGTCAATGCCTGTGGTAGATGACTGAGATGAGCATCTTTGCTTGGCTGGTTTCCATGCGTATATAGGATGCGATTACCTTCGTTCCGAAAAGATGGTCCAATCTCAAACACCTTGTCAAACCCACCCACAACCAGCCGCTTGAGCCATAACTCCGGTGCAATGCGCAGCGACAATTGGCGATCGGGGAACTCGGTGGCCGAGGTATTGAACGGGCGAGCGATGGCACCTCCGGCCACGGACCCGATGATGGGCGTGCTGACCTCCATGAACGACCGATCCACGAAGAACTGGCGCAGATACTGAATCAGAGAAGCTCGCGCTCGAAGGATATCCGCCGTCGCCGGGTCGGCCAGGAATTGTACATGGCGAGGATAGGGCGAGGTCTGATGCGAGCTATCGTGAACGGGAATATCGTGCAGACACGGGGAGAGCAGCGTGGGCAACTCTGTCGCATCGATGGTGAGTTCACCACGACTCGTACGGTGTGGTCGTCCAGTGACGGCTGTCAAGGAGAGTGGTTAGTCGAGTATACAGAGCAACAATCGAGCCAGCAGCAGCTTCAACAGTGGCACATACAGAATGCATCACCCCGACGCAACAGTCGATAGAATTTCTTAAACTCGGGACCCTCGACATCCTCTAGTTGTCGCTTATTGCACATGACTTGAACTTTGTGACCATCTTGCACGATATCGAAAAAGATCAATTTGCTCCCGGCAAGTCTATAGGTACGAATCCTACCTAATTCTAATCTAAGTACAAAGAAACTGATCCACACGACCGGAACAGACGAGAGACCTACCAGACACCACGACCGAGTCTTCCTCTACTGATTCATTATCCTTCAAATGAGCATAGCGAGTGCGGAACTCGGCGCAACTGAGGGTACGCGAGTCTACCGCCAGCCGAGGGTAGGGGTCGGCACAGGCATTGCGGATCTCCTGTACGCGCTCTTGGAAGGCCCTTTCAGGTGAGGCAGTGGAGCTTGCGTGTCGGGTAGACCGAATGGAAGCTTGCAACTGGGGGGTTAGTGAAGTCAATCCCAATGGGAATTGAATACGGGAGTTGAAAGGGCGTGGGCCTGCACTGTCAAAGCCGAGTCAGCTTAAGATCTTGACCAAATCGAAGGAACATTCAATTCAAGTGGAGAAGATAAAGGGATCAGGATTAAATTCCGGTTCGTTCATATGGCCCGAAGGACATCAACTGCAGCGGTTCTGAAGCAGAGGGATAATCTCATCATGATAAAAGTAACAACAGAAATGACAAAAAAAAAACGACAAAGAGATTGTCAAAGCTTACCTGCTCCGTAGACCTACAAGGCCTTTTAGCGCCCGAGAGCGAATTGAATGCATGAAGAGCAGATGCAAACTCTCCCACTCACATTGCGTGGGTGAAGAAGAGAAGAGAAAAGAAGAGGAAAGGAAAAAGAGGAAGAGGAAGAGAAAACTCGGCGCGGGCGGAGTCGAAGGCGGGAAGGAGGAAAGTGGCCCGAGCTTCAGAGACCTCGAGAGGACTTCCGGTCCGCGTGGAACCAACTGAACCATCACGATCAACTCCGACGAGCTCAACTACTTTGTAAGTATTCATTGGATCAACTATACCGACCCGTTTCTTATCGGATGATCTTGAAAACTGATAATCTCAGTTCTAAACCCTTTTCCAACCCCCAACGCCCCCATCAACCATCACAATGTCCTTCCTCTTCGGTGGCCAGCCCAAGATGTCCTCGGAGCAGAAGATTGCTGCCGCCGAGACTGAAGTCGAGATGATCTCCGACATGTTTACTCGGTAAGACACTCCTCGCTCTTCTCACACATGACCTCCTCAATCGCAGATGATCCCTGCCTACTCCCTCCGCAACCGACGCTTTCTAACGGATCTTCTTCCACTCCCGCAGTCTCACCGAGTCCTGCACCAAGAAGTGTATCCCCACCGACTACCGCGAGGGTGACCTGAACAAGGGCGAGTCCGTCTGCCTGGACCGCTGTGTCTCCAAGTTCTTCGATGTCAACATCAAGGTCAGCGAGAAGATGCAGCAGGGCGCTGGTCAGCAGCAGGGTGGTGGTATGGGCTTCGGCATGTAAAGTGCCCACCCCCAGATATGATACACTAGCTATGGCATGGTGGATGAACTGGAAAGTGGGAGGCATGCAGTTTGGCAACGTCCTTGAGTGCCGAGCACGATGTCGATGCCTCGTCAAACGCATTGCCCAACTACCCGGTGGTTTGTTTGATTTACGTCGTGATGGAAACACCGCTTTATATCATCACAAGTTCTTTTCTTTTATTATTCTGACGGCGCGGAACGCCGATGTCTATGTACAATAGGAAAAAAAAAGGGAAATTTAGGAGACAATCACAAGAACATGGGAGAATACCCCTATCATACAAAAGGTCCATGTCGGGTCGCGTCTGTACGGCCACAAGACGTTCAACGTTCAACGTCACTGCGCCGAAAACCCAAGCGACCGTCGTAACCAAGTCATCCAAGAAACGCCATGTTCCTCTTCTCCCTGGAGCAAGCCCTTGATTCGGGTTTCCACATTCACGATATGACGCTCAAAATCACCGAGACCTTCTTCCATATCTTCGACCTTGGACTCGAGGACGTTGAGTTCGTAGTCTAGTTTGGCGCCTAGCAGTTCCACGCGCTTCGTGCTGTCACTGAGATGGGCATGATCGTCGGTTACGAGATCGCTGGATCGCTCGCGTAGCCGCTGGTAATCACCGAATCGTTCCAGGTATACGGCGTTGAGCTCTTCGTGGCGCTCGTACAGAATGTTGTTCAATCCGTCGACAGAATCCACCTGACGCTCGACCCATGGCACGGTATGCTCGCTAAGCTCCAGGATACGTGCGCTGAAGATGCGCGCATCGGATGAAAGCATGTCTTCTTGGATAATGGCTTCTTCGAGGTTTGTCATGTCTTTGATCGTTGGTTGAGTACCTAGCGGCTCCCAGGTGAGTACCACTTCTTCGACATTGCTAAAAGACAAATGCCGCGGGCAACAATCATCCCGTCGTTGGTCTTCGTTCTCAACAGCTCGGAGTTCTTCGCAACTTTGTGGGCGGCGAAGAGCCATCATGGCTAAATTTGAACTGGAATCATCTCGGTCCTGTCCTAGCTCACTGGATGCAGCGGTAGACCGGGTCCTGACGCGTTCTATATCCGATTCCTCATCTATCGTTGGAATCAGTTGAAGGTCTGATAATTGGTCTGCTCGTTCCGACTGCTCCTCTGTATCTTCCGTAGATGGTACGGCCTCAACATGGATTTCTGGAGGCTTGAGCTCGGCCCCAGGCTCGACCGTGGTGGGAGGCTGGACATTTTGTTCATCCTCTGGTCGAGTTACGAACTCTTCGCCCGTCTTCGCTTCCGAGCGTCCAGAGCCAGTCTTGGACTTCTGGGCAGATAGCTCCGTATCGCTCTCAATCTCAGGCTGGTAGGCAATGTCATGGTGCACATCCACCCCTTCGCGCGACTGTTTGTGGTGATGTGAACGCAAGCCCGGCAGCCCGACTGCATCCTTAAATCGACCCAGACCAGCCCGGGCATCTGAGACTCTGCCGCTGACCCCCTTTTTGCGGTGGTCTCTCTCCTCCGCAAGCAACGAGTCCGGTGCTTTCCATTGTCGATCGAGTCCAGAAGCTACACGCTCAGCATGCAAATCTTCCGTGGAGTGCTTTTTCCGACTCGTCCAGACATACCCACCCTGATCATCAGCAGTAAACATCATGTTCGTGCCGGATCCAATCGCAGGATCCAGGCCGCTTTTGCGTGTCTTTCCGAGCCACAGCCATTTCGCCCTGGAGCCGTAGACGCACTGGACAAAGTTATCGAGGTCAAGAGTCTCGACATCGGCAATTCCGCCCTTTTCGCGACCGCGCACCATGCCCATGACCATCTCACCACCTTGTCCACTTAATTCAGTCATGGTCGACTTGATCGCGTCCGTCCACCCTTCTGCATTCGCAGCCTTAGTGGTCACACGGTGCAACCTATCCAGAGTTCGCCGGTCCAATCGTCGAGACCGATTCATTTTCTGCGTCTTTTGAAACCCACCGATACCCCTCTTAAGGTTGTCGATGTCAAAGGCGTCCTTCCCCACGGGTGCGCCGTAGGCATGTAGTCGATTGCGAGCGCCTAGAAGCGTCCCTAGCAGTGCTGCGACGCTAGTTGGTCCCAAGACGCCATCGCTTGGTTCGATGTTGTACAAGTCGGTTCCGATATCTGCCCACCAGTCACTGATAGCCTTCTCCGTCACATCGCAGAGTAGACCGTCCACGTACTCGGGGGCCAGCTTGTCAAACACCATCAAGGCGATTTGGCACTGCTTGACCAGCTCGGTTACCGCGGTATAAAGTGGGACTCGCTCACTCGTGCGATAGAGCTGATGAAACTTGGCTTCTGTCGCCGCCGACGGGGCCTGCAGTTTCAGGCCCGCGCGACCAGCGCACCCAAGCCGCTTCAAGTCCTCGTTGACAATAAAATGCTCTCGATGTTTTTTGATGTCACCCTCGGGCACCGGAATGATGGTCAAGGCTGAGGGGAATGCTCCCAAGTCCGTGACCATGATCGTCCCCAATGGCGTCTCTTTTCTCCGCCCGCAGGATTGCTCTACGGCATCAAAGTACATGCGCAACCGAGGCGACCATGTTGACTCGTCCGTCGGGACACTAAGCACTCCCACGACCACAGTATGTGATGGATCCCCGGTGTAGGTCGAGATGACAAAAGTAGGATGCTGGCGCGAGCAGGCCCACTGTTCCACAATGTATATTTCGTATCCTTGCAGGGTTTCACGGCGCTGCAGCACATCGGTGGAAGGATCTTCTTCGAGGTATCGGAGGGCAACCGGGTCGGTGAAGATGAGTCTCTGGTGACCCTGGGTTTTGGGACGGTGGTCTGGGCCATTTGTATTCGATGCGGGGCTGGCACGCACGCTGTCGGACGCTTTGGCGGGATCATGGCGACCGACCAGCGGTGCAGGTGGTACGTTGGGCTGCATTGTCGCAGTTTGTCAACGCGCAAGACTGTGGACGACTGTCCACGCAGTCCAGGAACGGATTATTGAGTTGTTCAGAAAACGAGGAGGTAGGACACCATTTGAGCTCAGGCAAGTCCACCGCCACCATCGGCTTCGGTCACCTAGGGAGGCGCCAAGCTTCTGTTCCAATCCTCCTGCAGTACGGGTCAGGGGGAGGCCACGAGAACATATCCCGGTATTTGCTGTTGAGGCATCGTCCAGCCCTGGTACTGGCGACTACGGTAAATGGCAAAAGAGTGTCGCAGACCCGCAGACCCTGAGGATATGAAGCTTTGTGAACCCACCCTGCAGAAAGGCCGACGTCACTGGAACGCGGGCGGTGAGGATGTCAGGCACCAACTAAAAAGAGAGCTTCCACCACGCAAGGGGATTCAGGGACTGGACTACGCAGGGAGTCAAATGTTGAGCAAGGGGCTTTGTTACAGTAGTTTTCGAAATCAGTTATACCTCCACACTCTTGCGACTTCATTCCCGGAAAATAAATCCGTCCGGCCTGGGATCTGATTGGATCGGGACTTCCAGGGGGTCATTGCAGACCGCTTTCTGAAATGATCTCTGTACTTTACAATACAGCCATAAGATTGAGATATGTATTTTACACGAAATTGCTATACAGTCAGAGTTCATTAGTATTTGCACTGTGCTACCTTCGCATACTAATAGACCCACTATTTTTCTGCCGGTAGAACTCCAAAAGATCAATTCGAAGAACCCCCTTAATAACTAGTACAAGTGCAAATACTAATGAACGGCCACTGTACATGCTACTGTGGTCGGGGCCATTAACAATGTTAGCGTGGTACTTCCATCCGTTGTTGATGACTAAAGCAAGCTATAACCGCCTTCCTAATATAGATTAGTCTAATATCTTACCATTTCATGTCTCCCCTTCTAGTCACTGTACTTGTTTCCATACAATCTTACAGTATTATTACGATGACTCACATGTCATGTAAGGCCATTACTACACTGTTTTGCCAGACTTCTAGAGCGGTAAGCTAAAGAAGGTTAGCGTATTTCGGATTCATTTTCCGGGAACGAAGTCGTAAGAGTGTGGAGGTATAACTGATTTCGAAAACTACTGTACTGGATAGGATCATCTTAACAGAGCCTCACGAAGTGTAGTAACTTATGAGAGAAGGGCCCACGTACATGCCGTAGGGGCACTCAATATCTATTCTAACGTATACGCCCGAACCAAAAACGCGATACAAGCTACGCGATGCGGCATTTACAGGCACTCATCGACATGCGCACATGCCAGGTGACTCTCTTCTCTAAGGGCCACCTACTTGGGTGACAACAGTAGTGAAAAGAAGACCGTGACAGTACTCATCAGGCCGGCCACATCTATCCAAACGGGAAGGGCCATGTCCGAATGAGCACTGAATCCAGGTCCGATGGCTGAACAGCCAAGGGACTTGGGGCAACTTGTTTGTTCAAAAATTCCTGTCCGATCCGAAGACCAGACAGAGTGGTCATTTTGGTAGTTTTCAACTAGCAAAAACACGATCTCGGATGTCTCCTCACTGATACGTGTAAAACCCGTGCACTAGGATGAGAAAAGAAAGAAAAAAGAGTTGGAAAGGAGGCGGAGGGAAGGGAGTATTTATGGTCGTTCGGGGATGGCACTAGCGTAAGCGAGAGTGGAGCTAGTCCTGTTTAGGACAGCGTGTGATTGGCCATGGCCGATGGATGACTCATCGTCTTAATTGCCATTCCTCAAGAGGACTAGCGTCATTTGGACAACAATCAGCCGGTGATCAGCCGCTGTCGGCTTCTCATACAAACACATGCTGAGACATAGTAGATGGGTTACATTATGGGGTGAAACTGCAAATAAAGACACAGTATTACCGATTTCCCCGCCATCGCTCATCCCGTGAGTCGAACCAGGAATAGCAGTGAGAGGCGGAGTTGGTGTAGAAGGTCACGTGTGTATGTCGTAATAACCGGCGATCATCCGGAACAGCTCGAGCCCGATCCCTCTGCCATTGTCCGTCGACCCGATTCACCCAACGACATTCGACGAGGCTGATAACGGCTTCACCGAGTCTATAGGCTACTCGAGCCGCCAGCTATAATCTCCCTCCCCTTTGCCGGCTCCTCTATATGGCACTGGGATGCCTTGCCCGGCGGTAACCTGATCACCTCCGCATCGAGTACTCCGCACCCCCATACGCCACCATGGATCTGGTACAGAAGGAGCATGACCGGCTTTTGAAGAGGCTTAGGACCTCCCAGGGCATCAATAATGTCCAGGCCACTATTGATCTACTCCAGTCTGCCCGAGATACTATTGCTACCGGTTAGTTGAGTCTACCCTCAAGAATATCGCGGGACTCGGGGAGAGACCCGTTCCGCGGGGAAGTTTCTCTCGCTGACTGAACTCGCCCGTCTTCCATATAGACCCCAACCAGGCAGCAGTGACCTTGACTAAACTGCAGAATCCCGTCAAGGCATCCTTCAACTCAATCAATGACAGTCTGAAAGAAACCCATGGCGGCCTTAACAAATACACAAAGTCCCTCGATAAGGTCAGCCTGATCCATACAGCTTACCCCCTCTCTCTCTCCAGGCTACATACTGAACATTCTCCCCCACCTCAGCTCTTCAAAGATAGGCCCCTCCCTAGCACTGAGCACGATGTCCTCTCAGAACAAGAACACCTGATCAACCGCGCTATCGCCATGCACCTCCTCCGCGAAGGTCAATTCTCCGTCGCAGCCACCTTCCTCTCCGAAATCTCCGAGCACAAAGCAACTATGCATACCCACGAGTCCCCTTCCTCCTCCGCTGCCTCTCCCAAATCAGTCAGCAGCCTCTTCAACCTTGACGAGGTCCCCTCCCCGGAGATCCGCAAAGAGTTCGCCTCCATGTACTACATCCTTTCTCAGATGAAAGAGCAAAGGAACCTCCTCCCCGCTATTGAATGGTCTCGCGAGAATCGCGAGGCGCTGGAAGCACGCGGCAGCAATCTGGAATTTGAATTATGTCGCTTGCAATTTGTCTGGCTCTACCATGGCAAGTCGGATACGCCGGTGGACAACCATAATCCCGGCAACTGGAGCGCGGCCATGGCCTACGCCAAGCGGGAGTTCCATACTTTTCTACCGCGATACCTCCGTGAGGTGCAGCAGTTGATGGGAGCCATGGCCTTTTGCCCGAACCTGCAGGGCTCGCCGTATTCGGCGATTTTCAACAATCCGTCGGCGTGGGATGATGTGGCCCAGTTCTTTACTCGCGAGTTTTGTTCGTTGCTGGGTCTGTCGGCGGACTCGCCGCTTTACATTGCCGCAACCGCCGGCGCAATTGCGCTGCCTACACTTCTGAAGCTGCAGACGATTATGAAGGCAAAGCGCACGGAGTGGACGAGTGAGAACGAGCTACCGGTGAGTCCCAACCATAGCAGCTGCCGCAAGAAAATGCGAGCGACCGAACTAACGTGGGTACTGTACAGGTCGAAATCTCACTTCCACCGTCATATCTCTTCCACTCGATCTTCGTCTGCCCCGTTTCCAAGGAGCAGGCCACTGATGAGAACCCGCCCATGATGATGCCATGCGGGCACGTCATCGCAGAAGAGTCTCTTAAACGACTCAGCAAGGGCAGCCGGTTCAAGTGTCCCTACTGCCCGAACGAGAGCCACATGAAAGACGCCCGGAAGGTGTTCCTCTGACGAGCTGGCTCGTCAAGGTTTTTCCCTTTTCATCATTCCCGGGTCTGCCGTCTACGAGTCATTTCTGAATCGGCGTTGGGGGACAATATCGGCGTTTCATCCAGATGTTTTCTTCATTGTTCTGTTTGTTTTTCAGATTCCACCATTCTTCTTCCCTTCCTCAATCCGTGTCATTTATCTCCTTGGGTTCTTATTCACCCAACACATGGAACGTAGGCAATGCCAGATGATCGGCCTCCACCAGGCCAACATTTCATTTCCCAGTCTCCACTTCAAGCGTCCCCCCTAATCCGCCCAGGCAGCCTAAGTCCCCAAGAGACCCCCTGATCCAGTCCAACCCGAACTCTGACTGGCTCCCTCAAGTACGCTACTCAGGCTAGCGGGTCCCGTGACCACGCGCTCATTTGGCGACACCTCACTTGGGCTCCATCACCCTTTTGTACGCGTTTCAAAACCGTCATGACGCGTCGGGGCTTGTCTGTTGCCGAATTTGGTTATATTGGCTGCGCTAATCAGCGGCGGGGACTATGCAGGTACCGTATATAACCAGCGTCTGGCGCTGTGTCTTGTACACGCATGACGGAACATGACCTGTCAAACTTGCGAGGGTTTTCTTTGTCCTCAGCTCGGGTGAAAGCTGAACTAGACGAAGACGTATAAATAGCTAGTCAAAGCCCCTGAATCGTAGCACGATTCTGCTTCTGTATCCTCTGTTTTCCTGCTCCTGACTGAAGTTCACACTTTTCACAATGGATGATCGATATCGTAAACGGGTGATGCTGTCGAGAAGGCCTGCCCCTGTTCCTACTCCAGTCGCAAATTTCTCGAGGTATCGCGCTGCGAAAGCCTCGGCTATTCGGTCGAGGAGAAACCTTCGCGACAGCTCCAGCTCTGGCAGTTCAAGATGCCTGGAGAAGAGGAGACCCGCGTGTCCACCAGACGTATCGTAAGTCCTCTATACTCATACGCATCTTCCAAAATCAATCACGTTGTCTTCCAATTCACTGCCCCCTGCCATCTGCCATGAAATTCCAATTCCCTCCACCCAATGCCACCCAATACATCCCTAATTGACCAACTCACCAGAAGTCCAAACCGACGCCCCTGCTCCCCCATCGTAATGCTCCGCGTGGGCCCTCAACAACGCCTCTTCGCCGCCCACGAATCCATCCTCAGCGCATCCCCCTTCTTCGCAGCCCACTGCTCCTCTCAAATGCCCAGTCCCCCTCCGCCCTCTCACCCACACATCACAACCCCCAGCAAGCGCATCGACCTGCCCGACGAAAACCCCGAAGTCCTCTCCTGCATCCTCGAATACCTCTACAAAGGCGACTACACACCCCGCCTCCACCACAATCCCACCCGAGGAACCTGGACTCTAGACGACGACATTCTCCCCCCACAAACGACAACCTCTACCGCAGGTGCAGGCGCAGGCGCAACCGCAACCGCAACCGCCGCAGCAGCAAGTATAAACGCCACTCTCTCCCCCAACGCAGTGATATGGCACCACGCCGCCCCGGACACCCCCATCCTCCGGGACACGGCCGTCTACTGCGCCGCACTAAAATACCGCCTCCCCTCGCTCGCGCGGCTCGCCCTGCGCAAGCAGGGACTACATATGGGTATACCCTGTCGGACCATTCTGGCGAGTGCGCGATTCGCGTATGCGCATACGCCGGAGACGGAGTCGAGATTGCGGGCGCATTATTTGGCGCTGATTATTCGATGTCGGGGGACGTTTAAGAGGAGTGGGACTATGCAGGTTGAGATGGAGAAGGGGGGGAGGTTATTTTTTGATCTCTTCGTTGCTATGTGTAATCATATGGTGAGTCTATCGTTGAATCTCCGGGATGGATTTACTTGGGTTGCTAATTTGGTTGATATAGGATGATGTTTATCCGTCGGCCATGTCGGTTTGTAGTACGGCAGTTCCGGAGTATGGACAGGGTTGGTAGGTTGGGTTTGCAGTTGGTGTACTTGTTTGGATTAAGGACTCAAGAGCTGGCGAGATCTTTCCAGTGTATGGGTTTGTATTGTTTTTCTTACCACTGCAGGAGCAGGGGTCTAATGGTTTTATACCCATGTACAACTATAATATTATCAACCGTAAGGGCAGAATGAGGTAGGAATGCAGATATGTTTCTTAACTATGGAAGAGAACCCGTGGTGTTCCGTTCTCTTCGTGTCATATCCATCGTAGACCAATGTGCACGTAGCAATTGTATCAGTCTCCATTTGCTTGTGTGGCGGGTGGGAGGAATGTGAGATGAGGCTGGTCAGATGCTGAGATTGTTTTCTTCGAGCCTCGAGTATATCGGCATCTCCGCGATGCCCGCAATGCGGCTAGAGTTCACCTTAGGCGATAAGTTTGAATATCCAGGTTAAGATGAGAGTGTCGGTGGGCGTTTGGAGTAGCGAGTTTTCAGTCTTCCGAGGACTATGATTTGGTAAGGGCTTCCAGACGTGCAGGCTCTAGGTATAGTCACTCGCTCGTTCCAATGGCAAGCTTCGAAAGGTCGAGCGAGTTCCTATGAATGCATAATTCTTAGACGCCGGTGCCTGGGAATGCGGTATTATTCTTGCTCAAGACGACCATGCCGCGTTCACGCGCAATGTAGCCCTTCATGAGACCCTTCGAATTATAATCAGTCGACGGGCCCTTGGAAACTTTTTAAATGCATAGGAGATACTAACCTTGTAAATGAGGTTGGCCAATAAGCACTCGACCTCGTCAATATCCACGCGTGTTCGACCCGTTGCATGGGTTCCGATTCTCAACGCAGCCGCGAATTCAGCCACGGGCACTCGGGTTCGCCGAATAGGAGGCTGGCCATCTTTGGATTCTTCAAATCCACCAGCAATAAAGACCTTTCGGAAAAGATTGCGCAGCGCAATGTCGCGTCCCCGCTCTAGCGGGAGGTAGATGCGTCGCTTCACAAATTCTGCTTCCCCGGCAGACATGGCCTGGTCAAAGCCGACGAGGTCACCCTTGCGAATGCAATTGGACAAGGGACGAAAGGTTTGCTCTAATCGGGGGAAAGGCGCAAGAAGTTGTTTGCTGGGGAGAGTGTGGGTGGTCACCAGGTGGCAGGGAATCAGGTATGTAAGAATCAGCCTAGAGAAACATGTAAGCAAGAGCCGCATTGACAGGAAGAGATGGATACACACTCTCGATTCTTATATGCATCACGGTGGCACATTCTCCAGGCATTAGTGAGGTGCTCTTCGGCCTGAAAACAGTCACAGCGAATCAGACTCGTCCTCTATCTCTCAGCCAAATGCAGCTTCATACCTTCGTATACTGCTCATCCAAAAAGTGAATGACTCCGAGATAGTACTCAAACGTGACGATATGAGACTTTGGGAATGCGTCAAGCGGTGGCAGCTCATGGGATTGCGCGTTGATTGCCCGGAGCAAGTTCTTCGTAAGGCCAACAGAGTTGATCTATGTCGAGTTAGTAATCGCTCATAATGGAGCTTCAGTAGAGCTTCAACATCCGTACCTTGAAGTAAGTCTTGAAAAGTAGGTTGGTAGTTTCGTAAATTCCCCACTTCCGCGACTCCTCAAGGGGGGCGCTACATCGATCAGCAATCGCACTTGCAACTCAAAAGCCCAGGTCTCAACTCACCGATCACTCAGACAAAGAGTAAACATCCGATTAATGATCCGTGCAGCTTCCTCCAAGTTTGCATTTTCCTCAACATCCACCGCAAGATCATCCTGGAAGCCAAAGTCCGAGGAGCCCTGCGACGCAACCTCCAAGTCTGCCTTGATCGCAAAGGTTCGTAGAAATTTGCCGACTGTATACAGGCACGGCAGTGTCCATGCAGGGAGACCATTTGATCCGGCATACCCTTTGATAAGAGCATTGGCAACCTTCTTCCAGGCAGTGAAGATGGCAGTTGCACTGGCTCCGGGGTGCCGACCCTCACACTTTAGCACCTCCCCCACTGCTTCCCAGTATGCCGCGAAGATATCAACCCAGGCAGCTTGTTCGGGTTTCGGTACTTTCAGGTTCTTTCCGTGGAAGAGATTTGCTTGGAGATCTTTTGTGAGGTATTGAATGTTCGTGTACTGGTAGAAAGATCGCAGCCGGTCTGGGTTGTTCGAGGTCGCAATTGGCGTCAGGACTGCGGCAAGGTCGGGGCCTGAAGCAATGCTGTAAGCATGTCTAAACTCGTTGGCCAGCTGCATGGTGCAATTTCCCAACCACGGGTTCGATATCCCGAGAAGTTGAAGAGTGTGTGGGGAAAACGCGGCTGAACTTGGCAGAGGTCTTTAGAGTGTCGATGAAGCAGTAAACTACCAAGTCGCGGGTACACCTGGAATGAGCCGACGGGTGGCAGGCCCTAGTGGGGCGCATCGTGGCCGTGCATACATCTGTGGCGGTGAAGCCCTCCCCCAAAGCCCCAAGTGTGGCTCGTGACATAACTTCCACTTTGGGTTAGCGTGTTTCGACGGGTGACCTCCACTCGCTTAACCGAAGGGCGGTAGCCCTAAGCACATTGCAACACAATCTTTGATTTCTCTCCCGCCGGCACCACTAACGACTCAACCACCACAGCGACAATCACAGTACGTGCTGCCCCTATTCGATCCGTGACGAGACCACTGCTAACATTCGTCTTTCCAGATGGGTAAGTGACCTTTTTTTCGATATTCCAACGATTTCCTCGAGACGACTACGGTGTGTGCGATACGGTCCAGCGAAATTCTATACAGAACGAACAACCTTCAATAACGACACGACACCGTCGGGAAAGACATTCAAAGGCAACAACGGATGAGGCGCCATAAAAATCAATCAGAAATCATTGCGAAGGAGGAGAGTACACGGCGCTGTCGAAAAAAGAACATGGCTGGCCCATCTCGAAATTTTCAACCCGCACCACCAAAAACGTCTACCCCCTTTCGTCTCCTAGGGATTCACCTTCCGCAATCGCGCGCACCGTCTAAATCACCACGAGGAAATCGGCATTGGAAATCACAATTCAACACCTAAACCGGAGCATTGACTGATGGATCTTCAGGGCGTCTTAACGAGTACCAGGTTATCGGGCGTCACCTGCCCACCGAGGCGAACCCCACGCCCAAGCTGTACCGCATGCGCATCTTTGCGCCCAACACCGTTGTGGCCAAGTCGCGCTTCTGGTACTTCATGGCTTCTCTCCGCAAGCTGAAGAAGGCCAACGGCGAGATTGTCAGCCTGAACACCGTACGTGGAGGAAACCTGCCAATCGAGACTCTTCTCTCTCGCATCCATTGCTCACTCTCGTTTCATCTAGATCACCGAGAAGCGCCCCCTCAAGGTCAAGAACTTCGGTATCTGGCTCCGCTACAACTCCCGCTCCGGTACCCACAACATGTACAAGGAGTTCCGTGAGATGTCCCGCACCGAGGCCGTCGAGGCTCTCTACCAGGACATGGCTGCCCGTCACCGTGCTCGCTTCGGTTCCATCCACGTACGTTTCGACTTCTCGCAGTTCCAATACCAAATACTGACCATTCTTCAATGCAGATCCTTAAGGTTGTTGAGGTTACCGATGTCGACAGCATCCGCCGCCCCTACATCAAGCAGCTCCTCTCCAAGAACCTCAAGTTCCCCCTGCCCCACCGCTCCGCCAACCCGGGCAAGAAGCTGTACTCTTACTCTCGTCCCTCCACCTTTGCTTAAATGTGATGTGTTGGGGTTTTTCGGGAACGGAGTGTGAGGATGAAATAACTGCGATATGGCCAATAGCATGCATGAAAGATACTGGTCGCGCGGAAAACGGCCTGTGTGTACCCAGTTATGGGGAGATGGTTTGGATGTCGCTAGTCCCGTGTAGTGGCGTCTGAGGATAAATTCAAAAAATCATCGGGTTCAAGTTCACTCTTGTGCAGTTGTTCCAGTAGTTTGGATCCTATCGGGAAAGTGTATCTGATTGTAGACGACCTTTACATCTGGCTATCTGACGATTGTGGTTACGCAGTCTAGGCTTTGCCATACAGTATACATGTATCCTATTCCTCTTGAGTCCCTGTGATCTATTTGCTGGGATATCACTTCGCGAATTCACCATGTCCGAGTCCGAGCCCCGAGCTCCCGGTAAGCCTGGACAGGCTTCTAAGCGTAAGCGCATCTCGGAGTATTAGACATATCGCCAGCCAATTCCAGCCACGAAGCTGGAGATAATCGCAAGCTGAACCAATAAAATGCAAAGACCATCAAAACACTCGACTCCATCTTCCGTGTACTAGCGAAACACGTTATATCCGCTGCGTCAGGAACCGCTATTGCGTCATTGCGCTGGGGGTGGACTACCGAGCGCCGGTCCGCCTTCATTCCGATTTCTTCCCCCTCTGGTCCTCCAAACCAAACCACCATCTTTCCACCCCCAATTGCCCTTCCATCTTTCCAATTCAAATCACAATGTTCGCTCGCCAGAGTTTCCGCTGTGCGCAGCCCCTGAAGCAGGTAGGTCTCATGCTTGATCAATCGATCGTCCACAGAAAAGAAAAGAAAGAAAACAGATCTAATCAGTTGCTTTGTAATTGCTAGGGTTTCCGAAAGTACTCTACTGAGGGCGCTCCCAAGGCCGCCGAGTCTGCTCCCAAGAAGTCTAACCTTACCCCTATCTACGTCGCTGTCGGTCTCGCCGGTGTCGGTGCCGGTCTCTACCGTTACAGCTCCAGCTCCGCGCCTGTTGCTATCAAGCTCGAGGACCGCCCCAAGGTCTTCACTGGCGACTGGGTTGACCTCAAGCTTGCCAACATTGAGACTCTGAGCCACAACACCAAGCGATTCCGCTTCGAGTTTGACGACAAGGAGGCTGTCTCTGGTCTTCCCGTTGCCTGTTAGTGCTGCGCCTCCCTCCGTGCAGGCCCATTCCACCGCTGACACCTCAACTACAGCTGCCCTGCTGGCCAAGTACAAGCCGGAGGGTGAGAAGGCCGTTCTCCGCCCCTACACTCCCACTAGCGATGAAGGTATGATCTCATCTCGCGCCCTTCAAATTGCCCCATTGACCCTTCAACTCACCCTCCTCTTCTAGATACCCCCGGTTACCTCGAGCTCGTGGTCAAGGCCTACCCCGGTGGCCCCATGTCCGAGCACCTCCACTCGATGAACGTCAACCAGCGCCTGTCCCTCAAGGGTCCCCTCCCCAAGTACCCCTGGGAGGCCAACAAGCACGACCACATCTGCCTGATCGCCGGTGGCACCGGTATCACGCCCATGTACCAGCTGGCCCGACAGATCTTCAAGAACCCCGAGGACCGCACCAAGGTGACTCTGGTCTTTGGCAACGTCAGCGAGGACGATATTCTGCTGAAGAAGGAGCTGCACGAGCTGGAGAACACCTACCCCCAGCGCTTCCGTGCCTTCTACGTGCTGGATAACCCCCCCGAGGGCTGGACCGGCGGCAAGGGTTTCATCACCAAGGAGTTGTTGAAGACCGTCCTGCCCGAGCCCAAGGAAGAGAACATCAAGGTGTTTGTCTGCGGTCCTCCTGGCTTGTACAAGGCGATTAGCGGTGGGAAGGTTAGCCCCAAGGACCAGGGCGAGTTGACCGGTATCCTGAAGGATCTGGGTTACAGCAAGGAGCAGGTGTTCAAGTTCTAGATTGGAAGGTTTCGAGACCATGATACCGAATTATAGAATAGATGCTTGTCCGGTCGGGGAGTAGGAGAAGAAGTCGCACACGCAGAGCAGCGATGTACATTGATGCATTGGCGCGCTATTTCCGCATTCCCACCCCCACCCCGGGTCAATGGGATGCGACGGTAATTTTGATGCCATAGACTATCTGGAGAATATATTTGTACCACCTACTTCCATAAGCTCTAGCTTCCAATTATCTGATCTTTCGTACAGGATATAAAAAGGCGTGTGGTACCTGTAAAGTTCATCGCCAAGGTTCGGGTAGGGAAAAGTGGTGGTCGCACCTTGAGACCTCAGGTGGATGACCCGATATATATCGCCATGAACGAGAACGATAGATTAGATCCCTCTAAGGGTAGATGGACTATTTATTTAATGCTAAATGTTTTATGTAGAGCATATGAGAACATTACTATTTAGAAATTAAATCTTACCTACAACCAGCTCCGGAGAGCATCAAATAGGTTCCCTTTTACAGCTGAAAGACCCCGCGCCAGGAGGGAGTTGACCCAGATGACGGGGGGACCAAGCAAGTCACTCATGTCGGTGTCACGGGGGGTTCGGGTTGGGGGTTACCCGGGTTTCGTACTGCGCAGTATGTCCAGAAGGGAAGGCAATAATGGAGGGGAAAAGGAAAAAGGAATAACAGCACTACTGTAGGTCTAGAATCAGGTTGCGCCGGGGAGGGGGCGTTACCGCATGACCTATAGTCCAAAAGTTGAGGGGGGGACCCGATCGTTAAGGTACGCGCCCGTAAAGGAGGGTTCAGCTGAAGAAATGTCGGGCTCGAGCTTTTGGGGGAGGCAGCCTAAGCCTAAAGCAGCCATAGGCGGGTAACTGGGAGGCCGAGCACGCCGAGCATGCCGGGGTGGTGCTTGGGGGGGCTGGATGGTGTTTTGGGGGGAACCCGCGGTTTGGTTATCTGGTGCCATTGGGTTTGTGCGGCCTTAGGGGTGGTTTAAGTGTGTTTGGGGTGTGTCTGGTGGTGGGTGACGGGTGACGGGTACGGGCGGTGGTATTTAGTGGGCCTCTTCCCACCCTCCGAGCCGAAGGGCCCCCTAATTCTTCCCTAATTCTTCCCTCTTCCCTGATCTCTTTCCCCCCCCAAACCCGGAACCAAATTTTCTTTTCTCCCTTCCCCTCCCCCCCCAGGTCTTTCCTTCCCACCACCACGACACTACCGCCACCCCCCCATCACCATCATGACCGCTAAGCACGATTCCGAGGCCACCGTGGCCGTAAACATCGAGGAGCTCCGTAATTCCAAGGATGCTGTAAGTCACTAAGTTGTCTTTCCATATCGCCTTTTTTTTTTTTTTTTCCTTTTTTCCTGTCCTTTTCTCCCCCCGGTCGCGTTCTGCTTGTCCTCCATGGCCTGCTGCTCCCACCGGCGCGCTCTCCTACGCGTCGCATGTCAACAGAGCTTTCGCGTCCCAACGCACAAGCTCTATGACCCTAGCTGAGCTTTGAACCTTGATCGCAACGATGATCTCTTGCTTCAGCAAGCTTTGTAAATCCTTCTTTTCACGTTGGCGTGGGCAGAGCGTCTCCGATGGGCCTGGACAAGTCCTCCCGCTATGGTCATTTCTCCCGCCAGCAAAACCCTCCGGCCTGCTTAGCCGCCGAATCCCCGAATCCTAGCCCCCCCATTCCCCCACACACGTGTACTCATCTGAGGAACCCTGAAATGATATCTATGATTTGCCTTCTCTCAACCCGTCACTCAATAAAAAATATCCCGTTGTCCTGTTTGACTATCACTAACAAAACATCCCAGGTCATCATGCGCCTCATGGCGCTGCAATCCTACATTGCCGACCTGAGCAAGGCCTACGTTGAGCACGTCAACAATGTCATCAACGGTGACTCGGCCACGATTGACATTCCCGCTATGCCCACCGGTCTGACCTTCCACGCGGAGGCCGCCCGCGCTGCTAGCCCCGGTGTCAAGTCCGAGGCTGGCGGTCCGAAGAAGCGCAAGCGTGCGCCGGTGGACCCCAACGCCCCCAAGCGTGCCCTGACTCCTTACTTCCTGTACATGCAGCAAAACCGCACCAAGATCGCCGAGGATCTGGGTGGCAGCGCCAAGCCCAAGGATGTTGCCGACGAGGGTACTCGTCGCTGGCAGACCATGGACCCCAAGGAGAAGGAGATCTACAAGTCGCAGTACCTCGAGAACTACGAGGCGTACAAGCGCGACATGGCCGCTTACAAGGCCGGTCGCAAGACGGGCGATGACGATGCTGCCAATGACCAGCTCCAACAGAGCATTGCCGGTATCAACGCAGTGTCCGAGTCCTCGGACGACGAGACCTCCGAATCCGAGGAGGAAGAGGTTGAGGAGGAATCTCCGTCCCCGCCTCAGCCCGTGAAGCAGAAGACCCCTCCTAAGAGCGCCGGCGCTAAGCGCCGTCGTAGCGACGTCAAAGCCGTGAAGGAGGTTGCCGAGTCTCCCGTTAAGCCCGCTTCACCCGTGAAGAAGGGCCGTAAGGCCGTCGAAGTTCCTTCGGTCAAGTCTACCCCCGCAGAGACTAAGCGCCGGACCAAGAAGCGCAAGAGCGAGGTTTAAGTGATGGAGAGGTAAACCGTGACTGTGCACATGAAGAAGAGTTAAAGAGGTATATGACGCGATTTCTTATTGGCCGTGATTTTCGGGTTACCTAGGAAGGGGGAGGGAGTCATTTTCATTTCGTTTCACTTTCTCGTTGATTTTTCGCTTTGGAGAAGAATCCGGGGTTCCCACGGGCGGGGGAAGCGTGCAAGTCTTTGGAGACTTTGATGGCGAGGGCGTTGGTGTCAAAAGTTGTAATTATGGAGCTTTGATTGATCCGTCTTGGGGTGGAGGTCGGATATCCCAAACCTCCCCCTCCTGACTCCCAAGCTTCCCCTACGCTACGAGGCTCCGAAATCACCACTCTTGTCGGTCTACCGAGAATATGGATTCCGTCGAAAGGAAGAGAATAAAGAAGCCTATAACCAAGGCGGATACAAGCCTCATTCAACCCAAAATAATAAAGTCCATTTCGTGTTTCCCTTTATTAAAGCTTTAGATAACCCATGTCTACCCTAGAATTGTAATGAAGGTAATAGTCCCTAAGTCTCCACAGATAAAATGGTCAAGGAGGCGCCGTTGCTCTAAAGGTACTAAGTAGAGAATGACTGCCAACATAGGCGGCTTCCGCCTTTCTACAGAAATTATGTTAAAATTGTCAACAGATAGCCGAAATGGAAGGAGTAGATTCGCGACTGCCTCTCGGGGGACGCTCCTTTTCTCTAGATTTACCCCGGCACCCTCCCTCACCTCACCCTTCCAACTCCCAAGCTTCCCCTACGACACTCCTGAACCGTCATTCTTGTCAGTCTCCCGGGAATATGGATTCCGTCAAAACGAAGAAAAGACCAGCCTCCGAGGAGGTAAGCGGTGTCTCAAAAAAGCCTATGACTAAGGCGGACACGAGCCTCACTCAACCTGAAAAGGTAAAGTCTACTTCGTGTCTCCCTTTACTAAGCTTTAACTAACCCATAGTTATCTACCCCAGGACCATACGGAGATTTACTACCTCAGCTCTATTGAAAATAAGGAGAATATGCTCCAAGCCTGTATCGACAAAATGGTCGACGAGGCGCCGACGCTCCGACTCTACCCGGAGGAGAATATAGCTGCCAACATGGCCGGCTTCAGACTCTTCCGGGAGATACGGCAACTGCGTGAAGAAGTGGCCGAAACCAGTGACCTTCTCCAAGTCTTTCGCAAGAGCCATCTGGATGTCCGTCAAAGGACCTACTCTACTTGGGTACGAGATGCCCTGGGTAAAAACACCCCAAGCCGGACCGCGGCCATTCGAAGTCTTAATAAGGATATTGTCCACGCCGGTGACATACGCTTGGATGCAATGCTCGTCAATGAGCGCTTTGCGAAAAGCAGTACTGAACGGCAACATTTCAGTGCTCTTTACGGCCTCACCGCGGAGGACGTAAATGCTCTTGGTATTATTACAAATTCCCTCAATGCTCATTCTTCGCTAATATATTCCAGACCATAAGAAATGCCGCGGGTCGCTAGAGGCCTTAAACAGAGCGGCATCGATTCTCTTTGACACATCCAAAAAAAGCCTCGAAACGGGGATGGAGGAGGAGCGAAAGAAGCTTGTCGATCTCCTGCTGAAGGGGGAATATGAGGAGGCCGAGAAATTGAGCGGTACTGTTCTATGTGGGACATAGAATTCCATCATCGACACCCTTGTGATAGTTTGGGTTTTTTGTTTTCATCTTCATCCCCTCTTATCATTACCCCATTGTTACGCGCCCAGTTGGGCGGCTAGCTTAGTCAGGAAGGTAGATAGATGCAGCTTCCAAGCCGCCCAGAATGTCATCTTCTTCTCCCTTCTCGCTTCTTGCGCTACAATTGGTTCCCATGAACCAGTCATTCGCCAACTTGCCCGTGAACCAGAGCCAGTCACCTCATTCACCAATTGCCCAATTCCGCTTAGCAACGCCATGACTAACACGGCCGAGCGCCCCGCCCATCGCAGGCCGCGCATTTGATTGCACTCGCCCAATCGCCCATCGGGCAAGGCTTATCTCTGGGCCTGGATGCTCTTACTCTTATCGCGGGTCCCCGGCAGTCGACGGGGGAAAAACCGAAGAGCGGAAAAAAAAAAGATTAAAGAGGAACTACAATTCCCCAACTGACACACCCCACATTCTCGATTCCCGTTCTCGTTTGCCTCCCTTCCTTCTCTTCGTGTCGCACCGGGAGAGAAATTCGAGACCTTGCATCCCGTCGGTTTCGCGAAACTTGTCAGGGATTGTTCTTCTCTGTTACCATACACGGCTTTACCCCTCCATCCCTCGTTCGCCGATAACGGTTCCCTGCTGCTGTACGCCAAGCTCCCGGTTCCACCTGCGACATGCAGCTTGTTCCGAAGGAGGTAGGGGCATTTTTTGATCCAATTTGATGCATAGCCAGGGTTTGGCGATGATGACGGTTATGCTAATATATCTGTGTATGTACAGCTCGACAAGCTCACGATCGCGCATCTGGGGTTCCTGGCGCAACGTCGTCTGGCGAGGGGTGTTAGATTGAATCATGCAGAGGCCGTGGTATGTCTTTTGGATTCCCGGGGATTGAAAAGGAGAATTGGAAGGCAGTGGTAGTCCGTTCGTATCGCTGACATGGGGTGTTTCTTGCAGGCTTTGATTTCTAGTGTTCTGCACGAGGTATGAATTGCTTTTGGTGGAATTGACCTGCGATGGCTATGCGCCATGCGCCAATGGACGATGTGGCTAATCCGGTTACGCCGTACAGCTCATTCGCGATGGCCACTACTCCGTCGCCGATTTGATGTCCATCGGCAAGACGATGCTAGGTCGTCGTCACGTTCTCCCCTCCGTCGTAGCTACCCTGGTCGAGCTCCAGGTCGAGGGTACGTTCCCCTCCGGTACCTACCTGGTCACGGTGCACCACCCGATTAGTAGCGATGAGGGTGATCTGGAGCGTGCGCTCTATGGAAGTTTCCTGCCCGTTCCTCAGCGCGAGGCATTCCCCGATCCGGATCCCGAAGATTATATGCCGGAGAAGATGCCTGGTGCGGTGATCCCGGCTAAGCATGCGAGAATCGTGTTGAATGATGGACGGAAGCGCATTCGTTTGAAGGTTATGAGCAAGGGAGATCGGCCGATTCAGGTATGTAGGAACTGGAGGCGTTGTACTGGGCTATCTACCAGAAGATCCGGAAGACTGACGATTCTCTTGTCAATTCCAGGTCGGATCGCATTACCACTTTATCGAGACGAATCCGCAATTGCACTTTGACCGTATCCAAGCCTACGGTTTCCGCCTCGATATCCCCGCCGGCACATCAATCCGTTTCGAGCCTGGAGATACCAAGACCGTTACACTGGTCGAGATCGGTGGTCATAAGGTTATTCGCGGAGGCAATTGGCTGGCCAACGGGCCCGTGGACTTGAGCCGGGCCGATGAAATTATCACTAAGCTAGAGGCGGCCGGGTTCGCGCATGTCCCCGAACCAATGGCGGATAGCGCGCTGCTTACCGGGTTCTCCATGGAGCGCGAGGCGTATACGCGTATGTTTGGTCCTACGACGGGCGATTTGGTGCGTCTCGGTTTGACCAATTTATGGATCGAGGTCGAGAAGGACATGACCATTTATGGAGATGAGTGTGCCTTTGGTGGAGGTAAGACTCTACGTGAGGGTATGGGACAGGCATCTGGACGCTCGTCGGCCGAGTGTGTGGACACGGTTATTACCAATGCCCTGATTATTGATTATACTGGTATCTACAAGGCGGATATCGGTATTAAGGACGGCTTGATTGCTGGTATTGGAAAGGCCGGTAACCCGGATGTCATGGACGGAGTGCACCCGGATCTGGTAGTGGGCTCGTCCACGGACGTGATTGCGGGCGAGAATAAGATCATTACGGCTGGTGGTTTCGATACGCATATCCATCTGATTTGCCCGCAGCAAGTCGACGAAGCTCTGGCATCTGGTATCACTACTTTCCTCGGTGGTGGTACCGGCCCTAGCACTAGCTCGAAAGCGACGACTTGCACCCCAGGACCCAACCACCTCAAAAACATGATGCAAGCCTGCGACAGCCTCCCTATCAATCTTGGCATTACGGGCAAGGGCAACGACTGCGGAGCCATCAGCATTGAAGAGCAAATCAAGGCCGGTGCGGCCGGTCTTAAGCTCCACGAAGACTGGGGTTCTACACCTGCAGCCATCGATAACTGTCTGGCCCTCTGCGACGAATACGACGTGCAATGCATGATCCACACGGACACCCTTAACGAATCCGGCTTCGTCGAGCAAACCATCGAAGCCTTCAAGGGCCGCACAATCCACACCTATCACACCGAAGGTGCCGGTGGCGGCCACGCACCAGACATCATCTCCGTCGTCGAGCACCCTAACGTCCTTCCCAGCAGCACAAACCCAACTCGACCCTTCACCCTCAACACGCTTGACGAACACCTCGATATGCTCATGGTCTGCCACCATCTGTCCAAGAACATCCCCGAAGACGTCGCCTTTGCCGAAAGCCGTATCCGTGCCGAGACCATCGCTGCTGAAGATGTCCTACACGACCTTGGCGCTATTAGCATGATGTCCTCGGATTCGCAGGCTATGGGCCGCTGTGGTGAAGTTATTCTACGGACCTGGCATACTGCGCATAAGAATAAGGCGCAGCGCGGAAAACTGGAGCAGGATGAGGGCTCGGACAACGATAATTTCCGGGTGAAGAGATATATTAGCAAGTATACGATTAACCCGGCGCTGGCGCAGGGTATGGCGCATCTGATTGGAAGTGTGGAGGTGGGCAAGGTCGCGGATTTGGTCTTGTGGAACCCTAGTACGTTTGGTACGAAGCCCGTGCAAGTCTTGAAGAGTGGAATGATTGTCGTGGCGGAGATGGTATGATATCCCTCCCCCCTACTGCTACAGGGTTGAATACGACGTGCGAATATTGACTGGTGAATAGGGCGATCCTAACGCTTCGATCCCGACGATCGAGCCTATGATTGTTCGTCCCATGTTTGCTGTATGTTTACCCCCTCTTTTGCTTCTCTCCTTTGACTCTTCACCGTGCTGATATGGATAGGCCCGCCTGCCGAGTACGTCGATCATGTTCGTTTCGCAAGCTTCCATCGACAATGGTGTCGTCCAGAGCTACGGTCTGCAGAAGCGCGTCGAGGCAGTCAAGGGTTGCCGTACCGTTGGCAAGAAGGATATGAAGTTCAACGATATTATGCCCAAGATGAAGGTTGATCCGGAGAGTTATGTAAGTTCAAATCTATCCTCTCGTCACAAGCTGCATCTTTACCGAAGGATAGTGCTAATATACATGCGTTTCTAGACCGTTGAGGCTGATGGCATGCTGTGTGACGCGGAGCCTGCATCTGAGCTACCGCTGACGCAGGCGTACTACATCTTCTAAGTTTCTCAGCTTCTAGGTTGGAGTTGAAGCTGAAACTGGAAAATTGTGCGATGTCAAGGACTAGCTTGGGATAACTCTCTCTCTTTGCGAGGACTTGTCCTTCAAGGTCTCTTTGTCCGTGTTGATCGTTTTGCCATTTATCATTCCCCTGCATTATTCGGTTTTCATATACCTCTCGAGCGTCTCCTTATTTTGGGCGTTTCGTTGTCTCGTCATAGCAAGAGAGAGCGCCCGTTTCGTGATTGTGATTTAGTAGCTACGAAAGTGACGACTCCTTTCTCTTTGAATTCTCGAAGCCGTACTCCCTTCATATCCTTAATTGCAATCAAAACATGTCAGTAGATAGCCAATTGCATCCGGATTCTATATACTTGACAACTTGATCTAGCAACCCGATCGATCGATCGGCACCAACCGTAGAAACCAGCCCCCCGAATTCCCTCGCCGTCCAACGATCACAAAGAACATACAACCCCCCCCCTCTTCATCTACACGACATCCAATTACTCCGTATACAACCAATCTAGATTGTATCAACCCAAAATGGCAACCCCCAACTCACCAAGAATAACCCTGAACCCCCCAAACCACCACACCACCCAATCCAACCCCCAAAACCCCCCTCCACCCATCGCCTTCCTCACCGGCACCTGGCACGTCACACATTCCAGTCTGCCCCTCTGGAAAGACAAACGCAACGTCTCAATCACTTATACAGCTATCCCGTCCACCAACGCCGACACCGGCACCGGCACCACGCCAGGAAGTGGAATTGATCATGATACCACCAAACTAGACGACCTGGTCCAATATCAATCGCGGAACCCGCTAAAGTCCAAAGTACACACCGTGCACGGGATAGACACGCCTTCGCTGTCGAATCCGGGGGCGTGGGATTGGCGCGGGAAAGGGTGGTTGATGATTGCGTCGTCGCATTGGGAGGTATTAGGGTTTGGAGAAATTGCGTCCGAACGGGCTGGGGATGGAACTGGAACAGAGCCTGAAAATGGAAGTGGAAGTGGAACTGAGGCTATGACTGCAGGCGAGGAAGAGGGGAATGCATGGGTGGTTACTTATTTTGCTAAAACGCTGTTTACGCCTGCGGGGATTGATGTTTATTCGAGGCGGAAGGAGGGTGTGTCCCAGCATGTTTTGGAGGGGATTTTTGAGGCGTTGAGGGGGTTACAGGTACGGGAGATTGGGGTGCTTGTTGATGGGGTTTTTGAGATCCCGAGGGATTGAGGGATTGAGGGATTGAAGAGGGAATTAGTATGGAATTTGCTTTGGAATGGGATGTGTTGGACGTGACAGTATCTACTATGTGTGCTGGAATTAATTAATGGCTGAATTTGATATCGGAGTCTCCAGTATCAGTGGCTTTATTAATGCTGTAGTTCGAGGACCAATCGAACTATGGGACACTCTACAGAGTCATGCCACTTCCAATAGTATCATGCCCAAGGCGTATTATTGATTGAAATAGTCCGCCGAGAAAGTCCACTCCGGCCAAAATAGACCCACCGGACTTCGCCGGTTCCAAGGGGATATTGGCCGACGGTCTATATCGGAAGCATCCGATCTATGCCCGAAGGCAGGAAAGTTATTTCATTTACACGCATACAATTTGAAGGAAAACCTATGCTCGCAGGACATGTGGTGCTAAGCTAGACTGGTGCGTCCTATTGACATTCGCTTCCGTTGATGCACTGGGAAACCCCAGGCAGAACTTCAAAAACTCATTAGCCATTAAAAGCAAATACAAAACGATGATGGCTTTCAACGCGTGACTTGAATTCCCTCAGCAGGTCGTTCCGGGCAGGCCTAAACACTCCATGGACATTCGGCAAGCGACAGGAAACCCGGGATGTAAAGCATCACACCCCTTCGCTACAACCGTCAAGCCGGTCGATCATCCATCACAGTGTTAGTAGATCTTTGAATATGTAACCGACGAGATGACAGGGGTACATTAGCTAATTTGATCAGCTTGTCCGTCATCATCGGTCCGCATATGAAGATCAGGCCCTTCCCTCAGACAACCCGCTTAGATCACATCAATTACAGCTCCATCTCTTCTTCACCATGATTGTCGCCAGCCGAGGTGATTCTACCGGCCCAGGCCGAGTAGCTGTCCTCGGCGGCGGCAAGATATGCCTCGATTCGAGCGTTTCGGTGCTGTGTAACGGACATCTCGCTCCGCTGGAGAAAGTTAAGCACTTCTAGTCGCTCGCGAGTCAAGTTACCAGACCTCGGGTTACCGTATCTCGACGATGACAGAGAGGCGGCCAAGACGGACTCCGGAATCGAGGGTTGACTGTCTCGGGCAGCCATATTCGCTTCGGTGGGGGACTGGACATTCGAGGACGAGGCTCCGTGAGCCTGTGCTCCGTGGGCTTGCGCAGGTCCAGTAGTGGGGCGTCTCATAGGAACCATCGCAGGCCATTTACTTTGGGACTTCTTGCCTGTAGGACTCTCCTTTGCCTTTGTCTCCGTCTTTTTCTTCTCCGTCTTTGGGTCCGGGCCTGGGTCGTCCGCACCGTCTAGGCCTCTGACCATAGTGGGAGGAAGCGGTCCGACTTCCATCTCCATTGGGTCCGACTGTTTCTCGAGATATTCTCGGGCGCGTTCGATCTCGTCGCGCTTTTCTTTGACCATACCAGGAGTGGGCGGATCAATGAGCTGAAGCAGTTTGTGAGTTAAGCCCGGCTCTTCCGCAATGGGGAGCGACGAAAAGTCGTGCTCGACGTTTGCGAGAAGAACGAAGTTTTGTCTGATCGCCCGGATCCCTTCATAACCCATATCACGCAATTCAGAGTACGAGCGCGGGCCCTCAGGGGGATCGACAATTGGATCGGGCTCTGGGAATTCATTATCCTGACGATGCTGCCGAACTGCCGATACGGCCGCCCAAGCTGTCTCTGCCTCCTCGACTTGTTCCTTACGCCGCTCGAGGCAGAGAGACTGATCGGGATGACCGGTCAGCAAGTGGCCAAAGAATTCGTCGACAAGAGCTTTCCCTCCCAAAACGTCGCGGTCGTCTACCACGCAGGCATGAATGTCCTTGGGCCTGAAGACACTAATCAGATGGCACAGCTCAGAATACGAAGAGTGCCGTGCGTAGGGAAAGCGCTGAGAGGAACGGTAAGTAATGGTCAATCTCGCAGCTTCAGAGGAAGGGAAAAGAGGACTCACGATAACTCTGCGCCGAGAGTGGCCTAAGACAATGTTTGCGTCATCGTTGGACATGCCCTTATGGTGTGCGAGGACTTGGAGAGCAAAGATACCTAGAAAGGCATCCAGGGGGACATTATTTTCAAAGGAGATACCATACTTGCTGATCGAGAGTCTACCGTCATGGGCGCAGAGGTCTTCGAACAACCTCGATCTGACAGCGGCCTTCTCCTCGTCGTCAAAGAGCAGCATACGGTAATTGCAACGGTTCATTAGGTCGGAGAACCGTAGGTCTGGCGGAAAGACAAGTTCTTGTCGCATGTAGACATCGCCCGAGCCGCCACCCTCGCCCATATCGGGCACTTCGAAACCGTTCTCCTCGCGGCCCAAGAATGGCTTGATATAGACGGTTTCGCTTTCACTGGCGATAGGGCATGGAGGCATGCATAGATGAATACGAGCATTGCACATGTCGCTAGTCAAGCAGCCTGGAATGATATCGTTGCCCAGTTGGAAGCCATTGTAGGCCGCAGACTCGTCGATGCCTCTGTTAGCCCGCCCAAGAGACTGATAGAGCCCCAATTGATAAGCATCAAGATGGACCTATTGATAGGAGTCAGGGACAAGAAGCTTGGACACATGTTAGAGTCAGCAGAAGGGGGTTGACGTGGCTCACCTTTGTTCTCAGCGCGGAAGCAAGGGCTAGCCAGACCTCTTCATAGCCGAACGTCCAGGCTCCGACGTGGAAATTGGTTTCCGGAGGATAGCGCTGTACCCTTTCCAAGACCTCTGCAATTCCCTCGGCCTTGGAGCTGAACTTCTCCGGGGGTATGCCCGAGCGACGTAGGTAGGTGGTGTCCAGATACAAGTTATCGAGCCGTTTGCTGGTCAGAGTGTATGGAATCAGAAACGGATTGCGGATCAGGCTATCGACCCACCATTTCTCCGCTGTAATTCTGTTAGCTTGAAGTGGCATTGACTTGAGGAGACAGCCCTACTGACCTCGGATGTCGCCCGTGTAGAGGATTGTCTTGCCATCGCCCTCGATCAGGAACATGACACTTCCGGGGCAATGGTTGGCATCGATAAGCGTCACGCGGATATTTTTGATTGGCGTGAGCTCAATCTCCGTCGGCGTGTTCAACGGAATAGGCCGCTGAAAAAAGTGGAAAGAAAGGAACGGTATCAGTCTCTGACCCTCGATACTCGCAAAAATTGTTGACGAGCAATATCATTTCAGACTTACCAGCAACTTGTTGAGATGTTTGTAGGTAATCTCGCGTGCTTCAAGAATTCCCTGCGCATGATTAATGCGATGGGGGAACCGCTCAAGCCGCAATAGTAGCTAAATTTTTTTGGGGATGGTGGTTAGTTGGCCCCGCCTGGGACCTGCGTTATAGAAGTAGAACGGGATCGGACTTACCTCGCGCGTGGTTGGAGAACAGTAGATGAAAGGCGCCCGGAAGGACTCGAGGCCTTGAAGATGATCGGTGTGCACATGGGTGAGGAAGCAAGCCAGAGGTGGAGGTCGATCATCGCTCTTCCGGAAGTAGTCGACTTTGATGATGCTGTTGTCAGCTGATGTTTCACTCGGTGCTAGATTTTTTGTCATACTTACTTTGGATGTCTGGGAACTCTAGAAAGTGACTGTCAGCCGGGGGAACGTGTCTTGGAGGGGGAACAGAGTGGGTGTGACTTGCCTGCAAGGACCCCGTTAAAGGTCGACATGATGGGCCCCGGCTGGAACTAGCCTCGGAGGCTAGCGCCCAGCGGGTGTCGGGATGTGTTGTCCTTGCAAAAGAGTGCAGTGGCTGTGATGCGAATCTGCCGAGTCCAGCTGGCGCTGCAGTGGTCGTGCAGGAGGGACAACGAAAGAAAAGCCATGTCAACGTGGGAGTTGAGTGGTGTGGCCGGTCGCTTAGTCGTCGATGACTCGTTCGTGGAAGGTTGTAAGGACAAACGAGGTGCAATTCAAGGATGGCAGGATGATTAGTCGTCGAAATGGTGGTTCTCTCGTGACTTCTACCGAGTCGCCCTTCTCTCTTTCTTACCTCCGCTCCGCCTCCTGTCCTTCATTCCTTCGCTTTCACTCCTTTTGCCCCTGCTCCCTTCCTTTCTTCATCTTCTTAATGCGTGTGAACCCCCCTTCTTGACTTTCGTTATTTCCACGCCTTCTTCTCCCTGTCCTCTTCGTGAACTCCTCTCTATGACTTGTTCTCCCCCCACCGGTGTCTAGACCGCCCCACTTTTGGGAGCTGTCAGGATCTCTGAGGAGATCCCAATTGAACAACAAGAGGAGGGGGCGGCTCGCCTGAGTGCCTGAGTGGTTTCGTTTCACAATCGCGGCTGCGCACTGCCCAGCAGACTTTCCAATTTCTCTTTCTTCTTCACCTAGTTCTATCCTCTGACTCTCTGCTACTTTCTTTGCCTTCACCATGCGGAAGCCACTGCTTGCCGAAACCGTGTACGGGACGCTCTTCCCGCGGCAGCGCTCTACTGACCCGGGGTCCTTTCCCGCTCACATTACTCGCAACCTAGTACCGGAGGTGCGAATCGAAACAAATGCTTTCTATGGTCCTCTCGACTGCATTGAAGCCCAATATCCTGGATTGGACTATGCTCATCAACCTCACCGCCTCAGACTAAGCCGCTTCCCGTGGCACCGCCGCCTGTTCCGCGCATTCGACGAGCTCAAGCTGACTGCAGAGGAAATCTCGGAGTTGTGCTGCTGGGAGGGTACCAAGTCTGCGCGCCAGCGGTATGAGTTGGAGGAAGGCATCACAGTGCGGGACACGACTGGCGAGAGTACCCGTAGTGAGACACCTCCACCTCTGCCCGTGGTGACGATCCACCCGGACTTCTACACCTTGACAGAGGAACAGGCAGAGGACGACTACTATGATACACTCGAAACGGGGAGTGACGACACTGTGCGCGCGAGTAACTCACGCAGCTCCAGTGCTCTTGCCGACTTTCCCACCTCGTTCGATGACGATGAGGACACCGATGAGGAAGTGGAGAGCTGTGGCCTGGCCCTTAATGACCGTCTGTTAGCAGCAACGGCTGCACGAGCCCAAGGTGCTAACGTGCCTGTCGATGAGGACTACGAACAGTGGTTGAAAGATACCAACGACCGCGGCGGCTACAGCTGGATGGTGGCGGCTATTCGCGCCAACCAGCCGTTGAACAATCCCGAAGCGGCGACCTCATCACCCTCTAGCCCGAGCATTGATGACTTTGGACGAGACCAGGCAAGGCAAGTGGGGGAAGCTATTCGGTCCGCTAGTCTTGCAGCGGCAAGGCACGTGGCTGAAGTCCGATACCCACGACATTCGCGATATCCAGAGCCCCCCGAGCCCACAGACTATTCGTACCTGACTCCATCTCGGCAATCTCTGAACTAGCGCGGGCTTTTTGCAAAGGATGCGACTAAACAATGCTTTCTCGTCCCAGCTTCAGAGAATGCCTTTTCGTCGCGGCCCCAGACAATCACACGCGCTTCCGTCCTAACATGGCATGCTCACTGCGTGCTTCCCTAACTATGACTGATCCAAAAGTAACTCGACATGACTCTACGCACTGCATTTACTGGCGCATTTCTTATCGATCTCTTTTATCTTTGCATTCTCATCTCTGAAGTGGACTGGCTCCTTTCCGGGTATACTTTATTGCTCTATCTATTCATATGCGTCGCTATCTATCACGATTTTACCCCTGGAGCTTTCGAGATGATGAAAAACTCATTTCTGCACGGACCGACCTTCACTGGATCTTTCTGGGCAAGGGCTCCCGGGGTTTAGGTTCACTTAATACCCCCCTCGAATTGCTGCATCAGTCTGGTATTCGCTGGATCTATCGAGAGATTCAATTATTCTTTAGATTTCCTATTATCAGAGAAATTCAATTTATTTTCATATTGTATTTACATCTCTCAAAGACTCTTGTAGAGTTCTAGGATTCTGTGGTCCTTCGCCGTAATCGCCAGGGACTAATTCGATCCCAAAGCTCGGAGGGACCCACCGATAAGCATTTCAGCAGCCGCGTCTCCAAAGTCACCCACCGCGAGCGCCCCTACCAGGACCACGAAGGCTCGTACTTGGTTCTTTTTGCTGTTCAGCCGCATCCAAGAACAAGGAAACATGGATCGTTAAGGTCTCCTTGGGTTACTGGTACTGTCAACATTACCCCTGATACCTGCATGTCGCGGAGCCTATCCCTTGGCCTGATTGTGGCACTGGCTTGACAATGATCAAGGCTATCTTCTACAGCAAATTCGACACCCAGGAGGGTCAGACTGCGAGCTCCCAGAGTCCTTATACTCCAGCAGAATACTGACAAAACATTATTCCAGGCCCCAAGGTTGTCCATCAAGTCCCCGACGGCGCCATCGTTCCCTCGTCCACCGCGCCAGCGCAACCCCTCTTCCTGACCTTCTCCGACGTCTCATTCTTCGTGATTCCCCGCCAGGAGCTATGTGGCAACCTGTTGCAGGTCTGCACGAACGGATACCGTATTCTAGGCTATCCTATTTGCATGAAATCAGACCGCTATTCTCGAAATGAGTTCATCTTCAACTTTTGCATTGTGCTGGCCGAAGAGGACGATTTCAGTCAGTACAAGAGCGTGGTGCAAAAGCTTGCGGACTTGATGCATGCACTGGAAGAACAGAATGGGTTTCTATCGAGAGATTTCTCCAAGACTGGCGAGGGGAAGGTGCATAGCCTGTGTGAGATGTTGATGGAGGATTTGAACAATTATTGCGAGTGCATGATTCCAATTGGTGGGTGCCGGTTACCTGAATTGCATTGCGAGGCGACGAAGCTGACAGCTGCTCAGATGAGCTCAATACTCTGAACATCAAATTATTCCCCATCTATCCCTCGCCACCACCGGTCAAGGCGTGGCAGGTACCCTTGTTCACGGTCCGGTATCAGGCTTTTATGGATGAGAATTGGGATCTCTCCTTGCAGCGAGTACGATGAAGGGAACAATGTTTGAATCAATTCTATCAGCTAACTTCTAACAGATCGTTCCACATATCAATGGCGTCAACAGCGTCCGTATTATCTCTATCCTCGCAGATACCGACTTTCGGCTCACATGCCGAGCAATCCGACACTTGTTATACTACGGTTGTCTATTCCTTTTGGACATTTTCTCATTCTCTGCCATATACGCACCAACAGCTCAGTTCAGCGTCAGCATTGGCTCAGATGAAGCCATGCAACTTGAGTGTGCACGCTACGTCAATACACGTTTCGCGCCACATACACCGATTGGCCCTCACACCCCCCTTCCACCGCAGATCGCACCAGTAGCAGCCGCAACCAGTGGCGGGAGTACTGGTGGTGCTGGGCCGCTCTCAAGCCCACTGACTGATCCCGCCCCGAGTCTATCTCGCGACGATTACCGCTTCGATGCAGAAGAGATATGGCCATTATTGGGCGACTTAGAAGATGCACCGAATGGTAGCCGCAAAGTCACCAACATCCCCGAAAACGACAGTATCCCCGCTGGCCAAGGCCCCCGAGTCGTGGATGGCGTAGGCATCGTCGAGCTCTACGCGGCCCTGAAACAGGGCCAGAGTGTGAAACAATGGTACTCACAGCACAGCCGCGAGCTTGCCAATATTGATATTCGCCGCTTCATCACATTTGGCGTGATTAAGGGCTTCCTCTACCGCGTACACAAATACGCCTGCGCAACCGGTCAGCCGGCGCCGGCACCGCGCTCATCGTCTATCGTTCCCATGACTACATCGGCGGGGCCGTCCTCTCGTACTACGACTGGGAACAATACTCCGTACGCGGCATCTAGTGTGGGCGAGGACGCTCCTCTTTCTGCCCGACGAGATGCTAGTCGTGAACGTGCGGCATCTTTTCACAGTGGGAGCCGCGGTGGCATTGGGGTGGGGAGTGTGCCATCAGGAGTCTTTGAAGAGGAAGAGGATGAGATCGATGATCGGACGCTGTCCAAGTACCTTGATGGTACACACAGCTTCGACCAAATTTGTACAGAACTGGAGATAAGCGAGCGTGAGCTGACGGGTCGATTGAAACGGTATCCTGGAGAGGTGCTGATTCTCCACCGATGATGTTGTTTACGGAGGATGGTGTGTCATTTTGATAGTTTTGAGTTGTTCTTAGTTCATAGATACCCGATTCTTCTTTTCTTTCTAGAGTCGCTCAGGCCTATCAGTAGTCGAGTTTGGACCCGTGGCGCAGCACGGTCTCGGGCCGCAACGTGGATCGAGTGGACCAGAGCAGAGCCCCGCAGTGCGCCTTGGAGATGACTGTAAGTAAGCAGCGCATTCATATCACCTGCAATTGCCTCATCCCGGCTCGTTTTCTTGACTCCACCTCGCCCTCTGATGCTACAGCTTCATATTTCTCTAAAATGGCTCTGTTATGATCGGACTATACCATGTCTGACCCTGGCGAGAGCTCAACTCCTCGCCGCTCACACAGAACTGGCGTGGACCCCTCGGAGTCAGCCACCTACAACAGCGGTTATGAGCATCATCGGTCCAAGAAAGCCGAGCACCCTTCTGGACGATCTGTGTTGACGCCAGTTTATATTCCATCCGAAAAGCCTTCAGTGGATATTATTTTTGTGCACGGTCTGAACAGCACCGCCCTCAAGACTTGGACTAGCGAATCTCTCTGCTTCTGGCCAGTGGATCTTTTACCAAAGACCCTGGCAGTTTTCCCGGTCTTTCCCAGGATCCTTACTTATAGCTATGACGCGAGCAAGGGCGACGATATTCTAAGTCATGCCCAGGAGCTGGCAGAGACTGTAGCGAGCGACAGAAAAGTGAGTTATTCCAGTTTCATATACGTCTCTACATGAGGTTCTAAAAGGGCCATTTGCATGATGTACTTGGTGCTTCATCACCACGTGCTTTGACGTCCATGTGGCTGGTGTTTCAATTCTTTGCCTTGCCAAGCAATATTATCTGCTGCGCAGGAAAATTTATCAGGTAGCGCAGAGCAACAGCTGAACTTAAATCAATCAGATCGGAAATTGTCTCGACCGGCCGATCATCTTCGTCTGTCACGCGCTAGGCGGAATGGTCGTCAAACAAGCTCTTGTTCACAGCTATAGACTGACGACCAGCAAATACATCCAATCTAATTACGTGTCGACTGCTGGTGTCATTTTTCTCGGGACACCGAACACTCCAGCCGATGTTACCAGATGGGACTCGACGCTGCATGGCATCACTTCTGCTGTACTTCCTGCCGAGTCTATGCAGAAGTTCTCGCGATCTTCGCAACTGACCGACTCGCTGGCTACCAGCGGTGCCTTATTGGTACAAATAAATCGTGATTTCAAGGAGATATCGTCTCATATTCATGGCTCTGTTTTCGCCGAGGCTAATCAAGCCAGACCGAGTATGAGAACAAATTTACAAGGGCTTTCCCAGTCACCCAATTCCACGAATGAGGGGAAGCAGGGGCGCAAAGAACGGTCTCGGCTGGATGGTTCTTTCCAAAAATTGGGAATCAGTTTGAATGATAAGAGTTCACAAACTCTGGAAGGTGATGACGATACAACCGACACATTGTTCGACGGCGAGCAAACTGTCCTTGTGTCTAGAAATGTTAGAGGCGGTGGTCCGAATGTCGTCGATAGCAAATCAGCAGCACAAAATCTGCCTGATGTAACTAAGGTGTGGATCCAAGCAGATCTTGGCCATCTTTGCAAGTTTGACAATGCAAATTCTCCAGGCTATGAAGCTGTGGCGGGTACCATCTGTCAATACTCCGAACGAGCATCCAAGATAACCCAGGATCGCTGGGTTGACGAGGGAAGAATTCATGCTCTTGGGGTACTTAAAGGAAAATTCTACAGTATGTCTACTCATAAGTCCTCCATGCTCTATCAACGCGTTATTCGAACTACCCAGCTTATGGCTGAATATGTGATTACGCTATGGCGGATCTTGCTAATATCATTCACGATTAGGGGCTCTCGAGACTCATCACGCTATAGGCTCTGTGTTTTCAAAGAGCCCTAGCTCTCAGTACCGCCTAGCAAAAATTGGCCAGGGGAGTGACAGGCAGCCTTTTATCTCGCCCCCAGGGTTCCGCCCCAATGAAATTTTTGTCGGCATGCAGATAGAGTTAGAATTCCTACATCGTCACTTGTTCGAGTCCAAGGTTCAGGGTTATGGCAACAGCTCTGTTCTGATTACCGGTGTTCGAGGATCCGGCAAGACACAGCTGGCGCGGGAATACGTCTTCTCATCTCGCAAATTTTACCCCCATGGAATATTCTGGATCAATGCTAGCTCTTATCAATCAACGTGGAAGGGCTTGACAGAGATTGGTAAAGCAGTTGAGCTACCACATGACACTAACTACGAAATCAAACGTTTCAATGACTCTGGGGATCAGGGGCTACAATATGCGCTCGACGTCCTCGCGTTGATCACGAAGCTGGAAGATTGTCTTTTAGTTTTCGATGGGATGAAACTTGACGACGGAGACGACATAATGAAGTTCAGACGCCTTATACCGAGAAGGCCAAAGGGCAGTGTTCTCTACACGTCGATTGACGACGAGATACTTGGACCACTCCTTCCCAAATCACATCACTTATCGATCCCTCGACTACAGGTTGAAGATGCTTGCAAGCTTCTGTATAAGACTCTCGGGATAGGCACTCCAACAAAGAAGCAAATCCTTGGAGCATCGACCCTTGTGGAACGCTACGAGTGTTTACCATTGGCTATTCACGCACTAGGCCACCGTCTCAAAGCAGAGGACAAATCAATCGAGGAAATCACTATGAATGAACCCACGAAGGTTTTCCCGACGGTCATATCGGAAATATATCGCTTGCAGAGACGTCAAGCTATGAATCTGCTTCATCTGCTGTCATTTTTAAACAATAGCATTCCAGTGCGTCTGATTGAGTTTGGATGCGACGCAATGACAGAAGCCATTTCTGCTGATATCTTGATGAGCCCTCGACCTGGGGCGGTCCCTGATCTTGAAACCACAATAGAAACTTTGATGCGGTATGGGTTGATTGAGCGAGAGAATGGTACCGAAACCCACGTGTCTCGGTCCCCGGCAGTTTCACCAGCAGAAATTGGTTCGGGAATCAGTTACCCGAACGGCCTCCTCTCCGTTGAACGGGAAATCACAAAGCTTAATATCTCTGCCCTTGTGCAGTCTTTCTGCAGGGACGAGGTGCGACGGAAAGATGCCGAGTCTTCGTGGGAGCTAGAGCTACAGCTAAAGAGAAGCAACGGACAAGGCCAAGCTGGATTCTATGATACATGGCTGATTCTTGCGAGTCGCTTCCTCAGAAAGTCCTTCCATACCGCCCAGGAAACTGCGGACAGGCTTCGATGTCCTCTTGATATGCGTGATTATAAGGAGTATGCAGCTCATGTCGCTCGATTGACCGAGCAGTTTGAAGAAAACAACCAAAACGGACTTACGCCTCTGCCTTGGTACATGAAAGATGCCCAACAGAGCTTGGAAACTTTGCGCGGTAGTATAGTTGAATCCCAGATATTCTCCGAAGGCTTACCTCGACATTCTGCCGCCAGCCAAAGGTCTATATTTGCAAGGGACCCCGCATTAATCTCGGAAGACGCCAGATCAGTGGACCGATTAGATGCCATTGACTTTTTGATGACCGAAAGCTCCATTATTGAGCATGATTTCGATGCTACAGTAGGGTCGGAGTCTCATTATGTGTCTGATCGAGTATTTTCTGCGGGTCCGCATTCTACTCTGGATACTCAAACGGCTCCAACAGCTCCCACGGCTCCAACGTCTTCGGTTTCAGAGGCGGACGATCTACGGACAGTATATTCCGATACTCTGTCCATGGATGGCTCAACCAAGGAGGCTTATATCCACGAGCTCGCCCATGAACTTTTCAACAATGTTTCTACTTTCCAACTAGATTCCACATCTATGAGGCGTATCGCGGATAACCTGCCAGGATGTCTGAAAGCTTTCTCATTGAGACTTGGGTCTAGTGTCTCGACCCAACAACAGATCCATCGAGACGTGACTGTGTTCATTCACAAATATAGACAGTAAGTAGATGGATGTCTCTTTTGATGGGCATCTTGAATGAGAATCCATCACTGACAATCCGTATAAGTGACATAGCCAATGCATTCAACCATTCACTGGAGGATCCATCCACGGACACAGAGTCCACAGCAGATGAAGATATGCCACTCGGCGAGAAAATGAAACTCTGGTTGAGCCATGATGTGGACACCACTGGGGAATCACCTTTGGGGTCTGAAGAAGATCTCCTTACGCTTCTGCTTCCGATCATCGAGACGGGCGAAGAGTCCAATTCTGATGCTTATCCTGTCATGCCGGGATTACAGAAATACCGCGAATGTATCCTCGAAAACCCGGCCTATGACTGGCTCCTTGGTGATATCCAGAGACACTGTCTTCTCGAGCCATCATGTCCAGATACAAGGGCAGAGATTAATAGTGCGATCGTGCAAGGTCTTCCCTCGCAGCTTCATTTCAGCAGACGAGAATCAGTACCTTCGTATAAAGTGACATATTCTTTGGACTGGGACCTGTTTGCCTTTCTAGAGAACCAGGAATACAACGAGAGCAATGCTAAAGCACTTCCTTTAGTCATCACACTCACAGGCTCTCGTGAAGCAGCCCAGGCGCTGACTTGCTCCGAATATCTGCATCAGACATGGCCATTATCTGCGGGAGAGATGGTCAAGCTACTGCAAGATTTGCTAGAGAAGGGACCAAAGACCAAGGCCACGGGTATGATGTTATCTGGTTTTCTAGATGTGAAACCACTTCCTTACCGGCTAATTTTCCTTTAGGCAAGCTGCCGGACGGCACAAATCTTGTCGCTTGGTTCGATGCCTGTGAGGCTTCGAAAAATGTGAAGCTCAAGGTTGAAGTGAGGGGCTCTGCCTATTCAATCGCTGAGATAGGAGAGCAGCTATCATGGCTAGGATCAACTCTTCGCTCTTCACCCCAACCTGACCAAGTCGTATATTGTCATCCTCAAGTTGGGAAGCTAAGGGCAGTTCATGATGAGGATCCGGACGGCAAGAAGCAACAAGGCACCGACTTCTGCGCAGATATTTCCTTTTCAATCAAGATGGAGACACTTGCAGCCTCCAAGATTAACGGCGAGTGCTGGCACGATCTCTTTCGGAACGGTGTGGTCGTCGAGGGCTTCCCATTATCCCGACGACCTGAAGCAGGTGCGACGAAAGGCCTTGACATCCCCCTTCCAATGATGGCTCGCCTTGCTCAAGCAAGTTATGTAAACACTTTCTTAGGCAGTCCGATTATCAAAGGATTTTCGTCAATGCTTATTCCCACTGAGGACCACGAAGAGCTGGTTGTGTGGCATTTGGTGCATAATAAGAACGGCGATCGAATATCATATCTCGACAGCAATGTGCTTCCCGTAAAGGGAATATCAGCCTTGAAGCTATCACAGGCACGCCACATTCTGGGGTGGTGCTCAAATGCTAGACATCTTGCAGGTATGGTTAATATAATCTCTTAATTCTTCTTTTGCTAACATCAATGACTCCTAGGTACGCGGAATGCAGCATATGACATATCAGGCTCCCACCTTCCAAGACTACGTGACGACGGACTTCTCAGCCAAGCATTCATTTATAATGGACAGATGATTAAAGGCGGCACACCCTTCTTGGTGGGATATAAAGATACATCTATTCATGTGTCGAGAGGTGGTTATCTACGAAAACTCAAATGGATCATCCAAAAGTCCGTGGTCCTTTGGGACGAAGCGACAAAGCGAGGTTGGCTGCTAAATGGAGCAAGCGCTCTCCTCCATCTAGTGCGTGCCTCCATACAGCATGACACTACGGGACCCTTCAGTTCAGAGTGTCCCTTCAGGTGGGACGACTTGGAGGAGCCGGCAGCCGAATCAAAAAGCACATCTGAATTTGCAATTGCAATTCTATTAAGCCGCAGGAATCGGGACCTGGCGATATTTGAGGGCAAAGACGACCACGTTAAGTTTGAAGATCGAGTGGAGCACTTTCTGAACATGTTCGAACAAATCTTCGACTATCAGGTCCACGCTGCCGGGCCAGATGGCAGTGGATACCGTTCGAAAGGTATTCCCAGGGCACATTTCGAGGGCTGGGACTTTCACGATCTCGCTACTGAGATAGATTCGTTACACCCACGGCTAGCGACTTTCGCTCCCCAGGGAAAGGCATGGGTTGATTTCACACGCTCAATACATGCAATCAATCTTCTCGGTCGCGACTTTGGTGAAATTCTTGCTCCGTCGGACATTTCTTGTCCCCACTGGGCCTCGCTTCCCACGCATGAGTACTATCTGGCAGCCGGGGTTTCAGATTTGAAGATGGTCCTTGAGTATACAGGTGATCTGACGACAAATCCCATACGCCTAAGCGAGAATCTCGTGTGGCACAATCCAGACATGGTCTTTGAGCCCTGCGGTTGTGCTGATGCCACCGCGGATCATTCGGATATTGCACAAGTGATACTGCCGATCACGTTATCAACTAATACAGAGGGATGCCTGGAAACTGTCAATTTGGGACACGATGGAGCGGTAGTTTTTGGATATAATCGCAACTTCCAGTGGCGCTGGGGAGATTCCGGAGACCCTGAGAGGAGCGAAATCGTCAACAACGAAAGCAATCAGCTTCCCCCGTTAAGTGATACTGAAAACACGGCAAGCAACACGCCTTCAGGTGGGTCTGAAAGTGATAGACTCGACCTGTCGAGCTCGCAAATGCCTTCGACTTCAACCGATATCACCATTGACAGTTTTGCCGTTGAGGATGAACCTGTCCATCCGAAGCCTCTGGTCCGATCATACACCAAGTGGCAATTGGATTCACTCAGACCCGAGGACTACGCTGTCGGCATCGTGTGTGCACTGCCGTTAGAACTCCTGGCCGTTCGCGCTTTGTTCGATCAAACCCACCCCGACCTCCCTCTGTCTATCGCGGATTCAAATCACTACGCCCTGGGAACTATGGGACGACACAAAGTTGTCGCGGCCTGTCTTCCAGATGGAGAGTACGGCACAAACTCAGCCGCGGATGTTGCATCCAATTTGCGAAGAAGTTTTCCATCGGTGAAGTTTTGCCTCTTAGTAGGCATCGGGGGTGGGGTTCCATCTTCTAGGAACGACATTCGGCTTGGCGACGTCGTCGTGAGCAAGCCGATTGGCATAAGTCCTGGAGTAATCCAGTACGATATGGGCAAGGCTCTCGAGAACGGCGAGTTCGAGCAGAGTGGATTTCTACAGCCACCGCCTCGACTGGTAATGACTGCGCTCAGCAGTCTGAAATCCGATCCCCATTTACCCCAAGCTCCGCTTCAGGAGTATATCCAAGAAATCGCAGCTTGCAGAAGGGAATATCGACATCCAGGATCAGAAAATGATCGTCTATTTTCCAGTCATTACGCGCACAATTCCAAGCACGCCACCTGTAGCCCTTGCAGTGCAAACCATCTCACCAAACGGCCAAGTCGATTGGATCATTACCCGCGAATACACTATGGTCTAATCGCATCAGGCAACCGAGTCATGAAAGACGCAAAACTCCGTGACAGGTGGAGCATGGAGAGGAACGTACTTTGCTTCGAGATGGAAGCTGCAGGTATCATGAATACTTTACCCTGTCTCGTCATCAGGGGGATATGCGATTACTCGGACAGCCATAAGAACAAGCGGTTCCAAGAATATGCGGCGGCAACGGCTGCCTCGTATGCCAAACTCTTGTTATCTTACATGAAAGACAGTAGTGACTTAGACGGGACTGCGTTCCGTTCAGCTAAAGAGGACCAGAGTCTGCTGGGTGTTTTTCGGAGGGCCTTGTCATTTATTGGATGAGGTTTGGGATGGCCGTCTGATCTAGCAAAGGTTTAACACAGTCGCTTTGGACGTGGGACTGACAGCTTCACAAAAAGTACTTGTTAATTCGGCTCATTGGCATTTCGCGATCATCTACCCAACCATGGAGGTATATCCATGTGAATATGCCCAGAAAGAAACATGGATCCGATCGCGCCTCCCCTGTACTGCCGAAAATGCAAATAAGCTCGATCTTTCGAATAGACCAGCACCACGTACAAGGCGTTACTTCTGTAAATCGGTTTGGCCTTGAGCAAACATGAAAGAAAAGAGACGAAAAACTCCCATAAACGCCGTGTTCGTCATACCAGTCGTGTCATACCCAGGTATCATGTGCGCGAAAAGGGAAAATAAGAAAGGACATAGAAAAGTGAACAGATACCGCACAAGATGATAGGCACAGTTGAGACAGAACAGTGAGTCTTGGCATGAGTGATTTTATGAGAATCTTCACTCCTCGTCCCAAGCTTCCAATTCGGCCTTTTCGTACTCGGCCATTATGGCGGGATCGAAGATCGTTTCGTTCTCAGACGGGATAGTGGTCTTGATATCTTCAAAAATCGGAAGGAAGGCCTCGTTCCAGCGCTTTCGTCGATCCATGACGATCTTTGCAGCATCGCCAACGGCGGGACGGGAAACACCGGCACCAGCAACGCCACCACCAGCACCGCCAGGACGGTGCTTAGCTTGTGAGCCCTTTTTGCTCTTTCCCATGGTACGAGTTCGCTTGAGATAAGCTTGCTGGACCTGGGAATCCAGATCATCCTGGATAGTGGTGAACTCGAGGAGAGCCATGTGCTCCTGGGCGATCTTTAGAATGCGTGCCTTTCGGGCATTATTTGTGATGATCTGCTTCTTGAGCTCGCCTTGCAAGAGACGCAGGCGCTCTGCCACTTCATCATCGTAGTGTGCGTCATAATCGGGGTTGTCGTCCGCCCCGAGGAATCCAATGTATCGCAGCTCTGCCTTGGCGCGCTCGTCAAGCTGGGCGTGGTCGAGTTTGGCAACAGAAGTCTTGAAACCAGTTGGTGAAGCGTCCCGGAAGGAAGTAGCCGCGGGAAGGGGCTTATTCTCCGAGGAGGATTTTGTCTCCAAATTGCCATTTGGTTGGTCCAGTTCCATCGCGTCACCATTGAGACCCTCGGCGGCAGGCAGATCGCCATTAGTGGAGCTATTACTGTCCTCAGGAAGGGTGCGGTGCTCATAGCGCAGAAGAGACACCAGGCGACTAAGCAGCGGTCCGATCGAAACCTCGTTGGTCTCGGTCTTGTCGTCGGTCAACTGGTCAATGTTGCCGCGACCTTGGTTTAAAGGCAGCTGGTCCTTGTCGTCCTGATTGGGATCGTACGAGACCCCATCCTCCTCTGCCCAGATTTGACGATAATTCTTCTTTCCACGGCGCGGGATAATGAATGGATTCGTGCGGTCGCCCTAGAATTGTGTCAGTTGCACAGCCTCGAGAAAAATCAAGTCCTTGGAGGCCTACCCTTTCCTTCAGCCACGCGATGTCCTCCTCGGTGAGAGGTCGCACATACGGCTCAATCCAGGTGAGGAAAGTGTTGGCGCCGACCTGGTTTGACGGCTTTGCGTTGCTGAAATCCTTGTCCGGAGGCACACCGGCCATCATATGAGCTAGGTCGCTCTTGGGAAAACTCGCAACGCTGTAAATCTCCTTCTTCTCATCATCCCCCATGTCCGGTGTGACGTCGCGGATGTGGTAGACAGTTGGATCATCGAACTTGAGCGGATTGTCGCCAAATACCTGGATTTGAGGTACAGCTGGCTGAGGTTCGGGCTGGTGAGAGTCCTCGCTGGACTCCGAGTCGGGGGAGCCAGGCGCAGCTGCGCCGTCGGCCCCGACAGCTGCTCCATTCGGAGACAGCATGGAGGGAGGCGAGAGCGAGGAACTACCGTCGGAAGCTGCGTTCTTTGCGTGCTTGGAAACTGGAGAAGCCGCTGTATTTGGTCAGTCAAGCTGTTAAAATGAAGAAAAGCGGGATGTGGAGCACTGGGGGAAAAACAAAGTGGAGTGGGAGCTCAGAAGTTGGGCTATGAGTCGCATCACGTACCTCCTTCAACCTTCGTTTCAGCACCATCCTGCCGGGCGACATCATGGGCTCCATGGTTCAACGGCCGTTCTTCCTTTGTGCTCGACCGCTCTTTCCGCTTCTTCAGCTTCGCTTTGTGTACCAGATCATCATCGTCTTCGGTCTCCCGCTTCAACTTGGCCCGTTCGCTAACTTCACGACTAATCTCCTGGTCCTCCATCACTTCTTTCCTCTTCTGGGACATCTCTCGCATACCAGCATTGCAAGTCTCGCCGCGGGCATCTGCCATGTCACTGAGGCTCTTCAGGTATTCCACCAGGCTCTCGAGGGTTTTCGAATCGGGAATATTTGGGCCGCCAACGAGATCGAGTACATCAGTGTATTGGTCATTGGCCAGATCAATGAGCTTCGTGACATCGTTCTCAAGGTAGCCTGGAAGGGGCGGCGCTGCAACAGCAGTGGTACCGCCCGCATTTGATGGGGTAGTGTTGCGACTACGCGGCGGGCGCGCATCACGACCTTTGCCCTTGCTCTTGTAAGCGGAAGGCATTCTGTCTGCTTAGAGTAAAATAGACAGCAGGGATAGATGGGTCAGGAAAAGTGTAGTGGTGGCCTGACAGAGCTGCCGATATGTAAGTCGCGAGATTCTTAGAGTGCATCCGTGGAGGTCGGATGACGCATGCTGCCAGGGACTGCAAAGTCAGAATCCACTCCAACGGGCATAAAACTCCTCCCGATTTGAGTTACTGGAAACTGTATGATCCAGACGCGTAGGTTGAGATGACAAATGACACAATCAGTGACAATCCTGGACGCGCTGTGCTTTGATCTGGGGGGGAAGCGTTACCACGTGATATCGCTCACATTCCGGGCTAACGATAAGTCCGATAAAGGCGGTAACGTGTTCAACCCCATTCTGCCGCTTTTTGCTTAATGCACAAGGCTTATACAAGAGTGCAAATCTGTAACTAACTTAGTTATAAGTACATTAATCATTGTTAGGTACTCTATAATATGTTAGGTGACGGATATCATAAGTGAAATCATCCACCCAGTACCTAACAGTAACGGCACTGGAACACTAGCCTATCCGTGAGGGTGAATTCCTTAAGAATTTTCATCAGATATATATACAGTAGGGTCGACCCTAGATTTCGTAACCCTATTTTCTCATGATCACGCGATGAAGAGCTCGATGGATTGCCTTGTTGAGTATCCTTGAAATCATCTTTTAGCTATTCTATGGCTTCAGTATTTTAGCCTAGCTCTAGGATAAATGCTACTAACGAAGAAGTAAATTTACTCGGAGAGGGCTATGCCGCGATACTGCTGCAAGCGGCATCTCCGCAAACAGCCCAGGGCAGAGGTTCTACCTAAATTCGGCCGACGTTCGCTCCGCCATAATTTTAGATTGAACTATTTCCCCCCACTAGACAGCGATTGCGGCTATGTTTCTCTTTTTCCATGTCTGGAATCAAGGTTCAAGGCCCGTAATGCCTCGTGGTCGGAGACGCCGTTTACATTCTTGCGACGGACACGATCTTGCCCTTGCATTCCTTGGCCCAAGCTGTTGCGGAATAGGTCATCGTGATCGTGTTTGGATGAGTTAGTAGATGGCTGGGCGCTTGGTCCTCGATGCGATTGATGAGTCGTCGCTTTAGTTCATTCTCTCAAAATCAAAACATTTTCTCGTGTGCTATCAATTCCTTTTCCTCTCCTACGGTCTTCAGCGCGAGCGATCCATCATGCGTATGCACCCCTCGCGGGCATCCCGATCTTGACTGCTATCTCTATCACCCATCTGCTCCCACGACTAATAAACTCCCCATCCTTCAACTGATGAGTTGCAAAGATGTCCAAAACATCTGCGTACCAATCAATGTCCACCGTGGCCACGCTTTTTGCTGGCCCGGGGAGCGCGGCAAATGTCTCCGGCTCAGTCAATGTATGTATAAGCCTCAAACACTGGAATGCTTCTGACCAGCAAGTGCTCACGCGAGATTCACCCTAGGAGAATGTCGGATTTCGCTTCGTTTTAGATCGAACAGTTCAAACTCTGTCTACTAACGGAGTTCCCGACTCTCGCCAGATTTCTGGGCTGCTATTTGTGCCCAGCCTTACTGCCGAGGACCCTTGCAGCGAGATCGCTGCGCAAATTGTTCCGAAAAATGTCACTCGCCACGAGGACGTCCTGACCTTCGGGTATCCGACCGTTGGGATTGCTCCGTGGATATCAGTAGATTGCACTAACTCTTTTCTGGCTGCCTCGCGAGAGGCGAAGGCTGATGCGCTGGTATTCTATCAGCCCTCTATTAAAGAGTCTGGAATCCCTCCACCGGCGAGTGATATTTGCTGGAATCTCAACGACGGTGACCAGTGGAAAAGAGACAACCCTTACCCTATCTACGCAATTCCTGGACCTGCAGCAGCAACTCTGATGCGTGAACTTGCTTGGTTCTCTAATGGAAAGACAAACCGGAGCCATGAAGACAGTCATCCGTCCTTTCAGAAGCGCGATAGTAGTGTTCGCTTGTTCACGATGATTGCCAATGGTAAGCCATCCCCAGTATTCAATCTCTATCCCTACACAGTCCCTAACATTTCGGACAAAAGAACGCCAGTCAGACTCGACCCCAAGCCTATGGAGCATTGTCATCATAATACTCGGATCAATATTCGGGTTAAGCTTGATAGCCTACATCATATGGCTGACCCTCAAGCGCCGAGGGCTTCTACAAGCCGCGACGCTTGCCGCCCATCCGCAAGATAATGTCGAGACAGTCCCAATGACCCGAGCCATCGCGGTCCAGGTACCCCGCGAGATCGTTGAGCAGCTGCCTCTTTATATCTATGCAGGCCCAAGATCATCATCTGTGGCATCACTCGTCAAGGACGAAGTTGAAACCAATGTGGCAGAGATTGATCCTGGCAGCCAATCGCCGGAGCCCCCGACCGAGGAGCTTCGCGAAGAGCTCCCCAACGATACCAACAGGGTAGTTGGCATCAGACGGCCGGCGCCGGCTGTCATCAGGCCAGGTAGCGGAGGGATTGTAGCTTCTGCAAATCCCTATCGGCTGAGCCATACTCAAACTATGTGTGCAGTCTGCTTTGATACATTCGTCATTGGATCCACTAGAGTCCGTGAGCTCCCATGTGGACACATCTTTGACCCTGAATGTATCGACCCTTGGCTCCTGACAAGGAACAGTGAGTGTCCTTTGTGCAAGATGAGCGTTCTCGCACCGGGCTCAATCAATACCCCTGCCACGTGATGTATTTGAAGATGAGTAACAAGTTTGACATTTGGAAAGGGGGAGTACATCCATTCAATACCCAGCATTAACCAGCATATGTATGTTTAGCGAGTTTTTTAGTGCCTGCATTTTTACAACATGAACAGTCCTAGGGCGGGAAGTGGAATGGATCAAACAATTGCATCGGCAGGGTGCCGAGTGTGATTTTCTCTTAATCTGGTCCTTGTTCCTTCCCAAACATTGAGTTACTCCATGACTCTTTCTGCTATTCCTTCAAAGCGTAGAATTTCTCCTGCTGCTAGAAATGTATGGGCCAGAGAACAATTTGGAGGGGACCTGCGACTGAGGGCTGGGATCGACACCTGAGGCCCAAAGAAAAAAAGGCAGAAAGAGGCGGAGGCTGTGTGGATGCTACACACGTGATAGAAAATTTATTATTGGCCCACACACCAGCTCGGCTAATCGCTAGCGTCCCACACACATTCTCTCCTACTGACCTTTCTCTCTCGAACTTTTTGCAGTTGCGACAACGACAACCGACGACCTCGTGAAGCCGACAAGGTACGCTCCCACACCCTTCTCAGTCTTCAAAATCAACATATCGAGAAACCGCCAGTATCCTAACTTTGAATCGTTCCAGATGGGTGCCCTCAAGTACGTCGAAGAGATCCAGAAGAAGAAGCAGTCCGATGTCATTCGGTTCCTGCTCCGCGTTCGCTGCTGGGAGGTAAGATAGGACTCCCCCGACCCCTTGATTGCCTAACATCTCCGCCGAGCGCTCGTGTGCGTAGCCATAGGAAATGCCTGGATCCCTGGTATTACTCGACGGCTCAGAACCGAACCTCCTTCGGCGGAAATGGTGTTTTTTTTTTCTTGTGGCACAGCAAATGAAGACCCTTTGGGGACTCATGTGTCTTGCTATACACTCGTTGAACATTGCTGAGAGTGCATCAATATAGCTCCGCCAGCTGAACGTCATCCACCGTGCTTCGCGCCCCTCTCGTCCCGACAAGGCTCGTCGTCTCGGTTACAAGGCCAAGCAGGGCTACGTCGTCTACCGCGTCCGTGTCCGCCGCGGTGGCCGTAAGCGCCCTGCCCCCAAGGGTGCCACCTACGGCAAGCCCACCAACCAGGGTATCAACCAGCTCAAGTACCAGCGTGCTCTCCGTGCTACTGCTGAGGAGCGTGTTGGCCGCCGCTGCGCCAACCTGCGTGTCCTGAACTCCTACTGGATCAACCAGGACTCCACCTACAAGTACTTCGAGGTCATCTGTGTTGACCCCCAGCACAAGGCCATCCGCCGTGATGCCCGCATCAACTGGATCTGCAACCCCGTCCACAAGGTGAGTTTTTCTCAACGAATTGAGGGGGAAATATCTCTTCCCGATCCTACGAGATTGGCCGTAATTGACTGACTTTTCTTCTCTATAGCACCGCGAGGCCCGTGGTCTCACCGCCACCGGCAAGAAGTCCCGTGGTATCAACAAGGGCCACCGCTACAACAACACCAAGGCTGGTCGCCGCCACACCTGGAAGCTCCAAAACACCCAGAGCTACTGGCGTTACCGTTAAGTGCATTAATGCACGGACATGGTGTTTTATGGTGGAAAATATTGGCTGCATGTGGTTATCTCTTCGATCAATTCTCTCCCGGACCGTTTCATTTACGCTGGGTTCGAGTTTAATGCAGACCAGCAGGATCTGTTTTTAGCCCAAAAAGCCATCTTTGTTTTATGTTGAATTCCCCCTTGATTAACGAAGTATGACTGGTTCAACTCCATACCGGTGCTCCGGAACTGTAAAATGTGTAAATTCCCTCTTTAAGACTTGGTCTGCATTGAAATCGCGGTTCGAGGACTCCGTAGAGAACCCTCCTCATCGGCCTGGGCGGGTGCTCGTGTGCCACAGCGGGGGTCACTCTGTAACACTAGCACCTCGAACAAGACAAATCACGTTTCCAGTGGATCGTCAGGCCAGATGCTAGCCCGATAGACCAACGAACTAACCGTCAGCATCCACAGCAGACGAATCATCGACATGATTTAAAGACACTTTTGGCGTGCCAAAAATAGTCGCGGCAGGTCTTTTGCCTGAGGCAGCAGCACCGCCCCTGCCCTGTTAATTAGCCGCTTTCCCAATCCGTTCAAGGCCGAGTATGAGCTATTGCTACGACATCTCCTCAGCTCGTTCGCGAGGCAAATGGTATTGAAACCATTGTTTTACTTCGAGTTGAGACTATTTGCTTCCTTTGTTGTAGCTTGAGCTCTCGGTGGAAAGACAAAGAACCTTTGCATTGGACGCTCTCGGGTCCCTGTTATAGGTCACTTCCCCGCGGTCGATTCGCATGCGTCGAGTACGAACACCGAGCTGCACCTACAGGCTCACTACCCGGAAGATCTTACACGGTGATTTTACCAACCTCTGTCGACTAGATGCGCCCTCATGCCCTCCCGGCCTGGACGTGACCCGCCGCTGCCTCCGCTGCCTCCAATCTTGAGCCCTGGCGTCACCGCTCCTCCCTCGAACCTTCCTCGGGCGACTCCCTCAGCTCCTGCCCCAGAAATCAGTAGGAGGCGGCTACCGGAGCATCAGAATGCGCTGACAATGGTCCCGATGAACGGCCCTGCGCCCACCAGTCCCCGCCGTGGGCACCACCGCTCAATCAGTCATCCATTTCCGTTCCCTGGACTTGGGAAGAGGCGTGATAAGGCGAAAGCCAATATGTGGGAATCAGATTCGGACTCGGATGAGGTTACCTTCCCCACCGACACTGTTAATAAAAGCCCGCGCAAGGACTCGAAGGCTGGAGGAGATCTGGCAGAAACAAAGTGTCAAACCTGCAATTCGACCGTGCGGTGGCCACGGGACTTGAAGACGTTTCGATGTTCTGCCTGCTTGATGGTGACCGATCTGGATCCCGAACCACCGACCGATTCCAAGACGTCCGCCAACCCTGACACCGAAGACCGGTCTCGCGGTGGGCGCGTTAAAAAGCACCCCGTTGACGATCGTCCCTTACCACCGCTGCCACCATCCGCACGACCACCAGAGCAAAAGCAGGGTATGCCACAGTTGAACTGTCCAAACTTGTCGACCAACATTGGCTTACAGAATGCTGCTCCAGGGATGCTATTTTCAGCCAAGTCTATGAGCGACATGATCGACAAATGTCTTTCAAACTACTTTGACAATCTTTTAGATGGATCAAGCCCCAGTTCGGGACCAGCCTATGATCGCAATGGCCGAGCACGTCCTCTCAAACCGGAGGAAGCGTCTTCATCGATAAGCCGTGGCCCTGGTGGTCACCTGTCAGCCCCTCGAGACCCCCGCAGCCGTAGCACTTCTGGGTCTGGCGAACGACTTGGTGTACCGACAAATCCGTCGACGTTCTTGACACCCCACGTGGCCCAGTGGGAGGGCAAGGATACACCAGTACGGACTCGAGCCAATTCAGATCTACAGTCAAATCAGAATATCGATCGGCGTCCTCGAGATCGCCCAGCACCCCACTCAGATCTGGAGAACAAACATCGCGAAACTCACCATGCAGTATTTGAGCGACTGGAGAATTACCTCATCTCTTCTTTGAAAGGCATCGACGTTCTTAATACGTCTTTCTCGACGCATCAACCCTCTATTCGATCCGCTAGTAGCGGTAATCCCCCGACGATGAAAATAGATTCCAATGCTATCATGGAACCGAACTTGAACGCGGCCGTGTTCGAACCCGATGCCAAAACACTTCTCCTGGGTGATTTGGCCGAAAACTCATCTTGGTGGATGACAGAATGGGCTCAGGCTGAGGGACACATACCTTCATCGGCCAGAGAGAAAGGACATTCGGATTCCCGTTTGGTGTCGTCAAGGTCTCCTCGGATCAACTGGGCTGAGGTGGGACGGTGGTATCAGTTGCTGCTGACCGCCGGGAGCTCCTGGGCCGAACGTTGGGTTGCAAAAAGACCCGAGCATATACTTTCAGAGACCGATGCGGCTCGTTACAAGAAATGGGAAGCAGTGGATCTTATTCAGCTGGAGAGGGAAATCATTGATTCTCGTATTCATCTCCAGCGGACCTTTATGAAGGCAGTCGAGAATCTTTTGAAGCGTCCGCGCCGTGTCCTCAAGAAAGCAGACGATACCAGGTGGTTGTTCGTCTTGCTTGCCAACCCTTTGTTGTCATCGCCTGGTGCTTATTCGGCCTCTCGATCTGCACAAGCACCACATCGCGATGGTCGACGCCCATCCCACCCGAGTGACAGTCCACGAACGACTACGCGGGAGGGCAAGTCCTCGCACAAAGATCCCCATCGCCACGGGGGCGCTAATCACCATCACGGTCTCGTGAAGCGGATCCTGGGATTGATGTCTAATGCCTCCAATGAGTGTCATCACTATTTTATCTCCTGGTTCTCCCGATTCTCTCCCACTCAGCTTGAACGAATTGTAGAATTGATCGGTGGTTTTGTGACGTATCGATTGATTCGTCAACATGGTCGCAAGCGCAACGACATTGCAAAAGATGGAGATGACCTGATCCCAAGTTTTGCTAGCGCCGCGGGCAACACCCCTGCGGAGCTACATGCAGCTATTAACAATCGTCGCAGCCCCAACAAAAAGCCAGAGAAGAAGAAGGAAGCTCCGATTGTATATGTGGAGGATTGGCAGATCAAAGCTGGGTCAAGAATATTGTCCTTGTTATTCACTGCGAATACGGACGGGTCCAGGAAGTCTGATCTACAATTGCGAGATCCACGAACTCAGCGTCATCCTAACTCCGCAGCGCAGTCAGGACGCCGTGACAATTACATGGTCCCCATCAGTGCCTTCTATAATACCTTACTGGACTACTCGGATCTCATTGCCGACTTTGAAGTTTGGGAGTCAAAAAGTTCCAAGTTCTCGTTTTGCCAGTATCCTTTCTTCCTGAGTATCTGGGCCAAGATCCACATCATGGAGCACGACGCCCGGCGTCAGATGGAGGTGAAAGCGCGCGAGGCCTTTTTCAGCAGCATTCTCAACCACCGTGCGGTCAGCCAATATCTCGTCCTGAAGGTGCGACGCGAATGTCTTGTCGAAGATAGCATGCGCGCTGTGAGCGAGTCTGTTGGGGCTAGTTCCGAAGAGATCAAGAAGGGACTCCGTATTGAATTCGTTGGAGAGGAAGGTATTGATGCCGGTGGTCTTCGCAAGGAGTGGTTCCTCCTGCTGGTTCGGGAGGTCTTTGATCCCCACCATGGTAAGTGCAGATCGGACTCCCCGTAGGATTGGGTCTTGCGATCGTCTGCTGACTCGGGACAGGTCTATTCATCTACGATGATGACTCCCAGTATTGCTATTTCAATCCTTACTGCTTCGAGTCCTCTGAGCAGTTTTACTTGGTTGGCGTTTTGTTTGGCCTTGCTATCTACAACTCCACCATCTTGGACGTCGACTTGCCGCCATTCGCATTCAGGAAATTGCTTGCCGCCGCGCCACAGAACACTGGATTACATCCTTCTAACCCTCACCGCTCGAAGTTCAAGTGTACATTGGACGACCTTGCCGAGTTCCGACCCGCTCTTGCCAAGGGACTGAGGGGCCTTCTCGAGTTCGAGGGTGATGTTGCTGAGACATTTTGCTATGACTTTGTTGCTCAAATTGACCGATATGGAGAAGTCGTGAGCGTACCCTTGTGTACAGGGGGCGAGAAGCGACCTGTGACTAATTCTAATCGGCGTGAATTCGTCGATTTGTACGTTCGCTACCTTCTTGACACCGCCGTGGCCCGGCAATTTGAGCCGTTCAAACGCGGGTTCTTTACCGTGTGCGGGGGTAATGCTCTCTCGCTATTCCGATCTGAGGAGATTGAGTTGCTGGTTCGCGGTTCCGACGAAGCCCTCGATGTGACCTCGTTGCGAGCCGTTGCTACCTACGACAATTGGTCAACTCCGCGACCCGAGGCCATTGCGGTGGTGCAATGGTTCTGGGACTTTTTCGAGACCGCCCCTCCCCAGGCCCAACGGAAGATTCTTTCCTTCGTGACGGGTAGTGATCGGATTCCCGCTATGGGTGCCACCAGCTTGTCTATTCGGCTCGCATGCCTCGGAGACGACTGCTCCCGGTATCCGATCGCACGGACCTGCTTCAATACACTCGGCCTGTACCGCTATGGTTCTCGGGAGAAGCTTGAGAAGTTGCTTTGGGATGCAGTGGTGAATAGTGAGGGCTTCGGATTAAAATGATCCATTTGCCTCTCCTTTTGACTTTGTCTGATCGCTTCTTACTGGCTTATGGCCGTATTTCTCATGATAGCTATCAATGTTTGTGTAGACGCTGGACGTTGGATTCTGTTTGAACAGGAATTCGTTTCGCGAGTAAGGAGTTGACGATGCCGTTGCTCAATGCGGTGCATTGTGGACAGCAACTACTTTTTTTTGTTTTTTGCTGCATTTTCAGATGCACATTGAGGGCGTTTTTTGGGTTCAATTAATTATTCAATGGCACACGATTTCTCCAGGTTGGGACTCACCTTCCCCACATTCCATCATCTGGAAATCGTTAGAATCTAGTACGTAAATTGAACAGTCATAACTGGAAAAGTCCACCGGGAGTCTAGACACTATTGCACGCCCCGATTCTATTCGGACCGGCTGATGCCGATACACGGCGGTCTGACACTGCTTGCCCTCAACCCGAAGTTCTGCCTTCCTCAGCGGCAGTGCAAAAGGTTGAATATAGACAATCGGTTTCGCGAGATATGCTTCGGCATCTCCTCATTTGAAATGGTCTTCACAATGTACGCTAACCCGTCTTTCCCAATAGATCCCTCACGCATTATCTCTTATGAGGCATGACCGATGAGGTTTTGGAGTCCTTTCGGAGGGCGTCAACTCCTGGAAGCCCACTGCACGCCTCTTCTCGGAGATGGGGACGAATCCAGTGCTAGGGGCCCCGTCTTCGGCGTGCATTTCCTGCTGACCGGTGGCCGAGTCATCCAGGACTGACTTCGTCTTCTCCCATATTAAGTCCGGCATTAAGCCGAGAAATCCATGCCGACGTCCCCCGCGTGTATGCCCGGGGAGAAAGTATACGCGGGGGATTTGATTTGTGTGCACGTTGTGGTTGAGATGGCTGATGCCAAGCTCCACCAAGGTTGGGATTCGTCGGCTGCTTGGCCTCTTAAACCATGGAAACAAGTTTGGACTCCACACTTGGCACGCGAGCCGTCGACCAGACCAGGGACGAGATATCAAGGACGGAGAACTTGCACTGCTCCTCGAATATGATGAGGGGGTTTTTTTCGATTGATGTTAGGCTGTACATGCGTGTTCTGACCCCTTGCCCGGTGCAGCCCGGTACCGTAATCTCGTTCAATGTCGATGTCAATGTCAATATCCCGGCTGCACCCCAGATCCGTGCAACTCCAAGTGCCCCGAGTCCTGCACCAAAGCCCCACATTCTCCCCACACTGCAACGAAGTTTTTCCTCCGCATCATGTGCTCAGTGCTTGAAATGTGAAGTCAAGGGCTTCGACCTCGGCAATCGTCCGTTGAATCAGCCGGCTGCCCGCAAATGAGTGGATCCTGCAGTCCTTCTAAAAGAGTTTCGGCGAAGAAGATGCCCCGATAAAACTCCGTTACGCTAGAATATTCGTGAGCTACTTGTGTGAAGGATCGATCTTACGACGAAGGATCGATATAGAACGATGGGGAAGATGCAGAACCCTGTCTCTAACCCCAAGAATGACAATCGTCAAGTACTGCTATATCAGTAGACACCTTCCTCGATAGAACGTGTCCGATGTGTATCCCTTGAACAACCCACGATTTCTTCCACAGACCTTGGGGCTTGCACCGCGGCAGGGACGGGCTATCCCGAAGTCCGAAGTTTAGCCAGCCCACCAGAGGTAAAACAAAACGCCACAAGTCCCAACTTCACTCCTATAGGCCCCTCCACAACCAACTTTTCCCAGTACGCAGACCAAGAGCACGGACGCGGGGTTGGCTTCTCTTCACCCCCATGCTACCAAGTGTGGAGAAGTGACTATATTCGAGGATAACACTGCTCGTTATGACTCGTATGTACGACTCTAGAGACGGGAGCCATACTCTGGTTTCTCGGCAAAAGAGGAAAAAAGGATGGAAGATCCCTCTATCCGGACCGGTGCTGGGGATCTCGGCAAATGTCATCACCGATGCCAGGCAAGCCCGTACCTGGACTCGTTTCAAGTATCTGGGAAGTAAGGGGAAAAAAATGGTATTTAGGGAAGCTGGAGCCACCTCTCGGATGTCCCTTTTGATCACGGACTCAGTTCCAACCGATCACGGCTCGATTGAGTGAACCTGAGCGCGATGGTCTCTACAAAGCAACTAGCATTGGCTGCGGCCATGCTGTCCGTTTGTGGACTGACCCATGCTGAGAGTGACATTACCTCCGATGCTTATTTCTATGGCCAGTCTGAGGCTGTTTACCCTTCGCGTAGGTTGAGTTATTCTACCCCTCAGAATGAGGGTGATTCTGATAGCTAACACGTTCTAGCCAATGGTACCGGGTCCGGTGACTGGGCCAAGGCCTATGAGAAGGCCGCAGCGATGGTATCCAAGATGACTCTGGAAGAAAAGGTTCGTTTCACTTGCAGAAACTTGAAAACGGCAATAATGATCCTGATCCACTATAGAACAATCTCACGTACGGAAGCAGCAACACCGCGAATGGATGCTCTGGAATCATTCCGGCCATTCCTCGTCTGGGATTCACGGGTCTCTGCTTGAGCGATGCAGGCAATGGTGTCCGTGATACGGATTTTGTCAACAGTTACCCCAGTGGTATCCATGTCGGTGCTAGGTAAGTCTCATTGGTCTCTGGGAATGATGAAAGCTTGACCCTGACTGAAAGATTACTATAGTTGGAACAAGACCCTGGCCTACGAGCGCGGCTGGCATATGGGAGGAGAATTCAGAAAGAAGGGTGTTTCAGTGGCTCTTGGACCCGTGGTCGGTCCTTTGGGTCGGACTGCCACAGGTGGAAGAAACTGGGAAGGTTAGTTTCTGGAAAAGACGTAATTGCCGGGCTCATTGCTAACCCTTGGAAGGTCCTTCTAACGATCCCTACCTCGGTGGCGCAATTGCTGCTGCAACTGTTCAAGGAACACAGGAGCAAGGTGTCATTACAAGTGTGAAGGTTGGTCGTTATCTTCACGAGCAGTCATTGGGGCTAAGCATTGATGAATTCTCACTATAGCACTTCATCGCCAACGAGCAAGAGCTCTACCGTAACCCTACCACCAACTCCGAGAACCAGACGGTCGAGTCCGTCTCCAGCAACCTTGATGATAAGACCATGCACGAGTTGTATCTTTGGCCTTTCCAGGATGCCCTCAGGGCAGGCGCAGGAAATATCATGTCTGTTCGCGCCAACAAGAATGTAAATGATATCGTGGCTAACACTTGCCCAGGTGTTCCTATAACCGAGTGAACAACTCGTATGCTTGCCAGAACAGCAAGACTCTCAATGGATTGCTCAAGACCGAGCTTGGATTCCAGGGCTTTGTTGTCTCTGACTGGGATGCCCAGCATGCCGGTGTCAGCGCAGCCCTCGCTGGCCTTGACATGGCCATGCCTGATGGCCAGACCTTCTGGGGCAATAACTTCACCGAGGCTTTCACAAACGGCAGTGTTCCCGTGTCTCGTCTGGATGATATGGCTACTCGTATCATTGCCACTTGGTACCAAATGGGACAAGACGATTCGACCTTCCCCTCTCTTGGTGTTGGTATGCCGTACAATATTAGCGAGCCTCATTCGATTGTGAATGCACTCACCTCCGATGCAAAGCCCGTTCTATACGAAGGTGCAGTCGAGGGTCATGTTCTAGTTAAGAACGTCAACAACGCTCTTCCTCTGCAATCTCCCCAGTTGGTATCTGTGTTTGGATACGATGCCAAAGCTCCCGACAGCATGATGCCCAACGGAAAAAGCTTGCTTTATAACCCTTGGGTTATTGGCCTCGAACCTGCGCTCTACGAGGTCGGTGAAGTCTTTGTGAACACCAGCCCTGATTTGCCTGACTACTACCAAGTTGCATTGAACGGTACTCTCTCCGTGGGTGGTGGCTCGGGTGCTAACAATGGTCCGTATCTGAGCGCACCCCTCGATGCTCTGCAGCAGCGCGCGTATGAGGACAACACCGTTCTCATGTGGGATACCTCCGTGGCTCCATCTTCAATTGGCCTGATGGAGGCCTCCGATGCCTGCTTGGTCTTCATTAATGCATTCGCTGTCGAGAGCATGGACCGTCCTGGCCTCCACGATGATTATTCCGATAACCTGGTGAAGAAGGTCGCATCGACCTGCGCTAACACCATCGTCGTCATCCACAACGCCGGAACTCGCCTGGTGGACCAGTTCGCCGACCATGAGAACGTCACTGCAATTGTCTTCGCCCATCTGCCCGGCCAGGATTCCGGTCGTGCAATTGTGAACCTGCTCTACGGCGACGAGAATTTCAGCGGAAAGCTCCCTTACACTGTGGCCAAGAACGAATCCGACTACGGAACTTTGTACAACTCCAAAGCCGCGGCCGCTCCTTATGAACTCTTCCCCCAGGTAGACTTCGACGAGGGTATCCTCATTGACTATCGCTATTTCGACAAGCACGGTATTACCCCTCGCTACGAGTTCGGTTTCGGTCTCTCGTACACTACCTTCGCTTTCTCCGACCTCAAGGTTTCCGCGCCTAAGAAGAACATCGCTGCTTACCCCAGCGGAGCAATTGAACAAGGTGGTGCCGTTGACCTGTGGGAGACCGTCGCAACTATCACCGCCACTGTCCGCAATACCGGAAAGAAGTCGGGCGCCGAAGTCGCACAGATCTACGTCGGTATTCCTGGAGGCCCCGTGAAGCAGCTGCGGGGATTTGAGAAGGTCCTCATTTCTGCTGGCAAGTCTGCCAAGGTCACTTTCCCCTTGACTCGTCGTGACCTGAGCAGTTGGGATGTTGTTGCACAGAAGTGGGTGCTCCAGAGTGGAAGCTATGAGATCTATGTTGGTTCTTCTAGCAGGAATCTTCCTCTGACTGCCACTATGGAGGTTACTGCTAGCTCTAGCGCTTAAGGGACTATAATGAGTTTTGTGTTAGATAGTTGGCCACGCGGCTGCGCTCGCGTGCCCTGTGTGATGAAGAATTTGGCTAGAAGAACTTATGAGAATATCAATGTTTAATTCTTGGCTTTTTATTGGTTGGATATGAACCAAAAACACTTGCTTGAAAACTATACTAAGTCCCATTTCCCCGGAAATCCTTTATTAATACTAACCACTTCCGGAGTCAATTATCATTGGCGTGACATGTATGGACTTTAATCAGACCTCTTTACTCGAGGAAACTGCCACAAACTTTGTATCACTTTGCTTACCCAGGGAATCAGAGTCCATCGGACTTCTAGTAGCGCCAAATGCGATACCACGTTCGTTGCATTTAAAACATATCGACAACGATAGTCCGAACTCCCAGGATGAGAGAATCATGCACTGAGATGCTTCCCGGCCTGATACAACAGCGCGAGACAGCTCAAATTGCCCCACCACCAGACCAAACCACGAGTCCAACTCCACTTGGGCGTATCAACAAAGATATACACAGCACTGTAGATGATACGGGCAATAGTATACGACAGACCAGCCGCATTGATAGTCTGGGAAGCAACCCCGGCATATGACGCAAACAGAAGACTTCCCACGAGCAGCGAATAATTCTCGACCGAATTGGCATGAGCTGATTCATTGCGCTTGAGCATGTTGAGTTGCTTGCGCGTGAGTTTCCCGTCTCGGACTGCCGCCTCGCCGTATTTGGCGAGATCCTCGCGTGGAGATACTTGGTGGTCGATGCCGTACCATTGCTTGAGGGTTCGTGAGGAGAGCACACCGTAGGCCCAGAGGAAGTGGAATGCGAGGAAGGCGGGGCCGAAGTTTGGGACTGGCTCGAGGGGATTTGCGGTGCGGAGACCGATGGTTGTTAAAAGAAAGCTCATAATGGTGATAAAACCATGAATTGAGGTATGATGAATAAAGCTGGGAAGGATTGAGGGTTTCCAGGAGGAAACGGCTTTCATAAGCGCTACCAAGGAGGCATTGGGGGCCAAAAGTCGTCTTACAGGTGGGGTGATGTTGCCGGCTTACTCGGCTCGGAGCGAATACAATGAATGAGTTACAGAGACGTTGGTTTAAGAACATAAAGGGTCCTGTTCCGGCATTAGGGAGCGAAAAGCGAAGATAAAGCATAATTGAAAATACCTACGAGTCTCGAGACTAGAGAGTATCGGTGGGTTCTTGTGGTAGTGCTTTCCTATAGAAAAGCCATCTCATTGGATATTCCTGACACAATAACGAAGATCAAATAATAGAGTCCATTATTCCTGAGAGTGTGATATTGGAGACCATGAGGATCATCCCGTGGGATTTCCCTCCGGTGGCTGGACATTTAGTAAATCAAGGATACGATGGATCCCCTTGTTGGGACCCAATGAAGTCTCCAACTCTTCAATATGAGTACGTGCCTGTTGAGCCAATCTGCCTAAAATCTCCCGGCAGTACTGAAAACTTCCAGTTGACTCCATGTACTGGACAGCACATAATTCTCTCTGTATGAATGGAAGGACTCGTTCCAGCCCTGACTTTTGAAAAGCTGTCCATACCTTCTGCAATCTCGAGGTCAGGCTTGCCGTAATATGCCACGGGCAGATATATCTTTGGCGTTGGAAAGGGGGCGCCTGCCCATATCTCGAAGTTGAAGATGAAATTGGCACAACGGTGAGAATTCAAAGGGGAAATGTCGGTGTCATTGGATATGTCCTCGGGGATATTCATCACCGATGACCAGAGTAGCCGTAGCGCTGGAATAGCACGTTCCATCTCTGGCCCAATCAACCGTCCCCCAAGAGTAAAAATGTCCACCAGGCGATTGAAGGCCGAGCGAGGGGTGGCGAGGTAGATCTTTATGCGAGAGCTCTTGTACTTGTCGCTCAGGTTGGTGTCAAAAGAAAGGAAGGCCGCACTTACCCCGGTCTTTTCAGCAGCACCTGAGTCGAGAAAGGTCTCCAACATCCCGAGGGAATGCATGTAGTCAGCCGTTTCATCGCCAAGTTCCTTGATTGCCGTCACAATGAGTTCCCCAATTTGCTTATTTATTTGTTTGTAAATGCTTCCATAATGGAGACATGGCCACTTTTGTTTGAGTGGCATAATATGGAAAGTCATAACTCAAGATGCACTGTACTGCCTGCATGGCGAGAATGCGGTCGGAAACCCGGGCAGTAAGCAGATAGGCTTCATCGCTGGGGAGGAAAAAAGCCTTCGTAAAATGATCAAACCAATGAAGGTCATTTCCGGGCGCGAGATGTTGCTGGGCGTTTAGCGTATCGATGGACGCTTTCTGGTTGATAGGATCGAGTGCAGAACCGGAGAGCGCACAGATGGGGACGTTCGATGTCCGTACCGTAGCCTTGCTATCATAAAAGTTGATGCTGAGCTGGATCGGGGTATGATCGAAACTCAGAAATGTCTTCCAGAACTGCTCTCCAGTTTGATAGGGCCTAGGACCGCAACTAGGAATAACATAGCGATGCAGAAAGGCCAGAACGCGATACTGCTCGAAGATTGGGTATTTGGCCCATTCCATTAAGCGACTCAACGGTTGTGCGAAGGTAGTCCACCAGAATTCCTCATCTGAGCTGCTGAATCCAAGTCCCATGGCAAGAGATTGCCAGGGTTGAACTTGTTCCTCGTCGGAGTCCATTGTTTTGAATCAGAAGGAATCTTGATTAACGCGGAAGCTTGATGACGGATTCGTCTAAAATGCGGTCAGAGAATGTGTATAGACACACACCATCGCGCCGGAGGGTTTATATCAATAATAATGATAAGTGTAACATTTTAAAGTTACTACTTGATAACGATCACGAGAACCAGAGATCACAAAGTCTGACATGGCTAGCTGTGTCGTGCATATAGTATCACCCCCCATATACCTTAGAGGTCCAAGGGAGCCCAATCGGTTCGACTGGATGCCTAGAAACTCGAATGCGAGTCGTCATGTGCGAAGTAGTTTGTTATACTTCAAGGATAATCAAGAAACACTAGGATGGGAAGCCAGTTGTTTATACAGCTGATTCTATTGTGCATATTGTATCAGCCCGTATGGGCGGGGTTTGAAGTTGGTTGGAACCAAATCAGTTCAGATGTATGATGATTACTGATATGCCGAGTCCCTAAGATAGTTAACTAACTAGTTGTTAGTCAAGTTAGGGAGTTAACTAGTTAACTAGTTAACATGGCCTGCTTATTACATAAGTGCTCACTGAGCAGCCTGATTCGCCCACTACGCACGACCCGAGAAAAGTGCGGGAGCAGCCCTCGGTAGCTCGCCTTAATAAACTATACTACGCTAGCTGTAACTAAAGGTAGCCGTTCACCCACTCTTGGCCGCTGCCTTCTTAAAGAAAAGGCTAGCGTTATCAATGTGGCGGCTGATCCTGTTGTCTTACGTCGTAGCTAGGAGGTAAAAGCACGGGGCCAGCTTTATCAGTATTGCTATTCTATGGTATTCCACTCGTCGTGTCTTTATAGTTATGGTAAATAACAAACCCTTAAATTTTAGCTTTATAATAGCTGCGATCATCTTAGAAGATCTAATAAAATAGCATATAAATCTAACTAAATATCTTATTCTAACGTTTTTGCTTACTTTTTTTTTATTAGACTATGGCTCTTACTATATGCCACTAACTTAGTCCATTCTTAATTTCTCAACAATATGCTACAATACATGTCCGTCAAAAGAAGAACGCATGACGCACTCGAAAGAATCTCATTCATACATAGGCACCGATTTCCTCGCATTGACCTTGACTTCCTTATCGAATATTGACATGTCAATATGTGATGACTGGCGGGTACAGTGCGAAGGACTGCGTCAGATACGGAAAGGACGTAGGGCAAGGACGAACCGGGACAGGATATGGGCAGGCCGGTATAATCATGCCAGGTCACCCCTAGCCCTCCAAGAATTCAACGTGATTCGTGAAACATTACTGTATTATTACGCCCACTCCAATGTTGATGCAAGCCCCTTACAGTTTACTGTTCTGCCAGAGGTTTAGGGCTGTGGAACGGAATTGTTTATTTTCCGGGAATGAAATCGCAAAGTGTGAAGGTATAACTTATTTCGAACACTACTGTACCCAAAAACTGTACTAAAAAGACCCATTTGAACTAAACGAAGGCTTTAGAAGAGTTGAAATACTTGGGGGTTGTCGACATTGCCGCAATATAACCTGACGTCCTACAGAACTAACCCGGGACGCTATTGGACCAAAGGCCAATGCAGCTGAAAGGCATAGTATACGACTCTGTAGGGTTTATAGAAATCTAAAGCCACTAGTGGTTAATGAAGGCCCCTCACCCACCGCACCAGGCGATGTGGGTGCGCTACCACCGGCCGGCTAATTTTCAGTAATAAGCCAATTTGATGCTATTCACATAATTCATCAATAAATTGGGTATTGATCATGAAAAGAAAAGGCTCACCTACTTATCGAGCTGCTCTTCCAGATTGAAATTTTTGTTTTCCGGAAAATCTCGGCATGATCAGTGGTGGAGCGATCGATCGATGCCTACTGTACATGATCCATATTACTAGTAATAACTATCGGTTCCACTTTCTCAGCCATACATGCAGATCTTCATCCATTTCGGACCGACGATCATACCGAACATAGATCTACAGATTTCTTGACGTCGCTTCACCTGATCAGTGTCTTGTGACGTAAAAGATTCCCTGTTAAATAGGGAGATATGTCGGCATGAGTGGCAATTGAGACGTTTTGTTATGTATTTAGAGCCCCTTGTTTGTAATTATTGGTTATTATCATCTGATTAGTTAGTACTCGCGCCCAGACAAAATTGCGCGGTAAGGAGCATTCCAAATATTAGACTATGTTGCGCTTTGATTCGCGAGTACATTTCGGCCCACAGCGAGTTCTGACTAAACATAGTCAAAAAGAGAAATCTCGAAAGGCTTATAAATATCAGGGTCTATCCCATCTTAGAACCTGTTAATTGCAATAAAATCTCGACGCTCAAGATGAGAGCTACCCACGCACTCTTTGCCGCAGCTCTACCTAGCCTGTCGCAAGCCCTCCTGCTGACTGATAAATCATATACTCCTTGCCGTAGGTGGATCAAATTACTCTAGAAGAACAGGATTTCTCATTAACATCTATATCGCTATAGATACCGCAAGTCAGGTGGAATCTGTCAACATCACACCTTGTGACGAAGAACCTTGCACCTTCACCAAGGGGACAACCGTACATTTTATCATGGCTGGAACTAGCCAACAAGAGGTTGACGCCGTTAACCTCAAGATGGATGCTCAGTTGGGACAGTGGGTACCAATCGTGAATGAAGGCGTTTGTGGGACTAGTCTAGAATGTCCTATACGGAAGTCCCGTGAATGGACCTTGGATTATTCATATGAAGTCGACAACAGACTCCCTGACGGAGACAATTTATTGACGAGATGGAAGCTTGTCGGAAATGACGGCGCCGACGAAATTGCGTGCGTAGATATTCAATTGAATATTGCTTGAATCAAGGGCTTGTGGTGATCATGTTTCAATGATCCCGTTGATTACGGTCTTGATCAGACATATTTTTGCTGGTCACTTTGGTCTATCTGTATGTCACATAGGTTTCCCCAATTTTGGTGCTGAACGACGCTTGGCGACTGGCAATGTCCTAGACAACCATTGACGTAATTAGGTGTTTCACCAAGACGCGACCACGTTTTCCAACCACCACTATTTAACCTTCATCACGCCACCTAATTCGCTCTCAGATCCTGGTGCTGGAGTTTGCAGTATTATATTTGACTCATTCTCACATAGTTGCGATACTCCTCAGTGGTGGTATCTTTTGTCAGTAACTCTACAAGATGAAGGCACGGCTCTAAAATATGTACTGATCATCGACTTACATTGACCACGTTTAACAGATCAAACAAAGACTGTCAAGATTTCAATGGTCTCGTAAGTTATGAATGTCCGTACGCAGGCAGGGAAAATTACATGAAAAATGTGCCACATTTCAAATTAGCTTGCCTGGTACCGAGATACCCATTTGGGTAAGGAAATCCATTGTCAGTTTTTCTTGGTGAGGCTCCACAGGGGTAGAGGGAGGGGGCGGGGGTTTAACTTCAATAACAGATGAAGAATCAACCCAAATTGCGTAACCAAGTCTAATATTTCATGGAATATTCATCATACAATCATCGACATGAATAGGTAAACGAAGTTCTGCTGACACTTCTCCAAAGCGTAACTTTATAATTGAAGACGAGCCGGGGCCTTCTAATGCGGGATCAAGATACCCCGATTTTTTCATCACCAGGGAAACTCTCTTTATCCACGCATCAATCTTCGACTGAGTCACTCTTACTACCATTGAAAATCATATTGCCTTCCTGTACACATAGCACGCAATCTGCGACCGAATGGACAGCATAGCCCTTTATAGCGACATCGGGCCTCCATCCGACATGTTCCCCACCTACGGGTGATGCGCCCGGGGGACTTTTCCCTGGTCCGGATATCAGATGCAGGATTATCACCGTACAGCGGGAACGCGCCCGTGGTGAAGAACTTATATATAGGGGAAGAATGCAAGGCTACAGTTTTGCGCATATTCCAGATTTATCTTTACTCACTAAAAACATAGCAAGAGTGAGTCAATCTTATCTCCTACTCCCTAAGATCACCCGGAGACAGGAGAATGGCCATCGTGCGTGACTGATCATTGAATTCTTGCCCAATAGTGTCCAGCAACCTCGTTCCTCTTACCGTCATCAAGGGTGCTGGCCATGAGTTCATTCCCCTTCCACAGGGCGAGAATGCTACAACGGCCGACTTCCACTCTGTCCGAACCAAGACCGAATCCCCAGCGCACTTTACGTCGGGATTTTACAAGATCGAGGCTGGGCCTCAGAGACCCGCACACTATACTTTCGAGGAGACCAAATATGTTCTGAGTGGTCAGATCGACGTGTTGGTATGTCACTCTCTTTGTCATAAACGACTATAAAGAGACCTATTGGGGCCTCTTTCAAACTTGAAGTATATTGACGACCATGATCCCTTGACAGGACGAAGCCACAGGAATCACTCATCATCTGGTTCCCGGTGATTTTGCTTTCTTCCATGTTGGATCCAAGGTCAAGGTTTGTCTTGCCTCTGTCCGATGACTCTCTTAAATCTCTTAAATCTATGATGGAAATGGTTGACTGACATGTCCCCACCTCGTCCAGTTCTCGACCAAGTCTCAAGGTTTTGCCTTTTACGCTGTGACTCGACCGGTCCGAACCCCCCATCCCAACCTTCAAGGTCGTGAGGAGGACAAGGCAAAGTTATAAGAATCAAAGGAGGCAAGAACCCCCATGACTTTGCTAAATCAATCCAATAGACAGCTATAGAAGCTCGCTAGCATACATGCATAAAAATACAATAACAATTAGCGCCCTTTCAGAAAATCGAAGGAAATCTTCACCATGCCTCCATGACGCCAGCTGCCGCAATCTCATCCATCAATAATAATGCATTAAGTGCAAGCTCTCGGGATTCGCCGTTCAAATTGCCTCCTTTGACTGCCAAAGCAAAAGCATCTCGCCAAAAGTTCCATCTTTCAACACTAAACGCTGAACCATTATAAAGAGAACCAGCCCGAAATTTCTCTTCCATGCGGCGGCTTTTTCTCAAAGGAGAATGACACATCGCATAATATAAACATGGACCATAGTGATGTATCCAAAGAGCTGCCTCGGCGATGTGGTAACTGTAGGAATCTGTTTCTTTGGGGATTTCCTGTTCAAGAACGTCTCGCATAGTTATCACCGCCCACGAGGATCCTAATATACCACTAGAGGCAAGCCGGGCGAAAAAAGAAGTGAGGTTCAAATACTCAAGAGAGAGGCTCTTCGAGGGTTCTAAATGGTGGCCAACTGCTTAGTTTCAAACTTTCATAGGGGCAACTTGTAAAGCAACTGACTGACCATTATAGATTTCCCGTGCCGCCCTGACCACACTTTCCAGAACCAAGTGCAATGTTTCTGTCTTTAATTTGGTAAACTAGAAATTGCCCTAGAGTCCCAGCCAATAGTTTGACATACCTCCAGCTTGTTGGTCAAATCGAGCTCGATGAACTGGTGAAGTTGCTCTAAAAGTCGGACGAGGCGATCTTGCGATGTATGAAAGTAGGGGACTTGGCGAGCCGCACTCAAGATGACGGAACCAAATGCTTCAACCGGGTATTCAATGGGCTTTCCAGGTACTACCGGCATGAGGATCTTATAAATAAGTGTAACAGCCTCTTTCATCGATAAAGTTCTTTTCCGTGGCTCGAGATATCGGCGAAGAATGCAGAATAGCTTCCAGTTCGAGTAGTTACCATATACCTCCTTCGCAAGAGGGTTGGTGCAATCTATATGAAGCTTGAGGACAGTCATCGTGGATGTGTCTTGAGAAAAAGAAAGTCTGAAGGTGCGTCTGAAATTGAAGCAGGTAGCCCGGAGATATAGATCATCATGCGGATGGTGGTTGAGCCTCACTCATTAGCGCTCAGAGGAGGCTCATTGGCGGCTATAGAAGTTCTATTGCCCAGGAATAACTCCCGAGAATGAATGTGAAACACTCTACTGTTTGAAAATAAAGACATGGGTGGGTTGGAGCAACCTAAGTATTGAGAAGGGTACCAATGAATTTGAAAATTGATTCCAGCTCTTGAAAGAGACAAGGTCTCAGAGTTCGGAACATAACAATGAAAAGAAGTAGAGTCTCTCCACAAGACCTACTCGATTCCAATGCAATGTCCCTATTCATTCATCCCTAGCGCCGTACCCCTGCCTTGATTATTACTAGCTTTGCTTGATTTCGCTGCTGTATCCCGGAGTTTCTGGTCATTATTTCAGACACGATTGAGCATACCAACAACTAGATATTCCTGATTTCAGTATATAGATTAATGGAATTTTGCGCAAAAAAAGTGCTTTGTGGATGAAATATGTAGATTAAGCAACAGCCGACTTTCAGTTTTACCGACTGGAAGCCAGTATTTTGCATATCTCCTGATACAAGTCAAGCCTCATTGAACTCTATGCGCGAGAGAACTTCTGCCAAACCTTGGGATTTGAGATAGTGTATGGTTAAAAATAATGATACGCCTGAATCTGGAGGCGATAAGGATCTAAGTCTTTAGTAGAGACATCTGAGACAACCTTCACGATGAATCTAACGCTCTTGAATGCGCTTTCGTTGCGAAACGCCAAGGATTGTAGGTATTCCGAAACACAATTGATTGGAAAATCGCCGAGGATGTTATGGCCCCGCGCTAGTTAACAATTTCACCTAAGCGCCCATCTAATATTAGGCCCAGCTAAGATTAGACGGACCCCGATAACCAAACGAAATTCCCAATCTCTACTCAATTTCAGTATTTTGATGATTATTGAACTGGCCGAATTCTTGAAATGACTGCACTGATGGGCACGAATTTGAAACACAGACGTTGAGGAACATGCAGTAGGGGAAAGCGGACTGGCCGAGAATGAAGCGTTTCAAGAATTGTGTTCAATGGCAAAACCCCAAAATCTTGTAGCCGCCGCTGATGAACACAGGAGGCATTCTACAATTCTGGACAAGAGACCTCTGGGATGCTGTGGACTGGAAGGAACTGGGGAGAGAGATCAACCTCCAGAACCAGCGAGCAGCCAATCCGGGGTAGCCCGATTGCTACGTGCCAGTTCGTCGCCTCCTGACGGAGATTGCAACCGGCGCCTGCATGATCTTGGTGATTCAAGCCAATGGCCGGCAGTTTCTTAGGCAGAGGCTGTAGTCCGAACTTGACAGCTCACCAACGGACTCGTACATCCTTATCACTGCGGTTCGTGACTAAATGAATCTAATCGATGTTCTCCGCGGCGGTCAACATGAGACTGCGCCTAGAACCCCGGGGCTGGACAATTTCAATTGACCAATCCAGATAAGCCGTCGTCCATTTAGCAAGAGCGCGTGACCCGTCGCCGGGTATGCACAAGTGTATGGAGATTGCTTCTTCGAGAAATTTGGGCGGGGGAGGACGGAGTATTTGGTGGGAGAGATGCAGAGCAGAGTTTAGCGGTGAAGCGGGGCGAGGCGCTCCTTCCGATTCGCGTTTCTCTCGTCGACTTTGTCAACAAAGCGGTCCGCTCTGGTAAGACCGGGCCATACCTCGACCATGATACTGGTCCTTTCCGGCGCAAACCTCGGGTAGAGACCGAACCTCGTCGAAGAGCTCCGGTGAACGGTCGGAAACTTACCTCAGGGGTCAGCCAACCGACTTCGCTACTTTTCCTTGTTTTCCACAGCGGGGCCGTGGGGTCGAAGGGAATGAAGTCATATCCCGAGCCTAGAGCGCGGTAGTGGTTCAATTGAGGTCATCGTCGAGGCTCGTAAGCCTTTTTGGGGTAACGGTGGCACGGCCCTGGATCTAGATATCCCAGATTGGCAGATTGGCTGATCTGCTGGGGCTAAAGTGACTGGTGCGCGACCCCTCCCTGTACAATTGACTCTGCGGCGTGGCGTGGCGCCCGATGTCATTGGACAACCTCACGGTTGGGCGAGGGGCCCAAGTAACAAAGCAAAACAAACGCTTGCGCTGGACTTTTGGAGCTGTCCAGCAGCTGGAAGTTGCTGGAAGTTGCTGGAAAGAGTCGTGTCCCGTCACCGAGGCACTGTGGGAGTCGATAGTCGAAGGAGCGTAGCAAAGATTAGGGCCTGGTCCAACAAAATAGTGGAGCGGGGCCCGCTGAAGAGGCTTTGAAGGTGTCGGCGATCTCAAGACCCACCTCCTGGTTGACACAAGCCGTGACTTCATCGGTTTGGACGTCGTTGGACGCAGTGAGGCTGGCGGTGGTGTTGGATTCGTGTTGCATGAAAGTCGAACCTTTTCGGAACGACGCTGCCCCTCTTTTCTCGATTTGGGCCTGATATTTAATCCCTCTGTCCTGCCCCTCTCTTTCACCTGGAATTCATTTCTCCGCCTCGACAGCTCTCAACTTAAACCTTTTTCACTCTGACTTGCCCAGGTATGTTGAAATGAGTTAGTTCCCATCGAATCGATCACTAACATCTTCGTCAAGATACCAACATCCCAACATTCACAATGACTGTCGGACTCCCCTCCACCATGCGGGCCCTCCAATACTCGGAGCCCAAGAAGCACAGCCTGGTTGAGGTCCCTCTGCCTAAGTTGCGTGAGAACGATGTCTTGGTATGTCCCGGCCCCACCTTGAACAACGTCAAATGACAACAGAAACATCTCGAGACACCCTGCTAACCAGCAATTGAACCACAGATCAAGGTCAAGGCATGCGGTGTTTGCGGTACCGACCTTCACATCCACGAGGGCGAGTTCATTGCCAAGTTCCCTCTCATCCCTGGCCACGAGGTTGTCGGTGTTGTGGCTGCCCTCGGCCCCAAGGTCCAGGGCTTCGAGCTGGGAGATCGTGTTGTTGCCGACAACTCGGAGCTCTGCGGCACCTGCTTCTATTGCCGCCGTGGTGATGAGCTCTTCTGCGAGGACTTCCAAGCCCGTGGTGTGACCATGGCCGGAGGATTTGGCGAATATGTGAACGCCCCCGCTGGTCGTGTTTTCAAGATCAAGAACCTGTCGGACGTTGATGCTACCCTCCTCGAGCCCGCCTCCTGCGCCGCCCACGGCCTGGATAAGATTGCACCCAAGATGGGCTCCTCGGCTCTGATCTTCGGTGCCGGGCCCACCGGTCTGGTGCTGGCCCAGCTGCTGCGCCAGAACGGTTGCTGCCGAGTCGTCGTTGCTGCCCCCGCGGGTCTGAAGATGGAACTTGCCAAGAAGTTGGGCGCCGGTGATGAGTATGTCGAGCTGTCTCGCCAGGATGCTTCGGCTCAGTACGCCAAGATCAAGGCCGACAACCCCTATGGCTTCGACATTGTCGTCGAGGCTACCGGCAGCGTTAGCATCCTCGAAGATTCCATCAACTACGTCCGTCGCGGTGGCAAGCTTGTTGTGTATGGCGTGTACTCGGATGCCGCTCGTGTCTCCTGGCCCCCTTCCAAGATCTTTGGAGATGAGATCACTATCATCGGTAGTTTCTCTGAGGTCTACAAATTCCCTGCCGCCGTCGACTACCTCGACTCCGGCAAGGTCAAGGTCGAGGGCATCGTCAACAAGGTGTACAAGATTGAGCAGTGGGAAGAATGCTTGGAGGCCATGCGTAACAAGAGTGCCATCAAGGCGGCCATTGTCTTTGACTAGACTTTTGGAACATTGGTCGGCCTCACACTGGGATCCGATTGGAAAATTTTCACGATTTGACGAGATGCGAGCGTTTCATACCCAAATAGTTCTGTTGGCAAAATTAGGTGATTGTTTGATAGAACAATAAATTAAACTTGCCTCTTTGAAAATTGAATCAAAACATGGTGTATTGGTATTTGCGGCGTGGTGGGGTATGATCCGGTTATATAGTCCAAGGTACTGTGTGAGGACCTTGGGTACTGCGCGGACCACCAAGGTACTACCAGTGGGACTGAATGGACTATATGACATCGTCTGATATGGATGATGGTATATCTGATACCTTACACTCAATTGATAGTAGCTCAAACGTCCTTAACCATTTTACAACCAACTCGGCGAGCGGTCTGACTATCATTTGGACGTCCACAAGGGGTTCTAGAGGGTTAAAGCCACAAATGAATTTCCATAAGTGAGATCCCATTCCCGTTACCAAGAGCTATTAGCAAATGATATCAAGAAACGCACTCATTCAGAAAGGCCAGTGTAAAGACGCGACCTGAAGAATTGTCCTCATTGGTCCTGTCTTATCGATAAGCCAGCTACACTCCACCGCAGCCAAATCCCATCGCGAACCTCAAGCTCAACATCCAGGTGAATCCCCAATTCTTCAACCGCACAATGGTCAAGCCCCTCACATTTAAAGGCGACAAGCCCAAGAAGCGCAAGCAACGTGACCCAGATAGCGAGAAGACCCCCAAGACCCGCAAGGTCGAAGCATCCGAAGCCGCAGAGGATGACGGCAATCCACCCGAAGACCAGAGCTGGGTTTCCGCCGAAGCTGCGGGCGACATTGCAGGCCCCGTGGTGCTAGTTCTCCCATCCGATGAACCGACGTGTGTGGCGTGCGACGCGAATGGCAAGATCTTTGCCAGTGCACTGGAGAATATGATCGAGGGGGATCCCGCGACAGCGGAACCACATGACGTCCGACAAGTGTGGGTAGCGTCGAGGGTTGCGGGAACAGAGTCGTTTACTTTCAAGGGGCACCACGGAAAGTGAGTGAAAACGGTTACACCAAAACGAGCGATTTGAGGAGCTAACTGACCGCGCCATGATAGATACCTCTCCTGCGATAGCCACGGCCTTTTCAGCGCAGACACCGCCGCAGTATCCCACTACGAATCCTTCCTCGCAATCCCCTCCCCCGATATTCCCGGCACATTCTCGTTACAAACACGGGGCGGCGACGCCGAGTCTTTCCTGTGCGTTAAAGAAAGCGCCAAAGCCACCGGTGGCGTTGAAATCCGGGGCGATGCCAGCGCAATCTCGTTCGATACGACGGTTCGCATCCGCATGCAGGCGCGCTTCAAACCCAAACTTCGTGTCGCAAAGGAGAGCAAGGCTTATGAGAAGATCAGTCGGAAGGAGCTGGAAGCACTTGTGGGGAGAAAGCTGGACGAGGATGATGTGCGGAGGTTAAGGAAGGCGAGACGGGAGGGGAATTTCCATGAAGAGATGCTTGACGTCAAGGTTAAGGGGAAGCATGATAAATTTGCTTGAGAGGGCAGGATTCATACTAATTATTATATTCGGACCGAGGAGTTGGGATGTCAAAGCCGAGCGGGCTCACTCGATCTACCTCAACCACGATTGCCGGTCCGCTTTTCCAGTGATACGGCGAGTTCACGATCAAACTCTTGACCGCTCCAAGCCTGGCGAACTTTCGTTCGTAGCTTTCTAGACATCGGTCGTCTTCGTCGTGTCTCTATTCCACGAATTGAATATCTACAAGCGCCAGGGCAGCGTTCTCGCTGTGCCTAGGCCCCACGACGGATTCTTCGTTTCTCATACAAAATCACGTAACGATAGGGCAATCACAAACTTGTGATCTTCCTCGCATGTACTTATGAGCATTCTGTCGATGATGCTACATGGTGGTAGTTGTAATGCGCTAATTGCCTCATCTAGTGCAAGCAGGCCGCACGCAGACACATTCAAATCCAGATCAACAGTCAACCTGGCAAAAGTTGACAAGGATATCATAACATCATCTTCGGTATTATAGTGAAGTCAATTGAAGGACCTTTCTCAAATTCACGGCCTGCCTGCCAGTGATCTCGAGGTAAAACGCTTGGCTGTAACCGAAGCGTTAAAAAAAGTGAAGTAAAAACAAGCAGTCAGCAAAAAGGAGTCCAATTTTTTTCAGTATCATGACTGCCATAGCATTTGCTCTTGCCAATCTTAGAAGCCGACGATCCAGGGCCTTCTTGTCCTGGTCCTTATATGTAGCCACTACCACCCGCTTTTTCCTTGCCCTGTAAGCCCAGGTACACAATATGCTATTGTTACATATCACAGGGTGAAAGAGATGTAGCTTCCTATCGTAAGACTTAGAAGACAAGTTTCAATTCTTGTTTCAAAGTTTTGGCGCTCTCAGCCACCAATTTCATTCTTATCTATGGAGATAGAATGATACATTCGTCGTCGGAACTTGAACTGTTCGACTCTGGCAGTACCACTCGGGGCATATCTTCCCATCGGTCTTCAAGAGTCACGCTTACTCGTCGATTGCCGTTCGCAGTAGCCGAGATTGCAAAAACTCGCGTAACGAAAACGAACTCCTCATTAGCTTGAATGTCACGCTCCACGTCGCGAGTTATCAAAGGAATCAACGTCCTCTGATGTGCTATGTTTGTGTTTGCATCTGGTTTGAGCGGCTGGGCTTTCGTGGCATAACTTGCAGAGTTTGTTGTTGACCCGGAAGAGATGCCAGTAGCTCCTGCTACCGACAGCATCAAGATCGAATCCACTGTCTCCAATACACCTTCACTAGATCCAATATTGAGACCAGCACTTAGTTTGTTGATGTCGGGTAGTCTCCTTCCATCCCGGGAGCACCGGCTCGGTGAAGCAAAACCCCCCTCCACGGTGTGCAAGCTACGGATAGCAGTATTGACTTGAACACGATGAACACGCACATGCCAATCCGGCCATCTGTCGGTCGGTGGGATTAGAGTTGTGTGGACATCTACTCCTCTGTCTCCCCAAGGGTACCATCGAACCGAGGTGGCCTGAACTTGAGATATGCCTGCCTTTGTTTTCACAGAGACATTTGTAAAAGTTGGCTCCGAGCACTTCCATTTCAGAGCCCAAGTCTCTGCACCATCTCTGCTGAGCGCTAACGTACAATCGGGTGCGATCTGTTGGATGAGTGGTCCAGTGGGTACTGAAAAGGCAAATGTGGAGGAATATTCAAATTTGGAGTACTTGGCTTGTGTTGCCTTCATCGGCCAGGCAACAAACTGTGCAGGTGACAGACAGAAATGATGATTGCCCATCGGATGGTTACTGAGGATTTGCCGTGGTGCAGGGACAAGCTGTGGTTTGAAGAAACGTGGATATTCTTCTTCTTCGTCGGACCAAAATTTATCGTCTTGTGCGAGTGAAACTGCAATCAGAGTCTTTAGACACCAGTAAGGAGACTGTGGTGAATTGTAGTTTTCGCACATAAACATGTTCCTGCAAGAATGATATAAACGCTGGCTGGAAAATTCGCGGAAGATTTTGTAAATCGAATTTCAACTCACGGGTAAAGCCATCCTATATTCAAAGTTCCATCTGAATGAAATATCTCACTTGAGCGAGAGGCCCACCACCTGAGGTGTCGCAAAAGGAAACCCTTGACTTGTCCAGGCTTTGACAACTGCCATGGCATATCGGGTATGGGGCTGACTGCAAGTGCCGCAAAGAAGGCTCCACAGGAGAATCTGTACGTAAGAGATCGGCCAAATGGTATCGCAGATCCTACGAAGGACATCGTCAGTACATTATGCAAAGGTTCGAAGTGTCTCAAAGAGCGGAGAGTAATGTACCATCAGAGTCAAAATATTTCCAAAAGGACGATCCAAAGTCTCTGGCCTGCTGTCGGTATCTTTCTGCTCGCTTAGGGTCCAAATCCTCGGCGTACTTCACATACAGCAGCTGACTGAACTGAATGGCAAAGCTTCCAGAATAATAGTCCACTTGGCGTCCCTTGCCAATTGCGTCTCTTCGACGAGTTCGCTCGAATTCTGCAGCTTCCTCCTCTTCCTCTTCCGTGGTCAGCCATGGACCATCGCCAGACCAACCATCGGAGATGTAGAAAGAATCGAGAAGTTCCAAATCGGCATTCATCTCATTGAGAACCTCGGCCGCCGGTACACCACAAACTTTGATCAGTGCCAGGTTGACAAATACTCTGAACCATCGCCAATTGTTGTTTGGCATTGGCATCCCGTTCATACCACGGAGCCAAGACGTGATGTTCCTCCGCGTCTTATCATCGCGACTATGAAAGATTCTCTCTGGAGCACACAAAAGCGCGTAGCTGATCACTTCGGCTTCGACCATGCGCTGGTGTTCAGTTTCTCCAATTGAGCCCCAATACTCGGGATGGTCGGGGTCTGTCCCCGCAGTAAAGCCTTCGATCCAAGGTCTTACTACTTCCTCAATGCCTTCAATCAGGTTTTTATCAGATGGGTTTCTTTCTGACAAAGAGGACTGAAACTGTAGAAGGGACGCCACTGCCCAAAGTGGTCTGACAAAGCCTTCTAGTTGTGCAGCACCTTCATCAAAATGAGCACCAGTGGATACCGGAAGGCGGATGCGGGCACAAGAGCTCGAGAAATGACTTGTCAAAGGTCGCAATAAAGCGAGGGCAGCCGTTGCTAAATCGTTCCGCGTACGAAACGGGTTATCCGAGAAACCAGTTAGAGGAGGCATCTTGAGAAGCGTAGATTTTGGTCTTGAATAATGTCTTTTGCTGAACAGTGTGCATTAAATTCGCGACGGCACTCGGCTTGCGGGGTGAGTCTCGGGCACCGGGCGAAGTCTCGGCCGGCCATTAGGACGACAACTGCAATAGTGTAACATCACCAAATCTCCACTCAAGCAACTTATATACACGCATGATAAAGTTTTATTTTGTCTCCTTTGATCTTCTTCGATTTCCATCGGATGTATTAGCATCAGCATGTCTCTCAAAAACAAAGTTGTGGATCATTCAAGTGAGAGTTCCTCTCGGACCTTTAGTGATTCATATCGATCAATTAGTCCGACCATGACGGAAGCAAATAGCGATTCTGTGGGAGAAGAGGACATTTTCAAACGAACCGAACTGTTGGCAGTTTCATCGCCACCGAGTATCGGCGCACGTCTTCATGAGCTATACGATGAGAACCTCACAGCCAAGATCATTCGTGCTGCAACCACATGTTTAGAGCATAATGTAATGCATATTCTCAAAAAGGTTTTATCCTCGCTGCTCTGTGCTAATATCTGGTCAGTACCCGATTGCCCAGTACCCTGAGTATGTTCTGCAGTCAGGGCCCGATGCTGGAAAATACCTTCTTCGCGAGGTGGACTTCTGGACATGCGGTTTCTTCCCCGGTTCAATCTACTCGCTTCTTGAGCGCTGGATCAAATACCCTCAAAAGGCTGGAAAGGGCGCCATTTCAGCACTCATCATTCAGAAGCTGCACGAGCTAGGTGGAATCTGGTCAGAGCCTATTCACCACATGGGCTCTAGAACGGATACACATGATATGGCGTTTATCATTCAGCCATCAATGAGACCACGCTGGGAGATCTTCCACGATGAAAGAGCTCTCTCCACTATCCTTACTGCAGCCGACAGCCTATACACTCGCTATAGTCCAAGAATCGGTGCTATTCGTTCCTGGGATCAACTGACCCAGAAGGGCGTCAATATTACCTCCATGGATCATGATTTCTTAGTCATTATCGATTCTATGTGCAACCTCGATCTTCTCTACTATGCTGCTGCACACACCGGTCGCGATGAACTCTCCGTTGCTGCCACCCGCCATGCTCACAAACTTCTACGCACCCATCTTCGCCACGAGACTGGGAACTACGCTCAGCGAAAAGGTTTCTCCGGGCCTTTGTTCAGCACCGTCCACGTTGCAAATTTTGATCCAACTACTGGCGATCTGAAAGAAGTTCGCACGGGACAGGGTTACGCGAAGGACTCAACCTGGGCCCGCGGCCAGGCATGGGGAATTTTGGGCTATTCGCAGACATTCCAATGGACCGGAGAGAGCGAGTTCCTCACCGCAGCATGTGGACTGGCTGAATACTTCCTGCTCCGCTTGGAGACTTCACCTAGTTGTGTTGAGCGCAGGATTTCTGATACTTTTGATAAGACCTGTGGACGTTATGTTCCTCTTTGGGATTTCGATGCTCCTATCAACGAGGAAAATCCGCTTCGCGACTCTTCTGCCGGTGTCATTGCTGCGAACGGCCTCCTGGTACTGGCACAGTGCCTCATCTCACGTGGAGATCATACACAGGGCCAGAGGTTTCTCGATGCTGCTCTAACTATTGTTGAGGACACACTTGCCTTTTCTCTAGCCAGAGAAAAGGCATCCATCGTGGTCATTGGAAGTAAGGTATCCGTTGAAGATATCCGAGCTAATGAAACATTTGATGCAATCCTAAAGAATGCAACGGCAAACTTCAATGCATCTGATCATCGCCGCTACTGGGATCACGGACTTGTGTATGGCGATTACTACTTGATTGAATTTGGCAATCGACTCTTGAGAATGGGACTAGTGTAACCAAGCTTATAGAACATCTGTGAAGGGGATTGTTATTATATTTGTTCGAGATTCGGTCAAACTTAGAAATCCAATCATACTATCGGACCTGTACTCCAGAGCATACGGAAATAAAAGTACTAGGCCGTTTCAATGAAATATCAGATGATTTATTATAAGAGACGCACGCCTAGCTAAATTAGTCTGGCGGTCAGTCAGGTAGAACTAAACGTTTGGACCACCGCTGCACATTCACCTTCCAAAGCAAAAATAGGAGCTCGGCTGTTCCGGTAAAGACCCGAGTTCAGTCTTCCAATCTCCCCTAAGACTACATGTTTCAACCTCAATATCCAATTGAAAGGCGAGCAGCAAACAGTGGGTGTCGGGGAAATAGCACCATAATCTACCCTTACAAAGTAAAGCTTCTTAAGATCATTGTCATAGATAGAAAGCTCTCCATATATTCGATTTCTGTTCAACCAGTCGGTCCATTCATCGACGCTGCCATATTCGTCGAAAACATCATGTCATCTAGACTTATCACCCGATCCATATCCATAAATCTTTGATCCAACAGCAGATATGAGATATTGGAAAGCTCATCCGCCGGGGGCGCACAGTTAATTGAATAATCCACATCCGGGGTGGCTCCCGTCGCAACTCGCGACCCTACACCAGCTTCGACAAAACTGGTGGCCATATGTCTTGAACTCAGATTCTCCTTTGCCATGCCCCAGTGAGGCTCAGACGGAGATATTTCTTGACCCGTTGAAGTGCGGGTCCCATTGAAATTGGCGAACATGGCAGGGCTGGTGTTGTAAGGACGCTCATTGCGTGACTGGTGATTCTGCTGTTCTGTAGGTGTGCGACCAGTGGTTGTTGATCGGGCCGAGGATTGCGCGTGACTATTTGATACTACGGTAGAGTATCCCAATACATCAACACTGAAATGGGGAGCGGCAATGCAACGTTGGTGCAAATCACGTAGATGGTCTGCGTAGGTGCTTGCAAGACAACGGCCATTCGATGAGCTGGACCCCAGCCACCGACAAGCCATTTGATCTAGACTGTTGACGAGATCCCACATTTCCTGGGCAAGATCTGATCCGTAATAACGCCAATGCACTGCATTATTCTGTCAGAGCGCGTCGCCGCAGTGAGACATAAGTTTACCCTTACCTAGAAGAACTCTTGCTGCCACAAAAACGCAGAATATGAATTGGTTGCTGACTGGAGATGACTCGGGGGTGTTGCTGAGGTATTTCGCCGTCATGTTTTGGATCTCAATTGCGGCGTTCTGGCAAGTCTCGGCGCTACAGACACTTGGAAGCCGAACGATATTGGCCCACTCAGCGGGCGGATAGGCGATACGTTGATGCAAAAGGATCATGGAGGTGTTGTGAGTGACATGTGTTAGGGTCAAGTTTGGGTCCATGTGTATTAACGTCGGTTGACGTGATATATTAGAGTCCCTCCATTTCTGGGGCAGGAACATTTTCCAACTAGGCAGAGCAGTCAGGAATGGTGATTCAAGGTAAACGTTATAATCCTGTGGACAATACAAACTTACTGTACTAGGCGAAGGTCCAGTTCTTTAAATCGAGTCAACCAACTGCTGACCTCCCTTCGGTCCTGGAAATTGATTTTCTGTTGGAGAAAGAAGGTCGTGACGCGACTCAGAGATTCGGTTGCCTCGATACAGTATGCAAAAGCTCCGACAGTTGACATGTCTGGCTGCGCCGAGTTGGTCACAGAATGGGCAATATCTTGCGGCGAGCTGTGCGGTGAATTGGTATCGGGTGCTGGTTTAGGACTCTTTGGGTTGCTCGAGTACTGAGCAGGGAGAAAAGCGATCGAGTTGCCAATCCGTGCTTCAGACCTATCCCAAATCCCAAAGAAGGGCGTAGTCACTTGCTCTTCTCGATGCCATAAGCCACCATCGGCAGGCAGTCGTCTGTGTACATCATCTGCAGTAAGGCTTGTGTTCCAACTTGAAGGTCAAAGTCAGCTTTTTCGTGATCGAAAATACTACCACATCTACTAGATGAAACGCAATATGTGCGGTGGATGAGAAAACTTACCCAGTTGCAACGGAGCAGAAACGGTCCAAATTGAATATGTTCCAAAAGACCCTTCGTCTTTCTTCCTCTTCGACCCATTCCTTGGAGGGTGGTAAGGATAAGAGAGGCTTCAATAGTCTCTGCGTGTCATCATCCTCATCTTCGATACTAAGCCGGAGGTACTCCACAGTTCGCGTCAAGGAGCCCACTATTGACCATGCTCTGGATGTGTTTCCATTTCCAATCTGATAAAGCCTTAGCATCAAACACATAAGCTCTCGGTCATTGATACGCTTACGTCGTCGAAAGCTATAATTGTCAAAGCCTGGAGATTCTCGACGGAAAGACTGTCCATGGCATTCAAGACTACGATGCTCCTAGAAGTTTTGGTCTGGGACTCCACGTTTGCTGCCGAGAGACCGTGGACTTCGGGGCGTGCAAAGCGAATAGCTGCAACAATGATCGCATGGATGACAATGACTAAACGGGTCCTCTGCTCTGGATCATGTACTCGAGCTCGAAATCGAGTCTCGTGGAGAATTGGTATCCATGGTTGGATGTTGATGAAGTAGCCAGTGACAATATTTTCCAGTAGCTCTGGGGGAGGAAGACTGGTCGTGGCATCGAGAAGATCCTCCAAAGGTAAAGCAAGCTCAATCTTAGGGTTTCCGCAGCTGTCAATTCTTCTTCGCTTTCGTGGCTGAGTGTAAGGTGAGCCGTGTGTTTCATAGCCATCTGGTGCAGTTGATGGCTGGGAGGGTGTTTCGACCGACACCCCATGATAGGGCGGGCGGGGTATAGTGTTGAAATCCGTTTCATTGGCCCTGGTCTCATTTCGATTATTGAGCTTACAAAGCTCCATACAAACGGTAGAAAGGAGGTTGACCACGCCATTTAAACGTTCATTTCCCGGGCTGTGCGACCGACAGTCATTGCTGGCATGTCCACCGTTGTTTTCTTTTCCTCGAAGTAGCGCATCCTCAAGTACTTCTGAATATGATTTAGGAACGTATCAATGGCGGTTCCAAATATTTATCAGCCAAGGGAAGGACTTACCGATACGTCGACTCAAGCTTTCAACAGCTCCTGTCTTCAAGCCCGGCTTACCTTTTTTGGCATCATACACACATGGAGCACCTGCAGGTAAACATTATCAAAATCATGTCGTCAAATCTCTCGCACAGCCAGCATCTTGAGGAATCGTCGTACCTAATCGCTCGCATTGAGAGCACGTCGGTGACTCACGTGAGCATTTGAGCTTTCGGCGGCGACACCCCTGGCAGGAAGGTCGCTCTGGGACGGAAGTGCCGATTTCTTCAGACTCGATTGATGGATCCATACCCGAGGGCCTGCGAGGGCCGACGCGAAGCTGACGGCGCTTTCAGCACGCGGAAAGGACCGCTCATTTCACAACTCCAGAATTAGATGCAGCATACGATATGCTAGCGATGTAGACTTCTTTGATGTGAGAACGACTCATCAGAACATGGCGGTCTGGAAACATCCATTTTTCCTCGGCGCATGTTCCCTTGAATGCGGGGAAGCTGTGGGGAAAGGACTTTCGGGGATGCGCATTATCGTCTACCGAGGATTACTCCGGGCCCCGAAACTTCTAATCGAGCGAGGCAAACCCCCAAATTTGAGTTGCCTTTAGTTTAGTTCTACGCAGGTCATTAAGAAAGCCAATACGTGGCGACAACACCGAGGATCGGTCCCTTTGTCGAGGAAAATGCGAGTCTTTTGCAGCTGCTACATGTTGGTCAGCCCCGCCGGGAAAATTCCTTATTTGCCGAGAAAAGCAACTATGTCGGGCAGCTCATGCGCGATACTGACAAGTTCAACGTCTTTTTTCCAACAAACTACAGGATCCAACGTGGGAGATATGTAATGATACGTGAAGAAGGTAAAAATACCACTCGACAGATTATGAGGAAACTTGATGTCTGCAAGAACAAGACTATTTCGTGCCATTCCGCATGTCAGCATCCTTCCATAACTTATTGCCTCATATATCCACATTGAGATCTTAAACCCGCTCAACTTGTTCCACAGCAAGTTTGGAATCCCGACCCATTTCAACGGCATTTTGTGCATTCACATCAAGACCCAGTTGTTTCATGGCATTTGCCCCTGTTGCAGCATTTGGACCGTCGAAGACCTCTGCCACTTCTTCCAAGCCGCGATTCTTGGTTTCGGGGAAGAAGAAGAAGATCATCGTAAGATGGATGAAGATCACGACGATCCATACAATATAGTAGCGCCATCCGATAGCTTCCATGGCTACTGGGTTTGCGAATGAGTTGTAAATGCCGGCAAGATTTCCAGTTAGCTGATAAAGCATTGATGCCTTGGAGCGTAGACTGTAAGGGGTGATCTCCATGATATATGTAGGAGAAACGGGAGAGCACGCGTGGTAGAAGGCCGAGAAGACAAAGATCATAGCCAAAACACCACCAGCATAGCCCTGGTCTTTGAAATCTTTCTGCTGATTGATCGCAGAACAGATGGTCCAGATCAAGTACGCAACTCCCATACCGCTCATTCCTATCAAATAGAGACCGCGACGACCGGCTTTATCAACAAAGAGAGCAAAGAAGCTGGCAGTCATGAGACTCCAAATCGAAAGACAGCCGTTGATAATGAGCTGGGTCTTGTGGTTCGTGATACCGATTGTCTTGAGAACCAGTGTCAAGTAGTACGACGTCAAGGCATTGCCACTCCATTGCAGCATAGCAGGAATATAGAGAGCCAAGAAGAGGCGATGGCGATTTCCTTTAGTTGCAACCCATTCGGACCACCTCGATTGCTTCTGTATTTTTTCCATTTGTAGTGTCGCGGTGACCTCCGCCATTTCGAAGTGCGCCAAGCGGGAATTCGGATCACCGTCTCCATGATACTGGATGAAAATATCGAGGGCTTCTTGGTTGCGACCTTTGTAGATCAACCATCGTGGAGACTCGGGTGCAAACAAGCTCAGGATTGCTTGCACGATGGAGAAGGAACACTGCAAGAGACTGGGCAATCTCCAGCTCCACGACGAGTGAGCCATTTGGAAGGTACCATAGGTAATCCATGCGGCCAAAAGAGATCCTAACGGCCAGGAGACCAGGTAGAAAGATACCAGCTTGCTTCGATGGGTTGGGTATGCCACTTCAGATAGCAGTGGAGGTGCCGCTACCGAAACTATGCCCAAGCCGAAACCGACAAGGAAGCGAGAGAAGACGAACATGCCGTAGTTCATAGACGCTGCCTGAATTACGGAGCCGATAATGATGATGATTGATCCTCCACAAATAGGATATCGTCGGCCGAACCAGTCACACAGTTGTGAAGAGATCAGGATAGAAATCAACACTCCTCCAGTTGGGCCAAACGTCATGGCACCCAATCTATTTCCAGTGGGCGAGCCGAAAATACTGATCCATGCCGGCAAAGCCTGCATACCGTTGATCATGCTTGCATCGAAACCCTGAGCGGTTTGTGTGAGGAGCGCACAGAGTAGCAAAGTATTGAGCTTCAAAAGCCGGCTGTCTCTCCACCACGGCTTGTCACGCTTTGGAACCACATCAAATAGTGTGACTCCAGTGAAATTGTACTGCGCATTGTTCGCATCTGCAGTGGCCTTGGCCATTTTTGATATGAACCAGGGTGAGAAGTGACTCGATAATTGTGGAAATATAAAACTTAATAAGACAACTTGAACAAAGATGGAATGGAATGGACGTTTATAGCAGGTTTCTTGAAGCTTCGCCAAGAGATAGCGTGGAACTTTGGCAGCCCGAGCTATCGTACGGACTCCGACAGAATTCACTGAAAATAATGGTGTGGTTAGATAGAACATTCAGCCACAAAATTCCCCGCAGTATACAATTAAACGAAAGAGCAGGGTTCCGAGTCGCCTGATTGAGACCCGGAGAAAGAAAGGCTAGAATATCCCCGCAATTTACCCGTCTTTCTGGGGTTTGCATCGGCCACCGGGCGAGTGCTCGGCCGAGCAAAGCCCCTAACCATAATCATGAAGAGGTGGGATGAGTGGTACACCAACAATGATCGGTAGGGCTCTTTGCTCCAATTGCGCCCTAGACTTTGCTTGTTTTAACTGATCGTGCCATATTGGGAAATCAGATTTTTGCGATTCGACGATAGATTATTATGAGAATAATAAGTAATATTGAGCCCAGAACCAAATATATTCATTACATCTGATGTTTTTTAATCTAGCATAAGCAAAAAGAATATTCACAGGTACTACTCACCACAATTTATATAGGACAACGACCCAGCCGACACGAACCAGAGCGCTTAAACAGGAAACATGAAACGTTGAGAACACATGCGAAGGGCCAGCCAGATCAATCAATCCAGAGCAAGATGGGAAATGAATTGCCACATTTTCCGACTTAGACATTTTTAGCCCGAAAGCATCTTCTTTTACAGCGGGCCATTGTCAAATCACGCACAGAATATCCAATCCAATCTTAAAAAATAGCAACAGAACGTCAAGATATCCAGATAACATAAAAGATGCACATGAAGCCAAATAAAAAAGCATAGCGCACCGCACGCGAAAAAAGCAACAATCTTAGATTAATCACACAGTCTGATCTGGTCATGCGAGCCTAGTTTGCTCGAGTCTATTGATAATGAGAAACGTTGAACCGTAAACAGAAAGCCCCGAGGTAAAGATAATAAATAATAAATACCGCATAAAGAATGTGCGGGCCTTTGAATGTAGAATGGACCCCTGGGTATGAATCTAGACCTGAAAATTCAAAAAAGCAAGCGAGGTGAGTGGTAGATGGGCAACGCACCGGGAAAGGAACATGAAAAGGAGATATGAAAGTCAGGGGGGATAGATAAATGTGCGCCGAGTACAGCACTGTTGGGGGCAAACATTCTTTCGCGATAAACCCAGAGCACGATATTTGATTGCTGGGAAGCAAAGCGCACCATGGAACGAGAACTGTGGAGGGGCAAAAGGGAAATAATTAAAATCCAATTGGTGAACGAGAAAGGTCTAGCAGTGCGAATTTCTTTCGTTGCGAAATAGCATGGATGAAAAGAGAGCAGGGACGTCGAAGTGGTGGACAAGATCGTGGGAGATGCGGCATTGTACAGTGTTGTTGGGGTAGGAAATAATCAGAGCGATCAAGAGTTAAGGGACAGGCCTTGAAACCTGCCCACCCACTCACCCTGTGCGGAGGGCATACGGGCTGCACTGTTCGAACCCATATCACCAACTTGGTAGGCGGAGAACCCGGTCTCCAACGTCCCGAAGTTTGTAGGCGAGTAGGGACCGAAAGGGTCAGCTGTAGCGCCATCGACGTGCCGCGACGGCGGAGTAAAGGACGGATAGGCGTCGGCGTATGGGGACCTGAGTACCCCGACGGAGTTTACCATGGTCTCACGCCCAGCCTCGTCCCGAGTTCCAGGATACGCTCTGCCGTCTTGTTGTTGACGACGGTCAGCTTGTGCAGCATCCTGACCGTAGAGTGGGTTGGCCATGCCAGTGGGGGCCCCTTGGAGACCTGCAGTAGGCGGAGTCACAAACGAGGCGGGATTGATGGCAGACATCCAGATCCGGGTCTTGTAGATCTTGAACAAGTCGGTGACCAGGGAGTTGAAGTTGATGTAAGAGTCGGCGAAATAGTAGAAGGTAAGTTTCTTCCAGTCCCTGCGCAGCGAAGCCAGTTAGAGTTGATCGAGAAATCGAAAGCGTAATACAATCAACTTACATTTGAAACTCCGCATCCAAAATCTCCATGTTCAAACGGTGCTCAACCACCTTTTGCTGACAGACCCGTTTGGCTTTCGCTTCATTGCCCTCCTTGTCACGCAGAGTGAGGATCTCATGGTTCTGCGCAAGACGCTTGATAAGCTTGGGTTTGATGTCAGTGGCGGTCTCCTGGACGCCATGAGCATGTGGACCCATGCCACCTGTGGCGCTGCGAGCAGTCAATCCGGTACTGCCAGCAGCCGAGCCCTCAAGCTGTCCTTGGCGAGAGAACATCATGAGCCACTTATAATGTTCCTCGGCATATTGCTGTTTCAGCTCTCGTGCCTTTTGCAGAGAAATATTGGCATGCTGGACAGTGCCCAAGTCGGTGCCTCTGTCTGCTTCGACGATGACAAGGTCACCGGATTTCACCTGGAGACCGGTATCTTCTTGGATGTAGAAGACGTCGGCACGGTGGCACTTGAAGGTCACGATGTACAAAAGCTGATTCTGATGCCCGTGCGAGAGAGCGCCTGGCTGACGGCCATACGCACCAGAAATGGCGTACTGATTAAGCGAGGCGGGAATCCCGGACGAGCCGTCACCGCGCAGAGTCTGATCGC